AGGAGGAGGAGGAGGAGGAGGAGGAGGAGGAAGAGAAGCAGAAGGTTGATTAGTTAGTTTGGTTTGGCTGTTTGGTAGAGCCAGACTGACATTTACAGTGCAATCAATTGAATACAATACAATGATCGTGTAGAACGGATTCCTATTTCCATTCGTCTGTACAATTTGAAGGGGCAAGCAAGGGGGGTTAGGGTTACGCATCGCGTGGGCTGCCGACGAACCTTGTAAAATCCCTTAACCCTACTTAGGTGTACATTCTTTCAACGGCCACTAATGCACCCTTCCTGAACCTCATTGGCGGAAGACTCCTGCCTGGACCTTTGGCCCACTTGGGATGCATTCTTCAAGGTTCAGCAGTAACGAACCCATCAACTAGCAATGCAGCGTATAACAAGGAGCTGCTCCCTGCCATGTGTCAGAAAAAGGTTTCTTTGTCCTTACAGCTAGACTTGCGGGCAAATCTCGAAATATTTGCTTGAAGGTCTCCAAGTTTTCGCAAATAACGACGGCAACGATGATGTTCTGGATTTCGTTGCTGGCGGCAGCTTCGACAGCCCTAGCCAAGGCCACGACTACCACCTCGTTCGAGCTCTGCAATACTCAATACGCGTCCACGTCTTGCAGCACGGTCAGGACAGTCAACAGTCTTTCTACTGCCACAAGGTAGGCATACACACCTAATGCTTTGCGTGGGCGATTGCGGAGCTTGCGCTTGAGCTAACTCTGCTGCCAGTGTTGCCGTCCTCACGACCACGTCAACCCCCACCGTGACTTCAACCGCCGCCGCGAAGACCATCACGTCGGTAGTGACAGAGACTGTGTCCGCAACCACCATCCTCGACCAGAGCACAAGCACATTCTCCACCACCGTCACATCCACCATGACCCTGACGGTCCAAGATATCGTCACGGACACCGAGACCGTCACGAGTGACACTACAGTAATACCCCCCTTGGAACCATTGAAGTCTTCCCAAGCCTAACAATAAACAGGTCACCTCAACACCCACAACTACCGTGCCCGCCCCCGCCGGATTCACCCCTGCCTCGGCACTGAGCCAATCCTCCGCCACCATCCAAGGCGTCAAACAAACCGCCCTCGTCAAAGCCAGCGACGCATCCACCCCCCCGGCAATCACCATCCACGCTGCCCAATCCACCGCGATCGTGGAAGCAGAACCCAGCTACGCAAGCGTCGTGACCTGCGTAGGCCTAGTCGAGGTCCTCTCCACCAGCACCGTGAACAAACCAGCCACGCAGACCCACACCGTGGTCGTCACCCCGTCCGCCAAAACAACCACATCAACCGCCCATATCACCACAAGTAACCATCCGTGCCCTCCCTTCCCCTCAGTCCTCGAAAGAAAATACTGACACAGAAAAGCAATAACCCTCGTCCCCGTCCCGGCCTCCACAACCATAACCTTCACCACCAACTTCCTCAAATCCACCGCCATTGTAACCACCACCACCTCGACCGAGGTAAGACCCCCACCTCCCTTCACCCCATACTTCCCCCGCCCACAACAACATACTAAAACGAACAGACAACAACAAACACCGCAACAGTCCAAAGCCCGGCCCAAACCCAATACGCGGCCTGCGGCACCGACAACCAGATCAGCACCGTCAACGGACGCAGCATCACCCAGGTGCTGGTCACGGGAAACTACGAGACCAATTCGGCGTCGACGCCGTACGACTGCTGCGTCGCGTGTATCGATCATTCGACCCCGTGTGCTGGGTATCTCTCAGCGGAGGGGGCCGGATGCTTCCTTCTGCTGCCGGGGGGTGCGAACAACGCCACGTGTAGTCCGTCGAATCGGGACACGGAGTCGGTGGATCTGGGTGATGGGGCCGGGGGGTTCACGGTTGGGAATTCGGGGTGTGGGTCGTTTGGGGTGCGGGAGATTTCTTAGTGTTGGTTTGTGTGTGAGGGAGGGTTGGGTGTGTTTGTGTTTGTTTTATAGAGATATATGACAGTCAAGTCTGCACTGTAGTTGCCAGTCGTATAGAGTGAGAATGGAAGAACCCTACTCAACATATTGTCGGATCGGTAGATATTTGAGTATTTCGGCTGACTGGCATACCGTGCCCAAGGCATGAAGATCTTGCCCAGTCGCTAAGCGCTTATTCGGTGAGATTTGATCTCTTGTCCCCACACCGCAATTTCTGGGAAAGCAATCAATGAAAACAGATGTTCATAGAAAGCATCCGACCAGATAGAGAATCACATCATCCGATCATTCGACCTCTCCAATACGTGGTCAAGCGCCTTTCCTTCCATCCACGCCATAGATATCTACATCCGCTCCAGCGGCACGCAGAAGACCAACGATCGCAATTTGTCCCCGATCAGCCGCTCTGAAAGCCAGCGAAGCGCCTGCATTATATCCTGCGGTCGATATCGACACCCTCGAGTGCAATCAGAAGCCTACCCACGGTTGGTTGGTAAACTTGCAATATGTGGATCTGCCCCGGCGGCAAGCAGGAGTCCAACCCCGGCCGGTGGGACGGGCGCCTGCATCCAGCAGCATTTGCACCGCAGCAGCATGCCCACCTTTGTGGGAAAGAGCAAGATGGAGGTTCCATTATAGAGCACCGAAGGGACCGCGGCCCCACGCTGGATCAGCTGGCGGACCAAGGCATAGTGATGGTGGAAGACCGCCACCACCCGTGTCCCGCGACCCCACGTCCACCCGTTCTGTGCGGAGTAGTCGTTCCACGATGTCGAAGTGGCCGTCTCGCGTCGCCAGATTCAACGGGGTCGTGCCATTCTAATCAGCCGGGTCGGCGTGCACTCTCCCGGACCCGAGCAGCTGGTCCACGACGCCCGCGCCCTCCCGCCGCACCGCCGCATGCAGAGGCGTCTTTTCGTGGATGTCCGCTGCATTCGAATCCGCCCGGCCATCGGCGAGCAGCAGGTCGACGACGGCCTCGCACGTGTCCATCGCCGCCACCAACAGCGTGGTGTGGCCCGCCGCGTCCCGTGCCTGCGCGTCGATCCCCTCCCAGCCCAGCAGCATGTGCACGAGCTCCGCCCCGCGGATTGCGAGCGTTGACATCGACCACGTCCACTGTTGTCAGCAGCAGGCGCACCGGCTCCGTCTGCCCGTGCGCGATCGCCTCGTGCAGCGCCGCGGCCGCGTCCCCCTGCATGTACCGCGTCTCCGGCCGGTTCATGCTCGGCGTGTCGCGCATAATCGCGATCCACCGCCGCGCGGTGTCGCACTGGTCGACCCGCGCCGCCCAAAGCCGATTGAGGCTGCTGCCGTAGTCAGCGCTCAGCCGGTACAGGTACGGGTTGAGCTAGCGGTGGAGTTCGCGGCTTGTGCGCACCAGCGCGTTGATGTCGGCGCGGTAGGCTAGCTCGGCCACGATCATTTCGAGAATCTCTAGTGGAAGTTGGAGGAGCATTTCCACTTTTCCTCTCTGTATTGCTTAGGATTGAGCTGGTGATTTGCATGACGCACCGGTACTCCGTGCCGCTTTCCAGCTGAAACACGACCTGTTTGACCCGTCAACTGGTGGTGCTTGAGGCGTTGACGTCTCGCTTACACCACTGCCGGCACTAAGCTGGTAAGTCAGTAGCTTAACCATGATGGTCTAGCCACTCTGTGTGTGGATCTTGTACTCGGACTTTGTTTTCTGATCAGTTTGTCCGTGAAGGAGCATGTTAAGAAGTGTCGAGTCTCAAAGCAAGGCTTATCTGAGTGCCAGGTGAGGGGAAGTAACTGACTAACTAGGTAAGTAATCAACACCCACTACGGGCGTTAGTGGCGGGCGGCGTGCAGTCTGGCCCAGTTTTTCCAAGTCAAAACATTCCACACAAGCCTTTACATTACGGTTTTTTTTTTTTGTTAGAATTCAAGTTTCGTTCAATTACCCTTTCTTGTACTTCAATCTAACTTTGCTTACAATGCTTTTCTCTTTTCTCTTATTATATACAGTATCCAAAGTACAATGTAAGTACTTTTCAAGTGTTTAAATCATGTGGCTAATTGAGGCGGTAAGCGGTTTTTGTGCCACGCCACTGAAAAAGGCAGCTCAGCCGGCCTGCAAAACTATGACACCGACGGGCACGCATTGCGGTTAACCGGCAGAAACACAAGGCGTCATACTAAGGTCCACGGTAATAACGTCCACCGCTTCCAACTCAGGGTTGTGAACCTGAACTCTACTACGGAGTGAGTAACTAGTAGCTAAGCATGCAGAGTCACTATCGAGATCTGGTGAAATCCCGTTATTTGCTGGACTGGTCAGCCCCGATGGTCCAGATCTAGACCCCTGCTGGATCCGTGCTTGGGTCTGGAATAAGCGGCACAACACTGGCAAAGCCTGGGGTGAGTGAGGGCTGCTTCATGGCTTAGGGCTTAGTAGCGTCGGCCGCCCGCCCGCCACCGCGGCCGCCGTCGGAGATAGAGTACTGTACATACTTAGACATGCCTGCACTGGGTCAAGCCTATCCTCAGGAAGGCGTGTTGAACTTGCCTCTCTCTCCGCACTCCCACTCCAGTATCCTCCCTGCGGACTGTGCAATCCGCTGCCCTCTGCATATCACATCATCAACCAGCCCGAATGGTGCTATAAAGCCTGCTCATCTCTGCTCCTGGCAACCTTCAACTAATCCATCCATTCAAAGAACCAGAACATTACTTCTCTGCGACACCTAGCACGCTTTGTTTGTCCACAGATTGCACAGTCTACAAACATGACACCAGCCCTCGACTCAAGCACCCTCTTCCGCGTCGATGGCATCGTCGCCGTAATCACCGGCGGCGGCAGCGGTGCGTTCCATACCACACTCCATCCTTTCAAAGACCCCCACGCTGACAACCGTACCCCAAGGCCTCGGCCAAACCATGGCCCACGCTCTCGCCGCCAACGGCGCCCGCAGAGTCTACATCTTGGGCCGTCGCCAGGACGCCCTCGCCACGACCGCCGCCGCGTATCCCGGGGTTATCGTCCCGCACCCCGCAGACGTGACCTCCAAGCCCGCCCTGCAGGCGGCGGTGGACCGCATCACGTCCGAGACCGGCTACGTGAACCTGGTCATCGCCAACGCAGGCACGATCGGCCCGGCCGTGCGCTTCAGCCCGACCGCCTCGCTGGCGGAACTGCGACAGACGCTGTTCACCGACTTCTCCATGGAGGGGATGAACGATGCGTTGGGACTAAACATCACAGCGGCATTCTTCACAATGACCGCGTTCTTGGAGTTGCTGGATGCGGGCAACGCGCGGGCTCTTGCGGGCGGGTACGGCAAGCCCCTGCAGGAGGGCAGTGCAGTTCCCGCGATCCAGAGCCAGGTCATCTTCACGACCAGTATCTCGGCCTTCAGTCGGCATTGGTCCTCCGCGCCGCCGTATTTGGCGAGTAAGGTGGCGGTCATGCAGATTGCGAAGCATGCTAGTACGCAGTTGGCGCGGTTTGGGGTTAGGGTTAATGCGCTTGCGCCGGGGAGTAGGTCTACTTTTTTACTTTCCATCTTACACCGGGTTTTGATCCTGTTTTTTTTGGTGGTGGGGTGTTATTGAGTTGGGGGTGAATTTGCATGCATTGATGTGCAGTCTGAATTTGTTCTATGTGCTGACCACAGACGCCAGTTTATCCCTCCGAGTTGGCGGCGGGGCTGATCAACACCCGTAACCCTGAGGAGGAGCCCTTCGAGGATCAGCGGTTCATTCCGGCGCGACGGTTTGGCGGGGATGAGGAGATGGCCGGTGCGATCCTGTATCTGGCCAGTCGGGCGGGGAGTTATTCCAATGGGTCGATTCTGGTGACGGATGGAGGGAGGCTGTCGGTCATGCAGGCGACGTATTAGGGCTGTGCCGTGCGGATGAGTTGAGGGTACGGTGGGCTAGGGCTACGGAGGTAGACTGGTTTTCGATTGACTTGCAATCAGTGCTGTGGTGATTGAAGATGTAACTGAGCCATTTTTAGGGACCATGAAGTATAGACTGCATCTATTCTCAACAATATTTGAAGGAAAAAAAAACTTAGGACTACATATCTGCTGGTTCCGGCGCTCTACGCCACTGCAGACAGAGTCAAACAGCTGGACAGTCCCCGCCCCACCGACCTTCTAGTTTCCTTAGAGTAGTACGTAGCTGTGCGTCCGCCGTTGTCGCGCGATCATTGACATCATGGAGGTGCTTCAACGCGGCGCGAATAATATACATACAGCTCGGAGGGAGACGGTCGATCTGACTATCCGCAAGATGCTCCCTGGTGGCGGCAATGTCAACCACCATTTTGGTAGTCGTGTCCAAAGCGAGGTGAGAGATAGCCGGCTGGGAGTCACTTGAGGAGGTTCCGGCGCATCTCCCGAGTAGATGGCTATGGAGAAGAAACAACGCACTACGTTACTTGTTAGCATATCAACTGGATTACTAGGCAAAGTGGGAGCGGAAGACGCACCGGATCGTCAGCGCAATCGCCACACAGAACTCCCCCCAAGACCCGCCTTCGTTCTGCTGCATCAGGGTGGTCAGAAAAGATTGCATGGTCCGATCGCATTGAATCAGGTGGGCTCGCTGGCGATCCGGATCCGCGAAGCATAACCCCCGCAGTACATCCTCCAGCAGCCATGCGGCTTGCGCGGCGCGCCCGAAGCCGCCAATCCCAGGGGCATCCAGGGCATGTACTGCAACACTGGACGCAAGTGCCACAGTCGGGCTGCCTTGATTCAGGATGCGGGACTCGAGCGGCAGACGAATATCGCCGGCTGGCATTACAGACGCCAGTGGTTGATTCAGGACGGCTAGTTCGCAAAGAAATGTTCTGTTGGTGTCAGCGTTGGACTTTCGGGTTAAGGATGAGTGGGCGTCACGCACCGCTCACATATACGGATCCCCCACCGGGTATTGTTTTCCTCTTGCTCCTCGAGCCAGTCGGTGCGAGTGGTACTTGTGGTATTCACAGAGGGTGCAGATTGCATTCCCGCCGCATACGCCATACGAGCGTATGTACCGATTGTCACGAACGCCCGTTCCGGATATCCGAGGGCGTACTCGTAGACCGCTAGGAGCACGCCAGCCTGAATGAGATGGGTCGTGAGTGGAAGAAGGGCATGCGCTTGCGCCATCAGGGACTTGGTGGCTACGTAGAGGGTTACTTCGTCCGCAGAAGGGTGGGGTCGCTGTGGGCTTAATTGTCCGAGCGGGTCTGCGGAATTGGTGAGGAGCCCCATGCATAGTAAAAGTAGGGCAAAGTCGGGCTGCGGATCAGCCCCGAAAGACAGGAGACGGCCGTGGAATCTTCGTCGGGAGATGATGGGAACAAACGCGTGGATCCCTTGAAAATAGCGCACGCTGATCTCATCCAGATACAAGCCCATTGATCCGAGGAGTCGCTGTGTCTCTGTACAAAGTCGGGACGCAGAAGTCGGAGTCTGCCCGTCGGTGGGGAGGTAGAGGCTGGACGCAAGACTGGGGAAGAGGATAGGAGGTGACACATATTTGGCAGTGCTAACTGAGTCAAAGCCATAACCTCTCCGGACGCTACGTGACGACTGGGCTGGAGAAGAGCGAGACAAGTTTGCATCTGGTGTATGCGGCGGGAGGTTAGGGCTGGTGTTCTGGTACCGACAGACCAGGTTCCGGCTATTGAACAGTGCACAGCGGGTCAGTCATTCAAGCCTTCGGATGTAGCAGGAGCGGATTCATACTGAGCGCAATAGCCACAGCACGGCAGTGACTTGTCGCATCGCTTCTTCCGAGCTTTACAGGTGGCACATACGCTGGCCGCCTTGGACATACTAGCTGCCACCATTTTCACTTGTAGTGAGTTTAGTGAGTTTGATAAGTGAGTTAGCAATGCTGGGTGTAGGGGGCTAAAGATCAAGGTCGGGTCACGGGATGGCGGCTTTCGCTGTCAGCGTCGGCCGCCGCTTTTCCAAGTACAGCCTAGTTGGGCTCGGATTAGAAATCATACAAATGCTGACTAGAGCAGAAACAGGTTTGGCAATGCCGACCAAGCGAATGCCACTATCTTTTCAACTATTGCGTGGTGAGTTAATATTGCGTGGTGAGTGGCCTGCGTGGAGTCTGTTCTCCAGATATTATACCTCCACAGTAGCAGAATTCGACATTACAACATGAGGGAGATACTCAAGATAGCGACCCTGATTAACTATACGACCAGGACAAGAAGGTCTGCATAGATCCTACTAGGCCCAGGTATCCAGAGAGCTTGGTGAAATAGAAAGCGATAGACTCGAAACGATTATGTACTCTAGTTAAGAATGATAAAAGAAAGGCCTGTACTATTCCTGAATATGAAACATGTGTCAACATCAAATGTCTCTCGGTTTGCCAACAGGGGGAAAAGAACAATTCCATTTGTTTGATTCACACAATAGCTATACGGAGTGCGGATTATTGTCAATAGAAAGGCATCATATAAGAAGGGAGGGGCAAAAAGAAGGAGAAGGAGGATGAAGAGGATGAGAAGCAGCTGAAGGGTTATTCTGGGCTATTCATTCCAGGACCAAGCATCATCTCGGACACAACCTGACACTGAGTCAATACTCGAGCTCCCATCCACCATTCAACTTCCATACGGCAACAATCTGGTTCCCCCATGGGGCTCTTTATGACGGCCTGCTTTCATTACAATTGGTCTTGACTTTGTATTAGCCATAGGCTATGGGTTCAACTGGCCCAACCTCTTCAGAGTATCTTTGGCGACGGCTTTCCACTCCGTCTCTCGAAAATCATACGGCCAGCCGAACTGCTCCTGCAGGACTTTCTTGACCATCGGGCACTGCATAAATCTGGATTAGGGAAAGTTCTCTAACCCAAGAGCAACATCAAAATCAAGGATAGAGAAGAGTTGCATACCGCTTTGTCATATTCCACATGATAGAAGTAGCGACCATTGTACTCACCCACTGGGATTTCTTCCAGGGATCTTAGCTTGTGTATGTACTCGGTCAAGAACGTTGGCGCATGCTGGGCAGGAAGCCCCCGAAAGTCGGCATTGCCGTCCTCGTCTTCAAGATCTTGCCAATCCGACTCCCTGATTGTATCTGTATTGGTTAGCAGTTATCTTTCTTTTCCGGTGTAGTGCATAAAAGCAAGGATGGATGACCTTAAGGAGGGCAATAATGATACATACTTTCCTCCGTATCAAGAACGAGGTGGATCCCTTCATCATCCGAGCAGGCGAGAGCGATTTCGTGCGGGAGGAGAAAGTCTTTCCGCGGCCTGTCGAATGTCCAACGACCCGGATCGCGACCGTCTCGGATTTGACGGTCGTCGATGTACACGAATGCAGTGGATCGCGGCATAAAGGGGATATTGGCCGCGATGCCGATGGAGACGGGGTAAGGAAGTCGTCGCATCAAGGAGATTACCTTAGGACTGAGATTGAGCTCTTCACAGATAGCTTCGTTGATAGAGTGGCCTTCAGGTGGGGGCCAGGCCAATTCTTCCATACCGTCAGCGCGGTTGTTCATGTAGCCGAGTTGCACGTAGATGCGGTAGATATCGCTGAGAAGGGCGACGATGGTGTCCTCGCTGTATGGAAGCCGCACGATGGGGTAGACCTCTTCATTCTCCGTTTCCTCCGCCTCCTCCTGGTTTGGCTGCTCCGGTTGGCTTGGATTTGAAGATGTTTCGAGACATGATGCAGGAACCGGTGTGGGAAGGCTGGCGATCTCTGGGTGAGGGATTCTAGGGTGATGACGGCGGTTCCAAATGATTGAGACGAGAATTGTGACGAAGACCGAGATTAGGAATTGTATGCTCGCGCTGAGCGATACGGCGCAGACCATTGAACAGAAGCGCATTCTGGACTAATCTCGTCTCGATTGTGGCAGGAAGAATTTGTGCGAAGGGCACTTAGGAGAGTCGAGTTCCTGGAAATGTTCGAGGACGCGACGACGCGCTCTCACGGCCTTTTTTCTGTGTTATGGTAAGGAGTCGTGTGGGGTTCATTTAGCGTAGAATTTAGCGTACATGGGCTTATGATTGTAGGGAGAAGGGGTCTAGTCGATGGATAAGGGACGCATTAAATCTCATTTGGTATTATTACCGCTGTTCAGCTGGCACAGTCATTCAGGTCTAGTGCAGGACAGTGAACAATTCAGTACCGCACTAGACAAAATCTATTTACCGATCAAACCACATTGATATTCTTATGACCTTCCCGAGATTAACTCAGGGGCTGAATGAGATATTTGACTAAACCAAAGCAAACCGAATCAGTCATTTCAGTAAGCACTAAGCATCAGACCTAGCCTCATTGAGCGTATAACGTCAAGGTCTTTGCAGAGTCTTGTGCGGACAGGAGTACAGTATTTTGAGATCGGCCAAGCCATGCAATTTTAGCCCAGCCGCTTCCTACTGTCTTACTTGGTGCAAAACATGGCTGCGAGAATAAGTAAACTTCTAGACCTGAATGTTGTACGCAAGCTCAGTCTTTAGGGTTGGCGCCCCCGGCTACCCTACCGCCCGCAAGCCCTCACGCCGTCGGCGCGAAGGTTGGCTTTCACGACGCTGTTTCTAGAAGACTATAATCAAATAGTGGGAGACCCTTCAGCATTTCGGTTGCCTTCAACCTCCTTTTTTTGATTTTTCGTGTTCACGCTACGGATATATTATCGACCAGGCTGAGTCGCTTGCTCTATTCTAGTAAGAGCTACGCTTCGCTGACCGGTGGTTGCTTCTGATTTCCAGCCAGTAAAAGAACGTTCCGCATCACTGGAATTTATGGAGTCCGACTAACTTATCGATAGCTTCTGTATGTAAGCCCGTGATTATGCTTACCCCGTGTTTGATGTTTGCTCTAGCTTGGACCGCCGCCAAGCACAGGCTCCGGGCCGTCACCGGTCTGTGCAGCGTGTGATTGGCAAGCATAGATAGCTCAGTGTGCCAAGATGTGCATTAGGTTAGCTACACGCGAACGATAGGGTTCGATAAGGCTACGGGGAGTGGCAGAGCCTTTAACACCGAGGCGCTATAGCGCCGGGGGCTTGGCATACAGCCGTGATGTGGTTTCGCCATGACGGAGGCTGGGAACGTGGAAGCTTCACGCAATGTGATGACTTACTGTCCTTGTCGCGAGAGTAAATGCTCTGACGAGTGCGATGGATTCTAGGCACAGTATCGAAATGAACTGCCTGCCCGATCCGGGGCCGGTACACGAAGATGAGCCCCTCCTTTCCCCAACCACAGCGGCAAGATACCCCGCTATTTTGACGCCAGGCATTTCCATTGCATACGAGGGCGAGACAGAACAGGAGGGCAGTAAGAGTGGTTCTAGCGACGAAAGACCCTCCGAATCGCCTACGCCGTATCCCCGATACGCCAGCAAAAGGTTTCTCGGGCAGTATATCCCCGAGATCGACGAGCACCATGTGCGATCCACCACGCGCAAGAGCGCCGCATCCAAGCAATCAACCATGCTGCGCAACCAGTTCATCACGGCAGCCGTCATCTGCCTGGCGAATGTGGTGACATTGATCTGCTTTTTGGTGTTCTTCCCCCCAGATGAACGGGGCATCGGGACCATCCATATGGGTGACTGCGCGGAGATGACGAGCATCAATAGCGCCGCCCACGTGGTTCTCAACGTGCTGTCGTCGCTTTTTCTCGGGGCGGGGAGCTACTGTATGCAGATTCTGGTTGCCCCGTCTCGGCGGGAGATGGATGTGGCACATGCATGTGGAGTGTCGCTTGACATTGGAGTCCAAAGTGTTCGCAATCTGCGCTGGATCAAGTCACGAAAACTATTCCAGTGGATGGGGCTTGGGGCGTTGTCGATCTGTTTGCATTTATTGTAAGTTTTTACTGTCACTGTTCCTATGATAGAGAGACTGCTAATACCCCGCCTCTGGGCTATTCTAGCTGGAACTCGCTCACCTTCACATCAACCCCAGTCGTGAGCTATGCTACAGCCACAGTGACGAGTGACTTCAGGGAGGTAGGCCGGGATTGGGCATTAGATCCCATCCCACCCACTCTATCCGGCAAGAACTGGTCTGCGGTGCATGAACTCTACGCCCAGATGGCCAACTTCACCCGTCTCGACAAGCAAGATTGCATTGATGCATACATCGATGGCCTGACGACCAAAGGGCCGCTGGTAATTGTTGCAGCTAACATCTCCGCGGCGCAGAACTACAACCACACTCTACTCGACGGCTGGGTCACCGGTTGGGATGTCTGGAGCCATGCCCCCTGGTGGATCTGCGGGGCGTACAACCTCCCTGATTACAACCGCCTGTGCACGCGCGAGTGGGCCAGTACCTTTATATATGACTGGGCGGTTGTCGCATGGGCTCATCAGGAGGAAGGCCGGCCGGGATGGCCATTCTGGGCCAAGGTCGATTATTGCCTTGTCGGTGAGGAGAGCGATATTACCCAGCGGTGCGGACTGCACTATGGAACGCAGATCTTTGCGGCTGTCAGTGCGTGCACACTACTTCAATGCGGTTTCATTTTGAGGGTGTGGTGGTCCTACCGCACGAAGTCCGCTCGGCGCCACACAGAGAGGACTATGGTTCTGATGGGCGATGCGGTTGCAGAATATCTGGAGTATCCCGGGGATGTGTCAAACTCGCAAGTGCTCCATGTACATCCCCAAGTCTGGCGCCCGCAGAAAAGTGTATCGTGGTTCAAGACCGTTCATCGCAAGGTCTGGGCGATTTCGCTGACCTTGTGAGTTTCCCTCCCGCACCCAGAAGCCGAAACAGTGTACAGCTCTAACCAACATCCGACAGATTCATGCTAGGTATAGCCGCCCCATTAGCTATACTGGTCGACTCGGTGGTCTTCTGGAAAGGCCGGGGTCTGGATATGAGCTTCCCATCCATCGTCCAATTGGGCTTCGGCCTCAACCCGGGCTTTCTCGGCATGAACAGCGAAACCAGCAACTACAGCCTGATGGAGTGCGTTTTCCTGGCTAACATCATCCAACTCCTCGTCAGCTTCCTCTATCTCTTCTACAACAATATCTTAACGCATCAGCTCGTCGCCGACCAGTGGGTGCGCTTCCTTCGGCCGGACGGGAAGAAGGCGCTGCGCGTGTCAACCCCGCGGGGCATGCAGCGCTCGTCCTATCTCCTTTCCCTGCCGCTGACCTACTCACTCACCCTGACTATCGCCATGATCCTCCTACACTGGCTGGTGTCGCAGAGTCTCTTCGTGGTGCAGACCATCGGCTTCGACACCAACGGCGAGAAGGTCACCTTCCCGCACTTCTCCGGCTCGGCTGTAGGATACGCCCTTCTGCCCATTCTCCTGGCGACCCTCTGTGGAGTTGTGATGGTAGCAGGTCTGTTGGTGCATTCCCTGGTGCGACGCCATCCCGATGTACCACCGGAGTTCCCTGCCTGGGGCGCGAGCAGTGCTCACATCGAAGCGCTGTGCTCTGGACGACCCGTGGACGACGCGGATGCCCATATCTTCCCTGTCAGCATCGGAGTCGTCGTGTCCGGTCTACAAGATCAACCTTGCCTAACTTTTTCGACAGATACCGGGCTGCGCCCGCCCGAGCAAAACGAAATGTTCATGCTCCCTGCGCGGATGGCAGAATCAAAGGGTTCAAGGGGAAGAGAATCGCGCTCGCGCCGGATGTGGGGTTCTTTGAAGAATCTCCCGCGGAGCTTGGGGTTTTAGGGTTGGCAAAGATGGGCCAGTTGAGGCAGAAAATATGAAGACACAAGATACAACTAGTACTGCAGTGGTGAACAGTAGTATACATTTGAAAGATAATGGCTTCAGAGAGTATACACATATAGATGTTTCGTTTCTGAATGTAGTCCTACAAATTTCTCATCTTCTGTTATAATCTTCATGTCATATATTAGGAAACTGTCCGTTTGTTATCTGTATTTTTTGCAAGGGCTGCTGCTGCGGACGTATTTTTCAGTCACAGAGTGTTTAAAGTTAAGATGGAGAGAATGCTCCGCAATGGAGAAATCCCAAACGTTGGCTTCCCATCGAGGGATACATCTGATCAAGGTCCTCGATAAATTGGCTTTTGGACTGCTGTATGTCGTCTCCATGTTTCTACCAGCTATGTTGTGTGATTCCTGCCTATAGATAGGTGGTGCTTGAGGCGATCCGCAAACGATGATAACAATAATGACGAGGCTTGCACCGAGCTCTACAATCTACATTCGATCCTTGTGAGCGTGGCAGGTCAGTAAGATGCCCATCCTGATCGCACCGTGCGTCTTTTTTCTCTTTTCTTCCATGCCGATTGGCCTCCAACATACCATTCAAAGGCCCCAAAGAATGCATCTTGGTTGAGCTCCCGCGAGGACTAGATTTTCTGCTTGTCAGCTGCAAGAATGCCCAGGATCGTCCTTTTCATGCATGCTGTTGAGCACGAAGGGCAAAGGATAAGCCCTCTTATTGCAGTGATCTGCAATAGCAACATTAGGGCTACGGCAGGGATCCTACAGTGTCTGCCCCAGCATTGTCAACAATATGCAGCTGCCTTGGGGATCACTCCTGAATCTTCTTCTCTGCCCCCTCTTCTACCACCAACCGATCTGACGGAGCTTCTCGGGACCGCCCATACAGCCGCGGAAGCTTACATCGGACAGACGGTGGGCGTGCAGTATCCTGCGTATGCGGTGTCCAATGTCCTGAACCGTCGGCCCAGATCCCTATTGGGGGTCCCCATTGTTGACTTGACCTGCCCAACCCCTCTCCCTGTTCAGTATCAGCCCATCGATGCGCCTGGCACACAGATCCTGAGTCCGGATCGAAGCAATTGGCTCGTGGGCCTGACCGGCGACCTCGGCCAATCCCTGTGCGATTGGATGATTGACCACGGCGCCCGAACGATCATATTGACCAGCCGAAACCTGCAAATGCCAATTGACTTGATCGACAAATATTGCGAACCCCACGGAGCCAATATCATTTCCATAGCTGGGTACGGATTCCCCTTCCCTCTTCCCCCTTTCCCTTTCCTCTTCCCCCTTGCCCTTCCCCCTTCCCAGAGTTTATGCGTCAAACGAGCAGACGAAACCAGAACTAACTCAAAGCCCCCTCAAACCACACAGAGAATCACCTCGCGACCCAGCCTCCACGCCATCCACCACACCATCACCACCACCTACCCGCCGCTGGACGGAGTTGCCAACAGCGCCATGCTGATACAGGAGAACCTCTTCGCGCAGACCACCGCAGCCGAAGTACGCCATCCTGGGACCCAAAGTCCAGACGCTCCGCCACCTCGACGATCCGGTTGGTGACCAGCCCCTGCAATTCTTCATCGCCTTCTCCTCCGTCCTGGCCACGCTGGGCCAGCTGGGCCAGAGCGCCTACACAGCGGCCAACGTCACCTCGGAAGCGCTGATCACACGCCGCAGGCGACGCCACGTGGCGGGCTCGGTGATCCAGATCTCCCGCATGACGGACGTCGGGTACGTCAAGCGACAGTGGGCGCAGTACTCGGCCCACAAGAGGGCTGCCTGGAGGCGTACTGTCTGCTGATGAAGGAGCGGGCGCTGCATGCCCTGTTTGCTGAGGGGATTCGCGCGGGGCAGCCTTTCCCTTCACCAGGGGCACCCTCATCATTTCCATCGTCTCGGATGCACTCGTCGAGTCGGAGTCAGCGATCATCACAGCTGGAATTCCGCGGGTCACTCTGACTGATGATCCGGAGGATGCAGCCCGGCGCAGCGTGACGTGGGCGACCAGCGCCCGCTTCTCTCACTACTGGCAACCACAACTCCGGCTGCGTCGGAGTGGTCATGGTAGCCTCCCGGCTGGAAAGAAGGAGGCGGGGACGACCGCGGTGTCGTCGACGCGAGCGCGGTTGGCACAGGCCAAATTGCGGGCGGACGCTCGAACGATCATCCTCGAGGGCCTCGTCGCTAATGTGTGGTCCAGTCTTCATCTCCCCGCCGATCAGCCGGTCCTCGAGCCCACGGCGCTGGTGGACCTCGGGGTGGATTCTTTGATCGCGGTGGACATCCGCGCGTGGATCATGGGGGAGCTGGGGGTCGATATGCCGGTCTTGAAGCTGTTGGCGGGCATCACCGTGGAGGAAATGGTGAATGAGGCCGTGGCGGAGCTCGCGGTGGTTGCTGAGGTGGAGTAGCAAGCGGTAGGGTCCGTCGAGATAATAGCAAATATCATGATGAATTATCGTTTGGACTTCATGTGGCTCTTCATTGCGAGAGGGAAGGGAAAATATCATCAAACGGCAGAACTAAAGCTTTTTCCCTCCCTAAGGGAACAAAGAATAAGAATAAAGACCTCATCTTCGAAGCTCGGCCTTGTGTTCGGCCTTATGTATCATGTCGGCTGCGTTGACTTGTTACGGGACTTTATACCGGATCTCCGACTCGGAGAACTGTTACCGCCGACTACTCGGTAATAGCCGCTCTTGGGCAAATGGAGTTGATTTTTCTCGTGTTTAGCATTTAGCTTTAGATGTTGTCTGTAAGTTGAATCAGAAAACTATTTCCAACTACTTTTCCAAGCACCTTTCTACTCGCGTTTCAAGTCCGTTTCCAGGCTCCTCTTCAAAAATAATTTTCGCTCTGAGTACATCGCTCCAAGTATTTTCCAGAGCGAGGCAGCATCGCGCCTTCTCATGCCCATTCAGGCAAATTAAACGGTATGATACTTTACTACCATTCGAGCTTGATTAGCTCCCCTCTACTCCCAAAGATAGGCTTTCATGATGATATTCATTGTATGCACGCCGTCGCGCTAGCTGCTTTGACGTCCTACTACCTTACAACCTTCAAGAGGGCATTTCGAGAGGCATTAAACACTTCGTTTTTCGTTTCGTCAAAATAAATGCTTAGATAGGTGCCTATATTAAGAAATAAGACCTACCCATTCATATGGCGCAGGCACTTGACAAGGAAAAATTGCGTCTCAAGGTGACTGACTACCTTACTGCTATCTGCCGCGGGTATCGCAGTATGACCGTGGTTGCTCAGGGCATAGACCGTCTGACCTGTGTGGAAATGTCCCAAATGACTCCATATCAACATAGATGTCATGGTGAACTCCAACGTGAATAAGTTACCCGCCATGACGTATGTATACGTAAGAAGTTAATATCTGAGATTAGTTGTAATTGGGCGGCACGAGTACGGTCAATGCTTCTGTGAAGGTGGTGAGCGCGCACACTCTATAAAATAGGTATACAAGGCAAATGGAATATTGGAGTTACCGAAAACTCGTCTTGCACCCTCAAACAAGTCTTCCACAGGCCTACTGTGTGGTATGTCCCAGGTGTTGAAGCAGGGTGAGTGGGGCGGGAGGAGCATGCAGCGCAAGCCGTTTCGGCACCTTTCATGATCAATGACGATACGGCGATCGGCCCGAAGAAAACAGATCCCTAAAATCCTGATACGGGCGTAACTCTTACTACAGCCTTCTAGTCCATTGGGGACGCCGACGGCCGGGAATTGAACCCGATCTGGAAGGCATTTAGTTGCAGCCTGGAGCATGGACTCTGGATCATCATCCGGATAAATGCTTTCTCGGTCACTGGTGGCGAGTGGACCCTGAAGTCCACCAACTTGCGCCTTCTTGGATTTATAGTTTTGCTCCCAATGGAACCTTAAAAACCTTAAGAACGGATCTTTTCGAAAGTCACCGAGTCAATTGACATTATGGCAGTCTGCTTGCATAGTCAATGCTCACTTATACTTATCAGTAGCTAACTAGGGCTGCCTACCGGACGACGGCACGGAAAAGAATTTAAGCTTAATTGTCTGGCTAATCCCCATCGTGCGACAAACTGACGAAGCTTAATTAACCAGCTGGGTCAAACGGTGGGTCTTGAGCTGATCTGAAGCTCTGAACCAGTGCAAGACGCGCGTTCGTATCTTGGCAGTGGCCGACTTCTCTGATCAGCCATCATCTAATCTCCGAGGCCAGCGACGCGTGTTATCGCCGGGTGGCATCTATATTCATATATAAGGCCCTCCTCATCCTCCATCTCAAGTTGACTTGATCATCCACACATTCTTTCACTCACTCACTCACTCTCTTCGGTCCTTCCCTTCACACTCCCACTTGTTAATCCTCCCATCATGCGTCAATACTCGCGTGCCGCCGCGGCCGCCGTTGCTCTGGCAGCAACTGCCCGCGCCACTAATTCGTCGTCGCTTGCCACTCTCTGTACCGTCGCCCACGTCCAGTCGGCACTGCCTGCCAATGGCACTCTCCTCGGTATTGACATAATTCCCTCCTCCGTCACGGCCAAGACTGCCACCAGCTCTGGCTACGAGTACTGCGACGTCTCCGTTTCCTATGTCCACACCGGCAGCAGCGACGAGGTCGTCCTCAATTATGGCTTCCCCAGCCCCGAGATCTTCGCCAACCGTTTCTACGTTGCCGGTGGTTTTGGCTACACTCTGAGCACCAGCATCACCGGAGGCCTGGAGTATGGAGCCGTGGGTGCTGCCACCGATGCCGGCTACGGCGCCCTCACGGGCACCACCGTCGACGAGGTCAACCTTCTCGGCAACGGCACCATCAACTGGGACCCCATCTTCATGTTCGCCTACAAGGGCTTGGGGGAGATGACTACGGTCGGAAAGCCCTTGACTCGGGCCTTCTATAACCTCGACGATGAGGCCAAGGTGTACACCTACTTCGAGGGGTGCTCGGATGGTGGCAGAGAAGGTGAGCCTTCCTCATGCAAATAAACGCTTGGACATTCTAATTCTTCCGTCTTCTCCCAGGTATGAGCCAGATCCAGCGCTACGGAGACCTTTACGACGGCGCCGTCATCGGCGCCCCGGCCTTCCGCTACGGGCAGCAGCAGGTGAACCACCTCTTCTCCGCTGTTGTCGAGCAAACTCTCGACTACTTCCCCCCTCCCTGTGAGCTGGAGAAGATCGTCAATGCGACTATCAGCGCCTGCGACCCTCTTGACGGACGGACGGATGGTGTTGTTTCTCGCTCTGATCTGTGCGAGTTGGAGTTCAACCTGACTTCTGTGATCGGCGAGCCCTACTACTGCGCCGCCACGACCAGCACCTCCTTGGGCTTCAACTTCGGTAAGCGCAACGACGGTACCCAGACCACCACTACCCCTGCGCAACGCGGCAACGTGACCGCTGAGGGCGTGGCCGTCGCACAGGCCATATACGACGGACTGTTCAATTCCCAGGGCCAGCGGGCCTATCTCTCCTACCGTATTGGCGCCGAGTTCACCGATGCGGAGACCCAGTACGACAACACCACCCAGTCCTGGGGTCTGGACATTCCCTCCACCGGCGGCGAGTTCGTCGGTCGCTTCATCGAGCTGCTTGATGTCAGCAACCTCGACAACCTGAACAACGTGACTTACGATACTCTCGTTTCATGGATGAACGAGGCTATGGTTCTCTACATGGATACTCTGCAGACCACCCTGCCCGATCTCACCAACTTCCAGTCCTCCGGCGGCAAGCTCATCCACTACCACGGCGAGTCCGATCCCAGTGTCCCCACCGCGTCGTCCGTCCACTACTGGCAGTCGGTGAGGAAGATCATGTACCCCAGCCTGGGTTCCTCCAAGGCCATCGAGCAGATGAAGGAGTGGTACCAGCTGTACTTGGTGCCCGGTGCCGCCCACTGCGCCCGCAACAGCCTGCAGCCCAACGGCCCCTTCCCCGAGGACAACATGGCCACTATGATCAAGTGGGTCGAGAGCGGTGTCCAGCCCACCGGTCTCAATGCTACCGTCGATGCGGGCGCGTACGACGGAGAGGTGCAGCAGCTCTGCCAGTTCCCCAAGCGGCCCGTCTGGAAGAAGGATGAGTGGAAGTGCGAGAGCGACGACGAGGGAGCTGATACCTTCTACTACACCTTCCCTGCCTTCAAGGTGCCTGTCTACTAGACACACCTTTGTGAATTGCTTCTAGCTGCTCCTTCTTCCCCTTGGGTATGAGGAGACCCTCCAGCGAGTTCACTGTTGAGCGTTACTTGGCCACTCTTTGTGGCACGCATCTTCGTTCTTGATGCCGTTTCTCTTCTTTCCATCTATTAGTTAGATCTTCGATGCGATCATGCATCTATTTTGCCCTCAATCAGATATACATAATATAATTGAAACTAGTGGTGCTCCACTTTTTCCGTGTGGATCCTGGCCTCGTCACCCCCTCGGCCACACCAAGCCTCGCCCTTGGACACAAAGGACCGAAAAAGGAAGATATTTCCGAGCTCGTGCGCATGCCGGGTATAGCTTTGGATCCAATTAGCGTATTTACTCACCTAACTAGCCCTTCAGCGCAGCACCCTGCCGTTTCTCGCGGTTTCAGGAAAACGGAGGGAAATGGCCGTGATTCAGAGACTAAATGTTGGATCTCATCCCTGCGCGCGTCGTTGGCGCTGGGTCTTCTTGCTCAACACCACCCCCCCGGTTTTTCTTCCTTTTGTTCGCGTACCTCGGTGTGATTACTGATTAGTTCAAGTGCCGAGGGATTGGACGCTACAGAGAGTGATATTATCGTAGGTAGGCATAGCATTGGGTAGCGTCGACATGGTGCACAGAACGTATTGTAACTTGCTTACTCCCTTCCTCTCACTACTCTTTACTGATCCTTCAGCTTAGTTACTCAGCACATGGATTCTTTCTAGATAGTTTTCTATACTCAAATAAATACTACGATGAGACCTATAACTTTTCTGATGCTTCCCTGCCCTTGAGATTTCTCGCTGCATCGACCACCAAGGCCACCTGCGTACTTGTCGCCACCAGCTCCCCTTGTTCATTGAGGATAACCACCTCCAAGTCTGCCCGGCTACCACGGAGCATCCGCGTCACCACCTGCGAATGCAGCCACTCGACCCCCTCTTCCGGAAGCCGGGTCTTCAAATCCACATTCAAAGTGACCGAGGGATACCAGAAGGGTCCAGCCTCAGCTGGTGCGGAAAGCGCACCGATCTGCTTCAGCCTCTGCAGCTCCATCGCACCAATCCGGTTCAATGCAGGAGGGAACATATCCGCCAAGTACAATACTGCTTCATTCGACCAGCGAGCGGGTTGCCCTCCCGGCGTGAAGCGCGCCCATTGCTCCACCACCCCCTTCACCTGATCCTCGAGTGTCTTGGCTGCCGCGAGGGTGGATACAGGAAAAAAGAGCTCCGCATGTCCTGCTGCAAAGAGACCCGGTGGAGGGGACTGGTTGCGCACCCATGCACCGTCCCCTCCTTTCTCCCCCAAGGTGCGGAAGTCAACCACGGGCGGAGAGAGCGCAGCCGCACAGTGGCCTGTCACGGCTGGACCCACGGCGTACTCTGGCGGACTCACGGTGATGTATCCGACCACTTTCACCTCGAGCGCCGGCTCATTATCCTTCCTGTCCTGCGGCGCCTGTGGGGTTGTTGCCGAAAGACGGGGGTTATCGCGGGGTTGCGAGAGGGATACGTGGATCGTGCTGATCCTCGTCCCGATTTTGACTTCCTGGACGGTCAAGATGGCGGGGCCGGCGAGTGTCCGTCGCAGGAACGACAGTTGCAGACCGATCGGTTCGGCCTTGCTTTGTTTGCGAGCGAAGTGAACAGCCGCGGTTCGATAGAAAATACCCATCGTGTAGCCTCCGTGCGGTACTACCGAAATTCCCAACAATCCTGGTGAGCCTCTGCAGACGATGGGTATTGCGGGTGAGAGGTGGAGAATCCTTCACTTCTTACCTTTCCCAATACACCAGGAGGGGTCAAGACATGCGGAGTAGGTATTCGGACCGATCGGGGTCACGGTGATTGCTTGCTCGAACAGTGAGGAGTGTGCGGGCTCTGCCATTGTCCTCGTTCACAGATAACATAGGCGAAATTGCAGTATGAGGCAGAGTACAAAGATGGTGATGATCCAAGAGATTCGTTGTCAGAGGAAATATGCAGCGGTTTTGGCACCACAGAGAGAGGCAAAGTAACCCTCTAGTTCAGCACTACCTGCCAGTCACGTCATCTCGTAAAACACAAATGCAAGCACTGCAACCTCGGCAATCCAGTCGTAAATGACCAACGCGTTATCAGCACGAATGAATGTGAGTGTTAGGGCCATCGTACAGGTTTGTATGTTCAGGGTACGGTACGGTAATCCTATTAGTCCGGAGTCACTACTGGGTACTTTTCCAGGCCACCATATGTCATGAACACTTGGTGGGTAGACAAAACGAAAAAACAAGCGACATGCTTCAGGGTCATAGGATAATTGGAACCTGGTCTCGTATAAAAAAGGTCTTGTACCATTGCAGACCAAACGACGACACGCTGTTACCTTCCAAGTTGCCACCTCGTACAGTATTTCACGTACGCATGTTCACTAATCATCTCCGGCTTACCCTCGGTCTGGGTCCGCCCGCCCGCCAGCCCTATCTTACAGCAATGCAAAACGCGAGACAATTCTTGTAAAGCCCGGCACATAGTGATACAAACCTCGAATTGTAATGGCATAATCATTGCTAGCAATCATTGCTAGCAAAGTCATTATAATCATGGAGATACAACTACTGAATATTCACCAGCATGGTTATAATCGATATACTGATGGTAGAACCTCTCAGTGTTCCCCTCCCTTTGCGAAGTGTGGGCAGCAGCGTCCTTCCTTGCGGTGGATTGGGGATCACGGTAACTAGGGATGCGGGCTGTTTGTCCGATCTCCAAAGTGATCGCAGTCTGCATTCCTTCAATGCCACTACCTAGTACTAAAATGGTGTAGCTAGACTGAGAATCCCAGTCTAGTACGGCGCTAGTTAGTCTAGTCTTTCCCCGCACAACTTCACAAGGTCTTCACCTCAGCTTCGCATCAGCCGCACTCTCCGACACCTGCAGCGATTTGTTACCACACCATGAGACCCCTTTCTGCCAAGCCCCGCCGGGCTGGGTTCAAAAGATCGAGAACGGGCTGTCGCACTTGCCGGTATGTAGACCCGAGCTCTACACCACATTGTAGGAGAAGGCGACTAGAAAGGACATCATTCACGGCAGAACACGACGCATCAAGTGCGACGAAACCCCAGGCAGCTGCCGCAACTGCACCTCTACTGGCCGTCAGTGTGATGGGTACGATTTGTACCGACAGCTATCGCTCACGACCACCAACCGAGAAAAGCTCAACCACCGCCGGGAGTCCGCGCCGGCCGTAACTGGCCCAATCGCGGTTGCGGTGCCGTGGGCTAGCACCTCGGACGAGCGCCGTTGTTTCACCTTTGTCCAAGCCCGGACCCTCCCGGATGCGCTCAGCTTCTTCGACTCGGCGGTCTGGCAGCAGTTCCTGCTGCAGATGGTGCCTCGGGAGCCTGCTGTCTGGCACGCCGTGGTTGCCTTGGGTGCGGTGCACCAGCAGGTCGAGGCCGGGGGTGTGATCGGTCGTGCTCCGCAATTCTGGTACTGGATGGCCGTCGCACAGTCGGCGCGGGCCTTCGCTTGTCTACGGAGTCGGAACCCGTGCGATCCGCAGGTCCGCGACGTGACCCTGCTCTGCTGTCTGCTGTTCGCGGTGGTGGCAATCATCTGGCAGGAATACAGCTCGGCGCTGCAGCATCTGCGGGCGGGCCTGCGGATCCTGCGCGAAAGCGAGCCCTCGTCGCAGAGTCCCACGTCCAGACGTTGGGTGACTGTGTTTCGACACCTGGACACCCAGATCGGGATGGATGGGCCGGGCCTGTGGTACTGGGGGGAGGAAGATGAGGTAGGGGCGGAGATCCACCCGACCCCGGATCCATGGTGGCAGCAATCACAACAGCAGCAGCAGGGCGACCAAGCGCTTGAACTCAACGACGACCCTCTCTACGGCGCCCGCCAAGCCCTAGAACCCCTGCACAACCGCCTCTTCAAATTCGTGCGGTGGTGCTGGCGCATGTCCCCGGCCGAGCTCCAGGCCGACCACGCGGCACTAGAGGCGGAGCAAGTCGCCATTGCCGCGCAGCTACGGCCGGGGATGCAGCTGCTCCAGACCCTCCGCCAACGCAACGACCTCAGCCCTAAGTCCCGACACGGGATCGAGCTCCTCGAGCTTTTGGTCATCACCGCCTCGCTTGTCGTCCACACCGGCCCCCTTCACCACGACCCTGAACAATTGCGGCGCTTTACCCCGCAGTACCGCGCGCTGCTGCGCCGGATCCAGCGATTCATCGCCGACTTTCCCCTGCGGCCCACGGTGACGGTCGACCTGGGGGTGATCCCGCTGCTCTTCGTCGTGGGCGATGGCTGCCAGGATTTCCGGCTGCGGTGGGAGGCGCTGCAGGCGCTGCGCGACTGGCCGCATCAGGAGGGGCCGTTTCACTCGGTCGCGGTGGCGGCCTTGCTGGAGGACCGGATGGGTCGGGAGCTGAGGGCCTCCCTGCGACGCAGCACCCCGGAAAGACGGATCTCCGAGCAGGGAGGTGGTTTGCTCAGCCCAGATGGTTGCGCCGACAAGCAAGACGAGGAAGCCCGGCTGGAAGAGCAGCTGCGGGAGGAACTGGCAGCCATCACGGCGCCGACGGAGGGCGCGGCGTCTCGCTCTCCGGACAAGGTCCGCGAACAGGAGGCGTATGTGGCGTGGTTCTGGCGGCAGGTCCGTCGCTCTAACGATTACTGGGGGTTGGCGGGGAGGGTGAAAAATCTGGAATAGTTAGTTTCTAGTGAGCTGAACTACATCACAGGCTTCTTCCGTAACAGGGAGGAGCCACTATGTAAAGTTTACTTCTCGTTTCTTGAGGAATGTTGATTTCCTACAGCTTTCGAAGCCATGAGTTGTGCCTTGTCAATATGCCTCGGGTAGGTATTGGATGTTCTGGAAGATTGTAGTATCTTGATACAGTAGGATTCCTTTTTTCCCATCCTTGGCCGATCAGAGACCTTACCCAACCCTGGATATACACAACCCCGTCGATACCTTCCACAAGACTCTTCAAGACAGATTGCGAAATATTGCTTCCGACAGAATGCCAGCCAAATTAGTCGGTGAAGTACGCAAAGCACTTCATGCTTCTATATCTACAACTAAGCTTATGTGGTGAAGGCTTTCATCGGGAGTGCTTCCAGCCGGCTGTAGCCGCTGCAAGAAATCCTCATCGCACCAGGAACTGAGAGCGTGGCTGGAACATGACGCGCTCATGCAGGAACCTCTAGAAATATGGGTGGGAAGGATTCCAACCCAAGCTTGGCTAAGCTTTACTATGTGCGGGGGGAAACCAGTGGAAGTCGACCGGGAATACTCGGGGTTTGCACTGTTCGATTGCAGCATGGGACAAGGAGGCCGTTTCCGGTAAATTAGGGGCCTTTTATGCCCGTCCAGGTTAGCGGGTCAGATGATTTATTCAAGTCATGTGATCTGGGGGCGGGGCGGGGCGGGTCGGGTTTGGTCACGTTCCAGCCGACATCATTGTATGACACCCTCCTCTACTTGTCGGGTTCAGATGGCTTCGTCATTTTGTGTTACTTCAACCAAACATTTTGCTATCCCAGACAGAAGGATTAGTCGAGTCAACAGATCTCCCGCTTGATTACCCGGCACGCTTACTCGCGATAAAGGGGTTTGGATCAGAGCATATTAAACAAGCCTATCTACACAAAGAAATGTCCCCGCAGGACCGGTCGGGCTCCGCCATGTCCACCAGGGAGAGAAAACCGCACCACATCGAAATCCTGGAAGATGGCAGCCATCGCCACCTCATTGAACTTGAGAAGCCTGCTGGCCTCTTCGAGAAATTGTGCAAGACATTCACCCATTACACCCCTCGACAAACTCCAAGCGATCCCGTGATCCAACGATCCGAAACTGCTCAGGGAGACGGCAGAACGGAACCTTTCTCCCACCGATATGGGAAATGCACCAAGGTTCTGCACTACGGGTCGTCAACTTTCGTGGGCCTCTACGCCAAGAAAGCATCGAAGCGCTCGGGGAAAGAACAACTGTACGCTGTCAAAGTCCGTCATCGCTCCCCCGGAAGACTCTTGGACGAGTACCGTCGCGCAGCGATGGGGATCTCCTCACTCGTCGTGCATCCAAACATCGTGCGCACCCTCGAACATTGCCCGAATGACAAGGGCGATCTACACTCCGTCATGGAATACTGCGGCGGCGGCAGTCTGCAGACCCTTCTTCTGCAAGCAAGGAAGCTCTCAGCCGTGGAAGCGGATTGCTTCTTCAAGCAGCTCCTGCGCGCAGTTTCCTTTCTTCATGACGAAGGCATCGTGCACCGACGGTTGCGGGCGGAGAATATACTGCTCACTGTCAATGGGGCAGTGAAGGTGGCACATTTTGACAGTGCCGAGTGGTTACCGAAGGACTTGCGACCGCTGCAAAAAGCGCAACCCCCGCTGGAGCAGATCCCCTACACCGCACCGGAGGTGCTGCGTGGTCGCGAACACGACCCCCGGGCCAGCGATGTTTGGGCGGTGGGATTGATCTATGCGTTTATGCGGTTGGGCATGCTACTGTGGAAGGTTGCTGGCGACGAGGATCGGAATTATCAGTGGTACTTGCGGACACGGGAGGATGTGGAAGGGTTCACGACGATTGAGGAGTTTGGCAATGTAAGATGTCTAATCTTGAGAAAGTTACTTTGCTAAAGGATGCCAGGAACGCTGCTGCAATGTGATCTATGCTATGCTTGATCCCAAGCCTGATCGCCGGGTTACAGCATACGAGGCGCTTCATTCGGAATGGATTCATGAGATTGTAGTTTGTGCTGCGGGGGAGGCGGGTGAGTGAATGCAGTGACCAAGTCACCCACACTGCCCTGCAAACTGCCCTGGAAGACCTTAAATAGCCATACAAAGAAGGCTTTAGAAACTACCCTCAAGCGTAGCGAGGGTCACTAAGGCTTGTACTACTAATACCAGTTTTTGTACTTCCACAGCATGATATTTAGTACTAATAACTCACATAAACCTGTTGAATAGAACGATTTTATAAAAATTTTATTAGTTTCTTATTAAACATTCCCTTAAAACTTACTTTAAAATCAAAAAAGAAATATAGGTAATAACTAAGCTTTTACATATACTTATACTTATATTTTAAGCATTTGCACTATAGTTACAGATATGAAAAAAAGTTGATGGTAGTTATAGTAGTATTAAAACTAATAAAAGGAAAAGTATACAATCAAATTATAAATTTCTATAGGTAAGAGGTTGTGTGGAAGTTATATAATTAATATACTTATTAAGCAGTTTTTATTCCACGCGACACTAAAAACCGACATAGCCGATCTGTAACCTCCGGCCAAGGAGCTAGCTCTTCGGGGCCGAAGACCCAACAGCACAGCCCTCTTGCCTCTTGCCATGCTTACTTCGCGACAGACGTTTCCGAGGTGTCTGAAAAGGTGGTTGTCGCTCATAGGTAGGTGGCGAGTCTTTTGTATATAAATAGAGGGGGGCCCCCAGGGCAGAAAACCAAGAGAAGACCTTTTCAAGCGATCATACTCCCAGGTTAATTATAGACGCATACTGATGTTCAGGTACGATGGTGATGGGGATCTACAGGGGATCAACTGGCCAGATCGGCAGGCGCACTCGGTACGGCCCCGTTACTCTTTCAGCACGGCTACTCTGCCGCCCTTGCCCCCAAAACCCGCATCCTCCCTGCATCAAAGCATCAAAAGGAGGGGGCCAAAGCAACCTGTCCCATTCCCCACTCGGCCGTGGCTTGGTCTAAATAGGAGTCTGTGTCCTGTCAGATCACCCCTCTTTTTCTCGTCCCTGATGATCATGTTCCCGCTTATAAGACCAGGTGTCGCACTGACCGACTGTGTCTCAACCAAACCTATCACTTAGCCAGAGACCTGCCGCAGTGCAATGTTCCCGTTATCGCATTTCCGCCAATACCGGCGACGAGGCGCAATTGTGTTTCGAGCCCTGATCCTCGTGCTGATCGTCTATTGCTGCAAGGCTACTCTTCGGACACGACAATTCCACCCCGTGGAGCAGGACGCCCAAACCATACAGAAGAGACTGGAACCCAGCCTTGCCATCCCTGAGACAGCTCCATTACAACAGCCGGTCGCCCTGCCCGACCCTCTACGAGCCGGACCCCCCGTACCCCCCGTACCCCCCGTACAGCCCCAAACACCCCAAACAGCTCCAGACAACCACAACCTCACCCACCACCTCGCGAACCTCTTCGCCGCCCTCCCCGACGAATCTCACGCCCACACCCTCACTAGCCCGCTGACAGCGACCGGGGAAGAGAGACTCCGCGACCTGGGGTTCCGGACACGCGCCTTCGACGCCCTCTTCCGCGCCTGGGAAGCCATCCACCTAGTCCCCACCGAGACAAACCAGATGCTGATCCGCGACGGCATCGTGCGGATCCTGCGCGACCACCCAGAAATCACAGCCGACCTCGACCTCACCCCAGCCAGCGCGATCCACGCCTACGAGACCACACGCAGCTTCCTGACCCAACTTGCGAAACGCCTCTTCCCATGGACCACCCCCTACTCGGCCGACCACATGACCCTCCACGCGCAGTTCCACGACGGAGGGCGTGGCATCGTCTTCACAGCCGGCAACGACCAAGCGCCGTACCTAGCAACATCAATCCGCGCCCTCCGCGCCCACGGCTGCACCCTCCCAATCGAGATCCTCTACCTCGGCGACGAGGACCTCGACGAAGAGATCCGGGACGAGCTGGAAGCCCTGCCCGGCTCGGTGGTAACCCGCGACCTAAGCATAATGGTCGACGACGCCGGCTGGACACTCCGCGGCTGGGCAGCCAAGCCCTTCGCAATCCTGCTGTCCAGCTTCCGGGAAGCGATTTTCATCGACGCGGACGCGCTCTTCCTGGCGGACCCGGCGGCGCTCTTCGACGACCCACTGTACCAATCCACGGGCGCACTGTTCTTCAAAGACCGGCTGTTCATGCCCGGAAACGAGAAGCGGGCGTGGTTGCGGCGCGTCCTCCCCGCGCCGGTCTCCCCGCGTGTCCGCCAGAGTCGCATGTGGACTGGCCAGAGCATCCACATGCAGGAGTCTGGGGTGGTGGTTGTCGACAAGTGGCGCCATTTCGTGGCGTTGTTGATGGTCACCCGCATGAATGGGCCGGATCGCGATGGCGATGAGAGTAGGGGGCTGGTGGGGGTTTATGATATGGTTTATGGTGAGTGCGTTTGCTTGCATTGTTGTAAGGGTTATGTTGGCTGATAAGAGATGCTTGTGTCGTGTAGGGGATAAGGAGACCTTCTGGTTGGGATGGGAGCTGGTCGGCGATACCGAGTACGCTTTCCATGAGGGCGCGGCCGCGGTGATGGGCAAGCCCCAGGCGAACCGCGACAACACCACCACAGCAGAGGGTCAGGAGCACGACTTGAAGTACACCGTGTGCGCCCCGCAGCTGCTGCACTTGGGCACCGATGGAAGACCCCTGTGGTTCAATGGGTGGCTGCTGCCGGATAAGTTCTCGGGCGAGCAGCGCCGCCCAACGGAGTTCGAGGCCTTTATCCCCGAGCCCCCAAGTGCGGAGGACAGCGGCTCGTGGCAGTTGCACGACAGCAACGTCTGCTGTCTGTCGGCAGATCAGGTATTCTACTTCGATGCGGCAGAAAAGGACGCGTTGGATGAGCTGATTGAGATCGCACGGGATGTTGGGGCGATTGCCGGGGCGCATTAGGAGGGCATCGTTAAAGCAGCAGAAGGCATGCAAGGACTTGACCGTATGGAAGCAGGACTTTCTCTGCGTGAAACCCGGCCAATGCATGAGATATAACCACAACCGCGGTCGTAGCCCGGGGTACAGGGGACCAGCATCCTAAACTTGCGTTAGCTGCGGATCTGGAAACCGTCGAACCTGGTCTTCCCAAAGAAAAATATGTTCACAGCAATTACAGGGCTCTGTGGGATTTGCCAGCCAAAAAATTTACGCATTGAACATCCTGCGTGATCGGCAAAACGATCGAATCTTCGAGATCGACTGAAACCGCATCTCACCCCGCACACCTCCCGTGAATCGTGCTTCGAGCAGCAAAGGGACGGTGGGCATCGAGTATACTTATATCAATCGTGGTATCGCTGCTGGACTGTTCTCCCTACTGGATATATATATGTATCCCTGCTCACGGAAGCTCGGCCCATGGTCATCAAAAGACCTGGAGAATTCCGGATCATCGAACCACCGAGTTTGAGCTGTATACCCCTAGCTACTTGGCTATATCGTCGAATATGATATCGCATAGAATATTGATGAAAATAATAAACATCTCCTCCAACCATCCCTATACCAAGCTCCACAGTCTTTATGGCGATGATGAACCATATGTCACCTGGGCCGGGGAGGGTCCCATAAAGTGGAATGTACTGTACCTTGGGATTCTCCTCGTCAACCGTCTTCGCACGTCCTTTTCATGGCCCCTAATACTAGAATAAATGGGAGTGATTACGCTATCATATTCTGCCCAGCATTCAACCGCCGAATTTGCTGTTCGCTGATGTCACTGTAGCAAAGCCGTTTAAGGCCTTCCTCGTGCGGGTATTTAAGGTCTTCCAGGGCAGTTTGTAGGACAGTTTGGAGGGATTTAGTAACGGTGATAAGCAAGTATACTAGTTTGTTTGGGGTCATTCAGGTGTAGGGATTTAGTGACAGTAATAAGTTGTCTACAGGTCATCTGAACATTTCAAAAAGTTCAGAAGACTCAACCCCACTTAGCGTTGAATAGTAAGCAGGAATCTGCCATGCGACCTTATAATATACAGTTTTTTAAATATTATAATTCAATTTCCTCTAAAACAGACTTATATCCCTAATAAAGAACCCTAATGTAAAAGAGTAATAAATAGTATTCTCTAAAAAAGAATTCTAATATAATATAGACCCTAATAACCCCCAATAACCCTAAAAATCCTAATAATTCTAATGTAAATAGTTGTAAAGCAGTTATCAACTGCTTGGGAACTGCTTCTAAAGCAGTTCTGTGTAAAGGTATTAAAAAAAAATGGCGTGGCACCAAATCTATATTTTATGTAAGTAATAAGCTCACTTGGTTAATAAGCACACTAGTTTGTTTGGGGTAATTCCGGCGTGGCCCACGTGTTCTTTTTGTGCGTTCCCCTCTTTAGGAGCCAAGACCTCTTGTGTTTTTAGTGACTGACCCAAGCTCCACCAAATCCAATCATTCCAAAGTCGGTACCGACAGCCGCCTGGTCCCGGAGGCTTGACCAAGCCTAACTGAATTGATGATACCCTTCATTGGCTGCCGTTGCTCTAGATTGGTAATTCTTGAAATTCTCTTCAATCAGCTTACTGGGGCTTGGGGGCGCAGCGCGTGCACAGACCTTCCCTCTATCGTACACTTTGTTGTCACTTTTGCAGGCGTTGAATGAATGTTATTGAGACCCGTCGCGGTGGACTCTCCTTTCGGCCGCTCTAGGGCTGTAGACTACAGGGCCCATGGAAATGAGACTCTTCTGTTAGGTCGTATGCTAATATTCTATACTACGTATCACCGGCCCGGCTAGCGATCCTGCCCTTCTTTATAACTATCTAGGAGAGTATATAAGACGTAACGCTCTATAGCATTACTCCTAGTGACAAAAATTAACAATATTTACTATGTTTTCTACTTATCTAAGACGCACCATTAAGTTAAGAAACACGTGGTTTTACAATATGTCAAGTGTAGAGTGTTATCGCAACTAGTGTATATAGAGGAGTGGCTAGGAAAGCGCCGCCTAGGACGTAGTACTTTATGCTGTATCTAGTAAGTTCAGCGTTTATTAAAGGATTTAGAATCAGTCTGCTGACACGCAGAATTTGACCGAGACAATTTTACCGAGACCGCCTTAGATGCCCTCCAGCGCCCGCCGCGGGACCCCTTACTACAAACCGCAGACAGCTCCGAAGAAACCGTCGCCACAGCTATTGATATAGACACCACGTAGTTACGGATCGACCCCACTTAGACGAAAGAATCAGCTCCTTGGCCAGGCAAGATAAGGTGGCGTCGCAGAAAATCCATAGCGCCGGGCGTACCACATCGTCCCGGCCGGTCAGCTTGACTACAGAGAGAGTTTCTCGTGATAGAAAGCCCTCACGCCTCTTCCACGCTTCGTCGGTCGGCACGACTAGGCTAGGTTTCGAAATGGTGGGAAGAATTTGTAACGTAGGGACAAAATATTAGTCATTTCATTAATCATTGGTATTAAAGTCTTAGTTATCTATATAGTACCAGAACGTACGTACTGTCGTGGATACTGGTGCCCGGGATCAACATCACCGATGGCAGGCCATAGATCACCGACTGTTCATTCACGCAGAGTATCGCGTAGTATGCTGTGAACTATTCCTCTTCGGCGAACACGCACCACTTTTAGATCTTTGTTTAATGGTGGTTCAAGCATGGAGTACAGCATTTATTCGCTCACGACACATCAATTAGTCCAATCACAAAGTATTATGAACTTGGAGCAGGCAAAGAAGAACTATATGACTATTGATGTTCAAAAGAAGTGAACGGGAAAAAAATGGCGTAGTTAGCAAGTTGAGACCCTGGTATAGGAGGTTTGCAGATGGTTTGCTGGCGGGAGATACAGACGGCTAGAGCCCGGAACGGCAATCGTAGATGGAGGTAGTGAAGAATGTTTTCTCTATACATTGGAGTAAAAGCTAAATATCGATCTCGGTTTCAACGACCTAAATACAGGTAACATTCTTCTTTTCTTTCCATAGCCCTCCACCTCTATTCAACTAGATCCACTTTTAAAGCAGCATCCAAGATGATCACCCCTTCGCTACACCTCCGAGACCCTCAAGGGCCCAGCGAGGGAAGGGGCAATCCAGAGCGTGATTCCACTCAAAACCTCTAATTCGCGAAAGCAGTGCGGTCAAATTTTCTCCAACATCCTATGGCTTAAAAATCCTGTGGGACGAAATGAAAGCCTGTACAGTGGACCAATCTCGGCATTTATGGACTGCATCCCAGCCATTGGAGCCTTTAAAGCTGGCATTACTGAGGTATCTCGGTTTTTCGAGTGACAAATCGGCACTACACATGACGGCCTAGGAAGAAGGTCTTTAGTCTCAACTTGTCCCGGTTCTGTTGGGTGTAATCGCCAGATTGAACTTACCTGACGGAGATATTCCACGCAGTGCGTACCATGCTCCAGTGTGGTAATGTTGCCATACCTCTCCCAGTCGAGGAGTATATGTTTCAATTCGCCCTGACACCTCCATGTCAGTCAAGACATTATGCTTGGTATTGACACTTCCCGGGAAAGTAATTAAAGACATACAACACAGTGAAGCTGGTGAAGTAATGATATAACATAACCTTCACTTCGCTCGGATAACGGATTGCCGAGATGGAATTTTTGCAGAGGAATCCCCCCCGAAAGCCCATATTTCGCAGGCTCAGGTATCTCAACCCAGGCACCTAAAAATTCACCTGTTAGTCCTATTTATACACGGCACAATATGTTCTTCGACATCCATCTTACCATTATATAAATCATCCCAGATGGTATGCAAGGGTAAGAGCGGCGCATTCCAGGCACCATCATAGGGATCCGTGACTTCGTAGTCATGGTTTTCCATAAACAACGTGTCGACAATAGGTACTGAATCAAGGCAAATCAGCTTGAAGCCTTGCAACCGTATTTTGGGGGCCAGCCCTAGGTGAAATGACTTACTGTCTCCATACAATTTCATCAATCCGGGATGAATTAAATTGGTACATGTTGCAGAAGCGCGATGTGTGATATACATGGCGGCGCTAAGAAGGAATGAAGCAACCACAACTAGGCCAACCCAGCCGTAACCCAGAAGATTCTTTGGACAAGAAGATATTGACTCCATAGGCTGCCCGCAGTTTGAGCAGGAAGATTTGCCATTGTCCACGACTATACCGCGTATAGGCTCATATGTTCCGTTAGCCGATTGTCGGCTTTTGAAAGCATGCAAAGAGAACTTGAAGATCATACTAAAAGAGCCTGCTATGTAAAGTGAGCCCGTATATTTGGTACAATTGATGTTATACTTGCAAGGCGACTTTGCCGGTGTTTTTGTCCTTGGGAACTCAGGACTTCCAAGAAATTTGCCAGGAGTAACAAGCACTACATTGACCCCCTCGGCCTAGTGCATTTCCCACCTTTTTCAGCCTTTCGAATTGTTGCTTCCGTAATCAGATATTGCTAGCGGTTTCTTAAGCACTGAGAAGTTTAGCGGCTATGGGGCTAAAGCCGAGGCTCTAGTCTCTGTAATCGACTCGTGGGCGCATTGGTGATCCTTCAAGAGTCCTTCAGGAATCATGAACTCCCAGCCAGGTGAAAAATGCAATTTAAACCATCTGCTAGTGCTTACCCGTCCATTTTTCGGACATGACCGGATGTTATTCCACAATAAAACAAGTTCCTCTCCGGATAAAGATTTATGTCTGAATAATTCGGATTTATTTCACCGACGGCATTCACTCAATACGCCGGTCCTGAATTCGCCGGTCCCGATAGTGCTGGTCTTGAATGCGCTTTGATTGGAAAGCATGAGGAAACAGTCAAACCCTCGACCCTTAAGTCGTCGGAGAGTCAGGCCTGATTCTTGGAGTTCGATGAATATAAATAGTCCGTCCGGCCTTTTCCTCGAGAAAATGTTCTCGGAAGGCTCAAAGATCAAGCATAAACAAAAGCAAACCTTGAAGGTGATTCTCATTTCAAACGGACAGCCAATAGTCGCTACTATTCTAACATCCTGAGATAATAATAGAGCAACTTGTCAGATTTTTTCCCGTGAAACTTCATCATCATGAAATCCGTTCTCGTTCTCCTTGCCTTGGGCCTTCTTTCCAGCCAAGCATCTGCCTGCGCGAAGCCGGGCGATTTTTGCAACGATTGGGGCCAGAGGGCTTGCGAATGCAATGAGGGTTACCTTGTAAGTTATCTGGATAAATTGCTCGTTTTCTCTTCTGACATTTTGCAGTTGGAATGCAGTCCTGTCCTAGCACCTGGGGTTGACAATGAGGGTGGCGAGACAGAAGTGCTCTGGGGCAGAGTCAAGAATTGTCCTGTCCCAGCCAATGGCGGATTACAATGTGTTAATGGCGCGTGCACATCTTAAGGATATTATTTTCACGTTTCTGAAATCTTTTCTGCTTGTTTGGAGCTGAGTGTTCACGTCAATTCATTTGCTCGGAACAGACTTGTGCTATAGTGAAGATTAAATTTATTCAGTGAGGCTGAGGTAAAAACGCTGTGTATACTAATATTGTAAAGGCTTAACTACATAGCTAAATTGTACATGAACAGAAACTCACAGTGCTGTATCTCCTCATCACTTCTTGCACGGAACACGTCTTTAGAGTGGCACATTTGCGCATTCGTGTGACCAAAGGTCTCATGTCTTTATTTCATGCCACTTTCTAAACTACAAAGACGGAGTCATATCAACTCAGATGTTTCATGCTTTTTGCTTCCTTGAAACTGCATATTAAGGGCTGGCTCCATAATATCCCATACATTTGCTAGTACTCTAGTTCACTGTAATTTCAATCGCACAATTGCCTCGTTTTGATAAAGGATTGCGTTTTATTAAATGGTCATATACCGGCGAGTACCTCGACCGTCAACTCTACTGCGGAAGACACCGCAATTTTAGGCGGTCTGGTGCGGCTGGAATTTCTGGCGCCCCGCTTGCCGTCTGCAGTACTACAGATCCACGTGTCCAAGAAGAAAGTGAAGAAGAGAATAAGGCAATATTACCAACTCTCCTTAAGCTTGCTATTTATGCTAACCGAGGAGAGAAGATCATAATCACATCTATCGGGCGCAACTGGCAGATAGTTCAGCTATCCTTAAATCATAACTTAAGAGGGGCGTCGGCTGTTATCTAGCACTATACTTGTTAAAAACAAAAGATTTATTTTTATGTGCTTTTATTATTGTCTTCTTTTTTAAGTTTTAATTGTATCCTCCTTATCTGTAATTTCACCAGCAGGGGTTTATCAAAATCCTTATCTATTTTCTGTACTGGCTGTGGATAATATGTTTCCTAATCTCCGCGAGGCTCATGGCGGGTGGCGCTCGACCCAGGGTACCTACGGCGTTCTTTGCGTATGAGGTTCCCATTAGCTGTCCACGTTTACTGGCATGACAGCTCAATGACCTAGAATTGACTACTTCACCCTGCTGACATGGTGTTTCGCCCTGATCTAACGAAGAGCAAAAAAGAATGAGCAAAATGTAATGACCAGACTGGGGCTCGATCCCAGGACCTTATCGGTGTTAACGATACGTGATAACCAACTACACCATCCGGCCGATTGATGATGAATGAGCGTGCTTAGCGGCCACTTGAAAGGACTTCATCCATCCGATCCTTACGATCCCATTATCCTGATCATGCAGCTACCGAATCATTCAGCAAACCTCCACTGCTCTACGACCATCGCATGGTGGCACCTAATCCCGACCTTTCCACTTTTCGTACAGGTCAAAAGGAAGCATGTCGGGCCGCTTCGTTTGGTAGATCACCAACTCCTTGCGACGTGAATCGTAATTCAGCATCGCCTTCTGACCACTCGTGGGCACCGATGCGATAATCCACTTCAGTAAAGCTACCAACCGCTTCAGGTCGGCCTGATGGTTCATCTCCCATTCATTAAGCTCCGGTCTAATGTTTCTCGGCCAACACTCCGCGAACAAGCCCTTCTTATCGTAGTAGCCGCAAACCAACAGCGAGGTCTGGGACACCCACATCTGGGGCAGAACCTTGTCCATCTCCAGTTTTCTTCCAGGGGCCGAGGTCTTAATCTCGAGGACGGAATCCGGCGAAATTGTCAGGTCTCTTGCGCAAACCATCAATGGTGAGTGCCTGGAGACAAGGGTTGGAGAGTCGGAGATTTCCAACGAGACCAGCGTCGTGCCCAGCGTCGTGTGCAGATTTTGGCCTCCTCTCTGCTCCACATAGCTATCAGCCTCGTAGCGGACCACACAGGACAATCCTCCCAAGTCGTAAGATGTGATCCGGTAGTGACTGGTGCCGCCTGCGACACAACTGGTGGTGGTCGCTTTCTCAAACTCCTGACCGTATCCACGGAATTCTGTGCGAGGTTTAAGCTCTTTGGTCGATGACTCCTCGCAGCAGAGAAGGACAGTCTTGCCGTGTCGCTCGACGTGGATCGTGAAGGTAGCGAGCGCCCTCTTGTCAAGCTTAGGGTTGATGACCGATAATAGCTTGCGAATATTGCTGCGGTCGGTCACAAGGTCAACGCATCGAATGTCAAAATCCGGCCGCTGGAGGTACAGCGCGCGGAAAAGGGGCTCGATGGGGCTGGCTGGGAGGCGCGCCGCGTTCTCTGAAGGACCATCCTCCGCGGAGTCTCTGGGGACCTTGATTATATATTGGCCAGGTCGCCAGGGGGGAGTCCAGCGATTGGGACACCCGGGAACGGCGATAGTAGGCTCGGGTGCTTCGATCCAGTTATAGGATGCCAGGTGCTTAACCTTGTTGATGGCCGCTGCAGCTTGGCTAGTGGGCTTCAGGTCACTCAAGGGCAACGTGGAAATAATGGTGGACTGCATGGGTGCTGGGCAAGTCGTGCTGGCACTCGAACGTGGCTTAAATGGAAAACTGACTGAATGTTAGCTGGAATGATGACATTTATAGCCAGAGGGAAGTGAGAAAGATGACGATACGGATTCTCATGTCATCCGTTGTGAAAGAGCTTTTTTAAACCTCCTGAGTTGAAGAAAAGTGTGATTCATCCCTCCCGCTCACATGCTCATCTACCATGGGCATTGTTGTCCCGCTGTTTGCCTATGAGCAAACGGTGGAATCAACCTTGCATGCCGCGCGGCTGCGTACATTTGACATAGCAGCTTAGTGTATATCACCTCGTGCTGTCACAATGACCTTCAACAAATGACGATGGGACCAGAACCACCGTATCATACTGCAACATACATGCGCCCGCACTATTTTCGCAGACTGATACCAGATCTCAGCATAGGACTATAGGAGGAACTTTCTATGCCCCTCCTTGCCTGGATAGGATACTGTCCGTTCTGGGAGGAAGAAGTTAGAGACCCGTGTCATTATATATATTGACATATCTCACCGGGTTAGCAAAAGCACAACATAAAAGACGATATGTGTTCAGTGGAGAAAGCTTATTCTTCATGAATTCATCGCGATGAGGTTCGTCGGGAACAGACAAGTATGAGGGATAAACAGACATCGACCCTCGACAGCAAATGCTTGATGCTATTGCGCTTAAAGTCTGCTAAATGGTTATGGATAGAACACATAAACCAATCACTGGGCTTGATTAAGCACATACGACCACAGGGTGTGGAAAACAGGGCTTCCCGTCCGCTCAGCCGTACTTAAGCCACACGCCGGGAGGTTAGTAGTTGGGTGGGTGACCACCAGCGAATCCCTTCTGTTGTATGTTTTTTTTTTGGCTCCTTTCAATAATTTGCCAGTCTGATTGTCCTGATCGTCCTGATCCATCTTCATGAACAACAAGCAGTTAGGGTGCGACTTTGCCGTTGCTGACATGGCCCCTAACTTACCGTTCCCGTGACTCAAAGCAGTGGCTTTGGGTCTTCCGAACGGGCCGCGCCTTCCTAGTCTACTTCTAGCTTAGGTCAGGGGTACTTCCAGTACATTGTCTTTAGCCCTGAGACCCTGAGGTAAGATCTGCATCCGCTCTTCTTTCTTCCCTCGATCAGCTTCCCCTTTGCAGACCCTCAGACCCTCGGATCCCGAGACCCTGAGACCCTGAGACCCAGGGATCCACCCTTCCAGATGGCAGCACGAGTATCGCGAACCTTATCGCAGCTGAGTTGTCGACAGTATGGCAGACTTCCTTTGCCGACACGACGACCCGGGTTTCTCCTTCTCACGCGCTTAAATGTCAGACCAGCAATCGTCGGGCCCCGTTTGGCGACCCGACGATATGCCACACACACCACTTCTAAGCCACCAGTCCAGAGCAACCAGAGCAACCACAGCAAAGACTCCTCCAACGTGGACGTCACCATACACCGTACATCCAGTCCCACACAGCCGCACTGGGCAAGCCAGGACTTACCCGCTGGTATGTACAGCACTGCGCTGCGGCCTTATCTTCACTCCCTTTGCATCTTGTATGGGGACATCCAACTAACAGATGAATCATCAGTTGACCGGTATTACGAGCCCGGGTTCATCGCCAACTTTGTCAAGTTCGCCGTGCATGGCCACCTCCCCAATGGCACAACGACCAGCCTCCCACGCCTGCACCCCATGGAGGTCCCGCTCCTGGACGAGCCAACCGCGGCATGGGCCCCGGTCGACACGCCCGGACCGCCCCCCAGCGCGACCAGCGCCATCTACAAAATCATGATGCACTGCGGCGACCAAGATTCCTCCCGCCTCTGCCTCGTCGGCAAAAACATCCATTTCATGAAGGCCCGCCTCCTGGACGGCCTGGTCCCGCTCTCCGAGGCCCAGTGGCAGGAGCAAGACCTTGACAACCCTGCCCATCTGGAGCGCGCCTGCGAGCATCTCAGCGCCGTGGCGGCCGTCTTCGAGTACCTGAGCATCGAGCAGGTGAACGTGAATCTCCGGGACCAGTTCAACCTGATCTCTGACGAGCTGGGCGAGGTGCAGCGGGCCCTGAACGCGCGCCGGCGGGCGAGGCCGGATGAGTTGGCTGAGTTCCCGGCCATCCTCGATCTCCGCGCTCTGTGGGCGGAATACGTGCCTGCCGTGTATGAGGCTATGACCCGCACCGCGCACGCATGGGTGCTGGCCCACTTGACGAGGTTGAAGGAGCGGATGCTGGATGGTGACTTCTTCGACACGGTGGCTGTTGATCAGACGGACCTCGAGGCCCGGCTGGCGGAATTCTACGTGCGGTGGCGCCTTCTCGCGGATATCACGTTTCAAGCGGACGCCGGGTTCTGGCTGCCCTTGCATGGGTACAAGGGGTATCGAGTCCCCACCGGGATCGTCGCGGGGTTGCATCACCCGCAAATAGATGAGTTCGCGGAAGTGTATCCACGGCGGCACCACGAGGTGCTGACCGCACGGGTGCAGGCGGTGCCCGAGTTGCAGACCTCGTCGACCGGCGAAATTAGTGAAGAGAACAAGCTGTCGAGCGCACTTCTCCGCCTCCGGAAATTGATGTCAACAGTTACGGTGGCGGAAGATCAAGTCCGCTTGGAACTGCGCGGGTCGGTGTCGCCCCCCCTGACGGAGTTGCCTCCGGCGCCGTGGATTCAGAGGGCCCTCCGAGTTTGCACGGAAATAATGTCCGGTTTACCAGAACATGCGGAGGCGCAGACCATTGAATTCGCCGTTTACCGCGCTGCGTATTGTAGTATTTCCGACGAGGAGTGGGAGGTTGTGAGAGCAAAGGTGGAAGAGCAAGTGGCCGCATGGGGAGTCGGCGAGCCGGGCGCGGAGGAGGTGAAGCCCCTTTTGAAACTCCAGTGGCTCGATTGCAGGGAATTGGGCATCGATCCTAAGGATATTGAGGCCGTGCGAAGGTTCGTCCCATGCCCACTCTTGCTCCCTATTCATGTCTTTCGATCCTAAGGAAAGCCTACTAACCCGACCCACGGGCATCGCGCAGCCACTTTCGTAATCTCCGCACACAACACCCGCTGATAAATCAGCCGAGTTTTCTTATGCTCGACCCCTGGAGCGCTAGCTCCTATATCAGAACAGACCAGGACAGACTCCCCAGGGACTTCCGCCCCCATCTCCTCGCCGTCGACGCAGACTTCGTGCCGTCACTCATTCCCGAGGCAGTGTCACCTGGCTACACCGGACGGATGCGGATTCTCGGGAACCTGGTCTGGAGTGAACTGTATGCGATGTCGATGATGCAGTCGGCGCAGCTGTGGGACCTGTGGCCGCTGGCGGCGGAGCACCCGCAAAAGGTGTATACGGGGGCTGTGGTGCCCAGTCAGATCCAAGAGTGGCGGGAGCAGAACATGCTCAAGGACTCGATGATTGACTCGTTTGAAAAGTTCTTGCAAAAGCAGGATCCTAAGGCTGCGCAGGCAGTGAGGGAGATGAAGGAAGGGAAGTTTGGCTTTTGAGAGAGAGATAACTGGAACAGAAAAGCAATGTCTCGCAAGAGACAAATCCTCGCTCCTGTGGCCAGTGGAGAAAATTGATCACATATACTATTGCACTACCGAGGCCGGGTCTGCTGATTTGCGTCACAAACGTCTCTTGTGAATCAAGATTGTGACTAGTCATCCCAGGCGCGACTGTCTCTCGATGAGGTTTCGGAGGTTATGCTGCCTGCCAAATGGCGAATGCTTGAAAAACCAAGCAGGTTCATGAGAGGAGAGTTCAATCAACTCTCACATTCAATGCTGTATATGATTGTAAGTTAATAACCTTCATATACATACGACCACAGGGTGTGGAAAATAGGGCTTCCCGTCCGCTCAGCCATACTCAAGCCACACGCCGGGAGGTTAGTAGTTGGGTGGGTGACCACCAGCGAATCCCTTCTGTTGTATGTATGTTTTTTTTCTTTTTTCTTCACAGCTAGAAAGGCTTTTTTGCTGCCTGTCACCACCCTTTTGAACTACCCCTTTCTCAAGTGAGCTCACTTTGTCTGTATGTGCGTAGTCCTATACTAGCGGGCTGTAGTACCAGATGAGGACCGGCATATATAGAAGATCTCTTTTCATGAACTTTTGTCATGAAGTTCTTGTTGGCTCCTGCAAGAAGAAGCCAATTACTCCCCTCTACCCTCTGTATTTATCGAGAGGCATCCTCTCTATGCCATATTCACAATGTCTTCGGAAGTATATCCCGCTCTTCCTGTAGGCTTCTGAAGGCTGCGCCGCCCAGTGTCCTCATTTCCGAGTGCCTCCCGAGGAACCTTTACCTGTTCTTTGTCCTGAACGAACTTTCCTTCCGTCATCCTCCTCTTGGGCCCCTTTGTTATTCGCTCCGTTTGTACCCCTGTGGGCTTGTTGAGCTTAAACCACTTGGAGTGTCCGGACGATTAGTCCCGCTATGAGACGAATCGATGGTTCCGAATTCCGCTCCTGTTCCTGGACGTTGTCTAGAACGCACTGGAGAAATCCGTCTCTACTCTCATCGAGCGCCTCTGTTGTGCTAGTGGTAATCGTATCTCAAGTCTTATCTTAGTCGCCCTGTGCCGAAATCTCAGGGGTAAACATGTCGAATGACAAAATAACCATGGTCCAGGCACCAAAGCCACATCTGATTGACGATGAGAATTTTATGGGTTTTAGGGTGGGTTGTCCCTCTTGTTGTTCTAATGAGAAATCGCCCTAGCACCTGGTCTCTATCTCTTTCATCGGAATCTGGTAAAGACGAGTAGTATCATTGATCCAAGGTCATGTAGTCTTGGACGTATATTGTTTTTTAGAATAGACTTCAGTCAAGGCAAGGCGCGTGTCTGGGATAGACCAACTACTAAAAGCCCTGCTTACACAGCGGAAATTGCATACTCGATCAAGAAACTCAACTGTGATGCAGTCATTCAAACAAAACAGATTATGTGGGAATGAGAGTTGACAAGCGGGCTCAATGCAGTGGACGGGCGCTCTCGCCGTCCGCAGTGATTTCCAAGCCACCAAAGAGAACTCAGCTATCGAGTCTTCATCTTGTTTCTCCCTTCTGCATTTCTTGCTACGTACATCCTGCTATCATCATCAACAGTCTCCGTTTATCTGAGTTCGAGGTATCTCGTTACAATTCTCAAAAACAGAAAGTAAGAAGGAAGCAGAGCGGTAAGAAATATTGTAAACAGAAGACCCTGACTAACCGTACTCCACATCAGCTTGCCTTGCTGATTGACTCAGATAGGTTTTGCATAGAAAGGAGCAGAGAACAAAACACAGTACTCCAAACCTGACCTTCTCAACGACCCCCCTTTCGCTCAGTAACTAGTACACTCCTCAATAATCTCCTCCACAGCCTCTCTCCAGATCATCAGCAACGCGTGCACATCCTCCTCAGCGTGCATGGCCTGACTGTACAAGATACTCAAATCCATCACGCCATCCTTTGCACCGCAGTTGAAGTCCAGCACCGACGGCCGAACGTTCCGGGGGTCGTCCATAGACGTCTCCATCGATGGCAGATTGACCGCGTTAAAAAGCCCACCCGTGTTGCCGGTGTGGTACGCGCCGGCGTAATTGAACATGAGGACTGGAGTATCGGCCGCGCCCGAACTGCTCGAGACAGCAAAGTCTGTGCCCTGAGAGGCCGTGCGACGCGTCGCCTTGGTGGCCGACAGTAGAGCAGGAATCGCACTTATCTTGTCGCGGGTGCGGCTGCGCCCACTGTTGCTGTCGCTGTCACTGTGAGTGTAGCTGCCGTGCGTGCCGTCGCTGTCACTGCCACTGTCGGTCTCTCTGCTGGGAGGGATTGCGAAGACCGCGTTGTAGAGATACGTGAACCATCCCACGGTTCGCGACAGGTCGAGCGCCTCGTTCTGGAGCTCGCGGCCGTGCGATTCGAGCGTCAGCTCGAACCGGCTGATGTGTCGCCAGCGGTAGAGGGCGAGGACGAGTCCCGCGAGGAGGAGCTCGACCGGCTCGGTGCTGTGTATCTTGTTGGCATCGGTTAGGCAGAGCTGGGTCAGATCTGCCGCTAGACTTGTTTCGACGATCGCAACAGTGGATTGAATGTTCCGGTGGCGCCGGGAGGCAAAAGCGGGTACGATGAGATGGTTCTCATGTTGTGACTTCTGACACTTGGCAGTATCTAAGACCCGGGGGAGAGCCGACGCTTGTCTCTCGCGTACCTGCAGAGACCAGCGACGGAATGAATCGCCTTCGGGCAAGATCGATTCTCCAGAGAGAAGTTGTTCGAGGTCGTCGAATATGATCTGCCATGAAACAATATCGATAGCGAGATGGTGGATTATAATGAGACAGTAGGTTGCTGATGGAGTCTCGATCCATGCCAAAGCAGAAACGGGTCCCTTGGTGATGTCCAGTGAAGCCTGCGCTTGTGGGATAATCGATTCCAGCGCTTCCTCCGAGGGCACGGAGTGACGGATAACGGCATAATCCCGGGACGATGGATGGATCGGAATATATAGCCTGGGCGGCGCCACACTGGAATTACATCGAATGCGCAGGGAAGGATGAATCTCAGTGATGCCCTGCCACGCTTTCACCGTGTCAGTGAAAGTTACCGAGCGAGCCATTCGGAGCAGGTGGGCCTGATTGTTCCAATTGGGATTGATCTTCTGCTGATCGATGTACCAGTCCATGATCGGAATCGGATGGATGTTACCCCAGCTGTCGAGTTTGGTGTCTGAAACCATGTTCGCAGGAAATTTGTACCTGACGTTGGCGGCAAGCTCGGCTACTGTCGGATGCGCGTAAATGTGGTTGACAATCAGGGTGAACCCAGATCGTCTAAGAATTGAGCAAAGACGAATGGCAGAGATGGAAGTTCCGCCCATGGCAAAGAAGTTACTGTTGGCGAAGATTTCCCGGGCTTTCAAGACCTGACACATCGCGTCAGCGATCAGGAACTCTTGCTCGGTCTCCAGCGGCAGATTTGCTCCTTGCTCATGGGCTTCGACACTGTACGACAACAGTTGAGTATCACTTAGGTCGGCTACAAGAGCAGTGGCCCGCTTTCTGTCCGTCTTGCCGTTTACATTCATGGCCATGAATGAGACGGGAATGCACAAGCTTGGGACAGCGTAGCCGGGGAGGGTGGAGAGGAGCTTGGAGTGAACTTCCGAGACAGTGCTCTGGAAGTCCATGGCATCAAGAGCCTGCATGTCAGTCTGTCCCACGGCAGACCCGCGTCCACTGGGTTCGAATAGGAGTGCCAGATGGCTTGTGTCGCCGCGACCGACAACCATAGCAAGTGCATTATGCATCGCAGGATGTGAGAGAGCAGTGTTAGAAATCTCCTCGAGCTCGATGCGCTGGCCATGGATTTTGGTCTGAGTATCCATGCGGCCCAGGTAGGTAATAGACTGATCATGATTTCTGATAGCATAGTCGCCTAGCACTTGTCAGCTCCATGAAAACTGAATTCCAGAGGGGATACATACCGGTTAGATAGACACGTCCCAAGAGAGGGTGATCCACGAATGCACGGTTTTCTTCCGGGCGATTTAGATATCCACGAGAAAGCTGAACTCCTCCGATGGCCAACTGTCCGATTGTTCCAACCGGACACAACCCGAGCTCTTCATTGACAATAAACGCCGTGTTTCCTGTAGTCGGCATTCCGATATTGTTGGGCTCCAAGTCGCGACGCACACGCGACACCAGGCTGTAGATACAGGTCTCGGTGGGTCCGAAAGCATTGAGGACAGTGATTCGGTCGGCCCAGACATCACGGACCTTGGTTGTCATTGATTCACCACTACTGGACAGAACCTTCAAGGTCGGAGCTTCCTCGGGAGTGAGAAGGCTCATCATCGTCGGTGATGCCAAGATATGAGTGATTTGCATCCGAGAAAAGATAGAGTGGAAGTTGGAATGGAGGAGCTCTTTACCGCCCAGGCACAGAGTGGCACCGGTTGTCAAGGATGCGAAGACATCCATGATCGAGATATCGAAAGTCCATGGAACAAATTGCAAGAAGCGGCTGTCGCGCCCACACTCATACAAGGCACGAAAGGCCAGAGTCGCGTTGAGCAGAGGGAAATGCTCTACTTGAACTCCCTTGGGCTTACCGGTAGATCCGCTGGTATATAAAATGTAGGCAAGATCGCTTGGTTGGAGGTGGTCAGCAACAACAGCAGGCGCTTCAGTAGTAGGCACTGCTGAAGGGAGATGGTACAGAGGAACCCGATGAGCGGTGGCCTTGTGTAGCTCCTGCAAGACCGTGCTATAATCGCTTTGCAGGGTCTGTGTCGTCAAGATCACTTGCGGCTGACAGTCTTCCACGATCGTGACGAGTCGAGCGACAGGAAGGCTCACTTCAAGAGGAACCCATGCCATTCCGCAATTGAGGACAGCCAGAATGGAGGCAATGCGGTCAATCCCGGCATCCATGAAGATACCGACCTTGTTGTCGACTCCCTGTCTGAAAGAGATCAGTCCAGCGGAAATGTGTTCCACCTTGTTCCAAAGCTCCCGGTATGTCACTGTTTCTTTACCCTCGAAATCGCAAGCGATCTGGTTGGGAAATTGCGCAGCTTGATCGCGCACCAGCTGGTGGACAAATTTGGGAGCGTCTTTCTTTCGATCGACCGCGTCAATCGTTCGCTGTTGAATCTCCACAAGTTCTTTCTCTCCCGGCGTGAGGATATCCAAGTGACCAATCAGAATATCATCGGCGCACTGGCTCACTGCATGAAGCAGGCTCTCAAAATGCTCGCACAGTATATCGACTGATTTTCTCTGGATCCTGCTCATGTCGTACTCCACATTAAGACTGACATTCCAAAGCTCCTTCTGCTCAGCGAGGGTCACAGAGAAGGTCACAGGGAACTTAGACTGTCCGGAGGTCTCATTGTCTGTCTCGCGAAGCAGGTTGTGTGCGTCAACCAACCCGTCAAAGACGTCCTTTGAGGCCTCATGGTAGACAAACATCAAAGGCAAATCATGTGTGCTAATCTTGGCAGCGTCGAGTATTTGGTCGTAAGGAAGATATGACTTTTGCAACACCTGGAACAAATTGCGAGACATCGACTTGAGGAATGGCCCAAGTAGGCAATCCCCCGAGACATGCGCACGCACCGGGACAGTGTTGATGAAGCACCCGTACATGTCGGTGGGAACTTGCTCAGCTCGTTGCGAGGCAGGGATTGTGACTGTGGCATCGGCTAAGTTCCAGACACGTTGCAGCAAGATCATGTATAGAGAGAGGAAGGCAGAAAAGTTGGTGAGCCCCTGCTTGCGGACCCAACTGAGGCTCTCTTGGGGCAAGCTAAAGTCGTAGTGGCACATGGCACGCTGCGGCTGGCCCGATCCGACATGGAAGGGCGGAATGTTCACCGGGGTAAAATTCGACAGATACTCCTGCCAGAAGCGTTGTGACTCGGCTTGCGTATCTGAGTTCTGGAGGAGCTTGTGTTCTTGCTCCGCAAAGTCAGCATACTGCGGTCTCCCCTTGGTGGCTACCACAGGTGTTGCGTCATTGTGACCTGCTCGTCGAGCAACCTCATGGACAAGTTGTCGCATGGACTGCTCATCGATGATGATGTGGTGGAAATTGAGAAACAGAAAGCCAGATTCTCCCGGGAGCAGGAAGAGAATGACACGGCCCAGTGGCCCCTCTTCCAAATCAAACACGGTTGCAGCATCCTTGATACACATATCCCGCATAAAGTGCATTGCATCATTCCCATCTAAGGAGGCAAGATCACATCGCCGGACCTCTACTTGAGAGGTAGTATGAAGTTTCTGTCGCAATGCCTCGCCGTCAGAGACAAACGTGGTTCGGAAAATGGCATGCTCATTTAGAATAGACACGATGGCCGATTCAACTGCGTCTGGGAGTAGGCCGTCAAGCTTATAAAACGAGGGCACATTGTAGGTGGCGTCCGCCAGAAGGGCCTGGGCACAGTAGAACCGGGTCTGAATCGAGCTGGCCGGCACAAGGGCTGTAGACCCACGATCGAACCTGGACACAGCTGGCAATTCCAGGCGGACTGGTGATTGCTGGTTCACCTCGGGAACCACTATCCCAGCAGCTAATCCTTCCAGAGTTGGGACTTCAGCAACATGGCGGAGGGTCAAACGACACTGGGGGAGATGTTTACGAATTTCCGACAGGAACCTCATCACCAAGAACGAGTCCATGCCGAGTTCGAAGACATTCCGCTCCATCCCCACTGCACGTAATCCAAGAGTGCGGCAGCAGGAGTCGTGGAGTACGTGTTCCACCGGTGTAACGGGGGCCTTGCCTGACTCGTCCTCCGGAGTCTCCTGGTGGGTGATGAGGGATCGCAGAAGTCTGTGGTCTGCCTTACCACTTTGCCGGAGGGGAACCTTATTGACCTGGATCCAGATTGATGGGATCATGGCAGATGATGCCTTGGCCTTCATAGACTCTTTGAGAGCCTTGAGCTTGACGTGCTCATTGGGATTGAGGGTTTCAGCGATGAGCTCCGTGACCGGCCGTTCAGGTTCATCCGCCCACACCACAAATGCGACCAGCTTCTCCTTATCCTTCATAACTAATGCGCGGCGCACAAAGTCACTCTCCTCGATCATCGAGTTGATGCCGCTCAGCTCCAGCCGTTGGCCGCGAATTTTAACCTGGTCATCTCCACGACCACAGTGGATAATGTGACCCTCGGAGTCGTAGTAGGCCACGTCGCCGGAGTTCCAGAGTCTACCATATTTAGGATGATTGATAAAAACGCGGGCCGTGAGTTCCGGTTTGTTGAGATAGGCCTTAAACAACTGGGATCCACCGAGCCAAATGGTGCCAATGGCGTGTCGAGGGCAGAGCTTGCCGAAGGCATCAAAAACGAAGGCCACCACCGAGGCAAACGGGTGACCAATGGACCGAATATTGCTTGTAGGAGTCACGGGTCCGAAGTAGCTGAAAGATTGGTCAGCAATTTGAGCATCAGAAGGAGCAATTCCACTTACGATCCTACGGTATTTTCGGCCGGGCCACAGGCATTGATCAGCCGAGTCGGTGACTTGGTCCAGTCCGCGCGCACCTTTTCATTCTGCGGCTCACCAGCAGTAACCAGAACGCGGAAGGAGCCAACAAAGGGTTCAAGCAGCGAGATGACAGTTGGAGTGAGGTCTGCGGCGGTGGGACGGAGAGCGCGGAAGACGTTGTGCAGATCAGACAGAAGCAGCTGCCTGGGAGCCGTACACAGCGTTCCCCCCTCGACAAAGGTGTGGAAGAGATCCTCCATGCTGGCATCAAACACCGGGCTTGCAAACTGAAAGGTGCGATCTGCAGCCGTACCCTGGAACAAGTAGGCAGCAGCCTCCCGGAAATAAGTCACGGCGGAAGAATGAGGAATCATGACACCCTTGGGAGCCCCAGTCGTGCCCGATGTCCACAGTATGTAAGAGATCGTGTCCGGAGTGGCTCCACAAGCAATGGGGGCCGTCTCTTTGACAGAGAAGTCAACCGAATGAATCTGCAGAGTTGGACAGGGCAGATCTTCAGGGGTCTCTATGTCGGCAATTACCACCTTGGCTGAACATTCGGTGACGATGCCTGTCACCCTGTCGGCTGGCCATGTTCCATCCTGAGCCATCGGGGTAAAGGTTGCACCGGTCTTCAACACCGCCAACACGGATATCACGTAGATAGTGCCCTGGTCCACGAAAATGGGGACAATATCACCCACCTGAACGCCATACTCTGCTTGCAAAAGCCTCGCGAGAGTGGCAGCCTGTTAATGTTAGCAAAAATGGCTGGGGATTACGATAGGAAAGTTTTACCTTGGCATCCAGCTCCTGATATGTTGTCAGAGTATGTTGATCTCCATCCCAATGATCTACAGCAATGGAATCAGGCTGTCTGGCAGCAGTCTCCTCAAAAAGCTCGTGGAGCAAGACATCGCGACACGGTGGTTTGACGGTGGGGAAGTTGGCAAATGCCTCCATCATATCCCGCTGCTCAGGGGTGCAGAGGTCAATGTCCTTCAGAGGAGTGTCACAGAGTGAAAATGCGCGTTCTAAAAGCTGGGCATACCCCATAGCAACCTCTTGCATGTAAGAGGCCTCGAACTTGGAGCGATCATACTGGAAATCCAGCACAGTACCATCTTTCGTGCTGGTAAGAGTGAGTTGCAAGTCAAATGCCACCGGACGTGAATTGAACGTCTCCCTCGTGATGTCCACAATATTGTTGGTAGCAACGGAAGCACCTTGCTCTTGGGCAACAAAGATGACCGAGTGCTCGCTGACCGTGGTCTTGAGCTGAGTGAGGACATCTTCGAATGGAACAACGACTGTATCCATTGCAAAGTTGACGGATGCAGCGGTCTGTTCGAGGAACTGTCGCAACGTTTTCGCGCCCTCACGAACCGAGCGGACGAGCGCTGTATTTACCATGTTGCCAAAGACGTCACCACTTGATGCCAAAGCTCCACGCATCGATACCGGAATGAGGACTCCCAGCTCTTGCGTCGAAGTGTACCTGCACCCGAAGTTAGCAGCTACAGATATATCACTGATATGAAGCCTACCGATGGAGAAGCAGTTGGAAGAGACCCAGTAAAGCAGAGAACCACGAGATGCCATCTCTCGAGCAAGTCCGTTTGAATTGTTCAAACTCCGATGATGGCACGAAGTTAACGATATTGGCAGACCCTCGAGCAGCAGCCTCAGCGGGTGGGGCGGGCCAATTCGTGGTATCGAAAGGAGGGATATCATCCAGATGTTTCAGCAGAGCTGCCATGGATTTGTCGTAGAGCGAACTGCCAGGACCGTACTGCGACGCCAGACCAGCGTACTTGACAGTTGATCCAAATTTGAGTGCTGACGGCCGGTTGACATACACATCCAGAATAGTCTCCAGCATCTGCTGTGTTGTCCATTCGTCCACCAGGATGTGGTGGATGTTGTAAAAGATTGCAATGTTCTTCGCGCCGCGATCAAATACGACGAACAGGGCCATAGGGCCATTCTCCAGGTCCCAGCTTCGCTGCGCATACTGACGACTCGTCTTTTTAATTTCTGTGAGATCATCCATTGCAACAACCTCCACGGGAACCGTTGACTCGGACTGGAGCGCCTGTTGAAGACTGTTTCTGTCACTGTTCCACGTGAACGTCAGCCGGAAGGCATCAATGTGGTGGACGACATATCGTATGGCCTCAGCCATTCGAGAGGCAGAGACATCTTTCAGAGTCAGCAAACTGCAGACGTTGTAGGTTTCATCCTGGAGTCGTTGCTGGGCCAGCCACATCCGACGCTGGGTCGAGAGTGCCTCGACCTGATCATCATGATGCAGAGGTGCACTTTTGGACAAGGCGGGGATTGGTGATGCGAAATCTAGTCGAGCTGCCAGACGTCGAGCGTTTCCAGCGGAGTTGAGTTCGGAGAATGATAACTCTCGAGAAAAGTGATGCGACACGATGGCACGAAGCTCCATTAAGGGCAGAGAGCTGAGACCGATTGATGCAAAAGATGCTTCTGCATCGATGACTTGAGTGCCAAGCAAATCATTGATTATCTTCAGAATGTAGGCCTCAGCCCTCGTCTGGGCTTCCTGCTCGCTGGAACAGCCGGCCGTAGATACGTCTTGCATCTTAGACTCCACCAATTGAGCCAGGTGTCGCCGATCAACCTTCCTGCTGGTGTTGAGAGGCACTGTGCCATAGAGGAAGTGGGTCGGAACAAGCTGGGCTGGCAATCTTGCCTCGCAGAACAATCGCCAAGTGGTATCACTTGATACTACTTCTGCCGATTCCTTTTGCTGGACGACTGCGATCAAGTGATTCCGCCAAACAGCCACCCCAGCGCTCAACACACCTGGCGCAGTGATTAGGACATTCTCCACTTCCTGCACTTCGATTCTCTGCCCAGATATCTTCACTTGACTATCCTTTCGTCCAATTATGTGGATGTTCATGTCGGGAGTATACACTCCCAGGTCACCTGTGCAGTAGAGTGAGAGGTTTTGGTCCAGCCCGGGCATCGTCGTCATCGCTTGCGCGGTAAGGTCAGGCTCTCCGATATATCCGTCGAACAGTTGCTTGCCCGCGATGCAAATTTCACCGACCTGCCCGACCCGAGGAACAAGCCCATGTTGATCCAGGAGCAACACGAAGTTACCAGGAATGATTTGTCGAATGGTGGAAGTGTCGTCATGGTCGACAACCTGGGTAGCGGACACCTGCACTGCGGACTCAGTGGGACCGTAGCCGTCGAAAAGTCGTAGTCGAGCAGCCCATGTTTCGCGGAGGCTGGTGGAAAGCTTCTCACCACCAGACACAAGTGTCTTGATTGTGGTGCAGCGGTCGGGGTCAAGGAATCGCATCACGCTGGGTGTCAGGTGAAGAGACGTGATCGAGAATCGGGTCACGACCTCATTCAGATCCGATCTCAAGTCATCCTCAGACGCAAAACACAGTGTAGCGCCGGTGGACAAGCATCCATAAATGTCGATCACAGAAGCATCAAAGATGTAGTTCGCAAACAGCAACATTCGAGTCCCGGCTCCGGTGTTGTATATACGGGCGGTCTCTCGAACAGCATTAGATACAGCCCGGTGGGACAGAATGCAGCCTTTAGGCTCTCCGGTCGTTCCAGAGGTAAATAGAACATAACATCTATCATTGGGGCTCACCCCGGGTAGGGCAGGGTTGTCTGTGGCTGCTGCACCATTCTTTGTGAGTGTCTCAATGAAGGCTACCTTCAGACCCATCGCCTGGATGTGCTGGACCGCTTCAGGAGAGAGAATGTCTCGTTCCAACACGATTATCCGTCCTTGGACTTTCGATATCAGTCCCTGCAAACGGAGCAAGGGTGCCTTAGGGTCCAATGGGCAATATGCGGCACCGACTTTCAGGACACCCAGCATAGCAACGATCATATCGGGACATCTAGAGAAGACAATTGGCACCACATCACCTGGACAGACATTCTCGCGGATAAGATTGAATGCAACCTTCTCCGACCTCTCGTCTAGCTCACGGAAGGAAACAGACTCCGTCAAAGAGCGAAGAGCGATATTCTCTCCATGCTGAACGACACTCTTTTTGAAGAGACCATTTAATGTATCTTCTGTCGCATTCTCCAGAAGATATCTTCTATGGGCATGATACGAGGTCTTCACTTGTTCAAACTCACGATAGTCTGTCACCATGCCCAGTCTCTCAAGCTTCTGCTCGCCATCAGGTAAACGAATGACTTCCGAAAGCAGGGAGGCAAACTGAATCAGCCAAGACTCTGCCTCTTCAACATGCAGAAGATTATTGGTCCATTTGAATACAATCTGTGTGCCTTGCAAGGTATGCTCAACAACGACCATGAACGGGAATTCGGAGAATTCACGCCCGTCGATCTCCGACAACGTAAGACTCTCGTCGAATTGTTGCTCGTGGTTGGTATCGAAGTTCTCGTAAACAAGCACTGTATCGAATGGACTTTTTGATCCACGGGCCTTGGAAAATATCTGGGAGAGAGCGACATGCTCGTGGGGAATGGCGGAAGCAAAGTCTTCGGCCAAATGCTGGAGAAGCGAAGACATCGTTGCATGTTGGTCAAGGTGAAGACGGACGGGAAGAGTGTTGATGAACAGGCCGACCATCTCATCGATGCCCTCCACGGCAGCGTTTCGGCCGCTGGTAGTGATTCCAAAAGCAAGATCGGATCGACCGGTCACCCGGGCAAGAAAGATCGCAGTCACGGCCTCGAGCACGGTGGCACTGGTGACTCTGTGCGCTTTGGCGCAATTAGAAATCTGCTCCGGTGTAATACTGACAATCAGCCTCTTCGTCTCCATGGCCGATTTACCTGAGGCTTGGAGGCTTTGTAGTGCATGTGGGCGAACTTCAAACGGTTCGAAGCCATCCAGATAGGATGTCCAGTAATCCAAAGAAGATCTTGGATCGCGTGCCAGGTCCAGGGCTAGAAATCGAGCGGGGGAGGGACGAGCAGATAGGCTACCAATGCCATAGGCCTCCGACAGATCCTTCCACATAATTCCCAGGGACCATCCATCATTGATCGCGTGATGGATAGTGAGGACCAGGTGATGGGTCTCTGGGGAAGATTGGAACACAGTCATGCGATGGAAAAGATCTCCAAATGTGAAGCCTCGGTGGCGATCAGCTTCCAACCACTCTTCAAATTGGCTCCCCGAGGGGAGATCTAGGACATGAGGATGGAAGTTGCTGTAGTCTGTCAAAGCCTTCATGACCAGGGCAAAGTACTCAACCGTATCAGCGCGGTACACAGGAATGAAGGTGGTTCGCAAACTGGGGTGGGCCTCCTGTAATAATCGCCAGGCATTCCGCAGTCTTTGGAAATCCAAAATCCCGGTCAGCGTCAGCATCACCTGGACAACGTAGCGACCATTCTGGGAGCTAGATTGCAAGAGCATGGCTTTCTGAATCTCGCGGATGGGCCAGACACCCTCCATGTGGGTCTCTTGCCAGGTGGTATTTGCTATCGCCTGTTGAATGTCTCGCTTTAGATCCTCCGACTCATCTCGAGATGCAAGAAGCCTATAACCCGCGAAATTATCCTGTGGGACAGTAGCCTTTAATTCAGGCTCTGTGCTCTGTTGCTGCACGGCCTCGAGGGCTGTGAGCAACGCTGACAGCGAGCTAGTCCGGTAGAGCTGGCCAACAGTACATCCTTGGATTCCTCTAGCCCTGGCCCGAGAACAAAAGCGAATGGCGGAGATACTATCTCCACCCGAGTGGAAGAATGATTCTTGAAGAGAGACTTGATTGTCGGCAAGGCCCAACGTCTGTTGCCAAGCACTGCGAAGTGCCTTTCCAATAGCATGAGAGTCGAACGCCTCCATTGCCGTCTCCCAGGTATTATCTTCAGGGTCTGGACGGGTTTTAAGAGTCGCGTATGGTCGGACAGTGTCGAGGTCAGAAGCGGCGGTCTCCTCGAACCATCTCTGTAGCAGCTTTCGATCGACCTTACCCGTGTTGCCGTGGGGGATCCACGAAATCGGAATCCAATATCTCGGAATCATCACATCATGCAGTCTGTTCTCAAGTTGGGAGCGGAGGTCCCGAAGGTAAGGGGTGGTATTGGGGGAAATCTCCAATGCCCAGTGTGTGGATTTCGATTCCGGCGCCCAGGAAGGATGATGCACAAACGCCACAAGCGTCTTATCGGGCTGACCAGCAATCACAGTAATGCTCTTGCCTCCAGGAGGCAAGAGTACATCGGCAGTAGCTTCGACATCGCTCAGATCGAACCGAATACCATGAAGCTTCACTTGATCGTCCTCGCGACCGATGAGATGCACATTTCCATCCTCATCATAGTACGCCAAGTCACCGCTGTTGTAGATGCGCCCCACGCGAGAGTCCTGGGAGAATTTGGAGTTGGCCGATTGGGGCGCCAGATATCCTGTGCTCAGTTGCCCTAGTTTACCATCCATATATGAGCCAATGTGCAAATACCCAACGGCCCCAGGCAGGACAGGGGACTGGTTTGCGTCGAGAATCATGGCGCGCACTGGCGGAGTCATTCGGCCAATATTGCGCATCATGCCCTCGGGATCATCACTGGACTTGAAACGATGGATGAATCCAATGATGGTACATTCCGCAGGACAGTAAATGTTATACACATCAACCTTGTCCATCCACATCTTAGTCACTTCCCTCACCGGAGGTTCGCCTCCGAGGGATAGAGACTGGAGAGAAGGCAACGCGAAAGGTCCAGAAAGCGTGGCAACCACACTCGGGGTAGCTTCTATATGGGTCACTGCTAATGCCCGTAAGGTTACCTCAAGATCGGTCACAAAGCTCTCGGATGGCGCAAGGCAGAGAGTTCCCCCGGAGAGAAGAGGGCTAAGCATACTCGAGATGCTGACATCGAAAACAACATTGCTTAGGAGTGGCATTCTTGTGCCTGGTCCATGGTGAAAATAGTCAATCAGACTCATCAAGCAAGCTGCTGCAGAGCTATGCGGGATCGAGAAGCACTTGGGATTACCGGTCGAACCGGAGGTAAAGCAAAGCCACGCCCCAGAAGAGACCGGAATTGATGGCTGAATGGTCTTCGCCGACTCGTTTGCCCAGGTCGTCTCCTCAAACAGCAAAATCGCGGTATCGGTGGGCCTCGGGATCTGATTGACAGCCGAGTAACTCCCGGAGTCAGTGATAATGAGCGATGCGTTGCTTACAGACACTTTGTTCTCGTTCAGGATACTTTTGTGAGTCGGATCGATCATAAGAAACGTAGCCCCTGATAGCAGGACCGCGAGGACGCTGATTACCAATTTTGGGGACTTATCCATGGCAATGACTACAACTTGATCAGAAATGCCGTGGGTTCTCGTCATGAATCGAGAAAGCATAGCTGAACGAGCATACAGCTGCTCATAAGTGAGCTTCTCCCCGGTCAAGTCTTCAACCGCCAGTTGCCCGGGGTATCTCTCCACGACCTCATGGAACAGGTCCACTAATGTGAGCCCAGTACTTTCAATCCAAGCATGGGAGATTTGTTCGGGTATTATGGGAGCCACAGCCCAACTATCGAGTGTTCGTGCATCCTGCGGTGAGATCTGATTCATCTGTATCAGGGGTGCCTCAAGTCCAGATTGAACAACATCTTGGAGTAACGATGCAAAGCCACGACCAAGGGTCTCGACGAAGGATGCACGGAAGGCATCAAATCGGTGTTGCAGGATTAGACGAGGGGGGCTGTAGTTTGGATCGATGTGAACAATGAGAGGGAAGTCGGCCCCCTTGGTTGGGAGTTGGATGTAATCCGCCGATTCCAGAAATGAATTGGCATCAGAGGCCTTTCCAGGGTTTGCTCGGAGATCATGAAGCACGAACATCACATTTAGCTGGAGGCTGGAACGACCGGTTGGTCTTTTTGCTGCTAGATTGGTGACGACGTCTTCGTAAGGTACAGAATGTGAGATACAGGAGAGGAATGTCTCTTGTGTCCGAGCCAAAAGAGTCCTGAAAGTGTCGGTCGGTGCAACCGTGGATGGGATCAGAACAGTGTTCAGACAGAACCCCACAACGTCAATGAATTTGGCGCTGACGCCGCGCTCAGTGGCTGGAACCGCCAACAGAAATTCGCTCTTGCGACTCACACGCGCCATGAGGAGTTGAAACAAGGCAAGCCATCCCACGAACGCGGTGGATCCAGCACAAATTTGTTCTTGAAAACTCCGGAAGATGTCAGAGTCGAGGTCCTGCATAATCAACTGGCTCTTGTCACATTCTTCGACCGACAAGGAGGGGATATGGGGAGGCAAGGGACCGAGGTCTTCAGGGCGCAGCGAAGCTATCTCATCGCCGATTCGTTCCTCCCACCAGTGGAGGTGATTGTTGTATTCTTGCTGTAGCAAAATGGAGCGCTGCCACTTGGCAAACTCGCTATATTGCACTGCTGGGGAAGACTGTAGGTCCAAAAATTGCTCGGATGAATAGAAATCCTCAATCTCTCTCGTGAGAATATGGAATGACCATTCATCCATCGCGATATGGTGGATATTGAAGTGGACAATCCACTGCTGGTACCCCAGCTCATATACTGTGACTCTCAGGGCTGATTCTTGGCTCAGGCTAAACAGAACTTCCGCGTCCGTTGCAATGCGGTCCATAGAGCTCTCGAGCACGGAATTCTTGTGTCGCACGCTAATTATCTCCAACTCCTTGAGGCTGACCACAGTCCACTGTGGTGGAAGATCAGCGACCGGCCACACTCTTTGCCTCACAAGGGGCAATGCATTGGGGCCCGCTTCCTTGCCATCAGAATCAACATCATGATATGTCGAATGAAGAACGTCATGCCTGGCATAGACTTGAAAGACAGCCCGGCGCAGGCGCTCCACGTCCAGGTCCATGGAGGGAAGACGAAGAACAAAATTGCAGTTGTACGCGCTATTAGCAAGCAATTTATCGGCTGCGAATATCCGGTCCTGAGATGGAGATGTGATCACCTCATCAATCTGAACAAATATGCCTTCCTTTGTAGGTTGGGGGGAAGGAGCTGCCGTCCTCGTTTCTGCCTGTTCATCGACCATTCTCGCAACCTGCTTTACAGTCGGGCTTTGAAGGAAGTTGTGTAGGGAAAGAGACACAGCAAACTCGAGATAGATGTGCTTTAACACAGCCATGGCATCAAGTGAAGAAAGTCCCATGGAGAGTAAATTGCTCTGAGCAGACCGAACAGGGCGGTTCAACTGCTCACTGATTATGTTGGCTATGGTCTGCTCTGTGGCAGTATTTCCGGCCGTGGCATCTAGCTCCAGGATTCCACTGGCTGACTGTAGATGAGACTCGAGCAAAAGGTCGAGACGCTTCTGATCAATCTTTTCACTCGCATTCAGGGGAATTGCACTTACCGGGATAATCTCAGGAACCATGTACGAAGGCAGCGTGGCACGACATACTCCCGAGAGACGGTCGATAAATTCCTGGCCATCAGTGAGCAGCTCACAAGGATCGGACGGATAGCAAAAGGCAGATGACTCAGTAACGAAGGCATGCAGTCGAATCTGTCCCCTTGGATCCTTTCTCCACCTTGTGACTGCTTTGGCAGCGATAGTAGTCAACGCATGGTCAATCTCCTGCAACTCGACGCGCTGCCCGTTGATTTTGACCTATACACGACAGTTGTTAGCCAATGCTCGCTCCCGAAAACTATTCTTCCTCAGTCCTACCTGAGTATCAAGTCTGCCCAGAAGTTTTAGATATCCATCTTCGGTCACTATACCGACATCTCCTGTGCCAAATAGATCGGGAAGACCAGGGCCCTGCACACGGAATTTCGATCGCGTCATGGTCTCATTCCCAAGGTATCCCAGAAAGATGGTCTTGCCGGTACAATAGATCTCACCGGACTCCCCTGGACCGGCAGGTTGCCCATCCTCTCGTAGAGCAATGATATTCGAGAATGGAGTAGCCTTGCCGATGATACTCGCCGAATCACCCGGTAGCAGCCGCGAGCCGACTATGGAGGAGGCTTCACAGGGCCCTAATGTGACAGGTATGTTAGCATCGCGATCTCTCTTCTATCACGCGCCATACGCACCATAAAGATTAAGGAGAACGGCGGAAGAGGCCCACGTTTCGATGATCTCCTGAGTGATCGCTTCTCCACTCGACAGCATATACCGAATCCCGGGAACCTCCTCAGGGCGCAGCATTGACAACATGCTCGGAGTGAGATGGATCATATTCGCTTCCATCTGATTGATCCAGAAAGCTAACTGGGAAAGAAGCTTATCTTTAGTGACCAAGCACAAAGTCGCGGCATTGAAAAGGCCACAAAATATGTCCAGCATATGCACGTCGAATGCTGGGCCAGCAAATTGAAGGATTCGAGAATGGGGGGTGATATCCTGCTGGCGGCTCAAGTAGCGAATGGGCTCGATAATATTGCGGTTCGAGAGCTTCACGCCTTTGGGCTCACCCGTACTTCCCGATGTGAAAAGAATAATCGCCAGGTCGTCTGGCTCACGGGTAGCAATAGGGTGGCTACTCGTTTCCACGGCATGCCCTTGATCATCGGTGAGACATTGCTCGACATTGAAGTATGTCCCATCGATAGATTGGGGGTCGGAATATCGTTGGAAAAAGTCTTGATTCGCCAAGATGACAGGCTTTTGCAGACGCTTCAACAAGCCATCCAGTCTGCTTTGAGGGATGGTTGGGTCCAAGGGCACGTAGACGGCTCCAAGCCATTGAACTGCGGCGATACTGACAATTTGCGCAATCGAACGAGGTAAGCACACCACGACTGGGGTTCCAGGAGGTGCTTGAGGGCGAAGCCTCTGGGCAAGTTTCTGCACCTTGCCACGTAATTGCTCGTAGGTGATTTGTTCTTCGTGCTCCCAGTCAATGGCGACACCTCCCAAATTTGACTCAAAGGCAGCAAAAAGAATGGACGCCACCGTCTCCTCTGACTCTAGAATTGGTGGTTGAGGGAACATGGTCAGGTTGGTATTGTGTTGATAATGTGGTCAAGTAGGTGATACAGAGAAGAAAAGGGAGACAGGCCGACTGGCTCGGAGGCAGGATGTGACTGAGGATACAGAAGAGAGAAATGTCTAACGATCAGGAGGTCTTTCGAACATTGAAGGTCACCAGTTCTTCATATACTGTCTCTAGCCCTAGGCTAATCTACAAAGAACAACGAGATGGTATCGTCCAGAGCATTCGCCACGCCGGTCCCGGACAGGAACGCTTGGTCATCGTCCATGATTGCCAATTCTGAAGAGTCATATCTTTCAGCACAAGACTTATCATCGATTATCGTCTTGTATACTCAACACTGGCGACAGCCTCGGCCTCGGAGTTTGCAGAGGGTCGAGTACTGGGGAAGGGCGGGTCCAGCATGGGGCCAAAGTATGGCTTCAAGCCCACAAAATCCTTCGATATCTGGTTGCAAGACTAGTGGGGGTCGTGCTTCATCCTAAACGAGACCATCCCTATCTCCCACTTCCCCTCATTACCAGACGGAGCTTGTGGTATTCATTCCGATACCGCGGTTCGTGGTACGATCATTTCGTGCTCGAGACAGGGACCTATATCCTCTGCGCCGTCTCCAGGTTGGCCAAACTTTTCATTCTTCTCCCACTGCTGGACGTGGTTCCCCTTTCTTATCTGTGATTATCCCTTGTCAGCTAGTTACTTCATATTTCCTTCATCATGCTCTCTACAAGACTACCATCTGTTCCCAAGAGACTTGGGTCTCGATTGATCACGTCCTCTACTGAGACCATTACGTCTTCTTCGTCCCCTTTGCCAGTCATCTATAATGATGCCTACCGCAACTTCAAGCCTGTGCAAACACAGATGCCTCCGCGCAAGTCCCAGTGGAAGACGACCGAGGCTGCTTCTCTGAGCCGCCAGAGCTTCCTCGATGTTCTCTTGGGCAACACCCCGCTCATCTCCGAACGGGGCTTTGTCTCGCAAGAAACATCAGAGCGCTTCGAGGCCGTCTTGACGGAGAAATTGATTCCTTACTCGCACATTGCTGGCCCTGAGGTTCAGAAAGTGGGTCTGGCTCAGTTTGAGTTCCAGGCGCAATCAGCGGAGGACTTCCAACACCGATCTGATGGTATGTAGTAGTGTCGGCCCTTCCTCCTTTGAGTGATTCTGGACATGAAGTGAGACATGCTAATCCGTTTCGATCCCGTCCTTTAGAAAAAGCACGCTATTTCGCCGAAGTGCAGAAGATTTCGGGTCTTCACGAAGAGCTAGCCGGCCAGACAGGCCTCAACCTGTGGCAGAAGGTTTTCAACGCCATCGCCTCCCTCCTCCCCGACTACGATGTGATGGTGGCGCAGGAAGGCCCCGGCCGGCGATACTTTGCGGGTATCTACCGGGCTATCAACGAGTCCACCCCGGTACATTGTGATTGGTCTCCGTACGACTCGTTGACGGAGGACTGGATCATCAACCGGATCTCACATCAGGCGGTGTTCAACCTCTATCTGACACCGGTGCACGGTGGGCACACAGTGATCCATGACCAACCTTGGACGGAAGAGGCGCTGGCCTTCCGCGACCCCAACTCGTATGGATATCACGCCAACGTGGTAGCGGGGACGAAGCACGCGATAATCCAGCCTGAGGTCGGCCAGCTGTGTATCTTCAACACCCGCAACATGCACCAAGTCTTCCCGGTGACCCAGGGCTCCAACCGACCGCGTCTGGCGTTCAGTAGTTTCATGGGGCTATTACCAGCGGTCAATGCGCAGGAGAAGCCCAGACTGATTTTCTGGTCGTGATGAAATCGGTTAGATAGCATGATCTTTGAGAATGAGATTGCGACATTCCGCTTATCAGGCTTATCGGTATGTAATGTAATGTATGTCTTAGATAAAGCGGTACGGGATTAATACGACTATTCAATAGCGGCCGACGGCTCGACCCCCGGCCGTTTGACTAACACCCAACCCTAACTAGCGTGTATGCAGTCTGATTTGGTCTGATGAGTTTCTGCAGGAAGTGCGGCTCAGTCCGACCAGTCCTCCGCACAAGGTGTCATTTTCCTCTTTCCCCTCAGCCGTCCTCAAAGCGCTGTTCTCTCCCACGTGCTTCTCTGATCCTCCTCATGAAAGGAGGCCCAGTGGCAACATATCTACTCCGTAGTCGGGTGCTCCGCTGCTGCCAGCACGATCAAGAAAGTCAACCAATGACTACGCGTGCAATTCGTTCTCTGGCAGGATTCTTATCGCATTCCGTATCGACTTGTCTCATTTTCCGTCGCAGTATTCCGAATTTCCAGGGAAATCAACCCAGATCAAGCACTGGAAGCGAATGCTTACGTTTCTCGACCGCGCCTCAATGACACGAAGTCTTTTCAAGCAAGCCCGGTCAGAGGTCAATCATAACGTGCTAGGAGATATTCTCGACCAATTACGTGATGGTTCATTGTTGAGGGTAGCATCGGATAGGACGGTCTGCACTCCCCGTGCGAGTGAATGGGAAGACCACTGTACTGTACTACTAGTTGTCCAAGCCGGAAATAGACAAACACACGGTTCAAATCACAATTTGGGAAGTAACAGAATAAATCGATTTCTCTTCTGCCCGCTAATATAGCCAATAATCTACAGTTTGGTCTGCTTCTCCCCGGCACCCGCGTAACTCCCGTATGTGGTCGCCGACCGCTGCAAGACGAATTCGCCTGCCGTGAGGTCGGAGTAAATCACCTGCTCCCCTGGCTTCAGTAACTCCGGCATAGACCCCACGCTCGCATCGCGGTTCGGCTTGGTGAAATACGCGACCGAGTACCTTCCGGGCAGAAACTCAGATTGATTCTGCAAATCGCGCTGGGAGACGTGCACGCGGTGTCGCGTCGAGCGCAGCGCCCCGTTCGACCAGCGCTGGAAGCAATCTCCGATGTTGACGATCATCTCATACTTCTCTGACTCAATAGGGTGGAAGGTGCCGACGGAAGTGTGGTCTTCCACCTCGAGCCCACCCACCGAGTCCTGGAATAGGAGGGTGATGGTGCCGAAGTCGGTGTGCTCTGAGATGCGTGTCTTGGTGCCGTCCTGGAGCTGTCGCGCTTCGATTGGCGGGTAGTGGGTGAGGCGAAGCTCGTTTTGGCGTTTGTGATGGAGGCGGTCGAACGCAGTCGGTGGCAGTCCCAGGCCCAGGGCCACTGCGCTGAGGATACGTTGCTGGCAGGCAAATCCGGCCTCGAAGTAGGACTCCATGAAGGCCCGGAAGCCGGGGAGATCGGACTCGGGGAGCCAGATATTGCTATAGAGCTCGTCGTCGGCGGAGCCTTGATCGAAGCATTCCTGATGGCATACCAAAGGTCAAATGATGCGGATGGGGAGGGCACACGTCCTGAGGAGAAGAAAACCAAGGCTGGACTCACCTTCATGTCGATCAACGGGGGAAGGACTTTCCCACCTTTCTTGCCCAGATTGCCGTGCACCGAAGTGTTCTCCATCCCCACCGCGCTATAACCTCGATTTGGGGTCGGGGTGGGCGGGTGCGGAGCTTTCGCTTTGACTTCGTTAGGCAGGGCAAAGAATCGCTTGCTCTTTAGAATCTGTCAGCTTGGGATTGTCTCCAGCACGGAGAGGAAGAAGAAATACAGACCCAAACAAATAACTCCTCAATCATCTCTGGCGCAATGCCGTGGTTGGTCAGCTTCAGAAACCCCTGTCGTTCAAGGGCATTCTTCATGGCCTCCCCGACCTTTTTCTGATCCCCGAGGGTGCCACTCTGCATGACCCCCAGGTCAATGGTTTCGAATGTCATGGTGTTACGGTTGGTGAATTAGTAGATGGGATGCAAACCGAGAGTAGAATAAGAATGAAGCATGCAATGAAAGCCTCCTGCACACTCTGACACTAGTACCAGTAGTAGTAATATATCGAGGATAGTAGAATCCTCACCAGACAGATTCGGCAACCCCAACCCGGGACAGCTTGTGTTGTGGTTATGGGCTGTCAAGCCTCGGCTCACCTGGAACCATACTCCCTCTGTCGCCCGATATTCTCGAATGGCACGATAACGATATGCTTCGAGTTCTATCCTCAAAGTATTCAAGTCGGGGTCCCCACTTTGTTGCAGTGCATTGACTTAGGGTTGGAGGGGATGCATGTTACCCCTCACCCGATATCCCTTATCATCGATACGGTCTAACGCAGCCATACAGTAGATGCTCAATAATACAGGGGTGAAACCACGCTAAAATAAGCTCGTGGGGGCGGAAAATCGAGGACTGGCATAGGCCGAACCCGGCGCATCGAAAATGTGATTGTCAGCAGGATTGCTAACAGGTTTCCGATTGGAATCTGACATTGAGGCTCGTGGACTGGAAATCTCTCGCCCTCCGACGGAGATGCGATCGTCGTCAATTTTTACTCGCTCCGCTCCGTAGATGTGACCCGCCTTTCTTCAGACGCAGCGGCCATTGTTGGCTTGGCGGAAATGCTTAGTGTCTTTTCCCAACGCGGTTAGTCTGATTAAGGGCGTAACTACACGTATCCATGCCTTGTGCTGATAGATACTCGACTTCAAAAGTGAGGACATGCAGTTGACGGTCAATAGGACAGTAGTATACACTCTGGAAACTAGAAGAGAAGTGCAATTCCATTTCCAGAATCGGCTCTGTAATACCAATCTATGCTTGGTTTTAAACTGCGACATAACAAGTACAGAATCGTTGGTATTGATAGCAAGCTTGCCGTGCCGAAAAATATATATATATATATATTTACAACCACACAACTTGGCGTCATTCCGATCCGAGATCCCGCACTCATAACTTTCGCCATACTACTAGTACTTCTACTACTACAATAACAATTCGGAAAAAAAATGCAGAGAATTAAAATGATAAAAGCAATGTGGGGCAGGTCGAAAACAAACTATCATAGAAATTTCCAGCGGAGCAATGGAATTGAAGTAGAAGACTATGTACAATCGATACAGCTAGATCAACTATTCTCATGATGACAGAAACCCTGGAAGCCATTTCATGTCTCGTAGATAACATATCACGAACCTCCTTTGACCTTCTGCCCCATCAACCGATTGGCAGTCAGACTGGCCGTGATCGCTTCCTTCACCCCTCGATGCCACCCGTGGGCATCCAGGACGTTCATCGCCTTCTCCGTACTCCCCCCGGGAACACAGACATCGTTTTTCAGCTGTGCCAGTGGGACGCTGGGGATTTCGCGCGCGAATGCTCCGGATCCAATGCAAGACTGTGTAATTAGATCCCGGGCGAGAGACTCGGGAAGTCCGAGGGACATGCCAGTTGCGACCATACTATCCATAAGACGGTAGAAGTAGGCGGGAGCGGATCTGGTACGAGTTGTCGGATTAGCAAGATGGTCTTTTCCGAAAAATATCGAGGTGCGCCAACATGACCCCAAGAAGGGATTTAGAGGAGGGTAACTCACCCTGAAATAGCAGCCACAACATTTAACTGATCTTCGTGGGCCAGCGTGACAACGCTCGGCGAGATTGCTTCAAACATGCGGGTGAGAGTCTCCAGCTGGCAGGGAGTGACCAGTGGCGAGGGGAAGAGTCCGGTTGCGCCCTGGCAAACCATAACCGGGGTGTTGGGCATCGACCGGACGATGGGCGTGCCCGTGGGAAGCCATTCTTGCAATTGCGCGATGGTGATGCCTGGACAGAGTGTGATCACGACAGGAGGAGTGCGACTAGCTTGAATGTGGGGGTAGACATCGGCACAGACCAGCTGGACATGCTGAGGCTTGGTGACGATGAAGAGAAAATGGCCTTGCTCGTCATCGGTCGCCTCCCCCTGCCAGAGCGCTGGATCCCCGTTGTCGAGAGTTATCGCAAGACCGGGAAATTCCTCGCGCAGACAGTGAGCGTGTTGCTCACGTCGAACCGTCAGGGTGATCTTGCTGGGGTCCAGGTTCAAAGGCGAGGCCAGAAGTCCGGTGGCGATACCTTTGCCCAAGACCCCGCACCCGGCAATAGTGATGCGAGGAGCAGGGTAACCAGAGTTTCGAGAAATCTTGTGAATCATGATGAACACAAAGTTAGCTGACTTGGAGGGTGAGCCTTCATTACCAGCGCGTCGAGGTGGTAGGATATAACCAGAAAGACGATGAATCACGTGATTTCGAAGAGGAGTAAAGAGTCGAGGATGCCTGCCAGGGGCCCGTACTAGATAGACAGCCTGTCACCCAAAGGGGTTAAGTCTATGGTACATACTAGGTAACGTATCCACTAGCTGAATTCGCCTAGTCGAGTAACCCCTTGAGGAAGGTATCATTGGGGTTGTGGATGGTGCCACAGAGTGACAGCGAGTGTAACTTTACCGTGCGGGAAGAGCCGTCGACCGCCAGCTCGAGCCCTATCTTTATCGCCTCGCCACTATCAGCCGCTTGCTCCCGACATCGGCTCCCTCGCAATCAGGAGTGCCAATTCGAGATAAATACATCTTCCTTTTTGGTTTTGAACCGTAGTAGCTAGTAGTCTACTATCAATTACAACTTGAATCCTTCCAGCCTCCGCTTTCTACTACTACCAATCGTCCGTTGCCATGGGAGTTGCCACCGAGAACAATCTCCCGCAACCCTATGCGGAGGAGACGATTCTCGCTCTGCTGGACTCGATCGGTCTCAGCCGTCCTGTCGCAATCAAGCCCCTGAAGGTGACCGCTGCTTTCCACATCATCTACGTCTTGACCTACCCCCGAGCTATCATTGCGCCATTATTGCGATCGGACAGACCCCTCCCCTCAAGTGGGGAAGAAAAGGAGGTGGACTTGATCCTGCGCATCTCCGGGAATCATGTGCCGCGCATCAAGACGGAGAATGAGACTGCGATCCTGACGTGGCTGCGCGAGCACACCTCCATCCCTGTCCCCGATGTGGTTGCCTTTGATGTGACCAGTGCCAACCCCTTAGGGTGCGAGTATCTGATTTGCAACCGGTGCCCGGGCCAAGCCATCTCCGACATCTACTCGACTCTAAGCGAGGCTCAAATCGACTCGATTCTGTTGCAGCTGATGAACATCCTTCTCGAGCTCCATCAACACCAGTTTTCACGAATCGGGGGGCTGGCCTTCGACGAGCAGCAGCAGCAGCAGCAGCAGCAGCGCAGCATCACCGTCGGCCCCATGCTGGACGAGCATTTCTGGTTCACCGGTGACATCCCGCGCTACTTCTCCAAAGAGGAAACCTTTACGACCCTCAATTACCGCGGGCCCTTCAATAGCTTCACCGATTACGTCTCTGCCGCCGTGCGATCCTACCTGCACGTGGCCGACATCCATCCCTCGCTGCAGAGCCCGCTGGCCCCGTATCGCCCCCGTATCGCCGCCTTCCTCGATCGCCTCCCCGCGCTCGCCGGGGACACACCCACGGAGCGCGACTTCTACCTCGCGCACAAGGATCTTCACTTTGCCAATATCCTCTACGACCCGGCCACCGACCGCATCACTGCCATCTTGGACTGGGAATTCGCTGGCACCGTCCCCTATCCACAGTGGGATCCGGTCCGCGCCTTCCTGTGGAACGCGCAGCCCGGCCAGGAGTCGTTTGACGAGAAATACCGGCTGCGCGATCGGTTCTGGCAACTCTGTCGCGAGCACGGGGCAGCGGTGTTGGCCGAGACGGAGTGGCTGGACCCGCGGCTGGAGAATATGCATTTCGTGCGGAATGCCTTGCGCGGGATTACAACCAATGTGCCACGGGGGTTGCATCCCGAGGCTGTGGAACGGTGGTTCGGTGACCTGGAGAAGGGGCTGGCTTACTTCCAGCTGTAGACGGAAGAGAGGAGGGAGGGAGGGAGGGAGGGGGGAGAGGTCAAGAATGACTGTGCTTAGTTGTCGCATGATGAACAAGAAGGGACAGATGTCCATATTGCGGGTTGTATGGATATTTTAGTCAATGGGGGACCAGGTATTCCTGCTACTTGAAGGGAAGACTCCAGCACAGAGGGGTGTATTGGTGGTAGGATGCGTATATATATTCATTTACTTGATGAATGCTACAATACCACCGATTCCGACTCCACCAGTTTCTTCTCCAACCACTTCCCAATTCGCACACAGTTATCATCCACCGCCACTGCAAATCGATCGGCCACCCAGAACACCACGAACAGCAACACCGACCACGCCAGAAGGAATCCCATTAGATACGGGCCCGTTGCCTCGTGCCCCGTGATCTGCCACATCAGGGGGAATAGCCGATAGCCCAAGCCATGCATCAATGGCCCATGCACGATATAGATCGAGTAACTGATCCACCCCAAATACTGCACGAGCCGGACGTCTAGAACTCGAGAAAAGCGACTCTCCTTGGCGCTGTGCGAGATTACACCGACGAGGATAATGGCCCCCAACGAGGGGAAGACGCGGTAGAAGCGCACGTCCCACGAGGGCAAGATCTTGGCCAGCGTCATGTAGCCTGGGGTGCGGTGAATGCATTTGTCCGGGGCGGAGAGGAAATACAGGGAGATGAAGACGAGCACCACCCGGAGAAAGAGGATGCACAGTCCCGTGTGGGCGGGAGTGATGGCTTCGGGGGCTCGGGCAGCGTCCCAGCGAAGGGAGGTTTCGGCCAGCAAGCTCCCAGCCAGAAACAGGACCATCACCCACCGAACATGCCCGTAGCAGTAGGCAATCAGACCGATCAGAATGGCCACGCGGTACCGGTAGCGGAGCCGCACCAACACCAGGAGAATGAGGAACAGCAGGAGCGAGGCCCGGAATTCCATCGGGATGGTCCACAGATGCACGTCGTACTCGGGATAGGTCTCCTCCCAGGCAAAGATGTTGGTCATGTTCCACATCATGGATGCCCAGTGGGCGGTCTGCGCCCCAAAGGTGGGCAACCGGGCTTGGTGGTACTCGTTTTCGGCAGTAATGATGGTTTGATCCACTGCAACCTGGGCGGGATAATCCCAGGCCCCAGTCTGGATCAAAATCATAGTGATCAGCGTAGCTAGGGTTGTGGGCAGGAAAAGGCGGAACCCGCGGCGGAAGGTCGAGGAGCTCAGACTAGGGAAGACAGCCTCCAGTTTGCTGGCTCGCACCAGCTGCCAGGATCGGTAGGAGAGCACGAAACCCGACAGCACAAAGAAGATACAGACCGGGGCAGACCCGGAATAGACAAGCCGAATGATTGGCAGCTGGTGGAGGCGCAGATTGTGCTCAATGGGCTCGTTGTTGTGGGCGCAATGAGGTTCACGATGAGCCTCCTCGGGGGTAAGCCCGTAGCCGTAATTGACAAAGTTGTGAAAGGCCGAGATGATATGGTAGTTGACCACGCAGAGCGCAGCTACTCCGCGGAGCCCATCAAGAGGGGAGGTGCGGCGCAGAGATGGCGGTTCAGTTCTGTGCCGCCATAAACTGGTGATGAAGTATGGCAGTAGCGCCGTCAAGACGAGAGTAAGGCACTTGGGAAGCCTCTTGCGGGCTTGTTGCAGCCATGCCTCATACACATGGGGCTTTTGTTTCTCGGCATCATGTTCACCATCGACATACTCGTCCAGCTCAAGTGAGGCCGTGCGGTGGGATAGAAGTGGCTCCATTAGAGAATAACCGAGGAAAGAAAGAGAAAATGAAAAGAAAAGGAAGCTCGACACGAAGAATCAGTCCGGGGCACAGGGACTACCCGAAAGTCATCCAAACGTTTGCTCTTCATTTTTGTAATTCCGACGGTGCAGTATGTACATCACAACAGGCATGACAAATGATGGCATGGAATGGCCCTGCAGGACCAGAGCTGCAGGACAGGGTTCCCAAACCAGGTTAGAGCGGGAGAAAAGCCAGGTAAAAACTCCGAGTGCTCATTACACAAGCCTGTGTGTCAAGCGTTTGGCTTGCAGCGATCTTGCGATCTGGCCAGAAGTAGGGCTAATTTAGCGCGGGGTTGGAGACAGAAACGCAGGACCGAGGCCGATCCTTCCAATACCCCGTAAAACACTAGCCGTAATATTCTCCCCCTCCCAACCGACTAAAAAAAAGTCCCGATAGCAATCAAGCTAAAGATACTCGCCGCGGCAACAAATGACAGTCCAACCATCGACATCGACTCATCCAATTGTGCCCCAAAAAGGCAGGTATACGACGTCGCCGGCGCCGCGATGGCATCAAACACCGCCTCGAGCATGCTATCCGGCAGCAAGTCTCCCTCGGACCCCGTCAACTGCGCGATAAGGCCCCCGACTCCACCGCCGAACCCGATACCCAGTGCATACAGCACGACCCCTAATTGCATTCGTAAGATTGGTGGATTAACGCCTTCTGGCATCGAAGGACGAGGCGATAACATACCTGTGTATACTATCGTCGGTGAGCGTGATGCTGATAACAGAGCCGCCCCTATAGCCATGCACACTGCACTGCCTCGCATCGTCCACAGGTCAAGCCGATAGGGGCCAAAGAGAGGAGTCGCATCGGCCGAGTGCGTCGGGGATTGCCGTCGCAAGAAGAGGGGTCGGATGCAACGCATGAGGATGGCGAGTCCCATCAGGCTGACGACAGCTTTGAGGCAGAGGAGGAACCCGGTCTAGAGCAAGGAGGATGGATGGTCAGTATTGTCGCTCCGGTTCACGGAGCGCATTCTTCGCGAGGAGTTACCTACCTCGGTCATAGTGTCTTGATAACGGTGAGACACGGTTGGAAGGAGAAGAGAAAATGGGTAACGTCCGATGCGGGATATGAGGCATGTCGCAACGAGCCAGGAGACCCGCAGGTCAGACCGCGAGGGAATCGTGGGCTTCCTTAATTGCTTCAGGCAGGAAGTCGCCAAGGTGCTCAATTCGTGCTGTTCTGTATGTTTGTCGGCAGTATGCTGGCGTGGGTTCCGCGGCCGTTCATCGGAGGGTATCAGAAAGGCTAGTGGGAGAGTGACGATAGGGATGATGAGACCCAGTAGTAGCGACACGTAGACATTGTAGCTCAGGGCGAAGGTGGCAATTGCGGAGCCAGCGAATTCGGCGGTTAACAGGGTTGTGGTGATATGGAATGTAGATGAGTGGCTAGGAATAGTAAATGACAATCCATGTTAGTATTCGATGCTCAATTCTTTTTGGTTTGGTTCTGGCTTTCAAAGGAGGTGGTGACAGTACCGGTCGGATGAGGCTGTCTTGTCACTAAGCAAAGACGATATTAGGGCTATTGTGGTTCGCGAATCGCCGCCGAACAATCGAAATAACGAGGAGCACCACGTCCAGGGTAAAGGCAGTCCTGACCATCCTGTATCAAGCCTGTGAGCTCACTCACGCCTCAAAACTCTAACTCCAAAGAGCCGGTTAGGGCATTTCCATACCCACGAAGAGGATCCAGCTCTCTGCCAAGATTGTACCCCCCCAATTCAACACAAGCATGAATCGACGCGAGAAATGCTTCCGCATGCGTGTTAGAATAACAAGGTATAGTATATCTAAATGGGGAAAGACGAACAGTCAGTACCGTAGCCTCGATAGGTGGAAACAGAGAAGAAGAAGATGATGATGAGAAGAATGAAGTGGAGATCATCTACCGGGGACACAATCAAAGGCAACCTGCCATCCTTGGATATAAGAGGCGTAGGGAAGAATCGCTCCCTGTGAAAGGCCATGACCAGACAGATATAGATGTTGAAACTTTGCCTCAGTGATTATAGCTTCATAAAGCCGCAGATGGGATAGTAGTTGAACAGAAGCACACAGTTGCCGTAAAAACACTATCGAGAAACAAAGAAACAGTGGTTTAGATTTGGAACTGGGCCGGGAGTTGGAGGGAACCGCCGAAGATAGCAACGGCAATGTCTCATTAGAGCCATTACTTCGCGCACAATCCTTCGAAATAAACCAAAGACTGATGGCAGACGACTCAGATAACGATATCCATGCCATCTCGGAAGATAGGTGAGGATGGTAGAGGTCAAATCAATGATTGGGGTTCCTAGAGTGCAGGATATCTTTCATAAGAACTTTCTAAATGAACGTAGCCGGCTGGATTGGACCGAAAATGCCTTAGGGACTTCTGCCCTGTGACGGGGGTTAGTCAAGTGTTCAATCCGGAGCTAAGAGCGACATCAGACCCTTCCACCTCGACATCCCGGACATTCCGGGTGATCAGTTTGCTCGGTGATAAGAGCCAGAGCAAGCGGAAACTGTGCAGGAGCGCGGACCAACAATCAGGGGAGGGGCTGGTGCGCATTAAGCCGATAGGAAGTCTGACCTGGCTGGGAAATTAGAGCAGTATGCGGGACCAAACTAATAGGATTGCCCTGGTTATCCCGGCGAACTTCCCCTCCTCTAGTCTGCTCATCAGCAACTCCAGTTCCTAAGCTGAGCTCTTTCCCCCTCACTTCCATCCACTGTCATTCTCTCTCGTCACACCGAAAACCAAGCATTCATTCTACTTCGACAGCTCAATATGCAGTCGTGGGTGCTATTATCGCGTATCAGGCGCTCACTGAATCGCTGGATTCCTTCCCACCAGCCCCAGTACGAGCAGGTCGAAGCGATTGATTTAGAGGAGCTCCGTGCTGATGGTTCCCGCGTGGATGTGGCACGGCATGAGTATGGCATCTTGCAGGACTGGCTTACCTCTTTGATGCGTTCAGTGCAATCAGCCGACTACTTGGAGCAAGCCTGGCTGCCAGGGACCTCGAAAGATGCTCATTACTATGTCCCACTGTCAGGAATGGCACGCCAATCCCAGTGGGTAAAGACAATTACAAGCAAGGAATTTCTATGTCCTCTCTTGGCTTCAGCTGGACTGGAGGTATGATCGTACGGAAGCAGTATGAGTCCAGGTAACAGTGCGCTAACCAATTGGCATTGACTAGATGCTTGCCTCGCTCTTGACGCTTCTCCTCCCGTTATTCCTCCGACGAGTTCTGCAGGATCCTACTCATATCGGAAACTTTGTGGCTCTTTTTCTAGCTAGTGCGGTGGCTACGTTGGCTGGACGTGCCAAAGATCAGATCTGCCGAGTTTTGTCTGTTCGAGCTTCGTCTGTTCTTTCCCTGGCTATATTCCAAAAGAGTGTTCGTTTTTCGAACCTGGCGCATCTCCGGAGTCCCGTGGGAAAGGTCTTGGGCAGCTCCACAACCGATATGATGCTAGTCCGAAACTATGTTCTCAAGGTTCATGATATCTGGAGTAGTCCTGTGCAGTTACTCCTCATCGCGTTTATGATCGTTCGTCTGCTTGGTTTATCTGGGGTCGTGGGTAAGGTTGGAGCCTCGCTGTGTAACCGAAATCAGTTACTAACTTTCATCAGGCTATGTGGCAATGTCCATCCTTCTATTTTCCCAGACTAGGGCCAACGCTGCGGTGGGTGTAGCAGTGGAAGACTACCTGCGCATCGATGAGGTGCGCATCAATCACCTCAACTCCGCCTTCCAAAAGATCCGCGGTATCAAATCTTTGGGATTGGAACCCATGTTTCTCAAGGAGATACGATCAGCCCGAGAGATTCAATTGGAAGCCCTATGGCGTCGTCTGCGCGTCGTCTTTTGCTTCTTTATCTCCATAAACCAGATGATTCCCGCAGTCACCGCGATGGTTTCCTTGACAAGCTACTGGTATACTGGCCACGAGCTGGTGCCAGAGGTGGTATTCCCTGCCTTGACATTATTCGAAATGACATTTTCGCCAGCCTCCAAATTCTCCCTCTCGGTAACCCGTCAGTTCTCTATTCTCCCGTGTGTCCGACGCATTCTCCATATCCTGCAACAAACGGAACATCAGCCTGCTAGTCAGAAACCAGGGGAAGTTCCCCAGTCGAGCGATGCCAGCGCCGGCAATCTGATCAATTTTCATGATGCGAAAGTATCCTACCCGAACGCAGATGACAGTTCGACTAGCTTTGTCTTAGGACCGATCACAATGGGTATACCGGCTAATAAATTGACAATCATACATGGAGCCAGTGGCAGTGGTAAGTCCACGGTGCTAGCGGCCATTGGCGGGCAAGCCGAGGTCATTGAGGGTCAACTCCTACGAAACTCGGCAACAATGGCCCTATGCACTCAAGACCCGTGGATTATGCTTGGTACTGTTCGTGATAATATCACATTTCTGCGGTCTTACGAGCCTGTGCGCTATCGTCAAGTCGTCCGCCTCTGCTGCCTCGAGTCAGACATTGCCTCGTTTCCGGGCGGCGACCTCGCAATTGTAGGGGAAAGTGGCGCTAATCTCAGTGGTGGCCAGAAGGCCAGAATTTCTTTGGCACGAGCGATCTACAGCGAGGCAGATCTTCTGCTCTTGGATGATTGTCTGGCTGCGGTTGACCCCCGGGTGGCACGCAAGCTGTTTCATGAGTGCATCCTCAAGCTGCCGCAGACCGTGATTTTAGGTAAAGCTACATCTGCACTAGGAAAAGGTCGAATGCTAAGTAGGCTCTTTGTAGTTACACATCAGACCGAGTTCATCCGATACTGCGACCATGTTGTTTCCTTGGCCAACGGCATGGTTGCTGAGGTAGGTAGTCCCGAGGAGCTACGAAAAAACCCACATGGGGTTATTGGGTCAATCCTCCTCGGTGAGACGGGCACTTATAGCAAGGATCATTTGGATGGAGTTATGAGCATGGAATCAACGTCTAATGAAGATTCTGCTGATTCCAAGCAAATCACCTTAGTGGAGGAGGAGCGCGCCCGTGGTAAGGTTGACACTGACTTATATCGTTTCTACTTTGAATGTGCTGGGGGCCCTCGATTCATAATGCTGCTCTCCCTCATGCTCTTTCTCACCGTTGCTGTTCGAATTGTTAACAGTTTCTGGTTACCATGGTGGATGGGAAATGTGCTATCTGTCTCGACACCTACTTATCTTACAGGGTATGCTCTAGTCGTCATGCTACAGGCCACCTTCATTGGTATGTTTTGCTCGAAACAATCGACGGGACGAACTCAGTACTGACGATGACAATCACGCTTGTAGCCTCAGTTGGAGTGATCCTTGTATTGGGAACGATGAAGGCTAGCCGGAGTATCCATGAGGGCGTCGTCACCCGTCTTTTCCGCGCACCTTTGGACTTTTTCAGTGGACAGCCTTTAGGTCGCGTCTTGAATCGGCTATCGGTAGATATCGATGGGATCGACTTTCGGCTCATCAATGCGGGCGATCTATTGCTGATGGCTGCAACATCGCTGTTTGCGGCGGTCATTGTGCTTGTCTGGAGCTCTCCTTACCTTCTGCTGGCCTTCGGACCGATATTCTACTTTCAATATCGTATTCAGTCGCTCTATCGAGTGTAAGTGATCCGTTCTCTCTTAAGCAGCGCTTACTGCAGTTTGTCCAGAATTGATGAATAACTTCTGTACGTCAGGTCTGCCCGCGAACTCCGACGTGTTTGCTCTATCCTGGACTCCCCCGTCCTCTCCGTCATCACAGAGAGTATGGCTTCGATGCCGACGATACAGACGTATGATGCACGAGAGCTGTTTGAAGAACGTCACCGTGTAGCTCTTAGCCGGGCTATTGTCGGAATCACCGTCCGCTACGCATTGGAAACATGGATTACACTGCGGATCGAGATGCTATCGGTGGGCCTGCTGGGGTGTGCGGGTTTGCTCGGGGTCTTCGGTGTGCTGGACTCGTTACAGATGGGGCTCATCTTCACCCTCAGTATCTCATTGTCGAAGCATATGCACCAATTTCTGTGGTCTTTGATCAATGTCGAGGTCGAGATGAACTCCACGGAACGACTACGACACTACATGACTCGGATCCCGGTGGAAGATGACCACCGCGTGCAGCCGACGAGCCCAACCTGGATGGGGGATACTCCGGACGGGGCGCATCCTTACATTGTAATCAAGTCTCCCGACTCCGAGCCAGAAGGTGAGATCATCTTTACCAACGTCACGGTCCAATATCCGCGCAGCCAAAGCCCATCCCTCCGAGACTTCTCGATGTGCATCCGATCGGGCGAGAAAGTGGGAATCATCGGACATAGTGGTGAGTGTATCCCAAACCCATCCTTTCACATCACCGTCCGGCCTATCTAATGCGCACATTCTTGCCTAGGCTCGGGAAAATCGACTATATTGGCGGCGTTATCGGCCCTCGCCCCGGTGGTGCACGGCCGGATCAACATCCGCGGGACCCCGATCAACGACCTCCCTCTTACCACCCTCCGAAGCATGGTACACGTCCTCCCGCAAGACTCGGTTCTGTTCCCCGGCTCGGTGCGTCAGAATCTCGATCCGCAGCTCTCTCACTCTGATGACACGCTACTCCATGCGCTTTCCGTGGTGGGGGCATTCCACGCCTTTGACCTCCGACACAGCGGCCCTCTGTCCGAGGAAGGGGGGGCGCAGGCCGATCCTACACACCGCTGCACAAACAGCAGCAATCTGCTCGACCTCGTGATTGCACCAGGGGGCACGAATCTCTCGGCTGGACAGGCCCAGCTGATTTGTTTGGCCCGCGCTCTGCTGGCCAACCCCCGCATCCTCGTCCTGGACGAGGCGACCTCGAGTGTGGACTTGCAGATGGAGAACCATATTCAGCAGGTCTTACAGAAGCACTTCCGCGATAGTATCATTTTGTGTGTGGCGCACCGTCCGACGAGCGTGGCGTGGATGGATCGAGTGATCGTCATGGCAGACGGCATGTGTGTCCGCGAAGAAGACCGATCAGGTATTCAGACGGATGTTTGAGATATGTCTCCAAATCACTAGAGCGCCGTTCAGGTCAGTGAACTTGTTGTAATAGAGAAAAAAACACCCTGCCACCAATGACTATAAGGAAAAGTGTAGCAAATTCGAGCTTTATTGAAAGGGGAAAGCAGTTTCTTCCTACGATATCAGACAGTCAAGTGAAAATCACCAAAAGCGTTCAGACAAAGAAGAAGGGAAGTGCATGACATACTGCCTTTAGCCAAGAGGAGGCTCGCTTTGTCTTATAGTATACTTACTAAGTAGACCATTATGCATTCACGACAAGATTGCAGTTTTGGTGGTCTTTTCATCCCGATGGCTACCACAGCCTTACAAAGAAGATCCCTCAGCTAATTTCGTCGGGGCATCGTTCTCAGTTACTATCAAATCAGAGTTGGAGCTCATATAATACTGCTTGTCACTTAGAGATTCATATGCCTTATCCACATTCTGTCGTTGTTTCTTCGTGGATCAGGGCCAATAGAGTACGGTGTAGCCTTGATTTACCGGATCCCTGTCTTTCGCCCTTCTTGTGTATGTAAAGTTGACTAGCCAATCTTGTCAATGACACCCCCACAACGGTCTATGCTATACATGCCGGAAACTGGGCGGGTTGCTGAAATGCCAAACCTGTCGTTGGTCTTATTACGGCGCCTGTAGTACACCCGTCGACACGGGTACAGAACCATTATTCTTTTGCCTGCCGTGCAAGGGAAGAGGGTAGGATTGAGCCGGGGGGGCGGTCCATGCGAAGATGAACAGGCCAGCCGGTAGGAGCACAGAGCCCACCAGCGCGGAAGCCTTGGCGCCGGGTTTTCAGGGCTATGTAGTAGTATAGGTAGAGGAAGTAGCCCCCCGCTTCAATCTTCCTGTGTGCCCCTCCATCCCGCATTTAAGTCGATGGTGAAACTTTCCGGAACATATGGACGATTGAAACAAAGTAGGCTCCGGGAGCTGTTCATTCGTGGCGAGTTTTGTGTCTAATGCCCCCTTTCCCTCTAGCTGTAGCCCGTGTTAGTGACCGGCACCATTGGTTCCCTCTGATTTCCAGTCTGTATAGTGGACCAACTTGTCACCTAGCGGTCAGGTGTTCAGCCTCATCGTTGATTTCATCCTCTATCGCTGCTTTAGGAAAGAGTTGGCCTACTATCCATTTGCCATTGGGTGAAAGATAAGCAAGAATAAGAAGCGCCGTTTTCTTGAGCAGAGGGCTCCTCAACTCCGAGCCCATCCGATCGTGTCGCAGGTGGAATACGAAAAAGAGCATTACCGACGAATGCTAACTGATCATCTTAACAACCATGGTACGTCGCCCTTGCGGCTGGAAGTCCACCCATTCGGTGGGTGTGGATATGAAATGTGGCTTAGTGCATCCACAGGGAGGGTCCTGGAAGCCTAATGCCATTTCCACTTCCACTGACGCTATTGTGGCAAATCAAAACACCAACAAAACTCATTGAAATCTGAGAGTTGACAAACAGGCAAGATCACCAATACTAATGATCGTACCAGAAAGTGCAGATTGAGCAAGTGTAGTAGTCCCAAAGAACATTATCAGTTGGTCCCGTCTTCTTGAGCCTGGGAATATCAATTTTACAATCCGCATTGATGGAGACTTTCCCCATCCATTTGCAGGCTCGGACTCAACCCAGCATAACTGGAGCGAGCCAGTCAGTATCAGCGACAGGGCGTCAAGGCAGAGTTTTCTGCATGCAACATACCTTCCCAGCCCCAGTCCCTCATGACACTCAGCCAGTGCATCTCAGTCCTGATGAAAGCTTCGCGATTAAACTCCAACCCCACCACCGAGCCCACAGCCGACAATGTCCGATTTGGAGACGGCTCCACCGCGGCATCATCGCGCCTCCTCCAGGCTTCTAACGTCACCTCGAGACATCGATCGGCGATCCCCGAGCTATTCAAGCTCGATAAGTGATGCCATTGCCTGCGCACCCAGAGGCGGTCCTCCGCCTCGGCCACCTCGCACTCTGCGATGGTCCTCGGCTGCGGGTATCACGGCTGGAGCTACAACACTACGGGCGCCCTTACCAAGGCACCGATGTTCGACGATCTCCCTGGATTCAAGAAAGAGGCGAACAGTCTTTTTGAGATTCACACCAAGCAGGACGATGCCGGGTTTCTGTTCGTCAACTTTGATCAGAGTGCGGAGGCGAGGAACAGCCCCCTGCCCCCCGCCGCGAAGATCGGTCATCCGGTGATGATCTACCAGACATCTCAGTATCTGGACAGCTGGACGCCCAGAAGCGACTTCAACTGGAAGATCATGGGTAAGATTTCCCGCTGCTGTCTACCTTTTCCTTCCTGCTTGCTATAGGCGAGTGATAGAGAGCGAGCGAGTGAGCGCCCATGCTCATCACCGCTAACAAACAAATAGTCGCTCACAACGAGAACCACGAAATCCGCGAAGGCCACCGCCTCGTCGAGACCGGCATTGTTGCTAGTCTGAAGGCCCTGCCGGCGCTGGAAATCTCCCACATGAGCCAGCTCCGTTCGGCCTGCTGACAACGGTCTACACGAAGCGTGGTTCGCCCTTCTGGTTCTTGGTCTCCTATTCGCCCGATTCGGCCGGGCAGACGACCGTGCGATGCGAAGCATACTCAGTGCGGAAGCAGCATACGCCGCTCGATAGCGATGTGAAGAAGAACTGGGGCGAGCAGCTGCGGTTGAAAGTCCAGGGATTTGAACAGGCGTACCGGAAGGCCCTCAGGGATGGGCCTAACCTGGGCGCCAGTGTTGGTAAGTTGGGCGAAGTTTATCTTAGGGTACCCTCTGACAGCGTCTGCATAGATGGCCAAGCTTTTATTGCTGATCAGGTAGATGTGCATCTGGAGCGGGAGGTGGCCGAGGGCAAGGAGATCCGACCGGCGGCAGTGCAAGCCTCGAATGGTGCCACATCGGCAGCCGATAAATGTGAGTCAGCGGTTCTTCTCATTCTCGCGATCCAGTTTTGACCGTGCGCAGTGTGCCAAGCAATGGAATGTGGTGCTAGTAGTAAACTTGACTGGTGATGAGGTTACGTGGTATGATGCACCTACTTGATTCCTCGTTGTTCGCTATATGCGGACTTCGCGCCCCCCCCCCGCGGCTGTGGCTACTACCCTTCCAATACTGCATCTTGTGGGTATATAGGCAATGGCGGAGAGTCGCAAAATGGGTTTTTTGTTCATAGTCTACAACTGCTAGTGATCTGTGCTCCCCGTACCTCCCGTACCTCCGAAGAGCGGGATTCAGAGCCACACATAGAGGTTGACAAGATGTATCGGCGAGGTTGCGTGAATGGCACTTAAGCATGCAGAGATGTTTTTAACACCGACGTAAGGGGGTCAATTACCGTTTCGTGCCTCTAGACTCTCGTCTGACTGCTCTGACTCTACTTTCTTGTTTCTGTTTACCGCTCCGTCGACGGAATCGCAAGATGCGGGGGTGCAACAATATAACAATCGTGGCCTAAGCATCGACTACGCTAATGACACCCATTCGATGTAGGCTATAATCTAAGGCAATCACATTGCCGAAATTACAACGTGGTCTATACGTAATGTAGACGAATCTGGGATGGGTCTAATAGGGATTCACTGATTTATCCTCCACTTTCCCAGAGGCGTGGCAGTATCGAGGGCAGTGCAAAAATAAATAGCAGCATGAAAACAGAAAAAAGCAGAAGCAAGGCCTAAGCATTCGATCTGTAAAATAGCGTCGTGGGGTGCAGGAGCTGCCTATGGGACAATCGATTGGACAAGCGCGAAACGCAAGTTCGGTCAGCACATCGATCAGTAGAGATTTATGCTTTAGTTCACATCCACCAATCTGCAACCATGAGATATCCGCGCGGTAAACACTATACCTGCCTAGCCCAGAACCCTGTCTAGAAATCGCTCAAAGATACCTCTGCAAGCACAAGTTAGCCCCCCAAAACCCTCTGTGCGGTGCAAGGTCGTATCTTACGTCGCTGGCTGAGGAATATAGTTGCGCTCATCTTCTTCAATCAAATCCAAGCCTTGCCTCAGGTCCACCTCACTGGAATTCATGATCTTCGTCTTGTGAGCGAGTTTCCATCCGACGTAAAGAATCGGACACACAGCAACCATAGTGTACCTATACATCAGGTTCCGGTCAATTATCACAAGCTTTGGGCGGATCTCCAACGCCGTCGAACTTACGAGAACAGGAAATTAGAGACCTGCCACTGTCCCTCCAGGGGCAGGAAGACAGAGTACCCCCCGACAAATGTCATAACAAACGTACCCACGAGCCCATACCAAGCCGCATACGGCTGGAGAATGCTCTTGTACGGCAGAGTATCGCGGCTCATACCCTGGGCCTTGAATGCACGGTAGAAGCAGAGATAGGTCGCGCACATGCAGCTAAAATTGATGAGCTGTGAGGCGGTCACCAGGGAGACGAGCCAGTTAAGCACCACGGCTGTGCTCGATGAAAGCTGGAGGAACGAGATGAGCGCGATGAGGAGGACGAGCGCGACGCAAAAGATTGGCACGCCCTTCTTGGTACATCTGGTGAAGCATCGCGGGGCCTTGCCTTCCAGTGCGAGACCGTAGAGTGAGCGAGAAGCGCAGTAGACAAAGGAGTTTCCGGCCGAAAAGGCTGCTGTGAGAACTAGAGCGTTGACAATGTGAGGGAGAACCCCGACACCGAGTCGGTTCATGGCTACCACATAAGGTGAAGCGGCAGCTCCGGCCTCGCCGCTTCCGAGAGCAGCTGTCAATTCTGGGTCGTTGTAGGGGACGAGAACCCCGACGCAGAGCGATCCCAGGACAAAGAAGGTAGTCAATCGGTAGAAGACGGTGTTGAATGCTCGGGGCATTGTCACCCGAGGATTTTGGGCCTCCCCTGCGGCCATGGATACGTAATCAGGCCCTGCAATGGTGAAGGACGCTTGGATAAGGCATTGTAGAAAGCCGAGGAACTTGCCAAGATTTCCCTGGTAATACAACTCAGCGAAGGCGCCCGGTTCGTTCCAGTACCGGAAGCCGAAGCGATCTCCTTGCGGATTTCCCCCGAGCATAACGATGAAAGTGAAAACTATCAGCCCGACAATGAGAAAGAACTTGCCAAGGGCGGACCAGAACTCAGCCTATCCGTACCATTGGACAGCCTGGAGATTAAGCACAGCATATAGAACGATTATGATGGCTATGATTGCGCCAACGGGTACTGCTTCACTCCAGAAGTGAATAACGAGGTTACAGGCCACGACTTCAAACGGCACAAGTGCGGCCTCAAAAATGAAGAAGTTCCAACCTGCCGCAAACCCAAACGCCTCATCGACGTAGCGACCGGCGAAGCGAATGAATGGCGAGGAGATGGGCATGTAGGAGACCATTTCAGCAACGGACACTGTGACAGCGAGGATAAACGTACACCAGATACTGAAGGCGATGAATAAACTTCCTGGGCCACCATTTAGTAGACCTTGGCCTATTTGAACCTATAGAGGCAAATGGCGTCAGCGTGTGCAACACGACGTCGTTCATTCATAAGAGCACAACCTGGCTATTTCTAGTACAGCTCGTACATCTCGGTCGGACGCGACTTACAAAAAGGGTAGTCCCAATAGTACCTCCGATACCAATCAGCTGGATGTGGCGAGGCTTGAGATTCCGATGGGTTGCTCGAGGTGTTAACGGTCGTGAGGCTCCTTGAAGGACATCGGGAGAGTCAAGCGGGGGGCAACCGCTGACGCCCTTCTCATTGTCGAGGACATCGGCTGGGAATGCGGAGTACGGTTTGGAGGACATATCCAACACAGAGCCGGTGTTGCATTAGGGATCACAGCGTACAGATATAGGAAGTAGAGTGAAAAGCTCAAAAACGTACAACATAGGTGTCGCTACTTTTGTCAAGAGGCATGCAGTGCCTTCAATTGTTAAGAGCAACAGTGGCAATTGCGTGAGAATCGGGCGACCTTTGGGCGTACCAAAGGAAGACTATAAACCGGCGAGGGGTCATAACCCAACATTACCAGGATTCCAGGCAATTGAAGCAAACTACGCACTGGAAGATCTTAGTTTGAGGCTATCCTATACGTATCAGATAAAGCCTCGGTTAATACCCCACAACCACTAGCTTACTTGGGTAATTCTACCCCAGCTCAGGATTGCTGATTGCGGTACTTCTCCGGGTTGAGTAAAGAGTAGAGCAATAGAGCTGATCTTCTCGGATTGATTGAGCAACGTGGCAATTCGCTCGTCATGGGTAAGTTTTTCCTGGAGAATGAGGGCAACGAGGCCTTGAGAGCGGAAGTAATTCCCCAATTCAATGTTGAAGCGCCAAGCAACCCTCAAGCAGACAATGCATACAGTTCTCATAAGCGTTATAGAATCGAATACGGAGCCAGTGGCAACCAAGCAGGTCACCTAGGGTCCGTCCATTCCTGTCACAAATATTGTTGGCGAGGCTGTTGCAATGAATCAAGCCCCCCACACCCGCATCAGTTCTGCTGCGACCATAATCACCTCCACCATCAATATTTCCCGCACCTGTTGGTAACCCCTTGTGCTTCCTCAGTTCAACGTTGCACCCACATAACGAGGTACGCGAGAACTGGCAAGAAAGAATAGAAGGATGTCACTAAGCCCCCTCATAAGCCTTCTCCAAGAGTGTAACATCCAGCTTTCTCATCTTCATCATCTCATTAGTGACACGGTCTTTCCTTTCCGCGTCCTCATCACTCAACATCTCCTTGAGCTGCTTTGGGATGATCTGCCACGAGAGCCCGAACCTATCAGCGACCCATCCGCACTGCTGCTTCTCCTCATTGCCTCCCTCCCCCAACTTGTTCCAATAGTAGTCAACCTCTGCCTGATCCTTGCAGTCAACCTGGAAGGAGATTGCTTCGGAGAATTTGAAGTATGGCCCGCCGTTCAGTCCAGTGAACGGAAGTCCGTTCAATTCAAATTCAACGATCATGACGCTCCCGGGTTCCCGACCGTGGTATTCTCTGCCGGCTTCGGTGTATCGCTGGGTGGTTATGATTTTGGAGCTTGGGAATATAGAGACGTAGAATTGGGCCGCTTCTTCAGCATTGCCATCGAACCAGAGACAGGGAGTTATTTTTGATAGAGCCATGAATATGATCGTTATGGGAATGAAGTTCGAAACTGGATGGCATGAAGTCAGAGTCGATGATCCGTGTTCGGCTGCTTTTAGATTATCAGTACATCGAAGTTGGGGTCGAATACGAGCCAAGAAATTTTGATTGGCCTCCACATCCCTGGCTCATTGCTGCCACAATTAGGCACCGAGATGCTGCCTACTCGTTCTCAGCAACTAAGAGGATGACAAACCGACCTATTCCCCAGTCGCCTTTTTTGGGCTCTCGGCATGGTAGCCTTGCACCCAGAGTCAGTCTAAGCACCAGAGTTGTCAATGTATCTATATGCTTGATTATAACAGCGGGTATTACTGAGGCCAGTAAGCTCTACAACGACAAGAAATTGCCTAAGCCCGAGATTTTCATTACCATTGCATCATCCCCAGAGACCAGAGTGTGCAAAGCCCGATAGCCAATCCCTGCGAGAATCTGAAGTGGATACAGCATATAATCTGAATTTCCGACCCGGTTGACTCTCAGAACGTGATCGAAGAGACACTCAAGAGTTGGTACAAATTACAAGGAGAGCTTGGCCATTGGCGGCGGCCAACACTGCACATAATAAAAAAAGGGAGAAATGCACCCTTTACCTGGTAGCGACCCTGGACCTACTTGAGATACGGTGACTGCATTACATCTACATTTCTAAGAGGCAAGATAAAATAACAACGGAGTACCATATCTGTGATGAGACGTGCATATCTCGTCTGTATCTTATGTAGCATGCCCAGCCATGGTCATGTGATCGGGGCGCCCTAGCCAGCTCCTGGCCCGGTCGGCCTTGTCAATCTCCGTTCCTTTTCGCTTCGTCCACGAATCCAGCCGGCTCGAATAAGATACTTTCCCCGAGCTCCGCTGCACGCAAGTGAGTATACCAGGTCTGTACCAGCCTCTTAACAGATTCCACTTATCCATGAGCTTGTTTGGGGAGTTGCTGACATTTAGTCAGATCTTTTGTTCTTTTCCTGTATTCCTTTTCGTCCACTTCCGCATTATCTCACCACGAAATAGCTCAACTTCCTGCCCCATAACTGTGTGTACCACTTTGCGATCTGGGCATATGCTGGGAATGGGGTTCTTCTTATCTTACAAAGGATTGTCGCACCATCCAGTCCAACAGACAATATAAATAGAAAAGAGAAATTTTCTGCTGGACAGTGAGAGGTGGTTCGTGAACGTAATAGTGGAGCGAAGTGGGGGACTGGATTACAAAACTCATACAAATCCCTCGTCGATGCGACGGGTATTTTTTGCCGAGCCCGGCTAAAGTTGTCCCAACAAAGCTTGGTTCTTTGGGCCTTACAAGGCTGTAAGTTAGCCCTGTTACGACTGGAGTCTGTTGCATCCGATCCCTTCCGAACAGGCTTTCATCGCCATTGGTACGGAGGACTCCCAATACTATGACTAACGTTTGAAAAGACAGTTACACCGGTAAATAGTATTGTAAGGTTGAAACCGATTGATAACCCCGCGGTCAAATGGGATTCTTTGGCTAGGGCGGATACCCCTTTCTCCTTCGTCTTCTGCCGAGTTATCCATCTTATTTTATCAATCGAACACGGATCAGATAAATCCTGGCACTTACCCCTCCAATCCAATCTTCTTGGGACGTTCTTGGATTGGTTCTGGCAAGATGGTTTCGGAGAAATGGAATATCAGCTCAATGCTGCTGTTCTCGACGGCTTTGTTGGCACTGTCGGCCTTCAATTATGGTCTGAGCGACCAGGCCTTCTCGTCGTGTCAGGCCATGGACTCTTTCATCCGGCAATTTGGCAAGTACGACGCCTCAACTGAATCCTGGAAGATTCCCGCTCTGGACACCTCCCTATACAACAGTATTAAAGCAGCCGGCCAAATTATCGGTGAGTAGAGCCTTCTCTTGGGTTTATTGTCGATTCCACTGGTGATTAGCTACTAATGAAGCCTTTCGATAGGAGTCTTCCTCGGTGGTTATGTTAGCAACAGATGGGGACGGCGAATGTGCATCTTCTCGATGAGTGTTTATGCTCTCGGTAGTGCTTCGGTCGTAGTTAGCTCTACCACCCAAGCTCAGCTTCAGACTGCACGAGCGCTTCACTGTGAGTGATTTCACTGCATATAAGTCTTTCAAATCCGGCTAATGAGGTTCATACGGCTACAGATATCTACCTTGGAATGCAATTGGCTGTCATTCCTACCTTCCTTGCCGAACTGGCACCCGCCAAGAACAGAGGTGGAATTGGGGTGATATACTGGCTGAGTATCAAGTGCGGTGGGCTGTTCATCACCGGCGTGGCCCGAGCAACGAAGACAATGACGACCGATGCCGCATGGCGGATCCCGTTTGGCCTCATCCTCGTCATCCCCTTCATAGTCCTCTGTTTGGTCTGGTTCATTCCCGAGTCACCACGCTGGTATCTCCTCCGCGATCGTCAGCGCGAAGCCCTCCAAGCCCTCACGGCCCTCAAGCCGAAGAATACTCCTGAACAAGTCATTCAAGAAGAGTTCGATGTTCTCTCTGCCAAGGTGGCCGAGCAACTCCAGAAGAAGTCGTTCAGGGATGTCTTCACTCTCCAGAATCGACAGCGTACCTTTGTGGTTGCTGCCACAAACTTCTTCCAGCAGGCGACTGGTCAGGCTTTCGCCTCGCAATACGGAACCTTGTTTGTCAAGCAATTGAAGTCGGTCAATCCGTTCAGCGTGACCCTCGGTACTAACGCTGTGGATATTGGCGCCATTATCATTTGTGCATCGTTGATTGATATCGTCGGACGTCGGTGAGTAGTAGCTTCCAATCTCGTACTGCCGTCGCATCAACCTGAAATCCTAACCACGAGAAGAATGCTCTTCCATACTAGCTCATCACTCCAGACCGTGGCTCTGATGACCATGGGCGGTCTTGGCACCGCGGATTCCAGCAATGTCCACGCCAAGCAGGGGATTGTAGCCATGCTCCTGCTCTTCAGCTTCAGCTGGTCTCTGGGTTGGGCCCCCCTGGTATACGTGTTGGGTGCCGAGCTTCCCTCTTCTCCTCTCCGTGAGATGACGCTTCAGATCGCATATACCGTCAAGCTAGTCACCGAGTATGTTAAGACCTTGTTTCTTTCCCTTCCGCGATGCACGGTCGAACCCTAACCCGTGTGAATAGATTCGCCGTGACTTTCACATATCCTTACATGGAAACGGCCGACACCCCGCATCATGTTGATCTCGGCGGTAAACTAGGCTTCATTTATGGTTCCCTGTCAGCATTGGCTTTTCTCTTTGGATGGTTCTTCATTCCCGAGACCAAGCAGTTGGAAATCGAGGACCTTGATAAGCAGTTCGGTATCTTCAAGCTTGCGGATGCTGAAGAGCTGACGAAGGGAGAACGGGCCGTAATCACCGAATTTCCTCAGTAGAAAAGCATTTTGGAGCGTCATGGATTCGAACTTTGATGGCGAATTTGATTTCAAGTATAGGTTTGGATGGTATTAATTGATACTTCTTCACAACCTAAGTTCAGTGGGGCCATCGTTTAACCTGATTTGTGGCTTACGCAGAAAACAATTTTCACTGACAATATCTCCGAAGTTCATTATGATTATATCGGATATCTGGGAGCATTCGTTGCTTCAGCGTTCTGGTCGCTATAATTGATACCCCCTGCTTGAATGCAAATATTTTCTTTGACCATGCGACTCAATACCTGGGATGCGACCGTAAAAGCCACGTGACCTTGTTCTCAACCTGCGAAGAGCTTAATTAGTGATTACCGTGTTTTGCAGATTCGGGTTATGCGTTTTCAGACTCCCTGGCCCTTTCTCGGCGCCACTCTCGAAGACTAGTATATTATAAGCCTGGATGGTCATGTAGGTTTTATACATCGTGTACCTAAGGATTGAAACAGGACTGACTGTAAGAACGCTGTGCTAGTTTTTTCAATCTCCGCCTAGGCGGGGTCCGCCGTCGGGCACATAATCGGGGAATTTGCCGCGCGGTGGCCGATGTGGGAGATTGTCTGAATGGCCTCGTTAGCCCTCTGCGTTCTCCTAGCCTTGATGCCCGAGACTTCCGCCGTGCCCGTGTCTGATCGGCGTCGCCCTCGCCCTCGCCGGGTGATCTAGAGCAGTGGTAGATCTGCTGAATAGAAGTGTGAGAGGATCGAATAAAAGTTCCTTGCCTTGTCAGCTCATAGAAGTAGTTCCTCTACCCTCACGGCTGCTGCTGTTAACTCCATGAAGCAGAGCCTGAACTCTGGTAAGTGAGCTTGTCCATTCTCCGATGAATAGCTCTCTACTTACTAGGGAACATAGCAGTGCAGCATTCGTCGCAGTGGCCGGTGGGTATCCCTCACGATATTCTTGAACTTCACTAAGACGAAAGCCATCCTTGGTGTTATTGGAAGGCGAATTCCATGATGATCTGGTAACCCTCCAACGATACAACAGTGTCACCGGCGACGAGGATCCTATCCTGCCAGACCACGTATGTGTTTCTAGCTCGTTCATCAGTCTCGAAGTCTAGAGGCAGTTGGAGACAGGAGAGGCCTCTGGTTGTTGATATTGATCAAAGAGCTTTCACCGTCGGAAGTCATACCATAGGCTATTATTGGAATTCACACCTTCACTATTTGAGGCGTGCGACGGAAACACGAGAACTGAGTCACCATTGATAGCTACTCACAGAAGATATAACAAAGTCGATTGTGTCGACATGTCTTTGGGCAGACTTAAACTGATGTGGCTTATATTGCATGATAGCCTCGACTGGGCTGTGACTTCGACACGTGGCGGGAAATGGGCACTCCAGCGAACGGAGATTACCGACTGCGCGTCGACGGGACTCGAGAAATTTGGCGAAGAAGAGAATTATCAGACCATACTCCGACCTCCAGCCAAGAAGGGAGCTGCGACGGCAAGGGACCTCCGTTCTGATATCCTCAACACGAAGCATTTTTATAGCTAGGGATGTATCGCCTAAAAGCTGAATATCGCTTCTGTTTCCAGCAATGGGATACGCCAGCCCTGAGAGCATGCCCTAGCGATCCTAATGTCTCCTGCCATGCTGGATCAAAGCCCTCCCCTTTGATTTTCTTTGTAGACTTTATTATCATAAGATTGTCTTATATTGTCTTCATGTATTAAGATTGCCTGCATTATTTAGTGTTAATGCTTATCGGAGCCGGCGTACCATCGTGGCAGTTGCCAGCCGACGGTGGTTGGAAGCAGGCGCTGACCGTGTGCGTGGGAATTCAGACAACGCGATAACTGTCCGTATAGCCCCGGACAACATTCAGCAATCATAAATTGGGTCTGAACTCCTACTAAAGTAATCATGTTGCCCATGTCATAGCACCCAGACAACCTATTTGACCACGTGGTGGCTGACGTGATACCACACGGAAGTCTCCAATGGAATATCTCCAATACATGACATCCAGTAGTCCGTGAGGGTATAATATCCAAAACAACAATCTTCATATAAGAGTTCTCTGTGGATATAATAGTTGGGTGCATATAGCCCTTAACTCCCAGATCTTCAGCCGATGCCTTAGACAAAATTGGCCCACAACAGACAAGAGTTCATGACCCAGACTCAGAATTGCTCCAAGGGAACAAGTAAAGAAATTGAGCTCGCCAAGGAGCTAGTGTAGTTTAGCGCCAGCACTGCCACACATTCAAGGGCTGCTCCAGCCTGTCAGAGGCAGCGAAATGCGTGGGGCTCAAATCCTTCCCCCCTTTTGGTAACGGAATAGGGCTGGGCGGGATACGGGCTCGACACCCTAGGCCAGTAGTTTTGAGAAACAGTTGGAGATCCTGAGTAAATGGTGGGGGTCCGTTCTTGCACGGGTCGGCAGGGCCGGAGGAGGCTCGCATATGAGGATCAGGGTTCGGTTAGGCAGAAGGATCATGTGGGCCCCACCAGCCCCAAAGAATTTTGAAGTAGAGCTGAGGGCCTAATCACAGTCCTTGCTGGTTCGATTGAAGGACCTCCCGTCGCAACGATCGAAGCCAGTGGAAGTGTGAAGACAGATCTTTGTGAAAAGACAAATCGCCGGCATCATCGAGCATCCCCACCGCAGCTGCTGCTCTGAAGTAAAACCATGCTCGTACTTGTGACTTGCTGGCGGCGGCGGCGCCAGTGATACATGCCCATGTGAGAACAACGGGAAAATGTCGCATCCATACATCGTCTTCGGTCAATGCCAGCACGTCGCGTAGATCACTGGCTGTGGCGTCTAGGTACTCGGCAAGGTCGCTCGTATTAGCCCCGCCGGTTGTGATAGCGTGGAAAATTCGAAACGCTATAGAACAACAATGGCACACGGGATCATCGCTTGTCGGAAGTTGCATGCTGTTGCCTTGCGCCTCGTTGTAGTCCCAATTATCTGTGGATCGATGGGCTAGAAGCTGAAGCTTGAGCTTCTGGATGTATTGGAACAAGGCCTGGATGGAGCGACCGGGGAAATCCGGTGCACATCGACTGATAAGTGTACTGAGAACTCGTTCCTCGAGGCCAGGTAGTGACATAGGGGGGCAGTGCGGTAAAGGTCTTGAGTCCGTGTCAAAAACAATATCTGAGATAACACCGTTTCTGTGATCCGGTCAGGGACTCATTTCCATTCATGGTAGAAGGGCCGACGAACACGTAGATGAGAGATGCCGTTAGTCCTTCCAGGCCTAGTTTTTCCAAACCACCCCTTAGCTGGACGATCTTCGCCAGACCAGCTCGGTGCACCTCCGCAGCAGCTCTATCCCCGGTGAGGACCTAGTGCTTTATCAGTATCTGGCCTGCACGCTGGCTAAGGGACTTATCTTGCATACAGCGAAGAGTGCCAGCGGCGTGATTGCAGCTATCGTACGGTCGTCTAGTGCCGTTCTCGGGTCTGATAGACGCTTCTTGACCGATTTGATCAGTTCATTGTAATGATACAGAGTGATCGTGCTCTGCTGTACTCCGCGGCGAAGATCAAAATTAGAGGAGCCGGTAAAGAGAGTTGCGTGGAACAAGCACGGGTCGCTCATTGCACCCCTCATCCAGGTAGTCTGCAATTTATAAGAGCTAGATCTATCGTTAATCGGCACGCGTGTGGCATTGTGGCATTCAACAACTGGAGCCCCAGAATGTCAGCCCAAGCTGAAAGAGATTGGGAGGGAGGGCTTACAGTGCTTGATCAGGCGTGGCATGTACCAGCGAGAAGCGATGGGATAGGAATCTGAGACGGCTGGAGCCTGAATGGCCCACGAGATATAAACTTGACTCTCGATAGCGTCCCAGGACTTGGGCGTGACATTCTTGGAACTGTGCATGTGGTGACTGTCAGTCACCAAAGCTTTTGAGGTCTGGTTTGGGATGCTTTCGGTGACGCGGTAGAGGGCATAGGAACACACTCGCCCGGCCCTAGGGAGAATGGGTTAAAATGCGCGCCGGCAAGGATATATGGGTGGAGACAAACCTTTGGCACAAAGAGCAAGTAGGGTAAGCTCTGTCGCATTTTCTTTTGCGCAAGCGACAAGACTCGCAAGCAACAAGCATGACCTTCATCGCGAAGAGGCTGAGAGAGGCGGCGTGGTAGAGATGAGGCTGCGAGCGCGGCCGGTAAGGTAGAAGATAAGATCAACCCGGGTCCAGAACGAGTCTAGCCGTTTTGGGCTGTCTGACAACCTTCAGGTTCCCGCCAAGCGAACACAGCCACTGCTTTCATCACTGACACAAGCGACGACAATTCCCTTTCAGTCTCGCATGTATATCATTAGGATGAATTCATAGGAGAATGTCCTTGGGTGCTGAGTTATTGATGCCATGCTTATTCCCGACGAGCTACCTGCATCTCTCCTGTCTTAATCTTGTGAATAATGCTTTGGTAGAGAAGATGCTCACATATAGGGCGAAGATCCAGACTTTCTACCCATCTCGCAGGCAAGAAGCCTGCCTGAGAGACGCAAGCCAAAGAGATTCACCAACAGTGCACATTGCCTGTTCGTATTGGAAAGACTTGCAAAATGGTGTCATTTTGAAATGCATGGTGCCAATCTGTAGACTATAGTCGCGGGGATGATCAGAATAAGCCCAGTAGAACCTTGCAACTTGCAAATTGATCCTCTGGTTGAATGACGAAGGAGAAAATTGGCTTCGTGAAAAACAATCTGGCATCTGTGAATTATATATGTGTTTCAACTGTGGGAACTGCTTAATTTTTACCAAATACAACCACTCGCGGGCAATGGATTGTATACCCTATCATTCGAGCCCATGGCTTGATCAAATGCTTGGTAACCCCCCAATACACCGAGCATTATACCAAAGAAAGTAAATTACCAGATGACTAGCGGGTGGACTAGCCCGCCCTGACACCTAAGATCTCACAGTCAGGTGACTCATTCATGGATGACGAGATGATTTACAAACAGACAAACTCTGTGAGCAGGGGTTGGGACTGGCTTGTAGATTCAGCTAATATCATGATTCTCAAAGACGCGGACCTCATTCGGTACATCCTCCAATTCAAAATTTCGAGGAAATAGGGTTCATGTAACCAACTTGTATAGCAAACCTCCACTTTCAAGGTCTCGCCAGATGTACATACGTTTATCTCCCTACTAAACTAAGTATAATTCAAGTAAAAGTTATGGCTGCCTAGAACCGCGCCCTGTTGTCTAAACAAGCCTGACTACTGAACTACAATGGCGTGCCCCTGTCAGAGGTGGCTAGACAAGGCGTGCAGCAGTGGGGAATTTGAGAGGCGTCAATCTACAACAGGTAATCCGCACTCGTATTCTTTGGCGTAAAAATGGATCCACGGATCTGCAGGAGATTGCGGATCCAAAAGTACCGAGTGGGCCGGCTGCGCCAAGTCCACCTGTAAGATATCAACCTTGACTTCGTACTTCAACGGTCGAGAATCACACTAGGCAATGCTGTGAATTGTTAGCAGGTCATCTAAAACCCTGCTGGTTGTTTTCATACAATATGAGGATCAAGCGTGTTGAGATAGCCAACTAATAAGAAGTCGCGTCTACATATTAAAAAGTAGTTTTTATGCGACAAGGGTCTATCAGAACGAATTGAGATTCCAATGTAATATTGTCAGTTTAAGAGCTTTGCACGGTCTTTTAGGACAATTCACACTATATAAAACGCGAAACGGTACATTCTATTCATCACCGCCACAGCAGCACTCAAAGCAAAGCAGGCCACAGCACCTATATTTTTTACCCTCCTTAGCAGAGCATAAATGGCAGAAGTGGATAACCCATACGCCACAGCAGACATTTCCGGCTTCAACACCGCCACGTAGATTAAGTGATGTCGCTTCAAGTGTCGTCCCCTTCAAGAATGGTCAGTTCGCCACGCAACTGATGTCACGCTGTGTAAGGAAGAAGGAATTGTCCATACCGTCATGTTAGCATTGGGGACTTCAAATATAGATTTGGCGATTTGTGTTGCTAGAGCAGACCCCACTCAATGCTTCAGATCATTGGCCTTATGGAGATATTAGACATATGAAGCTATGTGGTTTATTTCTGTCTGACAAGGTAGGACTAGCGAGACATTAGGCAACATAAAGGGTTAAGTGTCTCCGAGTCCTGCATGCGGTAACCTACGTGGGGAGTCTAGAATATCCGGACGAGGAGCAAAAGTCCATCATGTGTCTATCGACGGAAAAGATTACCTGAAGAGACAAGAGCACCGAATTTCGCCATTAGGCAACCCGAAGTCCATATTATTATTTGTTATTACCCTCTGTGCTGAGAGCTTACTTATGATATGATGACTTTCAGTCCAGAAATAATTCCTCAAGTGCACGGACAAGCATTCGCATTTTGCAATAAAGATTCCATGATAAAGCCTTTACTATGTTCTTGTAAAGGTGGCTTCCGAGTATTTTGTCGCAGAAGTTGATGCTGTCATTGTGTGGCTCATAATGCATGCTTTGAATAATACTCGAGCGGAGTGAGGAGAATGAAACCTCTTTTAAATTACAGGCATGAATGAACTCGTTATGCCGAAGGACAAACAGGAACAAAATGTTAGAATGTCTGTGGAAGGCGCGGCCTTCTCGAATCTTTCCCTTTTTACACAGTTGAAACCTCGGGTCGGTCTGAAAGTGAACCAAGAATATGAGTGGAGCAAGCCCAGTTCCAGAAATGACACCAACGAATTGAGCATTAGACTAGGGCCGCGACCCTGAAACCAAGGCAATTTTTAAGTTTTTCTAGGCTTTCTGCATGCTGGATGCTGTTGCATGCCGTAACGCTTAGATCTCGATATGTTCTGTCGCATGTGACAGAACTGGATGAGCCCCTATTTTTCCTGACACAGCATATGGCCGAGCCACAGACTCAACCTTCACTTCCTTTCTGATTCCCACCTCAGCCACTGTTTGGTAGTGACACTGTTATGGCCCCGTCAATTACACCCTATACGCAAACGCATGCGCGAAAAACCCATCGAAAGTCTCGCTTTGGGTGCCGCAACTGTAAGCGGCGCAGGATCAAGGTTGGTGGCGGCCCTAAACTCTTCTCTGCCTCATGCAAGTGGTAACCGACGATTTCACGCAGTGCGACGAGATAAAACCACATTGTACCAATTGCATACGTCACGCAATTGATTGCGATTACAGCTCACAGCGCAGAATTTCCAGCAGCTCGCCGACCGAAACTAGTTCCTCTAACTCGTCTGTCTCAGATAGAGCCGATGGTGACTACACCTACATCTCATCCACCCCTACGAACTTTAAGCCCCCAACGCGAGCCCATGGCCCTTCACGCACCTCGGCACCTCAGCCCCACCAATCTGCCCACCCCTCGCATGAAATTGCGAAGAGGCCATTCGAATTTACAGCTACCGACATGGCCCTCTTCCATCATTTTCTAACTTCCAAAGATTTAACCGCAGTCCAACCCCGCGCTCAACAGCAACTCTGCCGACTCGGTTTCTCCCACCATTATGTTCTGCGCCTTCTGCTAGCCTTCGCCGGATTCCATCTCGTGCGGAAATCAGCAGGCGATCCAATGGTCCAGTATATGGGCACGGCGAAGGACTACTTTGCTGAGGCCGAACGTCACTTGGAGACAGCGGTGCAGGAGGTCGCGGCCCTGGTCCCGCAAGTCCATCCCGACAATGCGCCCGCGATGTACGCGTCCGCGATCTTCATCTTCATCTCCTCCCTGGCTAAGGGCCCGCAACCGGGCGAGTACCTGGCCTTCCGGGATGATGGCGGGTCTGGATACTTGGGGCTGTTTCTAGGTGTCCGCTCAATCCTAGAGCTTTGCCAAAACGACATCCCGACCGATGTTTTCGCCATTTCTGGGGACGAAAGCCATACCTCGGATACATCCGATGGCGACCTGGCAAGCCAGGACGCTGCTATTCTCGCAGAATCTCAGAACTACGAACGCCATTTCAACTCGCTGCGCCAGCTGCTGTCCATTTATGTGCCTGACCCTGACCCTCGCTCTCCCAGCTATTACCGCATGTTGAACCACCTTCACTACTGTCTTTCTGCTGTCTTAGGTCCCGGTCCCCGTTTACCCGGGATGTCTCTGTTTCCGCATGTTTTCGCATGGCTATACCAGTTACCAGATGATTTAGTGCATGATCTACAGAAGAGAGAACCGGTCGCTCTCATCCTCTTCTCGTTCTTTTCAGTTCTGTTACACCAGCTGGATGCCGTCTGGTTCATCCACGACTGGTCGCAGCATATTGTCAGAGGCGTTTGCTCTAAGCTCGATCCTGCGTTCCGGCCGTTCATGCAATGGCCACTCAACCAGGTGGGGCTCGGTGATCTGGAACAGGTCTTGTGTACAGGGACCGAACTTGCTGCTTATTGTAGTACGCCAGTCGGTCTTGAAGAATTTTAGCGATGAGATCGGTATGCATAGCGCTGCCTAAATTTGCTTCGTCTATCTCCTAGTAATCCATGTCCAAGAACGAAAATATTCCTTTCTACCGGGCGCACAAGGTTGAAACTCGACATTTCCCATCGAGCCAAACCTACCGTAAGCTTAAACACAGCGGAAACTCTCCGCAGAAGAAGCATCGCCTCCCATGTACTTCGTCTGCGCAGGGTAAGAACACAGGATGCGCGACTGCTTCGTGCCATTGAACCCTGCGTACTGCACGGGCAGAGTCTCAGGGGCCGTCCCATTCTCCCCCCACAGCCTTAGGGCATCGAGCGTCGTAATAGGCTGCCCTCCCACACCGCCCGAGCAATGCCTTAACCCGGGGGCCTCGAAGAAGCGATAGAACTACTGGACATCGGGGAAGAGATCAGTCATGGCATTGTAGTAGAATTCGGTGTCCTTGGTCGGAACACTGGGGTCGACCTGTGCGCGAGCTGATGGCTAGATCTTCTCTTTCCTCGAATCGTCACGTGTATAATCACGAAAGGGCAAAGAACATACCAAGCCATGATACGTGATGAGCTTTCCGCCTGCCTTGCGGAACTCGCTCAAGTCGGGAACCGCTGCGTTCATGAAATCGGTATACTCCTGGCTGGCGAGGTGGAAGGCCCGCTCGTACTCCGCGCGAGTCATCTTGCTCGTCTCGAAGCTGGCGTTCTTGGCCACGAACAGGTTGAACCAGACATCCACCTGGGTGCTGTTTTGCCCCGGCACGGATCCATAGCTGCTGATGTCGGAGCCGGGGTTCACCCCGTACCAGAGGAACTTGCCATCCTTCGTCCGCGGCCCGGACCAAGCGGCATCACCGATGATCGCGGCGCCTTCGCTGAGCGCATTTGTTCGATTCAGGGCGGGACAGTGGAAGTTCTGGTTAACAAACGTGTACGGGCTGTGATCACACGCAATCATGTTGGAGATGATCCTGTCCACAACCCCATCCTTCGGATCACAGTGGGCGATAGCCTCCGCCGGCAGGAAATTCGACTCGCACGCCAGCAGAATGATTCCGCGCCACTCCCGCATCAACAGCGGGTAATATACCGCGGAGACAAACTTGGTCTAGGACTGTGCGGGCGCGGACGCCGCGATGCCATCGTACGCCGTCGGATACCGCTGCGCTAGCATCAACCCATGTCGCCCTCCCTGAGAGCAGCCACTCCAGTAGGAGTAGTCTGGCTCCCGTCCGTAGAAGCTGTGGACCAGGCTCTTGCCGATGACCGCTTGGTCGTTCAACAAGCGCGATCCAAGATTGTGCAGGGCAGCCGTAGTCGACGTTGCCGGGGCTTTTAAGCGCCCAGGCGTTGGGAAAGACCGCATCGCCTAGCCCCGCGTCGGTCGTCGTCGTCGCGTAACCCTCGCCGATCACTCCGCTCATGAAGAACTGTGACAGCACGAAGCGACCGGCCTGCCAGCCTCCGCCGCCGGTGGCTTGTAGGCGGCCGTTCCAGCCGTGGCGTGGGAGCCAGGTCTCCACGGTGATACGGTCGTCGTGCCCCGGGTGTGTGTAGGTGACTGTGATGTTGCAGAACTCTGCATTGTGCAAGTCGACGTCGCCGTGGTTGTAGTTGAATTTGGCTGGGATAGTGCGAGTGTAGTTGGTTACCCAGGCGGCTGACGGGTTAAGGATTTCTGCGCTGAAGACGGCTGGGGGTTGGATCGCCGAGGGCGAGCAAATGAGTTTCAAATCTAAACCTAGGAAATGGGGAATGAGAAGTCCAGTTCCGTGTAATAGTAGACATTATATACGAAGATACGACAAAGGGACTTGTATGTGGTGCAGTTTTTATGGTTCCAAATCAGCTGATTGCGAGCGAATTCTGCTTTTTCTTATACCATGACATGCGCATGCGAAAGTCACGGTTCTGTTCTATCATCTCCGTAAATTCTCTTCATGCATATACGAATGCGAACTTCTTAGTATTGCACTGGGCCGGCAGTGGATGCTTGCCACTGCACCGTGGACAACTTTCGGCTATACCCGACTGAGGACTGGATCGTCCACTTGGCTTCCTGATTTGGATGATTTGGCGGGCGGGCTTTCCATAAAGGGATATTCGTTTTCGGATGGATTTAATGGATTCATTCCCGCTGCCAAGCATCATGTTTCCATTTCACTAACTTAGAGATCTTCCCCTGAATCGGCTGGAAAGCACATATTTGCACTTTTCTCGGTGAAACTGTGGATGCATGAACTCAACTCAATGGTTCTGAGTTATCATGTAGACAATATTTGACTCTGATCTGTGTGGATCTCGAAGCTCACAGCACGAGGTCAAGTATCCTTTACCCCCAGGGTTATGTAATGAGACTTGATAGAATGCTCCTCGTCTTGAGGCCAGAGAAAAAGAGGACTCGATGAAAATTTACCATCAAGATGGGGAGTTTGCCCCGTAAAACCTTGTTACATTCTCTTGCCACTATTCTAGACCTGCAACAGAATTTAGATCTATATGTATAAATATATATAAACAGTCCCCCTAGCGTTCTCTCTACACTCAATAGGCGTGTGCGTTTGAGATCCTTGCCATTTCGCCCTCGACCCTAGCAAAAGCTCCCTGACATTGTACAAGAAAAATGGGCCAGGTTGGGAGATTTGCATTGGTCCTATGGTCGAGTCTTTTGACCATTGGCTCTCTGATATGCCTTTTCATTGTTGCTATTGGTTGCATACATCCCAAGCAAGCAAAGGATCTCTATATGTTTCAGGTATGTTGATCTGATCTCGCAGGGCATGACAGGACCCAGGCTGACGAAGTTCGATAGATTGACCTCAAAAACCTTACAAGCTCGCCACACTCTGTGCTTGATACCACCCTCGAAGATATCACTGGCGGAAATATGAAGCAATTTGTGCAGGCCCTGCAGGAGGGGAATAAATCAGGAACCTTGCAAGATTTCTACACCATCGGGCTCTGGAACTACTGTGCTGGCAATAATCCCCACGATGGGGTCTACAACACAACCTACTGTTCTAAGCCCCGCGGTGGATTTTGGTTTGACCCGATCGAGCTCTGGGGATTGAATGAAACCGACATAGGGAAGCATCCCCCTCATCGGTTGCAAAAGACGCTGGATATCTACCAAAAATCCTCTCTTTGGATGCAGATCCTGTATCTCGTCGCTATCTGTACCGGCATTCTCCAGCTTTTGGTTGGTCTCCTGGCCTGCTGCAGTCGGCTGGGAAGCTGCATCGCCTGGCTTCTCACGGGAGTCTTCCTCTTGTTCACTCTTGCTGCATCCATTACTTCCACGACGCTCTTCGCCACTCTTGCGGGCATATTCAAAGTGACCTTCAAGGCCTACGGAGTCTATGGTCAAATGGGTCGACACATCTACATCGCCACCTGGCTGGCGGTCACTTTGTCCCTCTTAGCGGGAGTGTCGTGGCTCCTCAATTGCTGCTGTTTTCCGGGCGACAGAGCGAGGCGTGTCCCAACCCGAACTGGCGGTCCTGTCGTTGCGGCAAACAGTGCTTACAGCTACAGACCTGTTACTGCGCCAAAGCTTCCAGAGGTATCTGATCACGTACCTCTGCTCATTTGCCCTTCTCCTCCGCAAGCTCACGACAGGCAGGACTATCGCCCTTATCAGCAGCAACAGCAGCAGCAGTACCAATACCACCACCAAAACATATACCCTGAAGCCCACGAGATGCGTTGACACAATTGATAACACTCTGACGTCAGTACTGCACTCCGGACACAAGTTTGCTCATGATGTTTTGTATCTCAAGTTATTGTATGTCAATTTTGTTCGGTATCTAATCACCTTCAAATCGAAAGACTATATGTATGGAAGCCAACTGTAATATTAGAGCTCCACTAAACGCTGAACAGCTTCAGTCCCACCAATTTATGGCATACACCATCCGAATAGGGGCAGGTAATCGGGGACAGATGAAAGAGATAGATTATGAGAAAGCGTATGGGATGAGCAGAGTAAACAACGTTCAGCTAGTCACCAGAAATATGTGCGACTTGACTTCAATTCATGCCGCACTAATGTCGTACACAAGTGATAAGAAGTTTCTATCTAAGGGCAATGCATTTAGAGTAATTTTTACTTACTGTTTAGGACGCATGTGGCTTGGTAATTTAAAAAAGTGCTGATTAAACTCGATTTAGCAGGGTACTGATCTGGTACAGGGTATACATGACATTGAGTTGCCAAGCGGAATGGCAATTTTATGCCTTTCGGGGCAATCTATATCAATCTATTATAATTGCTGTAGTTATCCCGAATTGCTTGAGGTGAAGAAGTGCGGTGTAAGTTGTTAAAATTGACACATCGCATGATAACGCTAGATATAGATCATTTGAGAAGTCTCAGAAAGTAACGAGGTACCTGCACATAGCAGGGCAGAATGTGTCTAACATACATCAACCTACGTTACCAGGAACACCCCGGATTTGCTGGCCAAGGGCGGGGATTAGCCTCGGCTATTAAGGCTCACAGCCAAGCCTCAACCCCACACCTGTGCTTACGCTTTCAGAACCTCCACCTCATGCCTGTCCCATCCTTGTTGCTAAGGCTGTTATTGACTGCGACGTTAGTATTATCTCCAGCTAGCAACGTCGAAGCCAAGTTCGTCCCCATATTTTATACAGCTGGTCTGTTCTCTGAGAGGAGTATGCCTTTGTCACCGGAGATTCAGGACTTCATCCGTGGGTTCAAAAGCCGCTGGGACCCGTCCGTGAATGCAGCGTGCGAGCGATTCTTCGAAACATGCCATGCATCCCTTCCTCCTTCGGATGCGGAGTCAGTGATCGAATGTGAAAAGGATGTCAAGTACGGGCCAGATTCCCGACATCGCTTGGATGTATGCGCATAATTCTCCGGGGTATCTAGTAGACGACTGGGGGTTTTCATCAATTGCAAGGTTCGTGGCTGATGGGCTTATCATAGCTATTCTCGCCCGCCAATGCGCCTAAGACAAACGCAACCCTCCCTGTCGTCGTCTACTTCCACGGCGGTGCGTTCAAAGCGGGCGACAATACAATCACACAGCACCTGCATGCCAACATCGGTAAGCTTTCTCATCCACCCGCAAAAGGTCGATCATAATGCATGGACCATTATCCGCGTGGTAGTAATGAATCGATAATCAGGTAAATTCTTAGCCGCCAACGGCGTGATCGGAGTCCTTGGGACATACCGCCTGCTGCCACTGGCGCGGTACCCGGACGGACGGGAAGACGTCGCCGCAGCCCTGACATGGCTGCATAACCATGTTCATCGATATGGAGGTAACCGCAACGCCATGTTCGCCCTCGGGCAAAGTGCCGGCGGTGGCCACCTGGCCATGGCTCTATACGCAGGGAGGCTCATCTCCGACGAGGGCCAGAGCCTGGTGCGTGGAGTTTTGCTCCTAAGCGCCGCGTTGGAATATGATCTGGGTAAGGAGGATCGGCGTAGAAGCATGGAGGCGTACTATGGAACAACCGATCACGATGTTATCGACGCTCATTCGGCTCTTGGTACTTTCAAGGGGCTGTCTGATGGGGATGATGAGGCTGGAAGGACAACGCCTGAGCTTTTTGTTGTGGTTGCGGAGTGGGATTTTGCGGAGTGTGTCCGGGGTAATTTGGATTTTCTGCAAGCTTACAATAGGCAGCGGCGCCATCTGCCCAAATTTGAGGTGCTTTTGGGCCATAACCACGTTAGCTACTGTTTGTCCATCGGGCTGCCGGGTGATGAAGTTGGTCCGAAGATCGTGGAGTGGGTGAGGCAGTGTTTGAAGGAGTGAGGGGAGTTTCCATATTTCCGTGCTCATTTCTACTTCGTTCCCATATTTAATGTATTGACACCAGAAAGTATAACTTGCAAGTCTTATCTCGTGAGATGTAAATTCAGTAGGAATACGTGTTTTATCTTGTGGCCAAAGTTCTCAAAGCCCAAGCTAGGCTCCAAGGGCGACAAGTCACATTGAGGAGGATTCACATGCAGTATGGCGGAAGCAAAGGATAACTATGTATTCTAATATGGAGAAACTAGAGGACACTCCACATTGCCCAGTGCAAGCTCAATCGGTGGTGTACGGGCGTGTCCACGTCAGCACTGATCCTATGCGCATAAGCACTAAGACAGTTATAATAAGCACTACAACGAGGCTGCTAAGCACTAGCGGTTCGCGTATTGCCTGTGCTCTGCCTTGGCATGCCTGTCACTCTCACCGCCAAGGACGTGGGATCGACATCATCGTAGAAGAGCTTCCCCCTCCCCCCTCCCCCCTGGCCTCTCGATCTCGTCTCACTTGCACTCATATCTCCACAGCAGTGACGCCATCGACCCTCACACAGAATGGCGACCCTAGAAGAAAGACACCCCGAGCTCTTCAGACCATTGAGCAACGAGTCTCCCAGGGGCAAGAAGCGGACCGTTCCTCTGGAATGTCTCTGTCTGGGCTTCAACCGCACAGGCACGGCGTGTAAGCACATTCGCATAATTATAAAGACACACCCAGTTACTGATAAACCGGATTAGCCATGTGCAGCGCACTCGAGACCCTCGGCCTCCCCTGCTGGCACTCCACACAATTCCTGTCCACACGATTTGGTGACATCGAGATGTGGCAGGAGGCCGTGGACCGGAAGTTCTTCGGGGCAGGGCACAAGTTCGGGCGTATGGAGTTCGACCAGCTACTGCACGACTACGGGGCGGTCTCATCTGACACCCCAGCGATCGCCTTTGCGGAGGACCTGGTGGAAGCATACCCCGAAGCCAAGGTGGTGCTCGTGGAGCGGGACATTGACTCCTGGTACCAGAGCTGGATGGATACAGTGATCAAAAACACGTATTCTCCGGTCGTCACAATCGTGTACCATATCGATCGGTTCTTTACCCACCCGATCGGGAAAATCCATAAGACGACCTTCAAGGGGTGGGCGGGCATTTCGGGCCCCAGGGATGCGCCGCTCAAGAGCAAGGCCAAGTACCGCGAACATTACGCGCTTGTCCGGAGGGTGACCCCGAAAGACCGGCTGCTGGAGTTCAAGCTGTCTGACGGCTGGGAGCCGCTTTGTGAGTTTCTGGGGAAGCCCGTGCCGGACAAGCCCTTTCCGCATATAAATGAGAAGAAGTGGCTTGATGAGAAGGTCCAGCTTGTGCTGATGAGGGGAATCAAACGTCTGGCGTGGAAAGTTTTGGTTTACTTCCTGGTGCCATTGCTTGCAGCGGGCTTGTTCTACTATGGGCTTATGTGATCTCCTGTGTGAAGCTTTTCAGTCTGTAGCGTACTGAATGTATAAACGCACTCCACAAAGCCTCCGTGCTCGGCTAAATATGATTCTATAGCTGGAAGGAAAAACATACAGTCGACCAAACAAAAAAAAGACTCTTTGCTAAAGTTGACATCTACAAAGTGTCCCGCATATAGAGTCTAAATACTATGCTCGATGACGCGCGCTGAAATCGAGATAACAATACCTAACTCTCTAGTCCCATTCACTTTCCGCCTGAGCTTTCGCTTGTTCAAGAAGGGACTTTAACTCACCCCTCTCACGCTCAATATCTCGCATTAATTCTCCGAACGGATTTAGACACGGAGTCCTGTACTGATTTACCGCACGAGCATGGCGAGACTTGAGTCTCTATATTAGATTCTGATATCCCGTCATTGAGAGACTATTGTCGTCCCCATCATCGAATTCGTCGTCTCAATCGTTGTCCGAGTCGTAATTGTACCTGTCTAGCCAATGGCTGTTCGAATAGTCATCCGACTCGTTATCTGACCCGCCTACCCAGTTGTCATCTGAACTTTTGTCTGAATTGTCATCAGATTCGTCATCGGTCTGCCCTGACCCAAGCGCCTCAGCGGCATCCGCAGTCCTCCCGTGCCCGAGGTCAATACCAACTTGGGCCCCCGCCGCGAGAAGAAGTCGTATAATCAGCATCCATCGGACTTGTTCTTTAGCATCAAGAAGTCTTCTGTATTTGCGAGTCAATCTAACGGTGCTCCTGACTTGGTTGGTTGCTATGGCTAGGACAGTACCATGAAGATGCCCTGGCAGAGGCATATTAACGTCGGCCATTCCGACCTCGAGCAAATACCGAATGGCTCTGGGAGCACCGGCATCAACGGCGGCGGCCAAGGCACTTCCGTGGAGGCCCGTATGGAGAGGCAGATTGACGTTAGCCTGGCGACTCTCCACGAAGTATTTCATCAGCTCCAACGCATTTGCACTTCTTCGCGAGGACCATGCAGCAGCGGCCAGAGCGCTGCCGTACGCCCCATTGTGCAGAAGCAGATCGACATCTGCCCCCCCTTCCTCCACTAAGCATTGGCTGCCTTCCAGCCATCCCAGACCAGCAGCTAACACAAGTACACTCCCATAATCGCTTAAAGGTAAACGCAGATTGGCGTCCGCGAAGCCTTCACAAATCAATAGCTTCAACATGGTAAGATCAGTGTTCAAAATGGCTGCTTCCAATGCGGAGGATGTGAAGCGCGAGCAGCTCTGCAATCTGCTGGACGAGCAGTCATCGGTGGCTTTCTGGGAGTTGAAATCTCTGCTTACTGCTTCCAGGAGGCTTCTGACCACTTCGACTTGGCCCTGAGACACTGCTGCTTTGAGTGGTGGGAGGCCCGTCGGCGAATTGGCTTGAGCGGCAATAGAGACGCCTTTGTGCATAAGAGCCCGCACAATCGGGGCATGGCCATTCCTTACGGCCACCATCGTGGAACTGGGCCCGGTGTCATCACTCCAGACAGGGCTCAGCTCGGCTCTTCTCCACCAATTCATCAATGTTTACACGAATCAATACCTACAGACAGTCAGAACTGAGCAGTCTGAAGGTCCCATGTTCTCCAACGGTGCCCAGAGGCGGTATTGCGCACTGCTGGCTTCCGGGGCACCGAACAACTTCTCGAGTAGGCCTGTTACGGGTGCCAAGTTGTTATACATTTCCACAGGGCTGTTCTCGAGTCTCTGAAGGTGCTTGTGTCAGTTGAATGCGCTGTATCGCATCAGCACTGGTAAATAATCAACCTCGGCGCCCAGTTTAGAAGGCAGGCTTGAACCTATCAAACGACTCCAGTAAGTCTCAGCATTACCTGCAGACAGACCTTGCTGGCCATCAAGTTGACCGCCACGTTGTTCCAACCGTGGCGTTGTTCAAAGTACTCTGCACCCGAAAGATGCGAGACTCTCCACAAATCCTGCTCCGAGTCTATGACGAGGAGATTGCGACACAAGGAAAGCAACTCATCTGCAGTGATTGGGGCACATAATTCCACCCCATCATGCTCGGGATTGACACGGATTGCCTCCAGGAGCTGCTGTCGTGAGAGTGGGGTGTTCACAGCCAGGACCCATTGGAAGGCCCGTTGTGCAAGGTTTCGATCGTGGCTCCCGCATTCCAAGATTGTCTCGGCACTGACGCCTTTCGCCAGCTGATCGAGCTGCAGAGCGGTCCATTGAAACCTGCCCGAACATCAGCAGCCGCCATTATAGTGCTATGACTGCGCAAAACGAACGTGTGCTTACATTCCATCACATTTCTCTAAAAGAGCTGATATTACTGGAGCGTGGAGTTCCTTATATGCAATTACGTCAGGGATCCTCTGCCTGATATACGTCTGGATATCGTTGCGGTTGTCTGTCGCCTGAATTTTAATATTCGGGTGGGATTGGAATTAACTTCGGATATCGCCGTCAGGGTGGCTTGCAATGAAGAGTCTAATCGGTCTTCTGCTGACTTAAAGCAATTTCTCAAACAGTCGCAGAAGTTCTTTCCGCGTTACAGGGTCGCACTCGTCAAATGCATCCAGTATCAGGGTGGTCCGGGGATAGAGATTTAAGAACTCAATCAAAAGAGTCTTACAAAGTGCAAGGTCTAAACCTTACTGCACGAATCCGCTGCTCCTTATAGCAGATCCGAAGCTTGAACTGAATGTAGCAAAAGCTGATTCTGTTTGCGCAAGACGACAATTGGTGAACATAGCTCTGGGCTACAGCCAAAGGGCGTGTACGGATATCCTCGGTTCGGTTGCAGTAGAAGTAGGCAAAACCTTTGTATTGGCGGTCGTTCGGAGAGTGCCTTCGACGTGGTCGATGACTCTCAAAGTGAGAAAGGTCTTCCCCGTTCCCGCTTGGCTGCTGTCAGTTCTCGATCCTGTAAATAACGCTACTGAGGCTAAACTTACGAGACCCTCGCAGCCACAGCACAGCTATGGAGCTACTCTCCTCCCACTGTCGGAAGATACGGTGTTGTAGCAACCAATCTCCAGCGGATCATCGCAATGATATTTTTCCTTCGGGGTCGAATCTCTTCGGCGCACCGACGAGGTCGCGCTTTCCTTCAGTTGTTGTTCTGTATGCTGATCGAGGTTGTGCCGTGTGCAGTTCGAACTGGTGGACCCACGATCGGCATTAGTCTCCCTATGCCATATTCGATCCCAGCCGTGTGAGACCTTCTGCCTCAACCTTCTCATATTTTCATCAACACGTACAGAGTAGAACCGGCTCTGTGTAGCCAAAAAGGGGTAGAGGCACTCGTTTTTGAGACCTTCTGTCGAGAAAATCAAAACTGGTTGTGGGTTGGGCTCAGCCGAACGCGGGGCTTGTGCAATAGTTTCAAAGGATGAGCCGTTCATGTCAGCTTGCAATTGGCGCGAACTCTCCACGGTATGTTTGCGTTTTGCATTTTCCGGCGAGGTCGGTCAATTGTGCCAGGTGTCCATGACCTTCCGTCGAGTTTTCAGGCCGATCTGATTTCCTGCTATCGTGTCGTTTGCCTTCGCAGGAAGGAAACTCTGTCCGATCACGAAATGATTTCGGGGCAGGCTCGCGGAGATTCGTGCCATGTACGCGGATGCAACCCCCTGTGCCGGAGACATTTTGCCTGCATCAGGATCTATATACTCTCCAGCTAGACATGCTAATTGAGGAACACTGCGTGATTTATCCAAAATCTACCATTTCCCCCGCACTCCTGTCTCGCTAACCAACCCTAGGAGCGTCACGGTCTTCCTTTTGGGAGCACCAGTATGATCTTAACATATTAAACTAGAGAGTCCTCCCAAGATTAACTCCAACACTTCCTGTGAACGACCGAACTATTTGCACAAGCAGATCAGACCGCCCGTTCAGTTCTATTCAAGCTATTTCCCGCGTCCTTCTCCTTCAGCCCGTACTCCGTCTCCAAACGCGACCGCAACTTGATATTTTTCTCGAAGAAGCAGAGCAAAAAGAACAGCCCGGAGAATGCGATAGAAATCTGCCATACCACGCACAGGCGGCAGGCACGGACAGGCCCCAGATAATGTCGAAGCTGCGGACCAAAGCCCACAGTGCTGTCGACGTCGCCGTGTCTTTCTCCTCGAGCCCGGCCTGAACTGCCGGCAGAAGCACGGGCATGATGGCTCCGGCGCCCAATGCATTGATTCTGACCCAGATGTCAAATGGTGAAGATAGATGGACACTATACTTGGCAAAAGTGAGCTCAACCACAGGGGCTTGAGGCTGCACCATACCTACACGAAAACGTATTGACACATCTTCGGAGATAAACTCAACCCTACCGAGTGCGAATGGAGAAATTCATCCTATACTGTACATTACCCTTATCAAGACCCTGACTTACAAACGGAATCCAGGGGATTCATGCATCGAGCCTCTGGATTTCTGGTTCTCTACTCTGTAATCTGTCCGGTAACAGGGGACTTTGCCGAGCTGGGAACACGCGGGCCCCACTGCTCTCGGAGATCAACCCTCATCTGGTTCACAAGCGGGCCCCGAAAGAACACGCGGAGACTCTGAAGGGCTAGGTAAATGACACGAAATATAATGGGCACGAAGTCGATTTTCCTGTACAGACAACAAGTCGCGTCGATCCATCGGCAGCTATAACCAACAAAGGACCAAGCTCAACCCCCAGAATCCCTCCTCCCAACATCTGCCAACTCGACCGCTTCCCCCTCCAACCCCGCCTCTGCCTCACGATCCACCTCTCCCAAAACCCACACCGCCTGCCCATCCGCATCCGTCCGAGACCAGAAATGATATCGTCGATTCTCACCCACGTTGTTCGCCATACTCGCCAACCGCTTCACGCCCTCGGGACCTCCTACCCAGGGAATCAACGAGCCGATCGCCTTTGGGATCCGGGGCGCATTATACCGCCCGAAGTAGCACGCGAACACGGCCACCAGCGCGATGACATCAATCGATAAGATCACGATGATGATGACGATGGTAGTGCTCGAGGGCATGAAGCCCCAGAAGGTGTAGGTGGCCACCCCCGGGATTTCCACTACTTGGCCGCGGGGGAAGATGAGGTCGCGGTTCAGGGTGAGATAGGTTGCGAAGGTGGATTGGTAGAGGGTTTGGATAGCTGTGGTGAGAGCTTGAGTGGTGTTAGTGGCGTCTGTTTGTTGCGCGGTCTGGTAGAGCTGCGTGGTCTGGTGGTTAGGGAAGGAGGAGAGGTAATACGGGAGTGGCGGGTGGATGGAGATGTTATGGACAAAAGAGCCGAGATTCTGGTTGAAGAGGCCCAGGGCGGTGGAGAGGTTGGCGTAGAAGGGCCCGGTGGTGAGCGGGACCGTATCAGGAACAGGGCTGTGTTGTAGAATGTAGCCACGGGGATCGACTTGGATCTCATAGAATTGGGTGTGGAGCTGAGGGGTGCAGTGCAGCGCTGTCGTGGTATGGTTGTCGTTGGGTAGGCTGGTAGCGGAGACGAAGAACCCGCCTCTCTGGCAGGCGGAGTTGTTGGCCCACACATACTGGATCGCTGGTCGCGTGGTGTCGTTAGAAACAAGAGGGAGCTGGACGTTGCATTGGGTGGTAGTGTCTGACGAAAGGGAGTAGGTCCAGTTCACCGTCCTAGTGTAATTGTCGATAGTCGCATAGTCCAACGGCGCTTCATCGCATGACAGAGAGGTCCCAATTCCGCGGATTATAGCATTAAAAACCACGCCGACGGCACTCTCATCCATATCCATTACAAACGGCTGGAATGAGAGATCCTTCGTGGTCCACGGCAGGCGCGAGTGATTCAATGACAGCGTGTAAACACTGCGGTCGAAACTGCCAAAGTCCGGGAGCAGAGTTTGACCGACAAAGCTTGAGTCCATGTATGAGGTGGTGAGACTGGAGGAGGCGAGATAGGTGTTGAAATGCGGCTCAAATAGACCGCCAGTAACAACGACAAGAATAAGATTGAGCACGCAGACCAATGACAGGCCGAACAAAGAGAGAGAGGGTCGTGGCCCTGATCGCTTCAACACAAAGAGGGTCTTCAGGGGTCCGTACGCTGGCGCGGACAACGCCGTTGGGGGCATCATCCCTTGTCGTAGTCTGATCCAGGGTTCTGCGACGCTCAGATGGCGGTGCAGGGAGTTAATCAGCGAGCGTACAACTGAAGCAAGCATGGTCGAGCCATAGATTAGGAAAGCCGTTGCGAACAGGAACTCGGCAGAGTTCATTGTGTCCAAGATGCGGACTCGAATCCATGAATATGTCAAGCCCGTTGCGGTGACAGCTCCGATGAGAAGCACGCATTCCGTCACAAACCATGGAAGAGTCAGGAAGTGCGGCATTGGATCTCCGCGTTTGGAGGCAGCTGGCGGTGGACCCATCTTGGCAGGAGACCCATCCATCAGAGACAATTCAAGGCGTCGACTGGCGGACCCTGCGGTCCACCTACACCAGAGCCCCTTGGCCCATTTGCGAAGTTGTCGGGTCCGTGCGACATGGTAGGTCGGTTGGGACAAGGTACAGAGCGTGTCGGGATCAATCAGGCAGGCTATCCAATTGCATTGCGCGGCAATGGAGCTGGGATCCCGATCAAGGAGGTTAGGCCGATGTGGGTATATGAAACTCAAAGCAAGAACTAGGGCACAGCTTGAAAACATAATGGTTTCGACAAGGGCAGCCGCGCGAGGTACCACCGCAATGGCCACCGAATATGTGGAGAGGATAGCATCGATTCTCACAGCCTCTGCCTGTTGGTCGAAGAGTCTATCGCTGGCGGTTGTGAATCCGCTGTTCCATGTACGGCCTATTGCCTTCAGGTATTGAGTCAGATTCAAGGCCTCCGTGTCTCCAACAACGCTGATGCTTTTGTTCCATGAGTCACTTGTGCGGGTATGCTCCGAGGACATCAGGCTCTGGAACCCGTGCACACTGAAATCCTTCTCAGTCAAGTCCCTAACGCTCGAAGATATTGGTTGAATAGTAGTGGGATATGAGCTGCCTGTGATAGAGACATTAGCGATCGCCTGCCTATAAAGTGGCTGGCACGCAAACAAGGTAATATTCGAGCCCAATGTTGTCCCCGCTGTGTTCTCCATATCAATGATTATGCCGAGCAGACCGGTGGAGGGACAGCCGGTGACGTTGAAGGCTGCTCTAGACACAGCGGCAATTTCGGACTGAAGGGGTTCCCAGTAGCGTGCTTGAAATTTCCCGTCCCCGAGTGGAGCAGAGGTGTTGACTGCGATACTGATCTCACAGGGAGCGGCTGTCGACATGCCTGGTAGCGTGACGTTCGAAAAATCCCACACCAGACCATGATCAGTCATCGAATCTCCGGCTGTAGAAACATTCACTGTACCCGGTACTGCTCCAATCACAGTCGCATTGACGCACGTGGTGTCGGACCAATACACGGACTGATTCATGCTCAAGGTGGAAAATTCCATTTTGCAATCCGATGGAAACGATACAGGGGCCACGGCATACGCCACGGTATTGTCTAGTCCAGGGTCATTGGCACGAGAGCTCTGCCAAAATTCCCTGTGAGCAGCTTCCAGTGCGAACCAATTGTCCTGGGTTTCCAGACCAACCAGGTGGGGCCAGCTATCTAGAGTTCTAGTCTCCATCACATCTAAGGATGTCAGGACAAAAAGACCCGAGAGCAATGAGGCCACCAGGAGGTGTATTGCCAAAGACATCAGAGAAACACATAGCACGATCCAATGTCGGTTTCGAGCGGCGCGAATTACGGCAACAATCCCAGGATCGAAGCTGTAATTGGTAAAGAGAACACTGGCGGAGGCACCTTTGGGATCAGCCAGCTGGAAGTACGGTTCCAAGCGCAGAAGGTCGTGGGCAAAGACTTCCCAGAGGACTACGGCGACCAGGCCGACAATGGTGGGGGTGTCTGCCCAAGCCCGCCACTTGGACGAAGAAAGGTCTTCCCTTTGTTTGTAATGAACGATGCCATTTTGGCGAGTTGAATATTGACGGAGGACTTCAACCGCAATGGCAATCAACAGCAGGACAGTCGAGAGAGTCATCAGATATGGCCTGCGCAAAGTGTGTGGCAGCCAGCCCTGCCGGTTTGGGGCATCATCAGCAACATTATCAGTTGCGCTGCCGGCGAAGGAATTGCGGCGGCCGCATTGCATGAGGTGTGGGGAGGGAGGAAGCGGGGTAGAACGGTGACTTGTCCGCTCATGACAGCCGATTAATTAGGAGGGATTGAATTCATCTCTGGGATAGATACTTGTTGGGTTCGAGGGGGAGATAGGGGGTGATGTGATGACAATTCGACTTCGGATGGTGACAGAAGAAGACAGCAGATTTTTTGGGAGGGTTAATGTTGGGTGCCTAGACTGCCTAGAACTGCTGAAGTGGGGAAAATGCACGGAAAATAGCAAAAGAAAAAGGGGTCCAGCCACTAAACAAGTAAAGTTAGGGCTTGGCGGGGCGGCGAGACCCCTATTGATACTTCAGGCTGCCACTTCCAGCCCTACCTCCATGCCTATTCATTCTACCTACCTAGTAGTACTGTACGTAATCGGGACATAGGGGAAGTGGAAACAATTCGAGTACATTATGTCTACCATAACGAGGAGAACCAGTTCGCTAGTATTGTAATTCTCCGCTCAGAAATGTTGTATGCATTTCCCATGGTGGGAAGAGTAGTAGACGCGGTAAGTTGAGGAAGGATGATGGAGGGGTATGGAGCAGAGAAATAAACGTTTCCCACTCCACTCCACCGAGAAAGGCAACGCCTAATACCAATTTGCAAATCCGGTCTCCCTAAGCTTTTGCACGGTACTCATCGTCGGTGACTGCCTCATGCCAGATTGTCTTCCCCAGGCCCACCACCAAATGTGTCATAATAGTGCCATCTTCGGCACCATGCCAATGGGTAGTGCCAGCCGGCGCCCAGATCAGATCTCCCGTCTGGATCCGACGGGGGGCATCGCCCTTGTCGCAGATCCAGCCCGATCCGGCCACGACCTTGATGAACTGCCCATGCTCGTGGGTGTGCCAATGAGTTCGCGCACAAGGAGTAAAGGTCACATTGGCAATCGCGGCGCTGTCGTCAAAGTGAATCATATCGAGGTAGACGTCCCCGGTAAAGGTGGCGGTGGGCTTGGCGGTGCTGTGACCTCCTGAGGAGTTGGAGAGGATGATGGATTTGGACATTGTAGGTAAGGTTGAACAGAGACTGTGAATAAATCCTGATTTCGTCAGTTCCAACAAGGTCGAAGCGGGATCAAGATATTTATATCTTTAATGTCATCAAAACATCCAAGTTTTCAGGCATCGAGAACCGCCGGATGACCCGGGCATAAGGTCGGTCGTACGCACTACGCTTACGGGCCCCACAGGTGCTGACACTCTCTTATCCCACCCTAAGTCCTACTCTCTGCTGCATCCCTGTGGGGCATGGATCTAAGGTCATTGGCGATGGCATTCCATCGGCCAATTCATAACACAAGGATTGTCAGAGTGCTGACACTGAGATCGCTCCTAAACCCCTATCTCCGTGCGGGGCTTCTCCACTTGATGACTGGCACGCCAGCGGTGCGGCAAAGCAGCCGAGTCGCAAGCGAGCAATATGTACGGAGTACTACATGTAAGTCAACACGACACCCACCGATTACAGCCTTGTGGGATGGAAGCTGGAAGTTCGAGCCGGTGAGGATTTCCTCTGTGCACCAAGTCTATGACTAGTCTGCTTGTAGTCATTTTTAGTTTGAACTGATCATCCACATGAGGGTTTCGAGAGCCGCCATGACGCCTTGTAGCCACCGCAGGATCAGGATGCCCGCAATGGTGTTGTTCAAGGGTGCGCCGATGGCAAAGAGCGTGAAACACGTGATGCTGGTCACGTAGGGAGGATTGGTCCCGATTCCGCGCCCGTACTATCCCGCCGCATATGAGCACATCCGCTTCCGACCAGGTACCGACATCTTGCATTTCAACTGGGACTAAGGCGATGAAGGCGCCTACACTCTTTGGGACGACGAAGACAACGCAATCCCGTACTTCTGCGCGGTGAACCGAGAAGCAGCGTGCTACCCGATCTCTATCACCGCCCGCCATCTCCGGCAAGAGTTCGACAACCCCTTCTTCGTCGGCAACTTCCGCGGCGCTGGATTCAGGCTGTCCTACAAAAAAAGCCCGTGTTCCAGCCCATGATGCTCTTTCGCCATCGAATGGGGATTGGTTGCGACCGCCGGTGGATTTTCTACCTCGACTGATCGGGGGATTTATACGCGGGAGGATGGGTCTTTGGAGAAGGAAATCCGCTGGATTCGCCAAATCAAGCTTGAATCAAGCCTCATGAGTTATATCTACAGTATCAGCTAAGATCATATCTAGCTTACAGGATCTTCTTAGATATCGATATCATTGACTTGACCATTACTATACTTTATTGCAAAGGCGATCACGTAAATTGCCTCAGCGCCATTGACATCCATTTGTCGCCAACACCAGGCTTTCCACTCCGGTTGCCCTCCCCCTAAGTATCAACTAGTGACCCCTTCACGCCTGCTGAGCCCATTTCCCGAACCCTGTGGGCTGATTTCCGGTGATGCGATGCACATTCCGTGCATAGTCCGCGTCCGTTGCAAAATCGACCAGCCCACGACCAAGACCAAGGCTCTGTTCCCGATTCTGCTGCACAACAGCCCGCGCCAGCGGCTCAGGGAACCCGAGCTTGGCAACCAAGCACTCGATCTCTTCCTCCTCGCCAACCGTGACAACCTCCACCTCTTGCCCGGTGCTCTCTCGACTCAGCAACCGAACAGCATCAACCAGCGCAAGCTCCTCCTGCCCCAGCAGATTCACAAAATTGCCCTGCACCACACTGCTGCCCTGCGCAAGGAGAGTCCCACAAACCCGGCCAATATCTTCCGGAACCACCAAATCAAACTTCGCCTCCGGATACGCCATTCCCACCCTCCCCTCGGCCGCAGCAGCCAACCACCATCGGGTGTTGGTAGCATAGAAACTCGGCCGCACTGCAACATACCCTGAAGCTCCAAACACCCTATTCAAGGTAACCTCCACTCGCGCATGGGCATACGCGATGAAGTTCTCCGGCCCGACACTGTCGGGCTCGCCCTTCACTGCAAAACTGCTCAGGTAGACCACGTGCTCGATGCCGGCGGATCTCATGGCCTCCAGGCTGGCACGCATGTGGTCCGGGGCGCCAAAGACGGTGTAGACAAATGCCCGGGTGGCATTCGTGGCGGTGACCGCGTGGCGGATGGTTTCGGGGTCGGTCAGGTCGGCGTGGACGCGTTGATAGGTGCCGTTCTTCTCATCTTCCGGGGTTAGGGCTGGGATGGACTTGGTGAGGTCGCGGGCGGCGAGGACGACGCTGGCGCCCCGGGCATGGGCGGCGCGGGCGGCGGCTGAGGCGACCACGCCGGTTGCGCCGAAGATGATCACTTTGACCATCTTCATGGATTTGAGTCTTGGGTGTTGGGGTTGAGGAGAAGGTGGTTGGGAGGTTTCACAAAACGATTCTGGTGATGTTGGTAGGTCACTGGAAATACCCACTATCAGGTCAGGATTGAATTATGTGGGTTTGGTGAATGCGTTCGTGGATTTCGATGCAGATCACCAAAAGATAGTGACAAAGCTGGGTTGGGACTTTATATGCGATGATCGAGCACTCAGCGCGGTGATCCACTCTCCCGGTGCGTCGGAAGAGTCGGAGGCGAATAGGCAAGCGAGTCATTCTCCACCGCATGCCTACCGACCCAGTTTTCTGCAAAAGTGTCTTTCCTGACCTGGATTAGTCCGATGTCTGATTTTTTCAAGCTTTTATGCCTCGGACTATATCCGACTTTGGTCGGATTGGGGATCAGATCAGAATGCAAATAGCTCGCGTCAGAAAAAGCTATCAGTAGCGGATCCGCGGGTTTATGATGGAAGCTTTACAGCATAGATTCACTCTCCTCTCTTAACAGTGCTGGCGGCTTGTCAACAGGACTCATGCGGGCCTGGAACAGTGAAGAAGAGGAGGACATCTAGCCGTCCCAGTGTACCGACCCTCTCGGATCATGGGCCCAATTATCGAAAAATACCGGACTTTGCGCTATCTCGTCATGCCGGAGAGCCCTTCTGGGAATGATTTTGCCTACGACCAGTTTGCAGAGAGTGGTGCAGTGCCGCCTGAGCATCTCAGCAGTTTACAGAGCCAGTAGACATGGCAACTACGCTTTTAGAGTGGAAAACAACATACTGGATTAAGGAGCTATATCTGAAGCATGGCTGGCAAGCCGACCCGGTGGAGCAAGACTAATGCCGAAGAGACCAATTCTTGGAAGAGAGGAAGCAGTATTGGGTACAGGTAGTAGACCCTCTCAGCAAGGTTTGCATGAACCTACACAATCGAAGTATATTGGAAGCACTGACTGGGCTTTGAGACTTGTCGAAAGGTTGGGACCACAATGAAGGACAAAGTGCCTCGATCTCGGTACGCTTTCAGTTCAGTGATTCGAACAATGTATGTCCTGGTACAAGCAAAGAACATAAAGGAGCTTTGGGGGCATAGTAGATCTAATCATTATCTATCGGCCAGCAACCCGCCAACAATATCTTTGCAACTTGTCCCGGGGACAATGGTGTGTATCCTGAACCAAGCTATTGTTCTAAACAATAACACCCTATATACAAAGAGCTTATCAGCTTTTCCTTCATACACACAATCCAGGACACCCTCCCAAATATTCTATAAATACCAACTTTTCAACCTACTTTGTCGTTCCCATCCCTCACTACCAACCCCACTCACCAGCAACAGTACAACCGAAGCAAGCTTCAACCAAGCTACAATTTCACTCGTACAAAACCTACACCAACCCAACACCAACTCAAAATCCACAATGCACATCCATCCCGAAGTCGTCCTCCTCGGAGGCCTGGGCCTCCTCCTGGGCGCCAGCGGCTCCCCGCTCCCCTCTCGCCCCTCCACCCCGCTCCCCGAGGACTCTACCTCCACCCTGAGCCCCAACACCACTACCGGTAACCCCCTCCCCGATCTAACCCATCTGTCCCTCGCCCCCCGCGAGAAAGACACCAACGTGGAGATTGTCTGCCACGATCACGTCTTCACTCGCGACCACGTCAAGGCCGCCGTCAAGCAGGCCAAGCGCATCCACGAGGCCAAGGATAAGCACCCGGACGACTACGCCGAGTTCCCCAAGCCCCTGGACCGCCGCGCCAGCGACCTATTTAAGAAGCCCGACGGACTGTTCCAGTTCCCCCTCGTGTCGGACGGCGTCTACGACGGCAAGGCCGATGTGACCGGGCGCGAGTTCGTGATCATCGACAAGAACTTCAAGTGTAAGGGGGCGGTGCGGTATTATGAAGACCATGCGGAGAGTAAGGGCCATGCGGATGCGTGCTATGCACGCAAGCGGAAGGATAAGGATGGGAAGGACAAGGGCAAGGATAAGGATAAGCGCAAGGGTGGTGGTGGTGGCGCCGCTGGCGGTGGCGGCGGCGGTCATGCCAGTGGTCATGCCAGTGGTGGCCATGGTGCCGGTCGAACTGGCCTTATCGTTGCTGGTGGTGCCCATGGGGCCGACGAGGGGGATTACGATGTTTGCTGATCCCACCCTTTTAGGGCGGTTGACCTGAAGTTTTGAGTGCTTCGGCACTGGTCAATCTTTTGGCACATTCCCTATCATTCATGCATGCAGACTTTCTCAGATCTCTGTGTACTAGTCACTCTTTGGATGTCTAGCACTCCTATATATATAAGACAATAAAAGACTTGTCATTACGGCAGTATATCTGTTTCCAATCGAGTAAATATGTCTGAGCACGTGCTCAAATACTCGTCCTTGAGGCGGCCCACATGTGGGTGGAATTGATTAACCCCACACGTGCCCTGCTGCAAGCAACGAAAAAAACCACACGAAAAAACAGAATGGGACGAGCCGGGCTTGAACCGGCCACCTTCAGATTAATGGCCGAAGTTGGTACTTCAGTCTGACGCGCTCCCAGATGCGCCATCGTCCCAATTGTTAGAAGATTAGATGCCAATTGCATTTATGTCCCCAGGTTTGGCATTATCCCACTGAAAAATGTAAGCTCAGCTTTTACATATCTATACGTATATATACATACCATCGGGTTGCGGCAGATTTCTTATATCACTGCGTGGTTTCTATAATAATGACCCTCGCAACTGGCATATCTGCATAAGACCACTGTTTATATATATATATAGCTATGTATGAATATTCCTGAGAATATATTCTTAATCTGTATAATATACAACTAGGCGGTCAGTTCTACCTGAGGCTTTTACTACCGCTTACCGCTGGGGCAGTGTCTCCTCCGGCCGGGTTGAGCTTGTCCGCCATTGGTGCACTGTCCACAAACCCACCATCAAGTGGACCCACCAGCCAAAAACAGAGAGAAAGGGCCAAAAAGAACAGCAAAAGGTTTTTTGGGGCAAGCCGGGCTTGAACCGGCCACCTTCAGATTAATGGCCGAAGTTAGTACTTCAGTCTGACGCGCTCCCAGATGCGCCATTGCCCCATTTCACGTGATATTAACCTCAAAGGATGCTGTATGACCGGACAACAATGTCTGCCATTGCACCGTTCCATGTATGTCGGCTTTTCTATAGCAATGCTCCACGGTTTGGAAAACAGTGCAAAATGCTGACCTGGAGAAGTGATAAAATTCCTCGTTTTTTTGGCGAACAGAAATTCACACATAGAATCATCTCTTCTCCTATGGGTCTCGAGGGGCGACTTTCCATGCTTCCCTGGTGATGCCCCGATATTCTCGTGGGCAATTATATATAACACGCACCCGGAACTCAACATGATATATCCCTAGGAAAGCTGTGCCACCAAGGCCGTACCAACAAACCAAGAAAATAAGCTCGGAAATGATAATATACAGAACGGAAGCTTGAAACCTTCGAGCCCGCGGAGAGTGTGATGCTACTCATACAGTTCGCCATGGAAGCGTAGTTCATTGTTCGGGCTGAACAAGTTAGGGCTGGGCGATGTTGCCAGCCCTTGAAGGATCGGCCTCCGCATCTGGAGACCGTAACTACCGTACGGAGACTGTACATTCCTCGGCCCGCAAACTCTCCCAGCCTCAACTCAACCCCAACCCCAACTCACCCCTTGTTAGGCCACCACCCCACTTACGCGATGAAAACAAAAGAATCAAGTTCTCCTTCACCCTCCACCTCGTCTACGTTCCCTTCTTCCACCTCATCCCTGAGACCCTAACCCCATTCCACCCAGATCGACAGCCGAGAGCTCTTCGTCGGCGAAACCCCAGGCAAAACCTCGGCGATATCCTCCGCGCCCTCCCCGCAACCCTGGCAGTGCGGGTTTTCGCCGAAATCGCGGAGAATCCATGGAAATTCATCGTATGACGATGCACAAGGGTTTGCTGTGAGCAGGACATCACGAACGAGGCAGCACAGCGCAAGTGACATATAAAGCGCTCTGCACCACCCCGGAGGCAAGACTCTCTTAAGCCATCCATCCAAAGCTTCACAATGAAGCTCACCACCACCACCACCACCACCCACCTGGCGCTCGCCACCGGTGCAGCAGCCTCCTACCACCTCGACACCAGCGCTCCGCCCCCGACCAACCTCAGCACCCTCCCCAACAACACCCTCTTCCACCTCTGGCGGCCGCGCGCGCACATCCTCCCCGTCGAAGGCCAAATCGGTGACCCCTGCGCGCACTACACCGACCCGGCCACCGGGCTCTTCCACGTCGGGTTCCTGCACGACGGTGAGGGCATCGCCGGCGCGACCACGGCCAACCTGGCCACGTACACCGACACCTCCGGCAACGGAAGCTTCCTGATCCAGCCCGGCGGGAAGAACGACCCCGTCGCCGTGTTCGACGGCGCCGTCATCCCCGTCGGCGTCAACAACACCCCCACCCTGCTGTACACCTCCGTCTCCTTTCTGCCCATCCACTGGTCCATCCCGTACACCCGCGGCAGCGAGACGCAGTCGCTGGCTGTCGCGCGTGACGGCGGCCGCCGCTTCGAGAAGCTCGACCAGGGCCCCGTCATCGCGGACCATCCGTTCGCCGTCGATGTCACCGCGTTCCGCGACCCGTTTGTCTTCCGCAGTGCGAGGTTGGATACGCTGCTGTCTTTGGACGAGGAGGTGGCACGCAACGAGACGGCCGTGCAGGACGCCGTCGACGCCTGGACCGAGAAGAACGCCCCCTGGTATGTGGCTGTCTCCGGTGGAGTGCACGGCATCGGCCCCGCGCAGTTCCTCTATCGCCAGAACGGCGGCAATGGTTCCGAGTTCCAGTACTGGGAGTACCTTGGCGAGTGGTGGCAGGAGGCTACCAACTCCAGCTGGGGTGAGGAGGGCACCTGGGCTGGGCGGTGGGGGTTCAACTTCGAGACGGGCAATGTGCTCTTCCTCACGGAGGAGGGCCATGACCCCAAGACTGGGGAGGTGTTTGTCACCCTCGGTACTGAAGGGTCTGACCTGCCCATCGTGCCGCAGGTCTCCAGTATCCACGATATGCTGTGGGCGGCGGGTGAGGTCGGGGTAGGCAGTGAGGATGGTGCCAAGGTCGAATTCACCCCCTCCATGGCCGGGTATCTGGACTGGGGGTTCAGTGCCTACGCTGCGGCTGGCAAGGTGCTGCCGGCTAGCTCGGCGGTGTCGAAGAACAGCGGCGCGGAGGTCGACCGGTATATCTCGTTCGTCTGGTTGACGGGCGACCAGTACGAGCAGGCTGACGGGTTCCCTACGGCCCAGCAGGGGTGGACGGGGTCGCTGCTGCTGCCCCGCGAGCTGAAGGTACAGGCGGTGAAGAACGTCGTCGACAATGCGCTGGTGCGCGAGGAGGGCGTGTCCTGGGTTGTGGGCGAGTCGAACAACAAGACGGCCACGCTGCGCACGCTGGGAATCACGATCGCACGGGAGACCAAGGCGGCGTTGTTGGCCAACGGCTCAGTGACCGCGGAGGAGGACCGCACGCTGCAGACGGCGGCCGTTGTGCCGTTCATTCAATTTCCCGGCTCCAAATTCTTCGTGCTCACGGCGCAGCTGGAGTTCCCCGCGAGTGCGCGCGCGTCCGACCTCCAGTCCGGGTTCGAGATCCTGGCGTCGGAGCTGGAGCGCACGACCGTTTACTACCAGTTCAGCAACGAGTCGCTGGTCGTGGACCGCAGCCAGACCAGTGCAGCGGCGCCCACGAACCCCGGGCTGGATCGCTTCGCTGAGTCCGGCAAGTTGCGGTTGTTCGATGTGGTCGAGAACGGCCAGGAGAAGGTCGAGACGCTGGATCTCACTGTCGTGGTGGATAACTCCGTCGTTGAGGTGTATGCCAACGGGCGCTTTGCCCTGAGTACCTGGGCGAGATCGTGGTATGACAACTCCACCCAGATCCGCTTCTTCCACAACGGAGAGGGCGAGGTGCAGTTCAAGAATGTGTCCGTGTCGGAGGGGCTCTATAATGCCTGGCCGGAGAGAAAGTGACCGGGATGAGGGCATGACGTGTATGATTGCTTAGCGTAGCACGATTTTGACACAATTCAAGTACAATCTCCATTGTTAACACCTCGCTATGCGGTACATGCTGGGAACAGTTTTAGAAACAGGACCAGAAGAAGAACAATCCATCTAGTAGAAGCTGCTCGCCCGTGCCCGTCGCTCAGCCCCCTGCGTTGCTGGTGGGCGCTCCGGTGTCCCGATGGTCAACGGCGCCGGGTGCAGTTGCGACGGCATCGGCACGGGTAGATGCGCGGCTGTGGACGGCGGAAGCTGCATCGACATGGTCTGTCTGGTGCCCCGATAGCTCCCTGGCTGACTATTGGCTTTGACCGGCTGGATAGCCGGTGCCTCGGGGATCCAGGTCGGCTGTGCGTGAGGTGGTGAGCCGGGGGCCACCGGTTGTCGCTTGGCACTGCTGGTAGTGGAATGTGCGGATGTGGGCGGGGAGGGCGGCGCTTCTCCCTGCGCCGGCATGAAGAGCGGGAACTGCTGCATCTGAAGCTGCTGGTCCAGGGCCTCGTCGGTCCACGCGCGCCGAATGCGCACCTCATGCGGAGTGCTGGGACAATGTAGCCGGCCCAACACAGCGGTCTGACACCATCGGTTGGCTTCTGCGCCCGTGGTGAACCCGATCACCAGCCCGTTGTGGCTGTCGCGTAGGTAGGCCATCGAGGGGGTGAGCGGCAGGTACACGGCTGTCGGTTCTGTCGCGTAGATGCGACCTTCTCGGTTTAGATTCTGGTAGGCTTGAGCACGGTCGGGGGAGTTGAAGTCGAGCTTCAGCTCTTGTTTCTGGAAGTAGTAGAGGACGTTGAGGGCGGCGGGGCCCATGTTGGTGGTCATTGTGGTGGCCGGGCTAGGGCTGGTTTGGAGGGAATATTTGCTGCGATGTGGTGAGTAGAGGCGGAGGGGCAGAGGACCGGAAACTACTATATAAGGCATCGGACACTGCCAGGTTGCAGTCCAACATCCTCATCGAGGCGCAGCGTGGCTGAGGGATCTCTGCGGTTGGTGTTGCGATAATACGAGCCTCGCTGCAGCTCGCAGTACAATGCTTAGTTACTTAGAATTAGTAACAGGTCATGCCAAACTGTCAGCCTTGTGCTTGTGCTTGTGCTTGTGCTTGTGTCTCCCCACGGCACTGCGGCTGACCGGGCTGTGCTGGTGCTTCTGGCCTGATCGACAGCCGTCGGATGCCCTACAGAGCCGGCGAGGCTCGTGTTCTAACCACGGTCGCGATGATTCGTTCCATGGGCACTGTGTCCAGTTCTCGTATGCTTAATGTGTGTCGAACTTGGTTCATGTCCAAGTTGGCTTTGCTTTCATTGATCATTCGTGGGGTAGAATGTGAGCTGAATGAGCCGCCAGGCGAGCTGCCAGGCGACCAGTAACGTGTGTGTTTCGGTCGCAGACAGCTGAAGGTGAATGGTGAAGCATAAGTGGCTTTCCTGTCCTCTGATCTGGACGCCATAGCCATACAGGATTCACACCGTTCATGTCTTAGAAGGATTATACCCCTAGCATATCTTCAAAGTCCAGAGATGTGCAAAGGAGAAAAGGCTGCAGGGCATTAGACATGGTGGCAAGTCACTCCGAGGTTGACGGTTCGAATCCGCGCAGGTGCACTTTCCTCACAGCCCACCGTTCTTTGTTTGTCGCCCGCCTTCCATGTTCTTGTTTTGTTCCGAACTAGCGGAACGTCGCCTACTGAACCACGGTACCGGGATTTTGTGGATGCCTTGTTGTTTTCATTTGGGCTTCGGGCGTAGTGAAACCCACCATCCAAGGCAGAAGTGACTCGGGTGAATGATGAAGAGATCCCCAGACCAGACTGCTCCCCTTTTCTTAAGAATCAGTTTTAATCCGTCGATGAATCGATCTGATTATCATCGCGTAGCCGACCACGTGCCGTTGGCCCATTCAAATCTCGGGGCTTTGCCTCAAAGTGGAACAGCCCGGACTGGGATTGCCCCTCGTTAGTTCTCACTTAGTGCTCTCAACCACCGCGAGCACAACCCATCGCAGACATACCTTAGGAGATAAAGTTGGGTTGAGTCAGGCACTGAAGGTGGAAGTGAAGTCTGTGAAATTGAAAATTCTTCTTTTAACCTCAAGCGGAGAGCTGCACGAGACTTGAAACAAGCACTGGGTCCTCTCCTACGAGCCCAATTTTGCGGGAAGATCGGAGAATCTCCATTGAACATCCACGCCGCAGGCCATTCTGCCTGAATAAATATACCCAGTTTTCAATCACGAGCACAGAAGCTCTTCCTGGATTGTTTACCCGGTCGGCTGGATGGCGCAACTCTGGTAGCGACAGGAATTATTGTTGCTGGGTTGGGCTGGGCGATCAGGGCGATGCCTTCGTGGCTGACTTTGCAATCGCAGTGCGTCGCTCAGTGCTCGCAACATTGTCCCAGCATCTTGACTCCTGGACTACTCGCCCTAAGCCGAAATAAAGTTGGAGCCGGTCATTCGGCGCTGCACCTGGGAAATGAAATCTCACCCATCTCCCTGGCCAGACCGCACGGTGGCAGGTGCGTCGCTGTATATAGTAGATGCGTAGGTCTTTCTCACCATCCCCGGCGCAGGTGGATAAATGATGCAGCGAAAGCAGTCTCGCTTGCAGGCCACTGGTCAGTCAGTCTATGCTGGACTGGGATTAGAGACCGTCGGTAGGCGAGGTCAGCGAGTCAAGGCCCGGGTTAGGGCACTCCACCCCTTTCCGCTTTAGGGAGGTCGGTTCCAGCCTCCGAGTCCGCAGGGGTTCCGGCTATCGCCGCTGCTCAGCTCGATCAGCCAGATGCCTTGGCGATGCCCCCTCGAGATTAACTGCAATCCTGATCGAGACTTTTGCGATCAATCGGGGACTCATTCCATGGAGACTTGAAATCACCGCCATGCAATATAGAACTGACACACATTGTCAATGTCAACTCTGTCAGCACCAAATAACCTCGTGTCGCGGCACTTTCTGAGACACCCTCGGGATATTTTTAGCGGATCTGCCATTCACCTGGAGCCGAAGCTCCTGCTGATCAGCTCGATGCCCGGCGACTGCCCCCACATGAATCCATATCGCCATCGTGGTTCCTGAATCTTGGAACTCTCCCACACCACCTGCCCCATGCTCACTCAGACATCGCTCACGCGACACTAGCCCGGTAGTTTCGATCCTGCGACGAACTGTGGAGTGTTGCCCCCTCTCGAGTCAGTCGCCATGGCCGATCCCCTCGCTAATCTGCTCCCTGGGCCGGGGGAACCATGGCCAGCTCGTATCCTGCCTAGACAGACTGATAACCGAAGGGCGAGACTGGGTCCTTCTTGAAGCCCAAACACCGCGCATCCCTGCCACCCCTCACTGTGGGAGTCATTTAAATATACTGGCGCCGTCCACATCGCCCGCCCGTCAGCAGTCGTGGTTTCTCCTGTGTATCAGATCCAGTCACTGATTTCGACTACCGCAATTGGGCAGGGTCCCGACTCTCGGTAGTGCTGCCACCATACCCATTGACTTGATTTGCGACTCTCCTTGCACCTACACCATCCCCACGAGAACTAGATTTTGAGTTAAGGTTCTGCAGTGTGCGCCTTCGTCTCAACCTCAACTCTGCGAGTCGCGTCTCCTCGACCGGACATGTGCTTTCCGTCGCTGCTTCATATAAAAGTCTTTGGCTGTTCCCGCACTACGTATCGCAGCTAACACATCCGACTTGGCGACAAGCATTTCACCACAAGATTACCACCTCCATTGGATGAAAGAGTGGAGGAATCGTCCGGACCCCCGCCAAGATGATGCCCGTCGAAGGGCGCAGCAAGGAGATCCTGATCGTCGCCGTCGTGTGCATGTCCGTGTCGTTTATCACCGTGTGCCTGCGCTCGTACGTGCGACTGCGACTGATCAAAGCGTTTGGATGGGACGATGGATTGATGGTGATTGCTACGGTAGGCCTCTCTGGCACTTTTCCATGTGTCGTGCTGCCAAGCTGACCACCCCCAGGTACTGAACATCTTCCTGACCGTCTGCGCCATCATCGGCGCCAAGGAAGGTATCGGTCGCAAGTTGGCCGACTTCCGGAGTATGGACGACCTGCACCGCGCCATGCTTGTATGTTTCCCTTCCACCATCCTCCCGTCCCACAATCTCCGACGGTACTGACCAGACAAGTGGTGGTGGCTCGGCCAACTCATCTACATGTGGGCCTCCGGCGTGGCCAAGGTGTCCATCGCGCTCGCCCTCCTGCGCCTGACCGTGCGCCAATCCCACCGGATCATCCTGTGGACGGCCATCTGCGCCTCGGTGACCGTGGGCCTGGTCTTCTGGTTCTTCATGGTGCTGCAATGCCACCCGGTCTCGGAGTTCTGGGAGCGCACCGGACAGGGCAAATGCCTGGACACCTCGGTGCTGCTGGTCGTCGCCTACGTGTACAGCAGCATCTGCGCGGCGTGCGACCTGGCGTTGGGGCTGTTGCCGATCCTGCTGGTGCGCAAGCTGCAGATCAACCCCCGCACGAAGATCGCGCTGGGCGCGACGCTGAGTATGGGCTGTGTGTATGTGCCCTTGCCCCTTTACAAACTGCCTCGCTCTTTAATCGTGCGATCAATGACTAACGGGTGTAGCGCCTGCTTGGCCCTGATTATCCGTATCCCTTTCTTACCGAGTTACAAGGATTTGGACTTCCTGTGTAGGTCATCCCTCCATCTCCCCCGACCCCCGAAAGGGTAAAGCTAACAGCCGAAGACTCAACCTACCAAATCGACCTCTGGTCCTTCCTGGAACTCGGCCTGGGAATCACAGCCGGCAGTCTCGTGACGCTCCGCCCCCTGCTCCGCAAATTCCTGGACCACGGGGCGTCGGCACCCGGTAAAACCCCCTACGCCTACACGTACACCACCCGCAGCGGCGGCACCGCCCGTAAGCCCCACTCCCGGTCCCGCGGCAGCTTCCCGTTCTCGAGCTTCTCGCGCACGCGCACGGAGAAGGACCAGGATCTTGAAGTTGAGTTGGTGGATACGGCGTGGCGGCCGGATATGCATGGCGTGGAGCGGTCGGCGACGGCGATGGCGATGGCGACCGTCGTCGGTGGTGGGGTTGGCAATGAGGCGAATGGGCGCGGTAGGGAGAGAGGGAAGAGTGACAGTCAGGAGAGTCTGACGGGGACGGGGTTTCAGTATGAGAACGCGGTGGGAGGTGTGGTGGGCGGCGGGCAGTGGGGCACGGATGTCGTGGGCAGTGAGAGGATGGTTAGGGTGCAGAAGTCGTTCTATGTCACCGAGACGGAGAGGAGGGGTTGACCTTCTCGCTGTGCTTCCTTCTCTCTCCTAATGATTTATGCCCCATGTACGGTACTTGCGTTGTGGAATGTAGCATGTAGGACGTAGACGTGAAGGTAGGATGGTTCATTCATAGCTCCTAGTCTCACCACTGATCTGGTTCATATGTACATCTACTCCAAACTCTCTCCCTCCTGACACCCGATCGGCGTCGTCCGGTAGTTCAACCCAGTCGTCGTGTTGTAGTTCCACCAGAAATCCAGGTACTGCGGGTACGAGCTGGGCACCTGGCACGTCGACGCGTAGTCTGGCAGACTCTCGCTCAGGATCGAGGTGAAGTTGGCCAGCGAGCAGGTGTACCCCGGCCCGGACTGGCAGTCGTTGAACGGGAGCACGGCCTCGTTCAGCACCAGGCGCACGTAGGTGTCTTCCTCTGTGGCAGCGGTTGCGTTGCAGCTGAGCCGCTCGATGGTCAGGTGCCCGCCCATCGGGATGATGTTGCCGATGCTGTAGGGGTTTCCGAAGGGGATGCGGTCGAGGGGAAGGTCGGTGTCGGGGATGAGCACGCCTAGCGCGGCGAGGATGGGGGTGATGTTGGTGTCGTGGGCGCTATGATGGGGTCAGTTTGATCTGCGGTGGCTGGGCTGGGGCGACACTGGGAGGGAGGCTTACAAGTTGAAAAACAGGGAGCCGGCTTGTTCCGGGCCTTCGTTCAGTAGCGTCAGGCTGGCATTAATGTAGACGGCTCCCACGGCGGCCATGTTCTTGTCGCCGGGTCTGGATCGATGTTAGGGTTGGGGCCATTGATCCGAGGGCAGACAGGAGGGGGATTACCCAGCGCAGTAGTAGTAGTCTAGGTCTTCGAGGTACCCGAAACTGACCCATTCGTCTTGGGTAAAGGCGTTGATCCAGTCGGAGTGGGGGCGGGCGTTGAGCTCGAAGGATGCCATGGCTGTATTCGTCAGTCAATGTTCAGCTGCAGTGGTAGCATGACCTACTCATCAAGTGGTAGACATCCGTCTCGTTGAGGCTCAGGCCCGGGTTCTGCGCATTCAGGCGCGCAGCTGCCACCTTAAACTGCGGCATCACGTAGACAAGGTTGTCGCAGATGGAGTCGTCGTTGTCAACATCGCAGGAGGGCGTGAGGCTGTTGGCACCTAGGGTCTCGGACTCGGAGATGATGTTGAGGGCGGCGTTGGTGGAGTAGTTGTAGCCGAAGAATCCCTCGCCGAATTTGCGGGCGGTGTTGATGACGCGGCTGTAGCCACTGCTCCAGAATGGCTGCACCGACTCGCCGTCCCAGAGATGGCCGTACCGCGCCTTGTACTCGTTGCCGTGGGTGTATGCATCCAGCAAGCCCGCATACGGTCCGCTGGTCGTCTCGGCGTTGTAGTAGCATTCGTTGGGCACGTAGTAGGTCCAGTCCTGCAGGAAGGCGAGATCTCCCTTCCACTCGGAGACGTTGGCCGAGTACACCTTGTCCAGGGTGGCCTCGATGCCTGCGCCAGCGCTGGGTGAAGGGTATCGCTCGCCGTGTCTCTTGATCATGATGACTTGGTCGACGGCGCACCCGCTGGGCGGGTCCCGGGAGATGCCATAGGACACTCGCTCCGAGTAGGGGCCGTTGCCGCCGTAGTGCTTCAAAATGCTGTATCCATCGCGGAACTCTTGGGAGAACTGCTTCTCCTGGGTGGACTGGGGGATCGCGGCGGGGTAAGAGAAGGCGGACGCTCCGGTAGCCAGGCCTAGGGCATAGGCGGCCCGGAGGAGGGACGAGGAGGAGGGCATGGGGATGAGTTGTGGGGAAGAACAGAGAAGTGAAGGAAATGGAAGACAAGCTGACCAGCCTTGTTATCTAGCGATGGTCTGAAGCCCGATGCTTTCTCCTGCTGCTTGAGTGACCTGCAGGCTCTTATATAGCCTCCAGCCGGCGACTGCTCTCCTCATCGCGGGGAGCTGCAATGGCCGTCTGATCCGGCCCATCTCATCTCCGACAATGGAGCAAGACGGCATATTGACCACTGGCAGAGACAGGAAACTGCCCACGTGCTCATTTTCCCAAAGTGAAGCAAAATTCCCCTCCGCTGTCGGACCGGTGATAAGAAACAAGTAACTCGAGGTATTTTCCTAGGTCCAGGTGCGGAGAAGATACGAAGAGTGACATGGGATAAGCCGGCGGCGGCCGACGGAAGATCCCAATCACACGCGGGGAAGCCAAGGCGTGTTATCGCATCGCCGGTCCATTGGTTGAATGAGGGGAGAAGCGGGTCTTGCACGGCGTAATCTCCGATCCTGCCACTAGGCTGGTTTGGGGGGAAATTAATGAAGCCGTTCCCGTCTGAGTTCCTCATCTTTTGTTGTCGTTGCTGCTGCTGCTGCTGTTTTCTGAGGTAGTGATGTAAAAGAAGCTGAATCAAAGCACAGTACACAGCTGAGATCATTATCCATCCAAATCACTGGTGAAGGCCATATCGGGATGCTCTTGCTAGAGAATTACTCAAGCTTTCCGGTTGAGATCAGACTGGGGGTGGTCACATCACCTCGTCTACGATTTGCAATTTCAGAAACAAGCACCTTGGAAGCTGCTTAGCCAAAGCTTGGTGTCGGCCATACATTCTTGGATCGGCCCAGCCAAGACACTGTGATCCTTCTGACGCCTTGGCTACTCGCCGAGTGAATGCTTGTGCTCGAGATGACGGTCCCTGCAGCATGTCTGCAGTTCTGGGACACGGTTTATGCGACCTTGGACGCAAGAAACCGCTTGTTCGAGTCAGTGACGACGGCCTCTACATTAGTATCGAGTCCGAGTCGTGGTCGTTATGCCTCAGATGGGCCGCAATCGGCCCACGTGCACTCGGTCTGGCCAAACATTGGAGATGCAAAACAACGGCACGCTGCAGCCCTACGCGTTAGATCATGCATCTGCTGCACAACGCGAGTCAGCTACACTTCCTGGACGCGATCATCTAATACCCCGCTAGACAAGTGCGATTGACACGGGTAGCATTTCCAGTGATGACTACACTTGAGTAGACATATCAATAAATACCATATCTACACTCAACACACATATTGATAAACATAAATCGAAAGTTTCTTCTAATACTAGAAGTACGAAGATCTTTATTCGGTATTGCATGCAAGTCTTCCAAAAATGGCTTGGTTCAATTCTCTTGACTGTGGCTCCTAGTATGCATATCAAATTCCTTGCTAATGACCCTAGCTCGGGATCTATTTTAATACGATATGCCGACAAGGAACTGTGATTCTATAAATTGAGTACGAGTGATTCTAAAGTGCCCGCAGATCAGGCCATGAAATTCTGTTCTACAATTCTATACCTATAGAATCCCAAGCCCACATCTATAACCACTACCCTAATCACCCCAACTGCACCTCCACCGGCACCTCATACGACAACTTGGTCACCCCCTTCTGCCGACTCACCTTCCGAATCGTAATATACCCCGTCAACCCCGTGTGCGCCACATGCGTGCCCCCACAGGGGTTCGCATCCAGATCCGCAATCTCCGCGATGCGCACTTTTCCGCCCTGCCCGACCTGCAACCCCTCCACCATGTTCAGCTCTTTGGTCGCGATCTCCCGCTCCTCCCACCAAGAGATGTGTACCGGTAACGCCCGCTGCACCAGCTCGTTCACCTTCCCCTCGATCAGCGGCCGGTGCTCGTTGTACAGCAGCCCCTCGAACTCCATGCACGCCTCGCGTGGCGCGTGGTTGGCTTTCACCTTCTTCCGCTCCCCAAGTTCCGGGGTGAGCAGGCGCATCGCAAGCCCGATGATGTGGCCTGCCGTGTGGAGCCGGGAGTGGTAGTTGCGGGTGATCGCGTTGATGGTCTGCGTGGCGAGGGCGTTGGAGGCGAGGGAGAGGGGAAACTCCGGGGTGGTGAAGTGCCCGAAGTGGAGGATTTCGCCGTCGGAGGTCTTGCGGACGAGGAGGACTTCGAAGGTGTATGGGTTTGTCAGGTCGTCATCGTTGGTGCCCGGGAGGAGGATCACGCCGGTGTCGCTGGGTTGGCCGCCGCCTTGCGGGTAGAAGACGGTTTGGCGGGTGGTGAGGGCATAGTGGTTCTCTGGCGGGATGTTCTTGGCGAGGGTCTTTTCGGGGTCGCTGAGGGCGGAGATGGGGCGGTAGGAGGTGATGGTTGTGGTTGTGGTGGTGAGAGTGGCGTCGTCCAGGTAGAGGGCGTCGGTAGTCTGCGGTTGCATTGAGTGTGTAGTTACCATGATGACGTGGCTTAGGGTGAATGTGGTGGAGTGGTGGAGTGGTGAAAAGTGAGGCTTGAGCTGGATATGTATATATATACTCGGGGATCTTATCTTTCTCCCCCCCACGTGAATCATCGGCGGGAGTCATTCCCGAGAATCCCGACCAGTTGCTCGCTCCGGCACACTGCATTGGGCAGGTGGAGCCCGTATCTCGTTCCGATCCCGGTGCCAAGCAGATTAGCAGTTGAATCTCATGATGCATTGGGAACCAGAGTGGAATGGTGGTTTTGGTGGATAGCTTGATTTTTCGATAATATTTTGAAACTATTTTACAAACCCCCCAGCTACCGATCACAACTCTGCTGGCCAGTTAGCGGGAGGAATCAGTAAGGGCCACGGTACTCACAGCTGAACACCGGCGCAGTACCGCAGCGCCGCATTGAATGTAGCCAGGCGGTACAGGGCTTTATTAAAGTTCGCCTCCGCTGAAGAACCACTCGAGTTGATGCGGAGGGCGTTGCTCTCGTCGGCCGCGTTGTCATCGCCGTTGCCATTGTGGTGGTCGGGCGCCCACTCCACCTCCTGGAACTTGAATCGCTTCAGATACAGACACAGGTTCGCGAGCATCCTCAGCATGTACGGCCAGTCCCCCTCAAACCGGACCTGTTCTAGCGTGATGGACTCGAGCTTCGCGACCTTGGGAATTAGGATGCACATGTCGCAGTCCGTCAGGACGAGGTTGGTCAGTGTCAGGTTGCGCAGGTTGCTGTCGGCCACGGGAATGGCGTTGAGGGTGGGCCCCACGGGGGTGTCGGGCCTGTCCAGCCCGCGGCCCTCGAGGATGAGCGTCTGGAGCGGGGTCTTGAAGGTGCGCTCGTAGAACTTGAGCCACGGGTGCGGCCACTTGCGCGGCGGGCTGGGCATGGTCTCGTCGACGAAGTAGGGCCACTGCACCCGCAGCTCCTCGAGGTCCTCCACAACGCAGTCATATAGGTGCGGCGTGTGGAACTCGCCGGGGCCCTCGACGTACCAGTCGTCGGCCTCCATGATGAGGGACAGGTGCGTGATATGCCGCCGCAGGTAGTTGATCACTCGGAACAGGCACTTGGGCACGTCGCCCGGGTTGAGGATGTCGTTGAAGGGGGCGCCCGCCGGCCCCAGCGCCAGCTCAAATTCCGAGATCAACGGGTAGCTCTTGTGCAGCACGTTGTACAGGCGCCGCACTTCGGGGATGTACATCGGCATCAGGATCGTGAGGTCCGAGTTGCGCTTGAACAGCGTGTTGGGCCCCGTGCGCGTCCCTTCCACCCGCAGCCGCCGCGTGAAGTGCGTATACATGCCGTACCGCGCCGCCAGCATCTGCAGCCCCGCCACGCTCGGCGGCGTCAGGTCCGTGCGCAGCGTGCGCAGGGCTTTCGCCAGGTCGATGACGCTCGGAATCGGGGTGTTGGCCGGGTCCAGCAGGATGCGTTGCCCCTCCGCGGTCAGGTTCTGGGCCAAGCCGCCCAGCGCGTCGCTGCTGGGCGTCCCTCCCTCCAGCGGCTCGAACATCGCATTCAACCACGCCTGCTGCTCCGCCGTCAGGTCGGGCTTCTCTTCCGAGGAATTATTCTCCGAGCCCTGCGTGTCCACGTCCAGCGATTCGAGCATCGCGGTCATTTCCTCCGCGGTCTGGTCGGGCGTGTCTTCCGGGGTAGTCTCCGAGGCGGACATTTTGCTGCTTGGTATTAGTGTACGGCCTTCAGGTGGAATAAGGGTAAACGTTGTCGTTGATCGGTGGAGATTGTGGGATGTAGTGATGGGGGGATGGGAGGGATGGTCTGAGCAAGAAGTGGCTGCCTGGTGTTTTATATCAGGAACACTGTCTGTCACGAACCAGCAATTCCATGGGAGCTGTAGCTGTGATCTCCTTCAAAGTGTGCTGTGAAAGGGGTTCTCATGAAGGACTTCGTTGCCATAGAGGAGGTCTTGTTGATGGAGTCGCTCATTGGCGGCAAGGACAAAGACATTGTCGGGGAGTGCCGCGGGATTGTCCAGTAGAGTGGGCAATCAGCAATCTCCTGATCGCCGGGTCGAACAAAGACGCTGTCATGGAAGCTGTCACTGAGGATATGTCCGTGTTGGTTGTGCGCTTTCTTCGTGAGCTCAGCTCGTGGTTCTGGGAGGCATGGCGAGAAGGAGACCTCGCAGCTCTTACACTTCTCAGTGTCGACTGTTGTGGAAGCATAGCCATGGTTGTGAAGCAGTATTGGCTAGTCATTCTTTTTTGGTCTGGTCTCAAATCATGTTTCTTGGATGCATGAGAGCAGGAGTCCTTGTGCCCCCCCCCCGGGTCCTGACATCCATGAGAGCACGGCCATAGTGTAAAGCGGTATTGGCTAGTCAATCTTAGTTGATTGAGGTGATTAAGGTAAGAGCATGACTCAGAGAACAGAGACGAAGCTGAGAGAAGCATATGGCACTGAATCCGACATCAACGGAATTGGCCAAGCGACCAGTCTGTTTACCTCCAAGGTCCGCTTTCTCTGACACCAAGGTCACTCCCTATGATACCAATGTCATTGTGGATTCTCCGAGTGAAGGACAGTGGATGCCGCATACGAGGCGACCATTCATCCTTCCTACCAGGCATTCCTTGACCGCTTCTCTGATCGTTGCCTGGGGCCATGCTTTGTCAGCCCCATCCCGACCAGCCCTAACTGACTGACTGCTTCTCAAGTCAAGTATCACTCCTCCAGCCAAGCCTCATCAGTGCGAATTGCCTCGAACGCTAGCAAGGCAAGGTTTTAGGTTTTCTTTCTTCCCTGCCAGGTGGGTTGCAAGCGTACGCTTCGCATCCCGATGCCTGCACCTGACTCCGCCCGCGGCCAATCGCCATGAGCGCTGCGCACACAAGCTCGAACTCTACTCTTCCTGCAGTGTTCGCACAAGAACCGACCTTGTTATCGATCGCGTAACCTCGATCGACGCCTCGAGACGACGTGTTCGCGCTTTGAGTTTTTTTGTTTGGTTTTTTTTTTTTTTTTAGTTTCTTCCAGGGTATCTCGCTGGTGGCAAATCGATATCTGAGGGGGAGTGGTTTGTAGACAAACACATTCTCCTGCCCAAAAGTATAGGGAAAGCTTGCATTGCCAGCGATAAGCGGGTGGTCAAAAGAGGGATAGTGGCATCAGATACATTGGAAACGGCCGGAGGGGTCAACCGAGCTGTGGTCAGTGATGCAGGCGGGCGATCGTGCGGCGATCAGCTTATCGCAGAACCGAACGGGGCCGTTCTATTTCCGGTGATGCGCCGGTCGTTCTCTCGGTGGTCACTGGTCACACCAGATATACTCTTCCCAGGGAACCAGGTTATGTGGTTGATTACCTGGGGAGTTAGTCCTTTCGTTGTAGTTAGTGTAGCGCAGTAGGCTCAACGTAAGCTCAATCCACAGAATAAGCAAACTGACGAGGGAGGGGCTACAATCCTCCTCTTCATGGTTTACATCTACGTACAGTACCAGCCTCACTCTTTTCTTTTTCTTTTTCTTTTTTTCTTTCTATTCTTTTCCGGAAGAGAGAGGGGTATCTATGATCTGCCGAAATGCCCCACCATGAAAATTTTCTCTCCTCCACGCGCATGGGCGTGAACGAAGGCTGAGATGCAAGCACCACTCAGCCAGTGCCTGTTGCCTTGGCCACGGTACTGTGTAGTTACCAAGGGAGTAAAAGCAAGGGCGCGCGTAGAGAAGCAGAGAATTTGGGGGGTCAAGGTTGGTGGCAGGATTGTTGACAGACTGCCTGTTTGGGCGAGTGGGGCCACGTGATCGGCCAATGTTTTTTCTCCGGCTCTTCCTTCGCTCCACTTCGACTGCTTTGCTTCCACTTCTTCCACTGCCTCCACTTCCTCCCACTTCCTTCTCCACTCCGTCGCATCATTTCTTCTTGTCATGCTTGCCAATGTTGTTTCCTGACTGAGAAAAACTCACTTCGATGATGATCTCCAGTAACCGACTACTGCTTCTGCACCCGCAGGACCCTTTCCCCTCCTCGGGTGCTGCTACAGTGGCTGTCATGTTGATCGCAGGTATCCACGTCACCAGCCAAAAGCATATCGGCTTCATGCTTTACACTACACTGCACTACACTGCACTACACTACACTACATACACTACAGAGTACACGACTCTCCGACGCGTCTACACTTTCCACTGAACCACCACCACCACCACCACCACCACCCCACTTCATACCTTCCCTCCTTCGAATTCAGATCGGTCATCACCGACCACCCCCGACCCAGGGAAACCGCCCGACACCATTGCCAGAGACAGATGAAAGCGATCTCCATCAATATCGTCATCGCTGGGCTGGGCGTTGAGGTGGCCCAATGAAGTGGGCGGGTTAGCAACCTCGGCCGGGGCGCAAGAGAAATTGATAGCAACCACCTTCATCGAAAGTGCAAGCAGACTTAGCGGTGAAGAGCAGCCGGCGGGAAACTAAGATTGACTAAGATTAACTAACCCCAATCCAACGCCCGTAGCCGCACCTGCACCGCCAATCAGTGCAGTTGTTCACTCTTAGCTTCTCGCCTCCTCCCAAGCTCCAATGCACACCCAATGCACCAAATGCTCTCTTTGCCTCTTGTCGGACCAGCTTGAGGTCCATGCTGGCCTTATCGCTATGAGGAATGGAATGAACAACAGAAAAAATTTTTTTTTTTCTGCCATGGGCTGACTTTGCCCAGTGCCTCTCTCTGTTAGCTACTTTTTGCTTCCTTCTTCCTTGGAAAGAGGGGCCCTGGTCCAAGCACGGAGGAGCTTCGAGCCTATATATTACGGCCTGTGCTCCGTCTGAGCTTCTGTCTTCTTTCCCTCCATCATCTTGCCTTTCCTTCGTGGATTCGCTATTTACTGCAACCCAAGACCTGGTCGGTATACAGGTCGTTCATCACCTTCATCACTTTCATCTTTGTTGCTGGTTCGGCTTGTGCCCTCGCATCATCCCACATCACACCAATGTTCAAGTCATACTCGCACATCCTATCCCACAAGCGGAGAAGAAGCAAGAGCAGCGCCGTGCAGATCCTCTCCGCTGCGCAGTCCGAGCCCAGCTCCCCGACCCAGACCGTCCACGATCCCATCGAGATCTGGGCCCACTCCCAGCCCCTCTCCGTCAGTGAGGAGCAGTTGCAGGGCTGCTTCACCACCCTCGTTCCCCGTATCCACAAGTACGATCATGTCGCCCAACGCGGGAGCGATCGCTTCGTCCAGGACTTGACGGCTACCCTCGCCGCCGAGGAGGGCAAGGAGCCCACCAGCTACCTGTCCTGCCCCGTCGGCAACTACGCCAGCTTCCTCTACCCCGAATGCTTGCCCGAGCGCCTCGAGCTCGTCGCCTACCTGACCGAGCTCGGCAGCCTGCATGATGGTACGTCTTACGTTCTGCACGCGCATGCATGACCGACCGTAGCTAACCTGCCCCGCACAGCCCAGGGAAAATCGAACGACCGGACGACGGACAAGCCTGACGAGCACGTGGAGTCGCCCCGCGCCGAAGCCCGGAAGAAGCTGCTGGAGAAGGCGGTAGCCGAGATCACGGAGAAGGAGATCGATGGAAACGATATCATTGACAGCTACCGGAGCAACTGGCTGGTCACGCCCGAGGTCCCCACGGCCGATAACTGCGCCAACCTCGACGACTATGTGGCTCGCAGACGCCTCAACGCCGGTATCGAGTAAGTCGCCGCTGACTCTTCATTCATATTGAGAAGTCCTAACGAGTGTGATAGTGTGTACTGGACCCTGATGGGCTTCGCCCATGGCACCCGCCTGGGCAAGGAAGACCAGGCCATCGTGCGGGATGCGCTCGACGCCGCCGAGCGCACCATGTTCTTCACCAACGACTACTACAGCTGGCCCAAGGAGAAGCGCGAGACGAAGCGGCGCCCCGTGGCCAACGTCATCCTGTTCCTCATGCAACACCAGAACATGTCCGAGGAGGATGCGGTCGCCAAGACCAAGGAGCTCATCGTCCAGAACGAGCAGGAGTTTGTCAAGCGCCGCGAGGCGCTCTACCAGGCCAACCCGGATCTCGCCCCCAAGCTTCGCAAGTGGATGGAGGTCCTGGGCTCGTCCCTGGCCGGTATCCACTACTGGTCCAAGAACACCCCCCGCTACGCTGTCCCTGACACGATCGAGGAGAGCGAAGAGGAGGAGAGTGAGCACGCTTCCGTCGCGGAGGACCACTCGTCCGAGGGAGACGCCACTGCTGAAGACGAGGAGGACGAGGAGGAAGACGATGATGAGGATGAGGATGAGGAGGAAGAGGAGGTTGAGGCCGAAGAGCGGGAGCAGGAGGCAGAGCATGTAGAGGAGGCGGCTCAGCCCGAAGAGGAGGAGGAACCTCAGAACGCGGCTGTCTGGACTCCTTTGGTGGAAGAGCCTGCTGCCCCAGTCGTGCAACTCAACACGCTACCCCTTTTGGCTCCGGCCGGCTACATGCGGTCGATCGCCATCACCGACCTGCAGAGCGAGCTGCTGGGCGCCCTCAACGTCTGGCTGCAGGTCCCCAACCGCCCGCTGACCTACATCAAGCAGATCATCAACGAGCTGCAGGACTCGACCCACATGCTGGCCGACATCCAGGACCACGCGACCCACCGCAGCCAGCGCACCCCGGCCCACCAGGTGTTCGGCCGGGCGCAGTGCATGAACAGCGCCGCCTACACCTTCGTGCGGGTGGCCAAGATCGTCAACAGCCTCAAGTGCCCCGGTATGCTGGACGGGCTGCTGGAGGAGCTCGAGGCCCGCTTCATCGGCCAGTCGTGGGATCTGGACTGGCGCACCACCTACCAGGCCCCCTCCGAGCAGGAGTACCTGACCATGGTGGACCAGCGCTCCGGCTCCACCTTCCGCCTGCTCGTGCGCCTCATGCAGGCCGCCAGCATGGAGGGCTCGTCCCTGGACTTCGAGCCCCTGGCCAAGCTGCTGGGCCGCTGGTACCAGATCCGCCACGAGTACCTGGGGCTGCTCGGCCGCGGCGAGGACCTTGACCACGGTAAGATCGTCTACCCGATCGTGCGCTGCTGCAACCTGGACCCGGCCGCCAAAACGGTCATCCTGGGCATCTACCGCCAGAAGGCCGTCGAGGCCCCGCTGTCGCCGGAGAGCAAGACGCAGATCCTGGACCTGCTGCACCGCACTGGCGCCCTGCAGGCCACCTACGATCTGATCCGCCAGCTCGGCCGCGAGGTGAACAAGACGGTGACCGAGCTCGAGGCCGCCGCGGAGGAGTTGAACCCCGCCCTCCGCGGCCTGGTCAAGTCTCTGAGCGAGCTGCCCATTCCGACTGCTTTGTGAGAACCGGACCGGAAAGAAAACTGGAACTGATACCCTATGATTTATAATGCCCTAATGACTCTTTGTTGCTGGCTTTTTGTTAACCCTTTCCTATGTTCGTCTCGCTCGTTACACAGACATGACCTATGACTTATGATGTTTGTTTGGTTGTATTATAGAATGCGCTATGAGTGATGATCGTGAAAACGTATATACCTCCAAAATTTGGTTTCTGAAATTGTCTGGTTCGAGATTAAGATCGTAGTGGAGTAAGGACGGATGGTCAAGCAATAGAGTGTACTTTCGCTAGTAGAGGCCTTCGTTTACTTTTGCTTGGGGATATCGTGCAACTTCTCTATTATCCTAACGCTTGGCCTTGGCGTCAGCACTCGGTGCCGCTATGATTCCTATGTTCCTTGTTCTATACTTAATATTGATTGTGTTCATTGATTGTGTTTAGCATAAATCCCCGTAAGAGACTAACTTGAGCAAGATATACAGCAATATGCAGCAGTTTATGCATCGACATATTTCGCCTCAAAATATACCAAAGCTATATCGCCTGTCTTTGAAAGGTGTGCCGCTTGGTTCGTTGTATATAAGGTTATCGTATGAGAGTCAATGCCCGTATTGTGTGCGGCTTTAAGCTCCAGGGTCGCCATTGTCTTCTCAGAGGAACCAGCCAGCACTGCATGCACAGTCAATCGACTTCTTCGCACGACCCGCCGATTCTCCCTGCTACTCCATCTCCAGTCTACCCGGCCGCAACAATTGATCCCCCTTTCCAAATATGGAAACATTCCGAACGATGGCCTCGAATCTATCGAGATCGGCTTGCCTCGATCCAATTCGATGCTGAAAACACTCGAACAAGTGACGACGCGAGATCCCAGACTCTGGAATGGCATTATAGATCTCCAGGGGTGTAGGAAACTCTCGGGTGATGTCGGCAGCTTGCTCCTGAGAAGGGGCCATTCTCCGCCTCGGAGACGGAGACCTCACCAGCGACCCTCGGGACCGCGCAGGATCAGGACCATGTTGGAGCTCCTCCTCCAGACTTAGCTGGCGTATCTCCCGTTCTTTGAGAAAGGCGTAAGTCCTTGAATCCATGGCCCCGCCTGGTTTGAGATCTGTGAGTCGCCGCGACCGAGCATCTGGCCTGTTGGGCCCCCAGGCGATGTAGCTGGGCAGGTCAAACACCCATGCTCGATCCAAGTCTTCGGGAGTTATCGCCTGACTATATTGCCAGTGAGGTTCCCAGCTCTTGCCTTCCAACAGAAGTCGGGGACTGTGCTGATAGAGTAATGACTGCAGGAACCGATCCGGGCGGGCGCCCATGCCTGACCGAAGGAGGCGCAGCACGGTGCATGTCTCCAGATGCGAAAGATGCCCCCAGCTGCGCAGATCGTCATTGTGTAAAAATCCCATGGACCACTGGGACATGATCTCCCACAGCTCCACGAAGGCCACATAGTCACCCTCGATCTTTAGCAGCTCGAGAATGCTGTGCAGATCGCGCCACTGGCCGGGATTATTCATACCGAGGAAGAATGCGCGGAGGCGTATGGCAACCTCCAGGCGATGGTTTTTATGACTGTCGAACAGGAGGCTATTCAGTATATCGAGAGAGACAGGGCTTCGTCGAAAGAAGAGGTTAGATAAATTCTTGCCCGCGAGGTTGAAGTCAAATGCCGCCAGTCTCAGGTCGAGAGGCTCGGAGCTCACCTCCCCCTGGGCCTTGAGGTGGGCAAATATCCCCTTCGCCATGTTGAGACAGCGTCTTACCTTGAAGAGAGAATTATCTGCCACGCGGCGCTGGTTCTGGTTCATGGTGGTTCCGTGTAGGACACCCCACTCTAGATTGCAACGAGCCCACTGTAACTGGATCATCCCTTCAGCCCAAAGATGAGGAGTGGGCGAGTCCATTGGGAGAACCTCATCGATTAATGCATCATAGAGGCGGACCGGCCCACAGGACAGAAGTGGGCTGATGGCCTTGAGGACTCGATAGGCTTCCCAGAAGAGGCCACTGTTGCGAAGTACTGTGTACCATCGCATTAATGCCTCGATGGACTTGAGATTTTCAGGCAGAAAGGGACAGGTTATCTCGTCCAGGTCAACCCATTGGGTGCGATTGTTAACGAAGATGATGATGTGGAGATATGTCTCGTACAAGTGGACCTTGGATCTGTCAGCATGACAAGACGGGGATACTTTTGCTTCGCGGATTGCAAACCTGGATATCGCTTGGGCTGTCTTGAGTCTGCAACCGCCTCAGATAGCTCAAAGTCTCCCTCGCCGCGCACAGGGTTGGGTACAAGGATCCTAGAACATACATGCGTGCCAGTTCCTTCAGAAGCCGCAGCAGCCGTCGTTGCTCGTCCTGAAGTCTCTCACCTAAAGTCTCCAACCGGCCGGGAACAAACTGATACAGTGCCTTGAAAGCGCCCTGCTGAATCAGCATGTCTGCATATTCGGCAATGACCGGAAAGAAGTCCACGTGCTGCCTCAGAGTACAATCGAAGTAGGATTGCGCTTCACCATATTCTCCCAAGCGGCTCAGCCTCGCAAAGTGCTCGATCTCTTTCTCCAAATTCTCTTCCAGAGGCAGCTCCAGATAAACCCTCGTCGCTTCCCCATTGTCTAGGGAGAGATGCTGCTGTGGCATTGCGGTGCTGGTGCTCATCTTGTCCATCAGGAAAAGGGGCGGCAAGTTCAACACAGTCGGGAGATGTGTGCACCAGGACAGCCTAAATGGACCTCAGCCACATAGGCCCGCCCATTCGTGCTCGTGGCGGTGCGCATGCACTGCGACGATGGAGAGCCCTATCAGACTCTTGCATTTGATAGCCAGACAAGGCAAGGCAAGGCTGAGGCGACCGGGATCGCCCGATGGAGTTAGCCCTATCCGCTGACGCTGACGGCGCTTAAAGATGCCTCCCCTCCCCTGCGCATCCCTGAATCTCAAATCATAGCGAGAAATTTGGGCTAGAAGAGGATCTATCCGTAAGTACTCGATTACGTGCGATCAAGGGAGATTAGTCGCGAGCAAACGACCGAGATCGAACGTCGAACGGCCCCAGGAATAGGAACTCAATGTGGAGCCGCTACTCACGATCCATGCCACAGCGGATGGCCGAGTACCGCGAGCAGGCCCGAGATCTAATCCAGAGCCACCCGCAGAGCCTGGGATTCCAATCGGTGGACAAAGTCCGGATTGATTGCTCGTTCATGCCCAGCTCGCAATGGGGCACGCTGCGGACCCTGCCCGCCTGGTTGCTTCACCTGCGCCTGCAATTCGGCCAGCCGAGTGGCTACAAACTGGCGAACGCGAAGATCGAGCTGGTCTTCACCAAAGCCGACGAGCCGTCACGCGGTGATCCCAGCCTGACGAAGTTGGGTCCGATCGTGACGAGTTACTTTGGACCCAAAACGGTCAGTGGGGAAGTGGCAGATCCGAGGCGTGGCGCGGCCGCATTCCAGGCCGCTGCTGCAGAGGCAGGCGACGAGCTGGAGCAGTGGGCTCTGCGCGCTTACACCTGGCCGATTGAGGGGGACAACACGGGCCTGCATCGCCGCGTGGAGTGGATCGTCCGGGAGGCTCGATCCCCATATCAGACCGTTCTTCATCGGGACCAGGTCTCGGTGGGTCTCGTGCTGGAGCATGACCTGGAGCCCTTTTTCGTGGCTGTGCGCATCGAAGGCGAATTACAGCAATCTCGACGATGGTTCCGTTTCCCTCGGATTTCAGACGCCGAACAGCCAAGCGTCTCGGTCAGAGTGGCCCCGTGTGCGGATCCGGCTCACGCCCTGGACGAAGTCGCCCGGCAATTAAACAAGACTCTGACAGCGCAGATCGTGGTCCCGCGGAGTCAATCCACCAACAGTGTCAAACGGGCACGGCGCGCGGAGTCCGACGAGACCGCGGCCCATGTGCAAGAGAAAAAGCCTAAGCGGTCGCGCGCAGAACCAGCAGAGCCAACAGAACCAGGAGAACCAGGAGAACTACCATGTCCGGCCGCCCCGCCGCCACGGAGATGTGAAGACTACGCAATCGGATGGATCTGTGCATTGCCGGTGGAACTGGCTGCGGCGCAAGCAATGCTCCAGGAGGCTCATCCCCGGTTACCGGCAGGGTGGAACGATCCGAACAATTATCTCTTCGGGAGTATCGGCATGCATAATGTGATCATCACCAGCCTGCCGGCTGGGGTCTACGGCACGACGTCAGCCGCCACCGTTGCAGCTCATATGCAAGCCAGCTTCCCTCATCTCAAGTTCTTCCTCATGGTTGGAATCGGCGGTGGAGTCCCCAGCGAAGACGCGGACCTTCGACTTGGGGATATCGTCGTGAGCAAGCCGAAATTGGGGTACGGGGGAGTAGTCCAATATGACTACGGCAAGGCGATGGCAGATGGGAGTTTCCAGGTGACAGGAGCCCTGAACAAGCCGCCCCAAGCCCTGTTGGCGACCCTGGCAAGATTAGAAGCAGAGGACATGGTCAATGGCAGCCAGATCGTGCGCCATTTAGAAAATATGGTCACTCGCTATCCGCATATGTCTCTCTTCACTCGTCCAGAGGAAGATGATATCCTGTTCGAAGCAGACTACGTACATCCGGTGCCGACGGCGGATTGCTCGGAATGCGACCACGCCCGTGCTCTGAAACGTCTCTGCAGGGCGTCTGATGCCCCTCGGGTGCATTGCGGGCTTATCGCGTCGGGAAATAGTGTTATGAAAGACGCCATGGCTCGGGACAAGCTCGCGCAGTCTCTGGGGATCATCTGCTTCGAGATGGAAGCCGCAGGCTTGATGGATAGCTTTCCGTGCCTCACCATCCGCGGGGTCTGCGACTACGCTGATTCGCACAAGAACAAGACGTGGCAAAGCTATGCCGCGGCGACTGCAGCGGCTTATGCTAAGGAACTGCTTTGTATGCTACCTGTCCGTCAGGTAGAGCTACTTCCCACGAAAATCGAGAATATGCCAGGTAGTCCATGATATGTAGCTCAATCAAGTCATTTTAATCAACAAGAACTAGGTTACTATTACGAACATGTGCAGCTTCAATTCAAGCCTCAAGGCGTTTCCATTGACCAAAAAGGGAGAAAAAACAATTCTCAATTAATCAAGCGCACTGCTCTGGCAGCGGAATTGACTTGGAGTAACACGGCTCGGGAAGAATTCTAGTCGACGCCGCTATGGAACAGGACAGATCTCTTCCCGATGCACACTTACCGCGGTGAGCCAAAGCAGGCTGAAATATACGAATGACTCTTTTCTTTTTCCTTCTATATAATCCGACAGTCTAGAGATGCGCTGTCAAGAGAAATAAACAAAAAGTCTAGCGTCTCATTACGGCTTGTTGGGCTACAAAGCGACAAAAAGAAATCTCCCCGACTGGGAGTCGAACCCAGGTCTCCCGCGCTTGTTCCTTTTCAGGATTGACAAGCGGAAATCATGACCGTTAGACCATCGAGGAATAGTTACTGACATTAATTAACTATAAAAATATGAGGCAAGGACAATGCCAGCACAAGCGATTTGAGTACATCGCTGACGCAGAAACCGCGGAATTGGGCCGCGTGCAAACCGTGCAAATCGTACCATTCGAATTAAACACAGATCATGGAATCCTGATTGGCTCTCGTGGAAGGGATGCAAACTGTGTAAACAGTGTAAACTCATATCCTTGCTTCTGATTGGGGCAATTTGTGGACTGTATTTTGGGTTGGATGGAGGCAACGATGGCACCGAGGAGGGAGGGATTTATTTAATCTGGTCCCTCGGTTCTTATTCTTCCATTGACAATCTATTTGTGCTTTGTGTGTGTGTGTCTGGTAGTGATACGGATATGACCGCCGATTTCCTCCCCCGAGTGCTGCGCGCCCTTCTGCGCGAGTCGCGGTATTTCCAACCTCCTTCGCATGCATGCACCCACCACAGCCACAGACATAGCCATGCTGCAATGCAAGACCATATCCATACAATGGAGACCTGGGCGCAGATAAAGCTAATGAAGCAGCTACTCTGTGTGCGACATCCGCGGCAGGGTCTTGATCCCGAGCTCCTGCGGGAGATCGAGGGGATCCTGCTGTGGGAAAGGAAGCACAGGGCTCATGTTGATGCTTGCACTCTACCTCAAGTCACTGTATCTACACCTCCAGTCACGACTACACGACCCGAGATAGATACAGATGCAAGCTCTGCTTTACCAACCCCAGAACTCTACCTCTGGCAGGGCGACATCACCACCCTGACCAATCTCACCGCCATCACCAACGCCGCCAACACCGCCCTGCTGGGCTGCTTCCAGCCCGCGCACCGCTGCATCGACAACGTAATCCACGCGCGGGCCGGCCCAGGCCTCCGAGAGGACTGCTTCCACCTCATGGACGAGGGCCGCCGCACGCTCCCGGTCGGCGACGCAGTGGTCACAGCCGGCTACTGTCTGCCTGTGCCATGGATCATCCACACTGTCGGGCCGCAGCTGAATCCCCAGCAGTCCCGTCCGACCGAGGTCCAGAGGGCGCAGCTCGCGCAATGCTATCGTGCTGTGCTGGAGCAAGCCGAGACCTTGCCTTCATCCGAACAAGGAAAGGTCATCGCCCTCTGCGGGATCTCGACGGGCTTGTTCGGGTACCCTGTTGCCGAGGCGGCGCCGTTGGCCGTGGAGACTGTGGTTACTTGGCTGCGGGATCACCCTGAGACGAGCATCACGGGGGTGATTTTCAATACCTTCACGGAGAAGGAGACGGTCGCTTACGAGCGGGTTCTCTCTCTTTCGCCCAGTGGTGCTCTACGAAGCCCTCCAAAGCTGATAGGCTCATCAATGCAGCAAGCTCGCGTCTGGCTCCAGGAAGCAGACACAATCCTCCTCAGCTGTGGCGCCGGACTGTCGGCCGCCACGGGGCTGGATTATACCTCCACTATCCTTTTCGACAAGCATTTCCCAGCCTTCCAGGCGTTGGGGTTGGCCAAGTTGTACGATACCTTCGGGATGAAGATAGAGGATTGGGGGTCTGAGGAGGTGCGGTGGGGGTTCTATTTCACGCATCTGCAGATGGTGCGCACGTGGCCGCAGTCAGCGGTGTATACTGCTTTGTTGGAGTGGATAGAGCGGAGGTTCGGGATGGATGCGAGGAGGGTGCATGTTCGCACGTCGAATGCAGATGGCTTGTTCCTGGCGCATGGGCTGGATGAGAATGTCTTGTCGACGCCGCAAGGCGCCTATCGCTACTTGCAGTGCTTGGACAATTGTCGGGAGGACGCGGTAGTCGAATCAGCGCCGTTGGTGGAGGAGGTGGTGGCCAGCGGAGGGCTGGATGCGGTAACGCAGAGGGTGACAGACGAGAGGCTCATTCCGGTGTGTCGGTTCTGCGGCGGGAAGATGGGGATCTGCGTAAGGGCCGGAAACTGGTTCAATGAGGCGCCCTTCGAGGAAGGGGAGAAGCGATGGCAGGATCTCAAGGAGGATTTCATGCGGGACTCAGACAGGAATGTGGTGATTCTGGAGTTAGGGGTCGGGATGTCGACCCCCGGCGTGCTGCGGTGGGAGAATGAGGAGTTGGTGGCAAGTGGCGAAGGAAGGGTTCGGTTGGTTAGAGTAGGATTGGGCGATACAGCAGTCGTACCGGCGGAGCTGGAGGCGATGGGACTGACGACTTGTGTGGATGGGAATGCGAAGGACGTGTTGCGGGTAATTCTGGATCAGTAGTACGGTCGTATGTTGATCTCGGTAGCAATGCTAACGGCCCAGGACCTCCTGGCAGGCTCGTGTCATCTCCCTCACCACTAGGCTTATGGCCTTGAGCTCTGCGCGGTCCTTGGATGCGACTGCGACGTAATCGTCGAACCACGTTATCAAGGCGACGTCTGCTGCAACGTCCTCGCGGTCGTAGCATCCGAGAATGTCGTAGCAAAGCACGTAGAGCGGGATGGACTGGTGGAGGAGGACGAGACTGTGATAGTTAGTGGTCCATCTGGACGATCCAAACAATAGAAGCAATCTACCTGATACCCCAGTACGGGCGCGGGGTCGTCTCCATGAGCGACCGCGACATCAGTAAAGTCTTCCGGGCGATGTCCACCGTGTGATACGGCAGTCGATGACTATCGCGATGAGACGGTTTCGATTGGTAAAACACGATAAGCATCTTGTAGCTGCTGAAGAGAATATCCACGCAGAACCACGTGTCAATGCGGTTGGTAGTTGAGCTCAGGAGCTCCTCCTGCTGGGGTCAGACATGTGTCACCGTTCTCGCCCAAAGCACTTACCGGGTTCCAATCTGACATGATCTTCTGCACTTCGGCGATCAGCCCATCCATGGTGTTGTTGTAGTCGGCCGTGTGGGGGTCGGGGTTCGTGGCCATGATATCCAAGTATCGCATGGTGACGATGGTCAGCCGCATGGATGCTAGGAAGTGAATCTGGATGAATCGAGTGGATTCATGATCTACGCCGGTGATGGTGGGATCGGGGAAGTTGACGGCCCAGGACCCCCCGGCGATAATGGGGGGCTTGCCAAACGAGAGTCGGAAGTGGCTTTCGGTTCGGAGAATGTGCCAGAACTCGAATCGCATGCGATTGCGCTCGATCTCCTCATGCTGCGAGTCTCCTGCCCGTGGAGGGTTTCGGTTGGGATAATGGCGATCCTCGTCCACGGAAAAGTAGCCGAGGGCGCGCGCAACCGGACAGGCTGCCTTGAAGATCTTCCAGGAGAGATCGCTGTCGCAGCTTTCCAGCGTCATAGACATCTGCTCTGTCAGTGGCGTGTAGTCGAAGCGGAGGGAAGTATGCACACCATCATGAATGCCGCGAATAGATCGGCGGTAGTGTTCTGCATGTGGCCGAGCCACTCCTCCGACAGCTTCAGACATTTGCCACACAGTGCGTGAACCGTCCGACCCCTCCCTTCCACTTCTTCGCTATCCAGCATGAATGACTGGAAGAGCACATTGTAGTAGATGATTTGCGAGGTTGCATCGAGCTGGACGTGGGGACTGTCGATCAGATCGGGCATGGCCAGCACGAAATCTTTCTCGAGGGGGATGCGAAAGCCCTCGAATTGGTAGTTGTTGAAGTATTCTGCCCGGCGTTAGCTAGCGTCTTCATCAATTAGGTCTCGTGGATGAGGAGGCCCACTCACGATTGATCCATTTCTTCGCGGTCTCCTTGGGGATACAAAGTGGACTGGGATCCGGCGGCGTAGTCTCGAGCTGCTCAATCCCCGCGATGGCAGCATCCATCGCCCTCATACAGCGGGGATTCTCGAAGAAGCGCGACCCGACCTTATCGATAGCGCAGAAGACGTGGGACTGAAGACGGGACCGGATGCGATCGTCTTTGACGCGCGCCAGTAGGCCCTGCACGATTGCCTGGCCCGTGGGCGACTGAGCACTTTGGGGAGAGTCGGTCGCGGAGGACTCGGAGGATGAAATGGTCTCAGAGTCCACGGAGATCGAACGGTGGCTTTCGGCCTCCTCGGTGACATTCTGGCTCAGTCGACAGTGGTCTTCGAGGCGTTCTAATCTTCGGAGGATTTCCTGCAGGATATCTCTGTCGTGCAGTGCTCTAGAAATTTACGGTCGCATTAGCTTTTTTTTTTTTTTTTTTTTTTTTGACTCTATATTTAAGTAAGGATGGGCCACCTTCGCTTTATGGCGCGTTGCTTTCTAGGCAAATAGGCGCATTGAGCTCCTGCAGCGGCGCATTTGTCACATCGCGGGTCGGCGCGGTTGCAGCGAATCTACCGAGTGAGCATCGCTGCATGTCGTCATTTGGCGATGGGGGATGAGGGATGAAGAGGGGCAGACAGCAAACCTTTTTGGCCTGGCAACGAGTACACTACACCATGGTTTAGCAGATCACATTTTTCGGGATGGATAGATCCGCAGGATGCGTGAACGTACCGATAGGGGTTGTGTCATGATGTGGTGGATTGTTTAACTAGTGGGGAGGAGAAGGAGGAGAGCAGCGGAAGGCAGCCAGCAAAGCAATAAACCGGGAAATTGCAAGAGTCCGAAATCCCCGAAGGCTGAAAGAAAAGCGGAAAAGCTCAAAGAAGGAACCGAAGGAACAAAACCGGATCTGACCGCCTTCCGGACACTGCAAAAGCCCGAAAGTCCGTACCCGTACCGTAATACGACCCATACCACCAATAAAGATCGTACGAGTATGAAATGGATGAGTCCAGGATCGACAGGATTGTGCCCCTACTCATGGGCCCCCCCCATTCCATCCCTGCCCTACCTACCGATGGAGTACTCTACAGAGTACATCCATGGCTTTATTGATTTGGGCCTGCACACATTATGACTCAACCCCCCTTGATGCGAACTCTGATTAGTCTAGTCTGCCTGGGCCTCTCCTCCTGGCCAGAACATAAACACACTTGTAGTCCCATGCGTACGTACTGTGCCCACGGAGTATTTCTGGCCATATAAGTGCCTGTTCCCGCTGGCAGCTTTGCATCTGTGTATCCCCCCCCCCCCCCCCCCCTACCTCTCCCACTCAGTCATTTACCTTCATGATCTCCTGCGAGGTCGACCGCCATGGGTTCAGCGACTGAGAGCCCTCCACACCAGGGCGAGCACAACAATACCCTCCGTGCGGAAAAGATCGTCTCTGTGACCGACACGACGACTGCATCCACCATCAGCAAGAAGTCCAAGTCCGACGCCAAGGATAATACACCAGAGCAGACGGCCTCCTTAGGCAGTTATTTCGTACGGAATTATCCTGCAGAACCGCGATGCACAACCCGCTAATATCTTGCAGAGATTACTGTCGCAGGCAAGCGCGTTGGATCGTGCCATCCTCGCCGTCGCCCTCCTCTCCTCCATCGGGTCGGGTGTTGTATGTGACCGCATCCACGACAATCCGCAGTACACGGCTAATCTCTCCTCGTGCCCAGCCCCTACCGCTCATGAACATCGTCTTCGGAAATATGGTCGGCGAATTCAACGGATACTTCACCGATGACTCCTCGACCACCGAGTCCGAGTTCAAGTCCGCCATCAGCAAACTGAGGTGAGTGCAATGCGACTCCGCCACCGCAGACAACCCGCCCGAGCCGAACCCTAACTCGCGAACCAGCTTGTACATCGTCTACCTCTTCATCGCCAAATTCGCTCTCACATACTTCTCGATGGTGCGTCCACCGCCCCATCGCAAAGCTATACATGCATAACCTCCTCTAGTATTGTTTCCGCGTGATCGGCCTGCGCGTCTCCGGCACCCTCCGCCTGCGGTACATGCACGCGCTCTTCGCCCAGCCGATCAGCAAGCTGGACCTCGTCTCGGTCGGCACCGTCACTAACACGATCACCACGCTCTCCAACTCCATCCAGCAGAGTATCTCCGACAAGCTGGCCATCCTGTTCCAATCGCTCGCCCTGCTCGTCGCCGCCTACGCCATCGCCTTCCGGTACTCGTGGGCCCTGACGCTCGTCACCAGCGCCGCCCTGGTCTTCATCTTCGCCGTCTGCTTCATCGCCGTGCCGATGATGACCAAGATCCAGCGCCAGGTCGACAAGGCCGACGAGAAGCACTCCTCCATCGCCGCTGAGGTGATCGGTTCCATCCGGACGGTCGTCTCCCTGGGTGCGGAGGGGACGTTGGCGCAGCGGTACGCGGACTGGATTGAGATCGCCCGGTTGCGCGGCCGCAAGCTGTCGGTGGTGATGGCGGTGCAGCTCGGGCTGGTCTTCTTCGCCATGTACGCGAGCTACTCGTTGGCGTTCTGGTTCGGGCTCAAATTATACCGCGAGGGGCATATCGCGAATATCAACACGGTTATCACGTGAGGCTCACACCTTTCGGGGGTCGGGTGTAGGAGCTAAGCTAATGATCGATAGGGTGTTCTTCTCCGTGATGGTGGCAGTCAGCGTGCTCGGTCGCATCGCCTCCCCGCTCGTGACCATCGCCAAGGCCGCCAGCGCTGCGGACGCCTTCTTCGAGATGATCGACAGTGACAAGCCGAATGCGGGCGGGCTCCGTGGCCCGGAGGTCTCTGCCGAGGCCGACCTCGTGTTCCAGAATGTGCATTTTACCTACCCATCGCGACCCGACTCGAAGGTGCTAAGAGGCTTGAACGCCCGCTTTCAGAAGCACAAGACGACGGCCTTGGTTGGTCCCTCCGGCTCCGGTAAGAGTACGATTGTTGGCTTGCTGGAGAGATGGTATGAGTTGAATGCCAATGCGGCGCATCCCGACCAAGGGGCGATCCTGGTCGGGGAGCGCAACGTCCAGGAGCTGAATTTGAAGTGGTGGCGCACGCAGATCGGGCTGGTGCAGCAGGAGCCGATCTTGTTTAATGATACCATCTTCAACAACATCGCGTACGGACTGATCGGCACACAGTGGGAGCATGAATCGGACGAGGTCAAGAAGGAACTGGTGCAGCAGGCTTGCAGGCAGGCCTTTGCGGATGAGTTTATCGACCGGTTGCCGGAGGTATGTCTCTTGAAAATGCGAGTCGATCGCGATCTGACCACACCAGGGCTTTGCGACCATGGTCGGCGAGAATGGGACAAAACTGAGCGGCGGGCAGCGGCAACGGCTGGCCATCGCGCGGAGTATCGTCAAGCAGCCGACTATTCTCATTCTGGACGAGGCAACTAGTGCCATCGATGTGCGGGGCGAGAAGATCGTTCAAGCTGCGCTGGATCGTCTCGCGGAAAACCGCACGACCATCGTGATTGCCCATCGGTTGACCACGATCCGCAAAGCGGACCACATCATCGTGATGAAGGGTGGAGTTGATGTCGAGCAGGGTACCCACGAGGAGCTTCTGGCAATCGAGGATGGAGTGTACAGTGGGCTTGTGAATGCCCAGACTCTCGAGATGTTAGACGCCGAAGGGAGTGACATCCAGGATGGGATGGAGGATATCGACGACGACGCCAAGTCAGCCAAGATGAGCTGGAAAAAGGTCGGAAAAGAAGACGAGCTAGAGGAATCGAAGAACAGAGGCTTCTTTGGCAGTATTGGAGTATTTCTGTACGAGAACAGAGGGCAATGGCGTTTTTATATTCCCGCCTTGCTCGGGGCGGCTGGTGCTGGAGGTAAGTATTGTTAGGCGTATGATTGTATGGTAGCTACTGACCTGATCTAGCTGCCTTCCCCATTCAGAGTTGGCTGTTTGCGAGAATCATCCAGGTCTTCCAGTACTCCGGGGACAAGCTGGTGCATGCTGCCAATTTCTGGGCTCTGATGTTCTTAGTTCTGGCTATCGGGAATGGAGTCTGTTATGCCATGATAGGATATTCCGCCAACCGGTTCTCAGTGGTGAGTTGCACTTCACCCTGAATTGACAAACGAAGCTAACCGTTCAAGGAAATTTCCTCGTATTGCCGGACGCGGTACTTCCAGGACATCGTCGAGAAGCCCATCCCCTTCCACGATCGCATCGACAATGCCTCCGGGTCGCTGGTCTCGCGTCTGGCTACCGACCCGAAGCAAGTGCAGGAACTGCTCGGTATCAACGGAGCGCTTCCCTGCATGTCGATCTTTGGTATGATCGGATGTATCATTATCGCCTTCACGTTCGGCTGGAAACTCAGTCTGGTGGCCGTCCTAGCGGCGCTGCCTTGCACCTTCCTGGCGGCCTTTATGCGCATTCGCTACGAGGTGCAGTTCGACGCGATGAACGCAGCCGTGTATTCCGGCAGCTCGCAGTTCGCAGCCGAAGCCATCGACGCCTTCCGCACGGTCTCAGCATTGACGATGGAAGACGCCATCCTCAACCGCTACTCAACCATGCTACTCGCACAGCAGAAGAAGGCCTTTCGCAAGGCATGGTATGCAACCCTAGTTTTCGCCTTCTCCGATAGTGTCGAGCTATGCGCCATGGCGCTCACCTTCTGGTACGGGGGACAGCTCCTCGCCTCACGGGAGTATGAGCCCACCTCCTTCTTTGTGATTTACATGGCCATCATCCAGGGCGGACAGCAGGCCGGCCAATTCTTTAGTTTCGGGTCGAACATCGCGCAGGCCATTGCCTCCGCGAACCGCATGCTGGACTTTCGGCCGACCCGCAACGAGACCCAACAGCAGATGACCACCACCGATAGTGCAAGCCAGTCTGCAACAGCAGCAAGCATCAGCTTCCGCGACGTCACGTTCCGCTATGCGTCCCACGATCGCCCCCTCTTCACGGGCCTGAATCTGGATATCAGGCCCGGTCAATTCGTCGCCTTCGTCGGCCCCTCCGGCTGCGGCAAAACCACCGTTATCTCCTTGCTGGAACGATTCTACAGCCCCGCAAAAGGCACTGTCCTCCTCAACGACCAAGATATCACCACCATTGACCCGGCCACCTACCGCAAGACCATCTCGTTGGTGGCCCAGGAACCCAGACTGTTCGAGGGCACCATTCGCGAGAACATCACCCTCGGCCTGCCCAATCCATCTGAGGTTGTTGATGCAGAAATCGAGCAAGCCTGTCGTGACGCCGAAATCCACGACTTCATCACCTCCCTCCCGCAGGGGTATGCGACCGAGCTGGGCATCAAGGCCCAGGCCGCACTGAGCGGTGGTCAACGGCAGAGGCTGTGTATTGCAAGGGCGTTGTTGCGCAAACCGAAGCTGCTCCTCCTAGACGAGGCGACGTCGAGTCTGGACTCGCAGTCTGAGAAGGTGGTGCAGGCTGCGCTGGAACGGTTGGCGGCGAAGAGGTGTATGACTATAGTCGCGGTGGCGCATCGGTTGGCGACGATCCAGAAGGCAGATGTGATTTTTGTGTTCGGAGAGGGAGGACTGGGTGGGTCGAGGGTCGTCGAGCAGGGGACGCATGCCGAGTTGGTGGGGAGGCGGGGGGTCTATTTCCAGATGGTATGCTTCCCTTTACTGTGGACTCCTTCGGGGTGCAATGCTAACTATGTGACAGTGTCAGGAGAACGCGTTGGATCGGTGATTGCCTGGTGATTTCAGGCTGCGGGAAGTGACTCCCTGGGATGGCGACTTCAGCTCTAATGATGTGGACGAGGAAGAAAAGTTCCAGGAATGCAAGGGGGAAGGGATGGCTGCGTCATGTGATCGGATCATCGCCGACATCATGAAGGGAAGAGACTGCAGATCGAGCGCGCTTGCTTTGCTAGATATATGATACACACATATACCCTGTATAATAGATAATCCATTATACCCACATAAGAATGTTATGCTGATTACTATGCACGAACCATTATGTACTGTACCTGGTAGAGACACTCTTTACGGTCTTCAAGTTATTCACAGATTTAACTTCCTGATATGGTGAGTTCAAGCCAGAGAAAGATGGGAGGCATACTCGCTGTATTGCTAATTCACGTAAGCATTGGAATAAGCTACATATACAGGTTTAGGCGTCTTCAAGTAAATGCGGGAGCTGCCAAGACATATCTATAACAATTGGGATTCAATGTTCTCCCCACCTAAACATTGAATGGGTGTCAGAGAACAGTATCAGAAGACCTGGCTTCTGATCTTCTCCCTTCTGAAGCTCAGCACCTTGATTTTAATCTCTCCATCTTCTTTCTCATCATATCGAGTCGAACCTGTCTTCCCTTCTCAGATCTAGTCAAGAAGCTCTATCATTTGATATATTTGGTAGCAGGCTTCGTTGATCACCTATCTGGACTAGATTGGTCATTAGTTTAGAAGCCGAGAAAAGGTTTCGAAGGTGCTGTTCCATGAGAACAGCTTTCCTCAACTTCATCAAAGCACAGACAGAACTGCACCTGCCCTCTTCTTTTTGCATATTATTTCCTCGATGGACTTGGCAGGTCCTGGTCTCTTCATGAATACTGCCTCTTTGCTTTTGCCTTCTCCGTACTTTATTTGCTTCGCGTCCACTCATGAAGCAGTTCCCATTCCCTCGAGGTTTGCAAAGGCGAACAAGTCGCCTCTTCCTCCGTCTTTAAAACATCGATTTCTTCTACGGTCTTGACAAATCATCGTCATATCGGTGGACGACTTTGCCTTCGTTATTACGCTCTGCATCGCGGGGCTGTTTCACTGTGTCCGAAAAACGGACTTCAAGTACGAGCGCGCCCCCATCGAAGACAAACCCACAAACAACAAACAAGACGTACACAGACACAGGCACACAAGACATTACACTGAAGCGGAGTAGAGCCTGGAGTTCCCAGGACTCCGCCGGTTTCTGACGGCCTAGAATTCTCTGGCCGAGATCCTTTAAGCACCGCCCCAAATCTTCTTCCAAAACCGCGCGGGATCCTTCTTCATAAGGTGGTAAGCCTTGCTTAGCGCCGACAACTCGGGATTCGGGTTATCCAGCAGCTCCTGCACCCCGAGCAGAATCTCCTTGACCGACAGAACGGAGGACCAGGACTCTTTCGAATTGAGGATTGCAAGGCAGACAATTCCGCTTGGCAAGACGTCAGGATGAAATAGTGGAGGATTAAATTGGCCCGGTTCGTTAGTGATAAGATCTGTGGATGAAACGGACGGGGTGAATGTACATTTCGGGGGCTTGTTTGGGCACTCTGCGACGATGCAACTACTAATATGGCTATGACGAGCACCAAAGCAATGCAACAAAGCCAACTGACCATCAGGAATTATCATCATCATCTTGAACAGACCTCCCTCCCGCATGGTGCCCGCCTTGCCTGGAATTCCGTACTCCCAGGAAGAGGAGACGTCTCGCAATTCTCATAGTGTTATGGCATTCAGATGCGACCAGAATAGTTATTGACAGCAAGCTACGGACACCCATCAAGAGCTCATTAATCTTGGAGCTGTTGCTCAGTGGAATGGCGAATGAGCCGGGTTCTCATGGCGATGACACCAACTATGAGAGTGTTACAGCACTTGGTTGCGCGGGGAAACCTGACCTTTTTGTCATATTCAGAAGGAGGGATAGTCACCGCGACCGAATAATCACAAAACAAGCATCGGTATAACCAGAAACCGTTCTAGCGGACTCGACGAGCGTCATGCTTTTCCTTGTCTCTGCCCTATTGTGTCTTGAACCCTCATGACAGCTATGTCTGTTCGAATAGGATAAGTTCAACCTCAAATTTCAACTTGGAAGGCTATGCTGACCGAGTTCCAATACACTGGACCAACCCCCGATGCCAAAGCATACACTGAGACAGCCGCTGGCTCCCCTATACTCATGCTGCCAACATTTGGTGCCTCGGGCATTTTCGATGAATCGACTACACTGAACGAGTCGACAAACACTCTTACAACAGGTTCAGTGCTGTATGTCACTGCTGTTCTCAGTACGACGACGTTCAGCGACACCTCGTACAGCGTGAACGCATACAACAGCTGGGGAGCCATCGAGAACATCATCCAGAATCTGCCTTCTGATATGCCGCAGCGCAAAGGCCACTTCCTACAGCGCGTGATCTTTACTATTGACCAGCTCACCAAAGCTTATATCTGGACCCCCGGTTTGACCTGCACGCCAACCTCTAAGTGGCCGTGCCTCAAGGTCTGGCCGCAGCACAGCGAGACGGACTTTACGGCTTCGTCTGTTTGAGCTACATACGAGGAGATATTGTTTATTGCTGGTTTTTACACATTTTTATTTATATCTATCGCCAGACCACCAGGTCGGTAGATCACGTAGCGAGAATAGCAATATATAGATGCTTCGTAGGCCATCTCATGCTGTTTTCAGCTGTCATACTATTGCCAGATTGTAACTCATTTCCTTTGGGTTACTAGCAGTTAAAGCCTCTGCCATCTACCCACTCGCTTGCCACCCTGGTCAATCAGGCACCACGCGCAAAGCAAGTTAGCCATGCTCAAGGAACATATATTATTCAACGCTCGAATTGGTGATAGCATTGCAGTAACAAGAAGGATGCCCAGGCAAGTCATGAGGAACAAAGCAAGTCAAACAAGGAATCTGTCCTGGGCGGAAGAGTCAACACTCCTCGGTATCAAACCCCGACAAGATGAACTCATCCATTGCAATCCCTTCTACATGGGCACACCCTCGACAATCCAATTCAGGAGCTTGGATCCCCGAATCTCCTCGGCTCGTTGCACCAGCTCCTCCGCATCCCAATTCACCCACACAAACTTCCCCTTGAGGAATTCCGCCTCTGCAGAAGCCAGCCAGACATAGAACTGACCCGGCAACTCAGCTATTGAGACCACCGTTAGCATCCGCCGATCTAAAGAGACGAGACAACGTCCGAACATACCTTGATCCGGCGCCTCGGCCTGATAGCCATTGCCCTCCGTCGCCACCCAGCCGGGCTGCGCACTCACCACGCGCACATGAGGATTCTCTGCGGCGACGTGTTCCATCATCTTCAGCACTGCAGCCTTCGACACCGCATATCCACTCATGCCCGGCATCGGGGCCACATTCGCCAGACACGAGGAGGTATTCAGCAGCACGGGGTCCGGCCCCGCGACGGACAGAAATCCCTGGACGGCATTGAGCGCGCTTTGAAGATTTTCAACCACACCCCCCAGATAGTCTTTCACGTCGTACTCCCGGATCAACCCCAGCGTGGGTAAGGTTCCTGCATTCGAGACGAAAATGTCGACCTTCCCGACCTGGGCAACAATCGATGCAAGGGCCCGGTCGACAGCACTGCGCTGGCGGAGATCGACGGTCTCAAAAAGGACCTGGGTTGGAGTTTGCGCTTCCGTGGCCGCGGTGGTGACCTTCTCAGCTCCTGCTTCGAGGGTTTCCCGGCGGCGGCCGAGGATGGAGACGGACTTGGCGTTGGCCTGGGCAAAAGCCACGGCGATGGCGTTGCCGATGCCGCTGCCCCCGCCCGTGATCACCACGTTCTTGCCCGCCGCCGAGAGCTCGGGGCGCGAGGGCGAGATGAACGGGTAGGGCTTAGTGTGCCACTTCTTGGTGAAGGAGATGGGCTTGGGGTAGTCGTTGGGGTAGTCGTTGGGGTAGTCGTTGGAGGAAGACATGGTTCCTGGTGGGTGGAGAGCTTGATTGGTGGTTAGAGACGTTATGATTATGTTCTCGGTGACGATGCTGTGCTCGATGCTGGTGCTCAGTGGTAGGCATCCTGACCCGTTTGGTCCTTATATACCTCCTCTTGGGTGTGCCCAGCCATGGCGCGAAGCACAGTTACATTTTTGGAAACACTGGCTTTTGTCAGCATTCTGAGGTCGGGGGATGAGGACCCATGCTTTTGTTGGTGTTATGGGATGGTGGTGGGTGCTGGTTTGGAATTTCGAATCTGCCAACTACAACTTTCACTCAATCCTCCCGACGGGATCTTGGCGGTGCTGCACCCTAAAGAGAGATTTCAGATCCTCTTAAGGTTTAAGGCATTCGAACCTGCCGTCGGCTTTCGGGACGGGATTCACAGTCCGACCGCTGTGGTATAGATGTAGCACTCGTCCACCGGATTCTATTCCATCAGTATGTAGATGGTGAGTTGCACGTGGTCTTACATATACAGTCATTTTTGCTGAGTCCTGAAAGATCTCTCAAAATCTCCTTCATCGTCTCATCTAGGTCATTGCTGCTCCACCGCGCTGAGCACGCGAAGAGTATTGGCCGTCGGGAACGACCGTTGCTGTGACACAGTATCTGTGAAACCTCTACAAGGGAGCATCATTGCAAGACGCGTTTCACTGACAAACTTGCTTAAACTTATCAGATTCGATGGTAGCATTTGCGGTCCACGGACAAAGCTGAGCTGGAGAACCACGGCCGAAACTCGGTGGGTGGAAACCGTTCTTTTCTGCTGACCGCCCTAAAACGGCAGAATAATGGTTAAGACACCCGGCAAAAACTCGGCGGGAAACCTGTTCTCCGTTTGACCGCCCTAAAGCGGCAGAATAATGGGAGAACGGCCGGTATAAACTCGGCGAGGAAACTGTTTTTCTTCTGACCGCTCTACAACGGCAGAATTGTGCTGGCTTGAATCCAAGGTTGCCGGGGCTGCTTTCCCAAGTTGGTGAGATTTTTGGATCGATAGGATGCTTAGTCGTACTTAAGGTACAGTGATGAGCTTGCTATTTTAGTTGATTTTCGAAGGCTTCCTCCACCCTTGCGGCTTGCGTTGATCACCCGCGACCTTGTATTCCTCCCTCAATCCCAACATGGTCCACATCCTTGGTATATGTTATGATGACCATACATTTACAGGTGCTCTGTATGCTTCCACCCTAGACTTATCTTTAGTCACCGAATTGCCAGACAGTATCTTTCAATGTTTGATTATAGCCGTAGGCATCTCTATCAATATCGTTATATGTCCCATGGAATCAACTCATGACGTCAGTATGCTGTAATACGATTTTCCCTCGGATGGAAAGTGCATCCGCCCAACCAGCGGCTTTCGCTTCAACCTTTTTCAACCTTGCAGGCCACCATTCCAGCCCTGTTGACCCAGGCCCCAGCACAAGCATACTGGAATAATGGCAGGGACCCTTGAGGGCAAAACCGCCCTGATCACCGGCGCCGCCAGCGGAATCGGGTAAGCTTACCCCCTCCTCCCCCCCACCCCTCCCCACCCCTCCCCATCCCCCACCACTCTATGTGACAGCTCACCCTATTCCCACCCCTCCAGCAAAGCCACCGCCTACAAATTGGACAGTCTCGGCGCCACCCTGATCTTATCTGATATCAGCGAAGATGCCCTGCAGCAGCTCCAATCCGAGCTATCCAGCAGCCCCCGCGCCTCGTCCCACATCTACCGCCCCTGCGACGTTTCCATCAGTACAGACTGCACCCGTCTCACTCAGGCCGTGAAGTCCTCCTTCGAACACCTGGACTTCCTGTTCAACTGCGCCGGGATCAACCCCACGAATATCCCCATCCTCGAAACCACCGAGGACTACTTCACCAAGCTGGTGGACGTCAACCTCCGCGGCACCTTCAACATGTGTCGCGCCTGCGTGCCCCTCATGCAGAAGGGATCTGTGATGGTGAACGTCTCCAGCGTGTGCGGTCTCAAGGGGTACTCGGGGTACTCGGTCTACTGTGCGACCAAGTTCGGGATTATTGGGTTCACGAAAGCGCTGGCCGCGGAGCTGGGACCCCAAGGCATTCGGGTGAATGCTGTCGCACCGGGCCATACGGATACGCCGACAATGGTGGGAAATGTGGCTGGTGGGGATGCAAATGCGCGCATCGTCAAAGAGGTGCCGTTGGGCCGGTTAGGGGAGCCCCGTGAGGTGGCCGATGTTGTGGCCTTCTTGTTTAGTGAGGGAGCGTCGTACATGTCAGGGAGTGTGGTCGAGATCACTGGGGGCGTGGTTTAGATGTTTTATGGTTAACATTGAATGTAGATCTCTGAGAGATGAATATCTGCCCCGGGCGTTGGTGATTGCATCAAATGTATATACATCCGTGTCCGGAGAGACTGTATGCATATAAGCGAAGAAAATACACCTGAAAACCTTGTGACTAAACTTTCATTCTGGCTTCATCTGCATGTGAACCAGCTGGCCTAAGAAGGCTAATGGCTGAGGAGTCACGGGGAGCATTGCTCCAACTCCGGCAGGTTTCACCCACAACACTCCGCATCTTGGTGGCTCTCTGATATGGATGGAGGAAGGGCATATAGGCCTCCGACTCTAGGGGCTGCCTAGTATAACATACATTCCTTTGCTTCATCAGCGCTTCATGTTCTGTGTTCGTGGTCAAACACCTTGATTCCCTCAAGCTGCTGAATCCCTATGGTTCCTTGCCGCCAAACCATGGCCCAAACACCTTTAACCCCTTTCCATGGCCGCCGGAGTGTGGTACATAGTCTCAATAGCATGATTGCATGCTCGCCGCCCTTGGCGGCGATGGCTGGTCACAGAATTCACAGTCAAGGCGGCAATGCTGCGGTATGTATCAGCCACGCATCAGGTCTTCACTAACTCATCGGAGGATGCTGCTTGAGCTGTTGGTGAGAAACATTCCCAGCCACCATAATAGTCTATCGCCTTTACTGACTTTCTCTATGTAGCCGCTGCACTGAACGCGACCGAGCCAGCCTCAACCGGAACCGGGGGCGACATGTTCTGTCTCTTCTACGATGCACCCACCCTAGGAATGAGTGCGTTGAATGGACCTGGCCGTGTTCCAAAAACAATCACGCCGGCGCTGAGGGAGGTGGACACCATAGTGTGGTCTATGTGGAGGACGGCATTGAGGAAAAGGTGATTGACGAGCTGCAACAAAAGGACCACCACGTTGCAAAAGTCACTGGATGGAAACGAGGAGAGGGGTGGCACGTGGACTCGGTTAACCCCAGAGTGTGGGGGTGGCAATGCCATTTCCGCCGAACGTAGACTAGTCCCCCGAAGACCGCTCGGGGCTTGCCGACTCGGCGCCCCCTGTGCGCTCCCCGAGCGCCATCATGGCTCCCTGACTGGCGGATCCTCTTGAGTCTCCATATGAATATAGCTTCTTCCCCCGCCCCCAAAGAGTAGGGCTAGCTCCATCGCGTCGGCAGAGTGGAGGAGCATCCGGCATTGGGAGTGTTAAAACCCGGCCTTACTTGCACCTTTGCAGTCATGTTTCCTCCGTTCATGTCCCACGCCCATCATGACCGACTTACTAGACAAAGACCTCGAGAAGGTGCACGTTGACTTTGTGGAGAAAGTCGAGAAACCGGAGCCCGCAGATCCGGTTCTGGTGGACGAGACAGGCCGCATTCAACGTCTGCCGGTGCCCAGCGATGACCCCAATGACCCCTTGAACTTTGCAGTTTGGGAGAAGACTGCCATCATCGTATGTTGCTGTTGGTTTTGTAAGTGCTCACATGGCTATTGCGGAGGCTGTTCTTTGCTAATGAATGCAGCCATCATGTCGCTGTCGGTGGTGGGAGGGTTGGGTTCGGTCCTCGATGTCTTCTTCCAGCTGTACGGGGCAGAAGGCCGCACCACCAACCAAGTAGTCTGGCTGTCGACCTTCCCTTCCCTGTTCGTGGGCGTGGGTAAGACTTCAGTTACTGTTCTCTTGCCAATATGTACGCAAGTGTAAGCTGACTGGACCAGGAAACTACATTATCCTTCCTCTCGCCCTCGTGTGCGGCCGACGACCGATCATGCTCATCACCACTGTCGTCCTACTCGGCTCGCTCATTGGATGCGCCCTGTCGCAGAACTGGGGCCAGCACTTGGGCTTCCGTATCCTGATGGGTTTTACCACAGGCGCCACGGAGTCTGTACGTTCATCCTTTCTCCGAGCCATCGCAACAACCTCACTGACCCAGCCAGCTTCTCCCCCTGATGCTCGCCGAACTGACCTTCGTCCACCAACGCGGCACCATCTACGGCATCTACTGGGCCTCCCAGAACATCATCACCAGTCTGCTGACGTTGGGAAGTTCCTACGAAGTGGCCGCCCTCGGCTGGCGCTGGTTCTACTGGGTTTTCGTCCTCACCGTCGGCGTCGGCTTGGTCCTCGTGGTCTTCGGCTGCTTCGAGACCCGGTATCAGCGCGGGGCGATCTTCCTGCAGAACCAAGCCGTCATCACCGATGAATACGGCGTGACGCGAGTTATGGGCGAGGAGGAAGCCCGCGCCTGGCTCGCCGCTCAGGGCGAGACCACCGCTCCGGGGGCCGGTGTGCACCCTCCAGCCAAGAAGTCCTATCGCCAAATGCTCAGCCCGTGGCCGGGCGTATCCGCACACCCCATGCGGACGGCTCTCAAGACCTGGTGGCAGATGGTCGAGAGCTTTAGCTCGCCCGGTGTGCTGTACGCGACGCTACTGGCCTCCGTCGTGCTCGGGGCGTCGGTGGGCGTATCCCTCACGTACAACACAGTGCTTCAGTACAATTACGGCTGGAGTGCATCGGCGATCGGGCTGATCAATTTGGGCGGCGTGTTTGGCGGATTGGGTGGAATGCTGTACGCGGGCATCTTCGGCGACCGGTTCATCGTCTGGGCCGCCAAGCGCGCGGGCGGCGTGCATCAGCCCGAGCATCATCTGCTCCTGCTGATCGCTCCGGGTTTGCTGGCTGTCGCATCGCTCATTCTGTATGGTTTCACGGCGGATGGCAACGCCACCTGGGGCGGACCGTTCATGGGCTGGACGCTGTTCCAGGTCGCCTTCGTCTCGGTGCTTATCCGCACGACCTCCTTCGCCACGGAGGCGTGGCCCAAGAACCCTGGCCCGGCGCTGGTGACGGTCGTGGGCACGAAGAATTTGATCAGCTTCGGAGTGAGTTACGGGTTAAATCCCATGGTCGCCAAGTATAGCTACCCGGCAGCGATGGGGATTCTGGCGGGTGTGGTCGGCGGAGTCTTGCTGCTTGGCGTACCGGTATACTTCTTTAACCCTAAGGTTTGTCTGCCCTTTCTATTCCCTCGATTGTACTTGGTTTGGGGGTGGGCTAACGTGCACTGAACAGTGGCGAAAGCGCATGAGTGAGAAGGAGAAGTGAGTCAGGGGAGTCGCTGGTAGTCGTGCGGTCATAGTCAAACGCTTGTAATGCTTTACAATTGAGCTCTGACTTGATATATCCTTACTATGGTACTGGTGGGGTAGTAGTAGTCATACGATATCTTCGTCAAGAATAGTTTCTTTGGTGATCATATGCACAGTTGCAATCTTGCTCTCGGGGGTCGCCGATCAGCTCTAGGGTTCCCGTCCCCCGCACCGAGCCAACTTCGGGGCTGACCGAGACCCACTGTGGCCGACGCCCTCGGGCGAGATCGGTTGAGATTTGTTCTGGGGTTTGAGCACGCAGTCTGGCATCCCCCACATTCCCGATGTACTGTACCCCAGACTGTGCTCTCTCGCTCCGGTGTGCTATGCATCTTGATCAGTATTTAACCACAAGAAAATACTTGACTCCCTGAACTTGTTTGGGAACTCGCTTCCCTATCTCAAATTGGATGGCGATTAGGATTGAGAGGCCCGAACAATCGCAAACAGGCTATATAAGAGACATCATGTATTGCTCAGAAAGTACTGCTCTAGCTAGGGCTCAGACTAGAGTCTACAAAGCACCTCCATTGAATCAACAACAGCCAGGTGTGCGCGTGAGATCTCGCTGATATTCTGACACATATTGTCGACATCAGCATAGCCCACAATTTCTGCTTAGATCAAAATGACTTAGGGAGGCAATCTCACCCCGCCAACGCCATCGTCACCCGCAACTCATGCAGCAGAATCTGCACCGCCAACTCCACCCCCTCCTGGCCTGCATAATGCTCCTGTCATCCAGATTTACAACACTTCTGCAAGATGACGATCGAGTTGAGATCGCTTACAGCTAACCCTCATATAGGCACCCGGCCCAATGGCTTATCAGATATGTTCGGGTACGTGATTCCGCGGAAAGAGCGAGCTCGTTGCGCAGCTCGTTGTATCGAATTCCGAGAATGGGGTAGTCGACAGTCAGGAAGATGGCCTTAAAGCCGGCAGCAATGCCGGAGCATCAGACGGCTGGATACCTCATCTCGAAAGTATTATTGTAGAGAATGACTATCCTCAGCCTTCTTGATCAACTGCACTGTATACCCCCTCTCCTTCGCAATCCCCACCTGAATCGCATACGGATTCTCCCCAGGTCCCTGAGCGAAGATCTCCTCGAGCGTGGTGGACGCGTAACTCGAGACTACCATAGCAACTCCCATATGTGCAGCTGCACGGGATGTGGCGATCTCGCCGTCCGGATGGACGAGATTGTGCAGCGTCGTCGGCGCAAATCCCAGCGGAGCGGCCATCTTGGGGCCGAAGAGCACACGGCCGAGGTGTCAATTTCGGAGACCTTGACTAGCACGCGCGGACGGATCCGGTAGCGCACGTAGGCAGTGATATTCTCGCGTATGCTGTGGTCTTATTTTAAGTGGGAGTTGCGTTTGGGAGGGAAGGCTACTGACGTGGTCATGTCGGTGGCGCCCTCGTTGAAGAATTCGGCGTAAGGTTTGGGAAGTTCTTCGTGGCTTCTCGCTCGAAGTCTGCAATAGATAGCATCTTGGGGGGAGGGGTATGGTAGATGGGGCGTCATGGTTGATTGTTGAGATGGCTGTCGCGTTGTCGAAGGTCTTTGTAATGTGAAAAGGTCGGTATTTGAGATGGCCTTCCAAGCTACACGAGCTGCGGGGTGAGCAGCAGCTGGGTTGGACAGACCTTTTCCAGGGATTGTGGACTAACCATTCACACAATGTCATTCTTTCCTTGTTCGGCGAGTAAGCTGTCTATACATCTACGATATTTGTTCACTCAAGCACTGGATAGTACTCTGACCTCAGACTCGACTAGGGATAATATCACCAAAACCTGAACCATGCTAGGCTGAGTGTAAATCCGGAGCACTAAATACAGTCTATAGTTGTTTCTCTGCAGCACTTGAACATGACCTCAGAATAATTGATATATAGACAGCAGGTCAGCCCTTCACGTAAGACTCACATCCCTTTCTTAGCCACTGTGAAAATCTCTCTTCGACGATCTACAACTTAGCCCAAAACAAGCAGCGATGCACGTATTCCTGTCATCTAAATCAAGATGTATTCTCCGGAGAACCTTAATGCAAAGCTGCAGCCCCCGAACCAGCCCCAATCTTCATCAACCCGTCCAGAATATCCTTCCGATTATCCATCGAATCAGTGTGGCTGTACATTGCCAGCGCCTGCCGGAAAGGCTCTGGACTCTCACGGGCATAGTCGCGGGCGTCTTCCATGATCAGATCGTAGACCGCCACGTGATCGTGCTCGATGGTGCCGTCGTCCTTCATGCGGGTGTTGGTGTATCCTTCGTTCGTGGCTCGTCCGTCCATGTGGTACCGGGCCCAGATTGCGTCACCATATCGATGCTCTTCGATGGCGGTGCAGTACTCGGTCGCCCAGGGTTCGACGCGGGGCATTCGAATGCTCGAATCACGGACGGAAGCGATGGAGTGGTCCAGGAAGAGAGGCTCGGGGGAGTCTTTTGAGGTGGTTGGTGGCATATTTTTGGGCTTGGCGGTGGATATTGAACCTGTTGAGGGGTTGCTTGTATTTTCAAATGAACATGTTGGGAAGGGGTGGGTTGGTGAGTGGGTCGATCGTACGAGGTATAGAGCCTCGGCTACGGCAAGGATGATAAGAAAGAGAAAGTGAATGGAAGGTCCAGACTAAGAGATAGGCAAGGTATATATAGATAGACCACCATGTGATTGACCGCCTTGGCCTAATTCGGTACGTACAGTACGTGCAGGTATCATCATACATCATCAGTATACTTCTCCAATCACAGCTCCTCCACATAAATCTACCTTAATACATGTACTGAGTGATACCTCATGAACAACCCGTCGACTTCGAACTCAAGCACAGCTTCTTGTGCCCGCTATTCTTCGGCGAGTACCCGGACACATAGTAGTTCGAGCAGCACGGCTTTGTGCGCTGGCAGTCGTTGTAGATGAGTTTGCCGACCGCATGGGCCTGATACCAGGTCACCCCAGGGGCGCTGCCAGGGGGTCCGACGCGGAAGAAGCAATCGCCGGCCCAGTCGAGCTGGCGTACGTTTCCGGTATAACTCTGATCCTGACTCATGAACTCCAGCACAGTGTTGCAGTTCGATCGCAAGGCCAGGTAGTCCCCACTACAGCTGGTTGAGTAGGTCTCCCGCGCGGCGAGGGTGGCCAGGTCTTCGGTCAGAACGCTCCCGATGAGTTCGACCAGTTCCGGGTGCTCGTCGGCCGCGCTCGTGGCGTTGTAGCGTGCGGCGACCTGCGCGAAGAGCTCCGGGGTGGCCAACCGGTAGCCCCGGGCGTCCTCGAGGAGTTCCTCCGTCACGGTGCTGTTGTCCTCGGCGATGATGCCTCCCTCAGCGCGGCCGTCCATGTGGTAGCGCGCCCAGACGGCGTCGCCATACCGACCTTCCTGAATGGCGGAGACGTACGACTCCCCCCATGGGGCGCGAATCCACGAGCCCGCGGTGCCGTCGGCGACTTGGTTGACGTCCAGTTCCAGGAAGAGATCGTCCGTCTCGCCGCATTGAGCGGGAGTAATCCCAAGAGCTAGGGCGATGACTGCGGCACTGAGAGCGCGGACAAAAAGGTTTTGAGGCATTCCTTCGGCTGGATACTGGAGGGTGACAGTAAAGTGAGTCAGGGGTAGATATGAACAATATGAACCAGAGAGGTAAGAAGCTCTGAAGTCAATGTTACCTACTCAATGTAGAGAATTGATGCCTGAATTTATAGCTCCGGGTCGGCCTTTGCTTAGATCTTCGAGAGTAGAACGATTGCTATCCCAGATATGACCATTTTCACTAAAACCCACCCCATAATTATTGCATTCGGATCTCGCCTGATCTAGGATTAGCCGTACAATCAGTTGACTTGAAGCTATTGTGAGCCCCTGCCCAAACCAACGTATCCGCCAATCATATATCAACGTGCTGCATAGCCCAGCCTTTCGATACCCGAAGTAAGCAATCATCTCTGAGGCATTTTCTGCAACCTCACGATCAGTAATCATAGGACCCTGCCCTAGTTCCAGGGACCCTGAGGCTATTGAGCTAGGGACTCGTATTCATAAGAACTAAGCATGCAGGGCTGATGCCTGACAAATACCTCTGGACGCTAGTCATGTGACCATTCCTGACCTAGCGTAGTGGCGGAGGAGCACCAGCCCTGTTTAGGGCTGACTATGCTCGACTCAGTAAGCATGTCTCGGAGAGTGAGCGTAGACAGTGAAAGTCTGCGGTCTGGAGCACTCAGCTGAAGATTGACATGGCTGGCAAGCCGATTAGTGATCGTTGGTGGCAATGTTTCACTGCTCGGGCCGAGTGACGACCCATAGCAGAAACCTCATGATCAAGCTCGGTTTGGCAGTGGTCAGGACGTTTCCGATGGCAAATATGTGCGAACAGAGTCTTGAACCTGGCGAATGAGATGCATGTGATCAGACCTGCAGTAGCTTGACTACCTAGTAGTAATTCTTAGATGTTTTCTGCTCGTATAAGCATCCGTTGACAGGTAGGCAAGCGCAAGACGCATCGGCCAACCTACACCCTACACACCACCACATCTCTTTTTGTGTGATTATGAAGACGTAAGGAGATTAGATTAAAACGATCGATTAAGTCAGAAAGCCGCCCTTGCCAAACCCTCAACTCCAACCCAACCCATAATGCTCAGTCGTAAGCCACGATCACCTGCCGGCTGACGACAATGTCGGCCTCACCGGGACTCTGCCCACCCTCGAGGATTTGCCTCTCACTGTCGCCATCGCTGAAGCTGCGACGGCCGTGCTCTGCGACGGTGCTCGTGGTGACGTGGTTGGGGTTCTTTCCGTGCTCGGCCAGCTCGTAGGTGCGCGAGAACACGCCCCCGCCCCCGCCAGTGTGATGCGAACTGTGGCCGTAGCCCGGGGAGCGGTTATAGTTGTTGTAATCGGAGGTCTTGCGATCGCGAAGGATGCGGAACAGAGGCCGGAGGGTGGCGACGTTGCCGACAATCATTCCCAGTGCGTTCTCCGCGAACCCCCAGATCACCACGTTGGCCACGCCGAAGAGGTAGTCCGATTGCGAGGTGAGCGCGACGGTGTACTTGAGACGGACGCAGGCAGATAGCGAGGCACTACACAAGAAGAGTGAGTTAAATGGTTGTGCGTGCGGTGAAGGACAGAGAGCGGTGTACGTACAAGATACCCAGACCCATCAAGCCGACGATCGAGATCTTGGTGTTGCGGTTGATCTGGACATTCCAGAGGAGGGGCACGGGCAGTAAAGCCGTCACCCAGTCGGTCAAAATGTTCACAGCCGTGCAGGCGTAGTACACATCGGCGAGGACGTAGGACGGTTGGCAGTGTCCTCCGTTCTTTAGGGCTTCGTCATCCCAGGCGGCACTGCGGCGCGGTCAGTCTCCTTGCCCCATTAAATCCAATAAGCAAAGAACACGAGCACATACTTGACAGGGATGCAGTTGATTAGAATGAAGATCAATGCGATGATGTTCATGGTCACAAACGTCGCAATGACCACATACTGAATGTAGAGGTAAGCCTTGCGGCCCTCCGCGACTCGGATCAACATCCAGCTGATACTCAGTTTGATCGGGATAATGGCAGAGCAGTAGCCGACCTCGAAGATGAGGAAGAACTAGAGAGCTCGTTAGCGTCCAATTGCCTGACTTGACTCCAATCATGTCAGCGGAGCTCCATACCTTCTTTCCAGCGGCCGAATATTGCACGTTTTCCGGCTCCGCCAACCGCCATTGATGAATTCCAATCCCGTTGAATGCACCCCCTACACAACCTGCTACCAGCACAGCGAACGGTACCTTTCATCGAACGGATTAGCTCAGGTTCCAAGTCCCAAGGGGCAGGCAACCTACCAAGGCGACGGACATGATCCAGTCTTCCATCCCCCATGACTTCCGGGTCAACCGGCAGTATACTCGGGCTCCATAAGTCAGCAGTGCTAGGGTTGTCAACATAATGACACTGCCGGCCACCGACGGGGCCGCATCGGCGTAGATGGCCATGAAGTTGAAGTCGTCGCGGAATAAGGTCGAAGGTCAGCCCTGTGTTGGTGCTGTCAAGGACACATTGGGGGAGATACAAAGCTCAAATTCAAGTCAACATGGGGGTGGTGGGCAGAGGGGGGGGGGGAAATGTGGACATGGGTGGGGTGATAGTAAGGATATAATAAGTTGATTAACTCAATTAGAAGGGTCCTTGCAGCGGGAAGCCTTTTTGATTGCAGGCCTACAACCCTAACAAAAGTCGAGGTTAGACTGCCCACATCATTGCCCCTTTGAGGCAATCGGACGGGCCACGAGACGAGGGGTGGGTTTGTGAATCGTGACAGTCGGCTTCCCCTCCAGTGCTCCACGGCACGTCGGAATACGAGTCTGTCTCCCCTGGAGTCCCTCTCCGCAGAGAAAAACCCTAAGAGATCGCCAGTTTAGGCTGTCAACGCGAGCGGACTTTCGTCAACAGAGTCGTAGTCATCCACTTAGACTCTCCACCCCAACCAGTGTCAGAGAGAAGAAGCGGCGCCTCTGATTTGCTTTCAGCGGACGGATCCCATCCGCGACAAATCAGGACGAGTCATGTTACCCCCCACCCTAACCCTAGAGAACATCATCATTGCCCGCCAGGCAAATTCTCTTCGCGGCAGTCTAGAACTTTCACCACTGTTCGGTAAATCCTAAATCCTTATTTGGCAGTTCAATGGCAATGATTATGGGCGGGGAGGAAACTCTTTCACGGTAATCATTGCTTGCCAAGTTATTCTCTCCAAGCGAGATAACAATCCGCATTCTACTAGTACTCAGTAGTCCGAGAACCAGCTCCCCAGCCTGCCCAGCCTCGTGTCTGCAGTTAGTGCCAATAACCCCCAAGGGGAAATTTCCTTGGTCGCATGCATGCATGCATGGGATTCTGGAAAGAGAACCAAACTCCCGGGTCCCCTAGGACCGGGGAAAATTGACCAAAATGGAAAATAAACATGCCTGGGAATCCCCACTCATGGGGGCCATGTCTACGGAGTATGCCGTGCTGGGCCAAACTAGGCCAAGTAGCCCATTCGAAACACCACCATCGGCTTTTCTCGGCCTGTCATGACTCGCTGTCAGGCAATTCTTTCTCACCTTCCCAATGTTAATCCGGTTTAAGCTAGCACGGTTGCAGTTGTATGGTGGGCTAGGCCGCCCATCTCCACCGCATGCGACCGAGCGCAAGCCAGGCCGCCAGCTTGCCAGTTGCCACCCCCGTCGGGCGCGCCCGCCTGCGAACCCTCCCACAACGGAAGTTCGCCGCAGCGAGGTTATCGTAAACCAAATAGATTAAATTCTGGTTCGTGCCATTAGCTGGCTGCTAGATATGCAGCTGTAGCTGTAGCTGTAAGTGTTTCTAGTACTTTGAAACATCACTCCGTCAAAATTTGCTGTGCTAAGAATACTTCCCCCCCTGGCCGCAACGCCGGCTTCCTTGGTCGTCGATCTCGGGGAGGACATTCCTTCGCGTCGTTAGCACGCCACACTAGCCACGACTTTCGCTGCAGGGGGAGCCTAGTGTGCTTGCCACCACGAGCGACGCGACGAGTGTGGTTCAGGGGTGTAGAGAGGGCTTGATATTAGTCTACAAGCATAGCCAGCCTAGTCATGACCACGGGATGATGCCATTCTGGTGATGGCCCAGATCGGCGTGGCAGGTCGGATATGACCAACAAGTTGCCACTCATGAGCATGCGAGGATGACTCAGTGGAATAAATCAGGGATTACTTATGCTCCGTCGGCACAGAATACTGTGTAGGCTAGACTTTGATGGCTTTCGCTCTGCCATGTCATTCAGAAACCTTAACGGAACGCCTTCCGAGATATGGAGAGAATTCTAACGATTTGCCGGCAATCCTCTTCGACACTAGCATACTTTCGCCTATCTTCTTAATTCTTCGCGCGGCAAACTCACAAGACGTCTATTGAAACAACCATACCATGAATAGATATTGTTCGGTCGCATGGACGGGTAGATCTCTAAGCACCGTCTGCACTGATAACACCCAGAGAGGAACATATAAATAGAAGCAATCAATTTGTCCTGCGCAGAGAGCAGATGCTTGAATCACTAGGTTGTAACATGTGGACAATCCCGGCGATGGAAGACATGTATCATGATGAGTGATTCCTCCTGCTCCTGACAAGCGCACCGGCAGCAGCCGAGCCACAGATCAAACCTTCTGCAGAACTTTCTAGTAAGGTATTAGAATTATGGGCTTGTTGGCTGTGCAGAAGACCGATCTGGTCCGGGTGAAGACAATAGCTGCAGCTGCAGCCACTGCTGGACCGTGGGAATGGTGGCGCGCAAACCTTACTCCTATCTTTACCGGGGCTCCAAGATCTTGGGAGACTTAGACAAGAATATTCGGTCAGCGATTTGGAGGTTTAGACGACTGGGTATACAGTCCAGTTCACGTGGACAGATTCTGGATTCTGGGCATTGAGGTCAATGAGGTCAAGTGACTCGGCCAAGCCCTGAGAGAGGACACCGATATGAGTATTTCGACTTGCTGTGGTATTCTGGGGACAGGACTTTCCCCCTCAGTCGCTCACTTCGTTGACTCGGTCACATTTACTCGACTGACTGAGGTTGTGCACGTATATGACTATTTATGCAGAGGCGCTATCTATTATGCATGTTCTTTACGGTCTTTACCCCTTGGCGCTGATCCCCTCAACTGCTCGGACGATGACATCTCCGCGGGCCTGCCGCGCCTGCTGCAACCCACCAGTGAACAAGTCCTCGAGTCTGGAGGACTTTGTTGACCAACGGAGCTGTGCAACAAACCGCCAACGGAATTCAGTTTTCCGTATCTAGTGGACCAGCATATTTCCAAGGTCAGCAAACGACACTATACGTGTAGCATGCTGAGCCCACTAGAACAACCAACGCCTTACTCACTCTTGAACAGTCCCAGTCTCCTATTTCCGACGCCCCGCGACAACAGCCCCTGGCATATCCGTCTACAGGAAAACAATTCCTTGCTCTGAATCTCTCCGATGACTATCCGTAATGCGTAATCGGGCGCTGAGGGCTGCGTCGTGATGAGTCGGGCTCAAACGCGCGAGGACCGGGCGTTGAGAGAGTGGACCCGCTGGCCGGCAAACAGTCACGACTCACCAGGGAAAGTTGCCGATCCTCGGATATTTTCCCAGGCAGGGCAAGGATGGACGCTGCCTGCCCTCAACGGGGATCTGCAAATTTCCTCCAGGCTTGCACCCACTCACCGTTCAACGTTCACCCTCCGCTTATTTTAGAGCGTACATCCTCATCTCGGACGGCGAACAGGAACTCAACGAGAATCAAGCGGATAGCCCTCGGTTACTCGGTTGAGTGGGGGTGACGGAAGATGTGAAGGGTCCGACATTAGGGGGGGGGAGCGCTCCTCGACTGCATTTGATCATGTTTTCCTTGGATATCGTCTGGGATATTGTTGCCCTTGTTCGCTTAATACACGAATTCGCGTCCTGGTCGTGCGACATGTCTGCTCGACAAATGCGACCGTTGCGGTTGGGTCGGGTCTTGTTGTCAACTGCGGTTCTAGCCGGTGGCCACATAACGAGAGCTTGAACGTTCGCAACAGAGGCTTGATGAGCGTACGCTGCAAATAATGCATGTACAGTGCTGGTAGCAATTTCGCCTGCTAATGCCCTTGCAACCGACGCTCGCACAACTTTCTCTTCGGGCAGTTCGGCTTGATTTGGCGAGCCCAATCGCCCATCTGGTCCTGCCGAACGGTTAGAAACCCCAGCGTTGTGTAAAAGAGGCAGCCTGGTGGAACCATGCTCAACTCATTGACAATGACTGTACTTCGTTTCCGGTGACTTTGATACAGCTGACACAAAATGGTCAGTGAGGGGAATAAGGACTTGAGGGCTTGGGGTTTCACAAGGACGCGCCATGTTGCTGTGGGCTCTAGCCGGCTAAGTGCTCGCCGTTTGACTCTTGGTCATTCGAAAAGACTGATCAGCTTCAGATCAGAAGCTTTGCCTTATTGATTGCGACTCTGGAGTCAATCAACAACATTCGTCGCCTTGATGTGACTGAAAGCAGGGCAAGAGAAATTAAATCGACGCATGGCAGAAGTCTTGAGCTTGCCGGGTACTAGCTGGAACGCAGCTTTGCATTGCGGATGATACCTCGCATCTCGCTTTAAATGAACTCTTTCCTCCGAGGCTAGTACTATTCAACTGAATGACCGTGATGCAAAGTGTAAAGATTCTATCATTCCTGTCCTGATCCTTTGGGAGCAATGTTTCAGGTACGATGTCAACCTTTTCGGCACCTTTGTGGCACGGACACTGCAACACGTCTAAACGTCCCGAGCTTCAAGTCTTTTCTTTTCTTTTTTTTTTTTCTAACCTATACTTGAACCATACAATGATATGGGGTCCTAGCAACTTGAGCCTAGGTTGTGTCAAGCAAAGCCACATTGATGTAAAGGCCCAATAGGTACAGTTTCTTAGGTTGATTTGATCCCGAGGAAGTGATGCGATGCAGATATCCACATGCAAGCTTTGCCACCATAACAATCGATCGAACCCATTATATTCCACCAAAAAACACGTTACCCACTGTGCCCGTATCTCTTGGAGGAGGCGCTCATGCTCCGGGCTACAGACCAGCTGCTACCACGCACAAGTTCTCCATATCCCTTTGCGCGCGAGCCATCGTGATGACCTTCGGGTGGCTGATCATGGGCATGAGGAACTTGTTAAGGGTCATGCGCCCATTGTCGCTCTCCGCCGCAATGATGGAGGTAGCCAGATGCATGGTCTCTTTCTTATTGCCTTTATAGCGCATTTCCAGGAGAAGCGTGTCCCAAACAATGCCGAGCTTGGTCGGTCCGTTCTGCACGTCGCTCAGATAGGATCGCGGTCGATGGTGTATCATCAGGGTGTCTTCTATCCACGGAGCCGCCGAACGAACACAAAACCGATCGAAAGATGTAATTGACAAAACCCCTGGCGCTGGGCATTACATGAGCCAAAGGCTAGGAATTTCTTTAACAAGGAACACAGGCTCAAGACTTCACAACTCGAGGCGATTGCGCAGGTTTCCGAGTCGTTGGCGCGGCGTTGTACCTTGCGGTTGGATCGACAGGTCTCCTTGTATCTACTCCATCGGGTCATCCATCGTGTCCGCGTCTGGATGTTTGTTAATAGGTCAACTTGTATTTGTTGGCTGTTTTGTCGCATTCGCGTTGAGCTGAGCTGCACGATGCCCTGGTAATCAACCCTAATCTCCTTGGGTTGGTCTGCCCGCTGCCTCAACATTTTAAAAATTACCGCCTCACGATGTAAGCATCGTGGGACTGCCTGGCGTTAGGAACTAGGAAAGGAAACGAAGGAATAGCTTAATATGAGCTAGTAAAGTGGTTGTGCAAAACAAGTGGTCAGTTCGTCTGTTAGCATCAGCCGTCAGCATCCCTCCTTTTGCGCGCCCCCACTTCAGCCTCACCGATACGAACAACGGCTATAAATCCCCTCAGTTCTCATTTAATCACCAGGCACACGAAAATAAACAAAAAGATTCTCTGAGTAGGCTTACATTCTCATTGTTCCTCGCGTCTGATTCTCCTCGGGTCATTTTGCTTCTACACCTTCTGTCACTACTAAAGGAAAAGTCTTTCCTCTCAAAATGGCCGACGTAGAATTTCTCGCCCTCACCACCAAACCCTCGGCGCAACTGGCTTATACCTTCCAAACCCCCGAGGGAGCATCCACCAAGCCCGTCCTGGTGGTCTTTGTGAATGGGCTCGGCCTTCCACAAGCCTTTTGGCAGCCTGTCATCGCGCAATTGAAATCCCTCCGTCAAGGCAGCAGCCCAGCCTTCCTGACTTACGACCGCTTCGGTCAAGGCCAGACAAACGACCGCGATCCCACTGACGCCGGCGCCGAGGATCCCACCCACGGCCACGACTGCCTGGCCGCCGTGCAGGATCTCCGCCAGCTGCTCGTGCAGATCACCGCCGACAAGCTAGGCGTCGTCGATGTGGACTCCGTCTCGCTCGTGCTGGTAGGAAACTCGATCGGCTGCGCGCTGGCCCGGCTCTACGCGCAAAATTACCCCGGCAGCGTCGCCGCGTTATTGCTGCTGGACAGCGTCCTCGCCAACTCCGACTTCATTTCCATCTTCCCTGACCCGGACGCCTCGGATTTCGACCCGGCTAGCATCGCCCCGATCCCCGCCGAGGCCATCCGCGCCGTGCGGGCCGGCGTCCGCCGCGTCTTTCACCCCGACGTCGGCAGCAAGGAGGGTCTCAGCCGGCGGAATCTGCGCGAGCTGCTTCCTGCCAGTGACGGGCCACAGCTGCAAGGCCCTGAAGGCCACGGACCTTATGTAACGGTCGTGGGCCACGATTTCGATGCTTTTGCGGAGGAGTCGGCGAAGATGGGCCCGCCCAAGCCGGTCACGAACCGTTTCGTCAACCCGTACTGGCACCGCTACAACGAGGGGTTGGTCAAGATCACCGAGCCCGAGTACAGCAAGGGCCCTTTGATCGCACCGAATGCGGGTCACTTTGTGCAGAAGGATAACCCCGAGTTTGTGGTCCAGGAACTGAATGAGTTACTGGAGAAGGTGCTGTAGGTTTTGATTTGATTGCTATAGCGATTCAAATTATAAGCATTGATAATCCACCCCATGTTTTCTTATTGTTGTTCTCAAGTGTGGTTCACCATTGTATGTTTCATGCCAGACTAATGGTTTCCCGTTCATAGTAACGAAATCCAGTATGAGCAGTCGGTAAGCATCTGATCCTACCCATTCAATACACAGAATGGGGTGGTAGATACCACTCGAGCTCCGTGCTTGGGCTGAGTGGGCTAAGACCAAGGCTACAAGCCCCGGTCATCCTAAATTTCGCCCTAGTGCTTATTCCTTAGCGCATCCTTAAGTCTTACCGCTTCTTATCGTCCTAGCGCTTATCCGGCGGCCTAATCCACAATTTCCTGCCATCAGTGCCCATCGTCCAGTGAGTCATGGACCGTTATACAAGCAAGGCTGCAGGGCACATGGGGCCATTTGGCAGGTCTCAGGGGGGCTGTCTGTGCCATTTTCATTGGCTTCAACTCTGCGATACTATCACGAGTTGTGTAGGGTACCTGTGCGCGACCGTGGCTGGTTAATCTGGAGACCGAGTGGAGACAAATAAACTATAGTAGACCCATTCATATATGCTCGTATCGAGGACGCTTAGACACACAGACCCTGTATAATTCTCAACGTAATCAATTCAGCCTCCAGTGTTCGCACTAGCTCGTCAGAGGCACGAAAGGCTTGTGCTTGAAGAGATTAGGCTTGTGATACCCCACCTTCGGCAGCCAGCACCCAGGACGCCCTGACCAGCATGTGTGGACAGGATGCAGGGTCTTGGTGGCAATTGGGATCGATCAACGTTGTCGCCCCACCCTCGCCAGGTGGGCTTTTATGCAGTGGCCACGAGCGAACTAGCCCGGCGCCACTGGGCTGGATGCGCAACTAGAGAGCAGTCCTGTAACAGGGACAGGACAGGATAGGTGCATTGTCTGATGGAAACAGCTTTCCGGTTTCCCCGAATTTGTGTCAAGCCTGCTATTTGGCGCATACCTCTTGTCCTTCCATTCTTCATACTTACATATATCCCGCCTGACCGCCTCGTGGATGTCGACCTGACCTCCGCAAGAATGTCCTCAACAGCCTCGATTTTATAGGCGAAAGCTACTAGAGGGGTTAAATCTACTAAGAAAAAAAGGAGATCTAATGAGAGGAAACGGAAGATATAGTCTACATCAAGTAAAGAGAAAGAAAGCTTATTTTACCAGAGGTAAAAGATACATCCTAGCCTACCACCTATTTAGTAATCGACTTTAGCTTTATTTGAGCGTAAGTAAGAGAGATTGTTCATAGAGCTATCTACTATCCAATCAGCTATATAATTTAGAGTTATTCACCAAGTAAGTTTATAAATAAAAAGCTTACTTAACTCTGAGTGATAAACAGATCAAGAAACTTGTTTCATATTGCCTATCAATGAGTTATCGAAAGCCTACATCCACCTTCTTTCTTTTTTCCTCAAGTTGCAAATTCTTGATTATTTGGATAGTAATCCAGGAAGGTGCTACTCTTCTCAAATGGCGGCTTGGAGGACTTCGGCTCGGAGGGTTGCGCCGTGTGGTGTTCGTCAATTATATGCCTGAACTGCACCACATCTCCCAAATGTAAACTCAACTGATCGTCAGGAGGAAGCGCGTCGCGATCGAGGTTACCCTTTGCACTTCCCTTGAGGATAGTTTCGATTGAACGCGCCATGCTTATAGGTGTTTACCTTCAGCAGACCACGTAGCACAGACGTATCCACACCACGAACACCTTCGCCGCGTTTCTTGGCTTCTTCTTCCGACTTGGCACGAATGAAGATTGCTCGTCGAAGCATATAAGTCAGGTCAGTAGTTCTATGAGGCTTGTCGTATGCTTGTACGTCAAGATGCAGCCCCAGTCGACTAATAAAATCAGGCTTTTTGACAGCTCTAGCCGCTTTTCCAGCCTTAGCATCCTCCACGTCCTTGTAACGATCTCTCTGCGACTGGGTGTCTGGAGCAGGCATCGAGGGGCTAGTTGTTCCGGCGGGGATGAGTTGAATTGTGTCGTCCTGGAATTCCTTGAACGAGGATGCCGTACCCCCGATGAATATAAAAATAGCCTGACCAATTGGTCGGCTATGGCCTTGCTCGGAGAATCTCCCATCCTGCATGGGCGCAAGAAAGAATTTGAGCCACCCAAGTTCCTCATTCATTCAAAGTGGTATCGAACCCATCGAAGCAAGCTATCGGAATCCTCCCTGAAACCGTTTCGTCCCGGACGGTCTGCAAGGCGACCAAAAGATCCGAGTAATTCAAAAACTGCGACACGTTGTAGTCGAGAACAGGGTATCTCTTGGGCTCATTAGGGCTGACTCTTTTGGTGATCGTTTGGATGATCTGCTTAATTCCAAATGACTTGCCAGACCCAGGCGCCCCGAAGACTCCGATGGAGAGCGGCCTGTCCTGCGGAGTGTTGAGGTAACTTTCCACCCTGTTGGCGATCGCTTGAGAACATTCAATCTCCGTTCTGTCCACTGCAACGAGTTTGCCGAACTTCGCGATTGGGCCGGCGGGAAGCGCCATTTCGGAATCAATCCCGTGGTCAACAGTACCTTTACAGGCTTTCAACACTCTTGCTTTGTATGTCTCGGTTGGAATTTCCTGGGCTGGAGTGAGAGCTTGCCTCAAGATTGTCCAGTTTTTAAGCTCTATCTTGGGCATTTCGGAACATTTGAGCTTGACCTCCTCTCCACGATCTTCTCCCTGAGAGACATAACACCAACTCATTGATGTGATTTACACGCTATAGACTGCGTCTGTGTCCCGATTGTGAGAGCTCGATTAAGGATCAACATGTATTCGTGCATCTAAGCGCAGCGCATCCGGATATCAATATCACCAATCATACGGTATCTTGTAGTTTCCTCCCTGTCTATCAAGGCTCCCTGAAAGGGTCGTCAAGTGGATGACGTAGTTAGTAAAGTTCTGTAAAGCGTGGTACTGTATTGAGCAGATTGAAGAGGTGATGTTTTCGACAGGACTAGAGCATCTCTTCCTTCAACTCCGGCCGGTCTAGATCGTGGTATAGAGGGATTACTATGTTTTTCAGCGTCGAACTGAGGATCTACAGCTAAGCTTGCTAGCGGCGTGGCCCCAAGGTTGCATCGAAAACAGGTGTCATCCGGTAAATTACCACAGTACCAGACCACTCGGCCGGGAAGATGCAAAGGGCGAGAGATGACCACCACGCTGGTTCATTGTTCTCGCAACTTATCATATCGGCTCTATCATCATGGATCCCTTGGATCTATACCGGTTGCGGCCATTCCAACCACCTTGAAAGAGCCATCGTTCATATCATGAGCGCATGACTGTATCTCTTTCCTAATCAGGATTGCTTCAATGATGTCAGCAAGGGATCGTTATGAGATCTACTCGAGCAAAGTATGCGCGGAGGTTTAGACACGTGTATGATTGGAGAGAACGGAATACCCTCACTGACATGGACCGTTACAGCAGAGATAATCCCGGGCTCTTCATGACTCATGACGAGCATATACAGGACACACCCTCCAAGGCTCAGCTTCGATCTTGTGAGTAACATTCCCTCACCAGCGCTACTGGCTTCCTCGCCCGTTGAGGGTTGCGCCGGACACTCAATACGCAATACGCAAGGAAGCTGCGAAACATACCTGATTGCTCAGGAGGTAGCCCAGCCACCATTCTCGACGAGAATTCGACGGTGAAGCAGCGAAAGGCGAGTCGGCCGAAGAAAATGCCATATTGACCGTCACTTGAAGGGTCCCTGTAGCAACCGGTCGAAGTTCGCCGTCAACGCGGCCGGATCCTTCCATGCCGCCGCAATGCCAGCATTCCGTTCGCGACATCTGGCCGGCCCGCCCACCACCACCCGCTGCTCGCCCTGCCGTCGCGCCTCTTTTACCAATGTTGATGTTCGTGGTTGACGGCGCTGTGCGAAGGTTCGGAATATCTCGACCAGGTCCACATCACCCAGTTGAATGGTCTTCGCATCAGACGTCGAGCTTTGTTGGAGGTCTGGGAGAAGATGTGAAAGGTGATAGCAGTCCTCCCTGGGTGCAACTTGTCAGCCTGACTGAGTCCTCATTTGATCCTTAGCCCATACGTACAGTGCCTGATTAGCTCCCTGGCCGATATGCGGACTTGTGGGATGCGCAGCATCGCCCACCAACACGCACCGCGAAGAGTGCCACTGGTCCGCCGTCAACTCCTTCCGATCGAACAAGCCGTACTTGATCAGACGCTCCGCATCTGTCACAAGCTGCAAGACTGCGGGCTCGAATCCCGCCAGTTGAGCCCGCAGTTCGCCGCGCCGTGCCGCGAGGTCCTCCGCACCGGACAGCCTCCATGTTTCCGGCTGCTCATTCGCGTCCGGTAGTGTCACCGCCCAGGAGGTATGCGTCTTGGAGACCGGATACGCGATGACATGGATGCCCTCACCGTACCAGTTGCTCATCTGCCCTGCGCGGTCTTGCAGAGTCGCCGGGGTGGCCGAGATGCCCGCGGTCTGGGTCAAGCCCGTGAACATCGGAGGGCCCTCCTCGCTGTCGTGGCAGGTTCGGAGGATCTCCCCCCGCGAAGCAGCCTTGATGCCATCGCATCCCACGAGGAACGAGCCGGTCGCCGACTGCCCGTTGGTGAATCTGGCCGTGACGGACCCCTCCTGCTCCTTGATGCGGAGCAATTCCCACCCCTCGCGGACTTCGATTCCCTGATCCAGGAGCAGGTTCTTGAGGCGGAGATTCAGCTCAGAGCGTCGGATGCCGACCGCTGAAAAGCCGTAGCGCGTTTTGAATTCCGCGGCCAGGGTCGAAAACGCGAGGGCTTGGCCGTCGGGCGTGCCGTGCCAGAATCCGCGCAGCGGTTGAAAGTCCTGTTCGAGGGACTCAGTCATGCTTATGAGACCGAGGACCTTCATGCTGGGAGATTGTTAGTATGGTGTGAATTTTGATTAGAGAGGTAGCGTGGCTAACCCATTTGGCTGGATGAGGAGCGATGCGCCCGCGTCGCCGAGCACGCCGACCTTCTCGAACACTGTGAGGCCACGTGCTGAATGTTCCGAGTTCCCGCGGACCATCCGCGGAGCGTCCGCTGCTATTGCCCTTCTTCAAGTTATAGTTTGGATAAAATGCATTGGAGCAGGTACAAGCCAACTTAATTGTGATAGACGTAACTGCGCGACACATGACCCCAAGCATCGCCCAGCTATGCTCATGCCCTTTCCTCCTGACGGACGGACGACTTCTCCTCCTCGATATACATGCTGCCCAGCTTCTCGACCACCGTGGCGTGATCCAGCTGGTCCAGACCCACATCGCTACGCGCCTGCGCCAGCAGAATGGCATCCTGCTCGCCCGTCCGACTGTTAAACACCCGATCCATGTCCTCCAGTGTTGCGCCCTTGGTCTCGGGGAGGCAGAACCACACCCAGACAATGCCGGCGGCCAGGAAGACGGCGAAGAAGATATACGTGCCCCAGGCCCAGGCGGAGAGCATGGGCGGGACGAAGAACGCGACCGCAAAATTGTTGAGCTACCCTCTGGTCAGCATAAACCGTCTATCGATCAGAATGAGTGAAGAGGAGGAACGTACCCAGTTACTTGACGCTCCGAATGATGCCCCCTTGGCACGGATGGAGAGAGGAAAGATCTCCGAGACCAGAGTCCACGACGCCGGGCCCCAGGTCGCCCCGAACGCACCCACATACACCCAGATGAATGCCACCGCCGTCCAGCCCGCAGCCGGGTGGCCCGGCCAGTCGTGCCGGAACTTGGCGACAATCACTCCGGCAATAATCATGGCGATGAACATGACCGTGGACCCCAGCAGGAGCATGGGCTTGCGGCCAACGCGGTCGATGACCAGCATGGCGGGGATGGTGCAAACGAAGAAAACCACCCCCGTGACGCCAGTTGCCAGCAGCGCTGAGGTGCCGCTCGTCAGGCCCAGACTTTGAAAGACATTCGACGCGTAGTAAATGATGGCGTCGATTCCTGACCATTGCTGAAAGAACATGACGAGCCACGCCATGGCGACGCGTTTGAAATTGTCCCAGGTGCGCACGATGTTGTAGTACTGCGCGAACTCGCGCGCCAGGACGCTCTGCTTCTCGCGCTCGGCGAGATGCGGAAAGGTCCGCGCGAACGCCCGCTGCTCGAAGAGACACTCAGCCTTGATTTCCTTGTATTCGTGCTCCACCGCGGGGTGATCGGCGGGGAGCTTGCGGAGGTAGGACAGCGTTCGTCGGGCTTCATCATCGCGACCCTGCTTCACGAGCCAGCGCGGTGAGAATGGCAACCACCAGATGCCCAGAGCCAGGCATGCCGCAGGGATGCCCTGGATGATCGAGGGGAGACGCCAGGCCAGGTCGGATTGGTGTTCCCCCGTGCCCCCGATATTGTTGCTGCCGTAGCCGCACCAGAACGAGAGCATGATTCCGAGGATGGTAGCGAACTGGTAGAAGGAGACCATGAAGCCGCGGAGTTGGGGAGAGGACAATTCGGCGTTGTAGAGCGGTCTGTGGTCGAAATGGTTGCACGTTAGCTGGTGGGACAAGTTGTTTGATAGCAGAAATGACCACTCACCCGACACCACTGAAGGTCCCGACGCCCAGCCCCGTGAAGAAGCGGCCCGCATACAGCAGGGCGGGGTTGTGGTAGGTCGCACCGCAGTAGAGGTAGCTGCCCAGTACCACCCAGCAGCAGGCCGAGAACATGGTGTACTTGCGCGAGAAGACCTCGCCCAGGATTCCCGCCGAGAGCGAGCCCACAACGCCCCCCAGTTGCAGCACGGAGGTCAGCCACCCCGTGGCGCTGGACGAGGCGACCACCGTTGGGAAGTTGTCTTTAAAGCGGTACATGACGAGGGACTGGCCCAGGACACCCTGCTGGTAGCCATATTCGAATCCACCAAATCTAGGAGACCACGTGTCAGTGTCTTGCCATCTCGGAATCACTTAGATAGGGGTGGTGGTGGCTCACGAGGCAAAGAAGGCAATGGCCATGAGCTTAGGGTTGTTCCGGATGATGCTCCATCGCGTGTCTGGTATGGGATCCTCCCACTCCCCACGGCCTTCAATGTTCGACGAGCGCATGACCAGCGGCAAGTATGTTCACAGCGGATGCGACCGACCAGATTGATAAGAGGTAGCAAGAGCATCTGCGTCTGCGACTGCGGCAGTCACAGGGGTTTTATGCTTCGGGAACGGAAGCATCCCCCACAGTTGCGGTCTGGGGAAGCCGCACAGACAACCCCAGATCCAGCGATGAACATGACGCATGGACTTTACTGACCACGATGTGGTCAGGCCATTTTACGCGGGGGTAGAGTAAGCGTTTAAAGTTTCCCCTCCCTAAAACGCACGATTTGAGGGGTTGAATCTATTATGGAGCGGCTAGCCACGGCCTTCCCTTCTGACGGTCTTAGTGATTAGTCAATCTCCCCGTGGGGTGGCTGGTTTTTGCAGCTGGTAGTGCGGGGGTGGCATTTCTCTCCTGGGTCGTCTAGACGAGATGCCCCACTTGAGAGATCACAGGGTGACATCGCGGAGGGAGAAGGGAGAGGATGCTATATGATCTTGCACTTGCGCATGTGGCTTTCTGATGAGATGCTTGGTGGAAGCGTGCAGGATGGTGCCAATGATGAGGCACGATGATGTCTTGTGGTGTGGAAAGTGGTGGCTCTAACTGCTGTCGTCTAGGGCTACAAATGAGAGAACGGATGAGTTGGAGAAGCTCCAAGCGGGCGCGTAAAGTTTCCTACGGTTGTAACACGGGATCTAACCGGACTGGGGATAATAACCGCTTCTCTACCAGGCCTGGTTTTGCAGGGCACCGGACAAATTGGCAGATGATCAGCATTGAACAAGAACAAATAAGTGCAAGCCTTAACCCAAGCTCCTCTAGTACTGTAACCGACACTCCCAGTTCTCCGCCTCATCTGCATCCCCCTTGCCCGTGTACGCAGCTTTTTGCGGGTAGAAACACAATGGCCGCTGACGATACACTGCGTCCTGGGTCGTGTCATTCTGCCAGGTCGTGGCGATCAACGGCTCGGGCGACGTGCCGTTCTCTACCCAACTCATTAGGGCTAGCAGGATATCGTGCTGCGCATCCTGGTACTGAGGGACGCTGTGCAGACTCGACGAGAGTGTAGGAGCCTGGTTAGGGCCCGCAAAATACCAAGGGGCATGCATGCTATCCGGCGTGCCCGAGCAGTGTCTTCATAATCCATCAGTACTGAAGACTCATTCTCTTGATCGGATTCATATAAGGGGTGACTTACTGCATCCCAGGAACATAGAAAAACCGATAGAAAGAGTCCAGGTCGATTCCCTTAGGAACCAGCTCCTCGGTGACCTTGTTGTAGTAGTGGAGACTGCTATCCGTCGGGATCAACCCGTCCGCCATCCCGTGGTACATGAGCAACCTTCCGCCCTTCTGCTGAAAGGGCGAGATGTCGAAATCGTCTGCGGTCGCATTGCCGGGGTCCAGTCGATCCGCAAGCTGGATGATGCTGTAATCAAACTGGTCCTGCTGCCACTGCTTCCCCTTGCCGAGGAAGTACCGCACGTAATCAATTCCGAGACCATTCGCGGTCCCGTTGTTGACTAGCACGCTCCACTGCGCCTCACTGCCCGGCAGCAGATGGGGAAAGACAAAGGTCTGGTTTACGTCGACGTAGTCGCTGTAGATGAGGCGCAGGGTCTGAAGCTGCGCCGGACTCAGACACGCGGTGGTGTTGGTGCCTTGACAGAGGAGCGTCTCCAAGCGCAGATTGCACTGTTGTGGGGCGGACACAATCCCGTCGGACAGTCCGTCCTGGGCATCACACTGCTTGATAATCTCAGCCCCGATCACGCTGAATAGGCTCGCCGGGATTTGAGTGGCGGGGTCGGCGTTGTAGGTCCCAATCTTCACGGTCCAGGGCTGCAGGTGCGACGTCCACCACGCGGGAGAGCCGGCGATGACGCCGTCGAAGTCGTCGGGGTATAATTCTACGGACCGCAGTCCCTGTCTTCCACCGGTCGAGCAACCGCTGTAGTAGTTGTACTTCAGGGCATCGCCGTAGAACTGCTCCGTCAGTTCTTTGGCCAGGACCACCGACCCATGCATGGCGCGGTAGCCCCAGTCGATCAGCCGTTCGGGTTCGTGGTACGCCCACCGGCCGTCTGAGGAGATGCTGTTGTGTCCTGTGTCGGTGGACATGGTAGCGAATCCATACCGCGCGCCGACACCCTGCTTCAGTCAGCCTTTGTCGAGAGCTCTGAGGGTATAAACATAACCGACCATATCGACTCAGTTGATGCCGCCCGCAAATCCTCCATTGCCGACCGCCCTGTTTTTGATTCTTGTGAGCAACAACCCGAGGAATTGGTTTGCCTGAAACCTACAAGAATCTGTCATTCCACTCGGTAGGCAAGAAGAGTCCAAATGTATACGCTGAAGTAGCACTTGAGGTCACATTAATCTGCACGACACAGAGCTCGGGTAACTCGGTCGGCGACTGCGGATACGCGATGTCACTGACCGGGACCTCAAAGATGTCGCCTTTGGCGAGGTGGAACGCCTGCAAGACCGTGGCATTTTCGTGACCAGCAGAGGATAGGTATTTCGAGAATGGCTCGGGTGTACAGGCCAATTTGCTCTCAGCCAGGCCAAATAACGCGCCGGTCAGAGCCAGGTGGGAGAGATAACGAAAGGGGCCCATTGTGAGTATGCTGCCCGTGCTTTTGTGGAGGAATTCCATTCCGTATGCGGGCTTGAAGAAGCGCTTTTGTGTTTCTCATGTCTCTGAATCCTTTGCGGACCCAGTGGAGCATCAATGGTATCGGCTTGCCCTCGTCCAGCGGCTACGAGTCTGACAAATGAGCATCCCCACTTTGACCCCTGAGGGCCCTGTCCCTCTCTTCACAATGGTCGCATTTTGCGGGGATGTGGGGCACTGGCTGCTAAGCGTTGATATCGTGGTGAGTAGATTAATGACTCTAAGCCGATTTGGAGAATCGCCAGTGAAGGTAGAAGCGTCAACTGCCGTCCTTAAATGCCATCGGAAAATTTCATGCCGTCAATCATCGGGGAATGGCACTCGCAACCCCCGGTTTCACATTATTCAACATTGACACGGATCGCGGTAGTGTCAGCTGCCTAGTCCACCTGGACTCATTGGGTGGAAACTTCTCGGATTAGCCTGGGTGTCGAAGGGAAGTAAACCATGGCTTATGAAAGATAATAGACAGCACGGCCAGGGGCCTGGCCAATGTAGGGCTTCGCGGCAGATTTCAACCTGCGCGGCAGTCGATTGAAGCCGATTTCGGACCTTATCATATCAGCAGCGGGGCTGAGGGCTCGAGCACCAGATTCTCCATTACATAATAACGGTGAAGAGCGATATCTGTGCGCGGTAGTAATGAATTGTGAGATCTCTATGAAATTGCGTCCTACCAACACAGTTGTGGATGTACCGTCGCAGCCCGGACGGCTACAGGACTCTAGTTATCCAATCCGAGGCGTCCTAGCGACTTCCACGACAAGGCTCCCTGCATCTCTAGATCGATGTGTATTATAAAGTAACAAGCATGTTGATCCGCACTTGGATTGGGCGGAAGAAAGCAAATGCCCGATCAAATGCGTGCTCGGGGTATTGACTAGGGTCCGCTCGGACCGATAGGGGGGAGATCTCCCCGCCCCGTCGGGCCCGCAGCCCTATATTATGTTCGTGCCAGCCGATGCATCTGGTCATGACTTCCGATTTGATTTTATTTGGTTGTTCTGCTCTCTCATCCGGTTCATGTGGGAATGGCAGCCACCACGGTCCTACTAAGTCCGCGCTCTGGACCAACACGATAGGCCGACTAACCAATGACCAAGAACCTCACCATCGTGTGAAGAAGGCAGTGGTCGTGACCTGGCACTCAGTCCGTCTCACCTACAGCAAACCCAAGCATGTAGCTCCGAGAGCTGCAACGAGTGGCGGTCATGGGTATCACCCGCAATACAACGCCAGGCCGGCACGATGGACCAGGGAATCTTGAGATCAATTTTTGGCGTAAATGCGGGGCCAGAAGGAAACCCTGTTGGTTGCACACCGGTGTAGCCTCCAGGTTGAGCTGGTCCCAGAGTTGCTGGCACGACTCCGTACGCAAATTGGCATCAATCAAGTGCTGGTCGCGTATGGAATCACTGAGACAGTTTCCATCACTTCGGTCACATTTGTGACGGGCCTGAATGACTCCGGAGCAGAGTCATCCCCATACCGCGGCCAAGGTGATTGACCCATCGCCGGGGTGCGCGGGCAGCACGGCGAGCTCTGCACTAGTGGCTTCAATAAGACAAAACAAAGGACTCCTGGTCATGCGCCGGGACGCTGATGGTGTACTGTACTCTGGCTGCATACCAGGGACACGGCGGTGCTGGATGACGCGGGGTATGCGGTCATCCCCACTCGTATTAGGAATCTGATCATCCGAGGTATGTACAGTACATGCAGTACACTGACCATGTTCTAGAAGTTCCCCTCGGCGTGAAACAAGGCTTGAGGCTGATACTCTGCACTAGATGTAGCGCTATGGGGAAGTGGTGGGGTACAACTCTGTCGACTGTCTCTATGCAGTAAGCAGATTACTGTAGACTGGGGTTAATTGCGTCATTGAACTGGTAAATGGTCCGAACAGTCAGGCTGACTGCGACCGTGTAAACCCATTTCCTCGGTCATTTCTGTTGGTCCGAAACTGCTGCTTCAGATTGGATCGAGAGGTGTAGCTTACGCTTGGCACGGTATTCTCTCTGTATCAATACCTTATGCCGCAAGGAGTCGGACGGAGTTGGAACTTGGAACTTGGAATGTGCCTCGGAGTCAGACGAACGGAGTCCTTACAGGGCATCGCCCTCCAAACCCTCACCCCACCCTCGGTCCTTCCTTCAACCTCGGTTCACACCTCCGGTGCATCCTATCTATATACCTTACCAGCAACGGCTATGCATCAAATCCATCCAGCTTGAGATCTCGACCACTCACGACTCGATGAAACTCCTCTCAAAATGCCACCCACCTCTCCCACCGTGAGAATCGTCGAGGTCGGACCCCGCGATGGACTCCAGAACATCGCCACCCACATCCCCACCTCCACCAAGCTGGACCTAATCTGGCGCCTGCACCACGCCGGATTGCAGAGCATAGAACTAACATCGGTCGTCTCGCCCCGGAAGATCCCCCAGTTGGCCGACTGTCGCGACCTCCTGCAGCATTCCTTGATTCGAAGCTTGGCGAGCGATCCGCACCTGCGACTGCCGGTCTTGGTCCCAAATCTCAGGGGATTAGAGATTGCGCGTTCGCTGGACGTCAAAGAGGTTGCCGCGTTCATCAGCGCAACGGAGGGGTTCAGTCGCGCCAACATCAACTGTACTGTCGGGCAGGGGATCGAGAGAGCAAGGGAGGTCGCATCCCACGCCATCGCTGCGGGTCTGGCAGTGAGAGGGTAAGCGGCGCTTGCTGAGAATAAGTTTTTCCAGCATGGCACTGACTGGAGGTCCAGCTACGTATCCTGTATCTTCTCCGATCCCTTCGATGGTCCGACCTCTCCGGCGACTGTGCTCCGATGCGTTCGTGCCCTGCTCGACGCGGGCTGCTACGAGGTCAGCCTGGGCGACACGCTAGGCGTAGGCTCGCCCGCAACGGTCCGCAGTCTGATCCGGTACCTGACAGACGCGGGTGTTCCGGTCAGCCGTCTGGCCGGCCATTTCCATGACACGTACGGTCGCGGAGTCGCCAATGTCTGGGAGGCGTATACGTGCGGCGTGCGCGTGTTCGACAGCAGTGTCGCGGGACTCGGGGGCTGTCCTTTCGCTCCGGGTGCCAAGGGGAATGTCGCGACGGAGGATGTCGCATACATGTTTCACAATGCCGGTGTTGAGACGGGAATTGATCTTGCTAGATTAGTGGACACGGGGGTTTGGATCTCAAAACAACTCGCAGACCTGGACTCGGCCCAGAGTGCTATTGCCGCGGCTGGAAAGGTCAACGAGGTTGCACCTCGGACCAAGCCGCAGAGACTGCACAACCATCTCCGACATTACGATGGGCATTGGCCGTCCATGCGGATGGAACTCAACTGCATTGGAGCTGGATCGAACTGAGACACGCTGAGCTGCGCGTGAGATGATACGAAGTGAAGTGGTCCTTTAATGCCCAAGCATCAGTGAGACTTGTCTATGTCCATGCAGGTAGGAACGAACAGCGCGAGTCAAATGAGCTCCTCTCAGAAACATGCAGCCCAGCAATCATGGCGCCTACGGGATGTCGGAGTCCTGGTTTGAAGTACTGGTCAAGTGGGACACCCGCCTTACATAGCACTTATACGTTCCACACGCTGGCTTGTACGGTGACTTGCTCGGCTACAGCATGGCCAGTATTTATGTATATACTATCCAAGTGGAGCCACGGTGGTTTTCACGACTGGAGAATTGTACATACACCTCGCGATAGATGAGATAGAATCCATCTTCTTCATACTGAAGTGTATAACAAGCACGCATTATCGCTTCACTTACATGGCCGGGACTACTCTGCAACTGCCTTCTCAACCATAACAAGGCCAGTACCAAACCCAAGTCGCAACTCTAATTCTTAATAAACCGCCCGGTAAACTGCCGAATGCGCTTGCCCCAGATGAACACCGGCACGCCCAACAACCCCAATCCCCCCGTCAACCCCGCAAACGTCCCAAACGTCCCATCGTAGCCATTCCGCTCAATGAACGGTGCAACTCCATAGCTCGTGCCAAAGGAGATGATCCCCCGGAATGCACAAATAATAACCAGCAGGGGGCCCGCACGGGTCGGGTAACTATCCAGCAGATAGGTGATGGCCACGATGTTGGCCCCGACAAAGCAGAAGTAGTACGCGGCGACGGTCCACGCGTAGACGAACCAGTGATACTCGTACGGGTGGGCGGCGCCTTGGCCGTAGAACACAGCGGTGAGCACCCCGACGATGATGGGGAGGATCAACGGGATGATGCGCGTCTCAGGCTCATGGAGGCCCCCGTTACGCTGGGCGAAGTACAGGGTCAGCCAGTCTGAGCCGTGGCCCAGCAGTGGGAGGGCAATCAGCGCCACGATGATCTGTCCGCAGTTGACGTAGCTGGCGCTGCTGTCGGGCCAGTTGTACGGGGCTGCCGAGAGGATGGTGCTGTATGTCGTGCCGATGGCGACGTTGACGCCGATGGTGAGGCCGTTAAGGAGAAGAGCCCAGAGGACGTTGGGGAAGAGGAGGAGAGAGAATGTTTGCTATGCACCATTGTTAGGGCAACTCACCATGTGTGAATGAATGCATCCTTACCCGGAAGACTTCCAGAACCTTTGGCCAGTCTGGACTGCCAACCCACAGTCGGAGATCGGACTTCCACGTTCGGGGTGCGTAGGTCTCAAAGTCCATCGCTGGACGCTCGGTGCAGGTTTCTGTGGTTTGATTTCCCACCTTGACATCCTCAGATGTTCCCTCGCCCAGGTAGGAGCTGGCCGACCGTTCATACTTGGTTTCAGGAAGGAAGCAGAAAGCCAGCACGAGGAGCACGCCGGCCAAGGCAGCGCCCAGCCCGTACCACCATTGCGGTGTGATTGCCTCTGCGATGGGGGAGGCACACAACACCCACACGGAGGTAAGGGTCACCTGGATGGCCATCTGGCCCATGAGGGCCTTGCTCCGCTCGTGCAGAAAGAAAATCTCCTATCCGACCCATTGTGCTCTCATGTCAGCAAAGTGCTCAGACTCGACGATGGTAGGATCTGACCTGCGTAATCATGGGAACTAGGGCTTCACTCTGCCCAGCTGCAAGGCCCACCACCATCCGCGAGGATAAGTGCCACTCGAAGTCTTTGGCCGTGGCACAGAGAACTGCTCCGATGACGAGGATGACAGTCGATCCTAGGAGGACGACGCGTCGACCCACGCCTATTGCCAGGGGCATTCCGATGAGATTGCCAATGCCCCTGTGCAGCATCCCGTGTTAGCGGTCCTCTTCATAATTATAATGGAGATGCAATGCTTCACTTGCATGAACAGGGTAGGATATGTCATGAGATGGGTGATATCATCGTATCCTTTGCCGACAGCGCTGTACTCGAGGATGTAGAACCCCAATAGACCGCCAAACCCAGACACAAGGGCCAGTCCTAGCGTTGAGACTAGAGGATATCAGCAGACAATCAACGGACCTCATGAGGCCGGACTCACAGATTGAGATCACCACTAGTATCACCATCTTCTGCCATTTTGGCATATTGAGAGGATCTATCCTGGTCAGCCCTTTCACATCGCATCATGGTGACAGTAGGGGGTGGCTACCTTGAGGATCCGCGGTGGGAGTGGGAATGTACACAATCGAGCCCTCGGTGAGCTTAACAGTTCCCGTCACCGCATCGGGCTTGTCGCCCATCTGGCCTTCTTCAATATCCTCGACGTGGCTGCTGCACGATTTGTCGGTGGTCTTGGCTGCTGCCATGCCGGCCGGTTGCTGAGAGGGTGGAATTATAGACGGTGAGATGATAGTATGATTTTGTGAGCGTCAATGAGATGTCCCCTCCCCTCACTTTTTTCTGTCGTTATATACCATTTTTCCCGTGTGCAGTGGTATAGACAGTAGCTTAGGCAACTCCAGACGACAGCTGGCTTGGCTCTGCGGGGATGCTACCCCGGACTCGGGACCTCATCGATGTGTAGGAGCTCGGCAGTTCTGTATGCATCGTTTCGGGAGGCACCGAGGTTGGGGGTGACGACCTTCGGGGGAACTTTGTGGCGGGCCTGTCAGCTCTCGTTCGAGAGCGCCAGTAAGGTTTCGGAGAGTCCATGAGCACGAAGGGGGCAATTTCCATAAGACGTGCACACGCATTCATCGATATCACCATGACCTCAAAGTTTAGTCGTGAGCAGGTTTGAGGAGGGGACTCGAAGAATGTCGCATGCATACAGATGACACCCAAGGGCTACAAGATGTTCGTTACTCGGACGTGATAATGTTCAACATAACTTCAATCGCATTCTGGTATTGCGTAAATGTACTCTAAGACTTCGACCATTACGATCTAATATTCCTTGACACCAGCTAATTTCAGCACCTGCTCCGTGATAATCGGCTTCTCGAATGGCTCAGTGCGGTCTTTGAGGCACACCTGGCCATCTCGCATGGGCTTCTCGGCTGCGGGTCGGATATTGCTATCACACTGTCAGTCCCCATATCAGATTGAGAGCACATTGAAACCTACCAGTGTGGCCAGTGGGTGGTACCAACGAAATTCTCAAAGCAAAATTTCTTCAGCTCCAGCGCCCGCGGGGTGGCGAATCGCCGCGGCGTCATGCAGATGTACTGCACGTGTCGGATCTGGTCGCCTTCCGGCAGGCAGGCGTAGTGCATAGTGCGCGAATCCCAAAGAACAAAGTCCCCGGGCTCCATGTTGACCTTGATCATTTCGCAGCCGCGCTCCTTGAACCACTCGAGGTCGCGGTCGTGGAAGAGAAACAGGTCCATATACTTCAGCTCCGGGGGAGGGGCATCCTCGTGGTCGTACTGGTCGCGCTTCTGCGCAAAGAACTCGTCAAAGAGCTTGGCGGAGCCCTTCATCAGCATCAGACCTCCGTCCTTGGGGCCGTTCGGGGCAAAGTTGAGCAGGCCTTGGACGGCTTGCATTCTGCGGGGAGGTTAGTTTGCGGGGTGTGGGAAGGCGAATGTGCAGGAACTTGGAAGCAGGTGGACTGACCCTTTTCGGTCGGGGTTCTGGTCACAATGCGGCCACGGGCTCCAGTTGAGATCCTTGCGGCGGGGTAAGGAGATGTTCATGCCGTCGAAGGAGCAGAGCAGCTCCTTCGTCTCCCACAAGTCCTCAAAGATCTTGACCACCGCCGGCTCGGTGCGGGCTTCCCATGCCATCTTTTCGTGGGTGGCGGCGTACGCATAGTACATCCTGTGCCAGGGCTTCTTAGGACGCATACTCATTTACACAAGACGGAGACAAAGACTTACCCTCCCTTGAAGCTGATCGGGAGATGATCGGTGGTCCAGGTGCTCTCGTCCTTCTCGTCAAATCCCAGGTCGAACTTTTTTAGCCACTCGATCTGCTTGTCACAGTAATACTTGGCCCGCTCCGGACTGATAACATTCTTTATCACGGCACAGCCATTTTGGTGGAACTCATCGCGCCAGTCACCGTAGGAGCGGCCGGAGAAATCGACCAAGTCTCTGATGGTGAAGGACTCGTTGGTCTGAGCGGCAATCTCTTGGATCTCGGTGACAGTGGTAGACATGATTGACTTTCTTGTTGAATTATGCTCGGAAAGGTGGACTTGGTTTGAAGTTGCTGCTTTGGTGCTTGAAACGAGAAGCCAGAAGATGAACACTTAAGTAAACGCGCCGAGACTCAGCATCTCGTATGCCCCGAGGCTCTCCGCGGACTTGCACTGTCTCGGTGGTCTCGGGGCTGCCTCGGGGCACGCCTTGGGTGTATCCTCGGCCGGGGGACATACATTGGCCGCTGAAGGCGCGGGCGCTTGGCCTCCGAACATCCCTGAAGCTTGGCCGAGCAACCTCGGGGGTCTGTGCCAAGGAGGGAGGTAATGCGGGGGTACGTACGATGGGGGATGATCCGCAACACCTCCCCGATCTTTCAACGTGATATATATACGAGACCATGATTGACCAAGCTCATCGCTCCATCCGCTCGTACGTCACTCCCACAAGAACAGCACAGCCTGAACCGCTCGTTTACAATGCCACCTCCCGTCCAATCCGCCTACAAACGCATCAAGCAGCCCCAAGATGGGGAGAATGGCTATATCAGCCCACAACCCGGCAAGACCGAGATCCTCCCCACCGGTTGGAACGGGTTCAACGCAAAGCCTTTGAAAAGCCCGATCCGGGTTGACCATGATGTCGAAATCGTGGTGCGCGATGGCTGTCGTTTGTACGCGGACATCTACCGTCCAGCCGACACCACGGAGCCAGTCCCAGCCATCTTGAGCTGGTCGTTCTACGGCAAGAAATACAGTGCACTCGACATGCTGCCTATGTGCACGTGGAATTGCTGCGTGCCTCGATCGGACCTCAGTGGTCTCGAGAAGTTCGAGGGCCTTGATCCACAGACCTGGTGTCCGCGCGGCTATGCCATAGTCAGCGTCGACACGCGGGGAGCGGGCAACAGCGACGGCATGATCTGCGTGATGGGCTCCCAGGATGCGGAAGATGGGTACGATGTAGTGGAGGCCCTAGCCAAGATGGACTGGTGCAACGGTTCCATTGGCATGGCGGGCAATTCAGCTCTGGCTATCTCGCAATGGTTTATCGCGGCTCAGCAGCCCCCATCTCTCAAAGCGATCGCCCCATGGGAAGGCTCCGGCGACATCTTCCGTGAGCAGTTCTGCCGGGGCGGCTGGTTCTCCATGAGCAACTTCGACCTCATCACCGGTGCGATCGTGCGGGGGCACGAGAATTCTGGAATCGAGGACTTCGAGGAGATGTACCGGCGCTGCTCTACATCGAGTCCGTTCTGGGAGGACAAGCGGGCAGACCTGACCCGCGTTCAGTGTCCAGTCTACATCCGAGGCTCGGACGTGAGTTCCATCCACACGATGGGTTCCGTGCGCGCATGGCTCGAGCTGCCGCACGACCAGAAATGGATCCGATGGGGCAGCAAGCAAGAGTGGTACGAGCTGTACAGCTCCCCCAACTCTCTGGACGAGCTCTTCCAGTATTTTGATCGCTACCTCAAAGGCATCCCCAATGATTGGGAGAAGACGCCCAAAGTGCGATGGTCTGCTCTGCAGTTCGGCGACCGCGAGGCCATTGACGATATCGAGCTTCCGGATTTCCCCGTCCCATCCACCGAGTATCGCGAGTTTTTCCTGTCCGAAAACCGACTAAGCGCCGCCCCAGTGACGCAGTACGAGAAGCTCTCGTATGACTCCGATCAGGTCAACAGCCTCCTTGCCTTCACCCATACCTTCGATCAGCCCGCTCGGTTGATCGGCCTTCCAAAAGCTATCCTGTATATGTCCTGCGAGGACCGCGACGATTTCACCGTGTTCGTCATCCTCCGCAAGCTCGACCGCAAGGGTAAACCACTGATGCACCTCAACTTTCCCATCCACGCGACCCCGGTGCAGTCGATCGAGGAGATTCCGACCAAGGATCAGGCAAGCCTCAATCTGCACCTCGGATCGACAGGCATTCTTCGAGCTTCGCATCGCGCATTTGATCCAGCCAAGAGTATCCATTCGCAATTTCCGTTCCACCCCCATAACAAGCAGGACAAGGTTCCGCCGGGCGAGATTGTCAGGTTGGAGATCGGGATCTGGGCCATGGGGGTTGATTTCGATGCGGGAGAGTCGGTCAGCATTCAGGTAGGTGATTCTGATTGCTCCAGTTGAAGGACAGAGCTAACATCGGAGCAGGTGTCGGGGCAATATCCCAGCATTGCCGAGTACAAGACGTGGTCGAAGCCGCGGCCCGAGGAGGAGTTGAATCGCGGCAAGCATTATGTGCATTGCGGGGGCGACTATCCCAGCTCGGTGATTCTGCCTTTTATTTGAGGGGAGGGAAGGTCTTCGTGTGAGGAACAAGTAGTTGAGCATGAGCAGGAGCAGGAGCAGGAGCATGAGTATAGAACATAGTGAACGCAATGGATTGTTTCAACCTGCCGGGGCCGGGTTGTATGATGAAACTGCTGGCAGAATGTTGTAGACGCTCCGAGTGTTCGAGTGTTGGAGTGTTGGAGTCGCTGACCTGTCAAGTTGAACCTTTTGTTTGTTTGTTTGCTGGTTTTTTCATGTTTGCATGTTTGCATGTTTGCTCGGTGTCGCGCTGGCATCATGTGATTGATTTTTGATCGTCTGTATGCCTGAGGCCACAATCCCGCTTCCTCACTCTACCTCATTAGTGCAGTGGAAGACGACCCTAGAATGACTCTAAACATACTGAAGAGAGTCTTGACTAAGTGTCTCAGGCCACCCTTCATGTTGATTCTCAGTACTCACTATCTAAGTTGTAATCACCATCGATCACGACCGTGACGAGCGTTACACCCGCGCGTTGGCGAGTACCCTCTCGGCATGTGCCGGATCTCTCAATGATGCCCTTATCGGATCGAAGCTTCTTTCTATTTGTATTTTCAACAGTGTGTACATCGGGCGTGACAGCTCTGCTTGAGTAAAATCATCCCGGAAAGTCTTTATCAAGCAGTGGCTGACCGTGCACCAAGGCAGCGGGTGCCCCGGACCAAAATATATCTCTCCACGAGAGCCAGTAGATTGAGCAGCTATGTCAAAGTGGGACAGAGAATGGAAGAATCCAAGAGTATAGAAACACGCAGATATGGAACAGCGAGATAGAGCTTGTTCAAGAGGCCTTGACAAATGCATGCCAGTAACCTTAATATCTTGATCCATTGAGGTGACCCAGATGTATGGATTGGCTCTCGATGTCGGACTGATAAGACCCTTATCAGCTTATCAGCTCTTTGCCCATCCGGCCTTCTCCGACCGTTTGGACGCTTTGCACTGGCAGTACTGGCACCTCAAGGTCCCCACGCAACGGAACCCGACATCGGGTTCGGTTTCTCCAACTCCTCCAACTGCTCCAAAAAGCACCCAGCCAGCCCCACGCTGCGATAGTGAAGCTATTGGCCGATTGTTTGGTTGATCTTAGATAACCGCCAAGCGAGATTGAACTGCCAAGCTGGATAGACTCAAGAAGGAAGCATGCACTTAGATAATTGCCAAGATAGACTCAAAAATGATAACCTGCGATGATGCCAAGATGAACAGCAGAGGCAAGTATAAAATGCATGCAAGTCTCGCTGATAACCTGCTTTCTTCATAACGATCATCTACATTCCACAAGAATCATGGCCATCAAGTCTGTTGTGCTCTCCGCGTTGGCGACCCTGGCGTCGGCTTCGCCTCTCCTCCATGCTCGTGACAGCAACAGCACGACATATGTCTTCACCAACTCCAATGGCTTGAATTTCACTCAGATCAACGCTTCCTTGCCCAATGTGACCATCTTCGCTACGGGTAAGCCACATTCTTCTGTCTCATATCCTACGATATCTAACAACGCTGCAGGAGGAACCATCGCCGGCTCTGACTCGAGCTCGACCGCCACCACCGGATACACCTCTGGGGCTGTGGGCGTGTTGACCCTCATTGACGCCGTACCATCCATGCTCGACGTGGCCAACGTGGCTGGCGTGCAGGTTGCCAACGTTGGCAGCGAGGACATCACCTCAGATATTCTGATCTCCCTGTCGAAGGACATCACCCGGATGGTGTGCGACGACCCGACCATGGCGGGTGCGGTAATCACCCACGGCACCGACACGCTGGAGGAGTCGGCCTTCTTTATGGACGCGACGGTCAACTGCGGCAAGCCCGTGGTTATCGTTGGAGCCATGCGTCCCTCGACGGCCATCTCGGCCGATGGACCCTTCAACCTGCTCGAGGCTGTCACGGTGGCCGCCTCCCCCAAATCCCGTGACCGCGGCGCCATGGTTGTGATGAACGACCGCATCGCCTCCGCGTACTATGTCACCAAGACCAACGCCAACACCATGGACACCTTCAAGGCCATGGAGATGGGCTTCCTGGGCGAGATGATCTCCAACAACCCCTTCTTCTTCTACCCGCCCGTCACCCCCACCGGCAAGGTGCCCTTTGACATTGCCGAAGTCACTGAGATCCCCCGCGTGGACATTCTCTTCTCCTATGAGGATATGCACAACGATACGCTGTACAATGCCGTCGAGAGTGGTGCCAAGGGTATTGTGATTGCCGGTGCCGGAGCGGGAGGCGTCACCACCTCCTTCAACGCCGCCATTGAGGATGTCATAAACCGACTGGAGATCCCCGTGGTGCAGAGCATGCGCACGGTGAACGGCGAGGTCCCGCTGTCGGATGTCAGCAGCGACACCGCCACGCATATCGCCAGTGGGTACTTGAACCCTCAGAAGTCGCGCGTCTTGTTGGGCCTCTTGCTGGCCGAGGGCAAGAACCTGACCGAGATTGCGGATGTGTTTGCCTTGGGCACGAACGCTTAGACTGGTGTTGAATGATGATGATGAGATGGCCTCGCTGGAGACGAGTTCAATGACTGTATATAATCTTATGATAGACTCAAATTAGTGCCCATGGTCACTACCTCAATGCCTGTTCAACCTCTGGCAGCAATTAATCCTCCTCCTCACTGGTATCGTGCCCGCGCATTAAATCCGTATCAAGCTCCATTTCCCCGATATCGTCCGCTTCCTCCAGCGCATCAAAGTCTAGCAAACAGTCATCATCGTCTCGGAACGCGTTATGGAACGTATCTGTCACCTCCGCGCTCGTGGCCAGAACCTTGACCTGACACGCGACTGACTTTTCGCGAGATAACCCCAATAGCGTTTTCAGCACGCGAAGCATGTCTCGTTCGTGCTCGTCTGTCTCATACCATCCGATCTCATCCACGATGACGATGACTTTGATTTCCTTCGGGAGTTTGCGAACCAGCCAGGCGAACAGCTTGCACAGCCCGTCGGTGCTGAGGTTCCGTGGGTCGTGGAGGTAGGTTTCGCTTTCTTGCAGGGTGTCCTGGTCGAAAGTATGCTGCCGCAACAGCTGGGCGAGAAAGGCTTTGGTTACCCCTCTTCCAACTGCGGTGTTGCCGTGCTGATCGGCTTCGTGAAGGGAGCAGAACCAGGTTAGGCGCAGGTGTCCTGGTTGACTTTCCAGCACTGCGTAGATCAAGGCGGATAGGAGAGAGACAGCGGAGACCTCGTAGCCCTCGGACTCGGCGTCTCCCTCGATGAGAAGCTCGCGAGATGCGGGGTATGTCAGCCATCGCCGGAATTCACCCGTTGTAAGAGCTGACTCTGCGCGTCGTCGCGAGGCGGGTGCAATGCGCGCGCGATGAGATAGGATGTGGGCCACGTCTTCGGTTTCGGAGGCGGTCACATAGAGCATAGCCAGGAGGTCGGCCACGGTGACTGTTAGAGGGGGTGGTTCAGGAGTGGCTGGTGAAGAAGGAGCCATGGGCTGCGGGGCTGGCAACCAGGTGCCAGGGGGGAATTGAGGCACTGCGAGGAAGTTAGGATAGAAGGGCACTTGGGTGGTTGGCGGCATCCACGGCGAACAGGCAACGGGTTGTGCCAGAGACTGGGGACTTGGGGTGTTGCGCTTCCTCAATTCATCTGGAGATATCTTGGTTAACGGTACTGTACCCGTCGCACTGTTGACTAAATTAACCTACCCCAAAGGTGCTCGAGGAGATGGTTCGTCTCGTCAGACTGTCTTCTTGCCATCTCTTCTCTCCGTCTCTCCCGCTCCTCCCTCTTCCTCTCTCTCTCCTCCCATTGCTTCTCTCGTTCCTCTGCCACCTGAAACAGCCCGTTCAAATGATTGAGCATCCGGGTCATCTGCTGGTCTGCCAGGCGCTGGCGGTCTTTCTTCGCCTCGTCCAACTTGTCCGAATTAGCGAGAGTGACTGCTGCCGTGACCTCCTTACCCCGGATCAAGTCCTCCAGCGCCACGCGCGTACTGTGCATCTCTGCCTTACGCGCCTGATTTGCCAGCTTAGAGCTGTGCTTCTGGATCACATCAATGCTGCCCAGGAGCTTGTCCTGGTACTCACTGCCCTGCGCTAGACTGCGCCAGGTACGCGAGACTAAAGATATGTGAAGGTTAGTGATCGAGTAGTCTAGTCAACCTGGATATCCATAGAAACTCATACACTCGTGGCTTAAGAAGAACGCGATAGCATTCTCGATCGCCTGGAATATTGCGACCACTAAGACGATCGACGTCTTCCGGATCTTTCTGTCTCTAGGAAACGTCGCCATGAAGAACTCGATACTCTCAAAGTCGTCTTCCAACGCCTCAGGCTCGAACGCCGTAGTCACCTTCTCGCGCACTTTAGAAGCCATTGCTGCTGCCTGTACGCAATCAGTGTCTGAACCAACCACAAGACGGGACTACTTACATCCAGCAGGATGTCGATGGTGGCAATGAACGGGGAAATATATTCCACTTGAGCGAGTAGCTTGCTCACCATCTTCGCTTGCTCCGTGTGATTCGCCGCTTTGCGATAGACCTTTTTGAACAACGCCTTCGCAGTGGTCCGCTTCGGCACCTCATAATGGCTCTGTGCCTTGTCAAGTTGGCTTCGCACTCCCTCCCAGTCGGATTGGCTGCGGATACTACACCCTTTGGTGATCAAGGACCCAGCCTCGGGTTGCTTCTTCTTCAACTCGTCCATACAGTCCGGAAAGATGTCCGACCAGAATCTCATCGCGTCGACTTGCGGGAGAGCCGGTCGCGGCGGGATGATGTTGTCCTCGATCGGACTAGTGGAGATGGCGGTTGGGGAGACATACTGTCCCTCGTTACAGTCATACCTGATGCCGGGATGGTCGAAGACCGGGTTGATTTGGGGCAGGTGGTGGTCGATGAAGTCCACCGAGGCGGTTCGGGTGGGGGTTTGGCCTGGTGCACCCATGGCTAGACCCCAAAGACCTTGTAGCTGGCTTGCGCTCTCCAGACAGGGTCTCGTCTCTCGGTTTTCGAGTGATAATTATGGTGAGAATTATGTCAGACTTCTGCGGACAGATTGGAATGTGCTTGAAATTAAGTTGCGGCGGGAGGTAGTGGGAGGCTCGCTCGCAGCGGGGGACATCTTTAGCCCCAGCCTTCGTTCCAAGCAGCTGTCAAGACGGGCCACCGGCCAATGAATGAACCTAACCTTGACTCTTGGGCTGGGTATTTTAGACAAAGGCAGGCGGGGATTATGTTCCCAAAGCAAACTGGGCTCACTTTTGAGTAACCGATGCCGCCAGGTGACTGGAGATACACCCCCGCGGAATTGCAGGATCAGAAGATGCGGAATGAATACGGGCTGGAGGGGCTCAGGTGGCAGCGTGGGAAACAGTGATTGGCGTGACAATTGTTCCAAGATGTGTGAATGGCGTGTAAATTGGCCAACCTGCATTAGCGTGTCTGGCAAGTTGAGTGCAGTGCATCCAGCCTTGCCCTAGTTGGCCCCGCCCATTCCCATTCACCACCGAAAGAACCCATCTGCACGGACAGCATCACACTAACCGGCAGGCAGATGAGATGCCAGAGAACTGAAATGATTTGGTATCGACTCGGGCTGTTGTGGTCCCGCTGATTAATTCTCTTTTGTCAAAACGTGGTTGTCATCTGGACATGTGGATATTGGTGGATGCGGCTGTGAGGAATAGCCTCGTAAGCACTAGAGGCCAAACGGGAAGCACAAAGATGGGGGCGATTGCGCTCAGTCCGCTTGCTCGCTAACCCTCACCTTATCCTCTGCACTGCGTCTTCAATTTAAACTACCCATGCTCCCATCTAGCCGCAACCACTGGTTCTTCCAAATTATTTTTGCCAGCATCCCCCACTAATAGCGGACTGAGACAGCCACGTCAGCCGCTCCAGTTGCATCATGGCGGTCGTCGAAAGCCCAAGCGGAGTGGATCTGCTACAGCGCTGTGCAAGTCCCACTGCAGCACTCGACTCAATTGATGGCAGTGGAGGCAGCCATACAGCGACCAGCGATGTGTCTTCCGGGAGCTCGAATGTGTCGCCACATGGCGAACCTTGTATAGACGCCTCGCAGGCAGTATCAGCGAAGCATGAAGGAGAACCCACAATCCAGGTTGCCGACCTGCACCAGCAGATACAAATGATACAAGAGCAGTTGGAGAACGAGCGGGTGCAACGGAAGATGATGGCGGAGCGAGCGATGGGACCAAGTAGTGGGATGGGTGGTGCTTCGTGGAGTCGACCTTGGCTGTACGAGTGGGACATGTTCCGACCAGAGACCTACTCCGACCAGAGCAGCAAATCCTACTACATGAGCCGAGTAACCGATCCTATCGTCACCGACATGGCCCAGGTGCATGAGCGCAAGCGGATTATGATGGGGGTGGTCGAAGCGGAGCTCAAATGGCTCAAGAACGAGGACGACGCCTACAATACCATGGTGAAGGAGAAGGAGGACCTCAAGACGGAGAACACCCAGTTGACGGATCGGTTGACCTTGATGGAAGCCCAAGTGCGCCAGTGGGATCCGAATCTGCTCTCCGAGAAGAAACCCACCAAGCATTCCAAGGCCAAGGAGGGCAACAAATCAACTGAGAACGAAGAAGACGACGATGATGCGTCTGTAAAATCCCAGCAGTGGCCGACGGCGCAGCTCAATCGCGTGGAGTGGGCTTCTTTTTCCTCACCTTATCATCAAGTGAAAGAGACCTTCGCCATTGATGTGCTGGAAGGGGAACCGGTCATTAGCTTCATGTCCTATTACCGCCCCTGGTGGACAACGAAGAAGAGCGTGTCAGAAGAGAAAAAAGCCCCTGCAGCAAAGAAGAGGCTCGGCCCCCCCGGTCAAGGGCCCATGCCCGAACGCATTCGCATCAACTCCCAGCAGATCCTCAAGATTCTTCAAAAGCTGGAACCGGATAACTTCACCGACGCCGATGAATCCCTGATTATGATTCGGCCGTTCAAAGCCCTGGTGTTCTTTGAGGATCAGCTCCGCCAAATCCACCAGGTGCTTCTGGAGAAGCATCGAGGAGCAAAGTCGGAGTCGCCCGAGGCTGAAAAGGGTGAAGAGATGGCAGGATCGGAGGAGAAAGAAGCTCGCCCCAGCTCTCCAACCACCGCAGACCAACCAGGAGAAAGCCGAGAAGGCGAGGAAAATCAAGGCAACCCCGTGAGTGAGGTACTCAAAGACGAGTTCACCTCGTCAGAAACCGCACTTGAGCAGCTGCAGGTGTTGATCAACTTTCTCGATTTGGATGTCAAAGCCAAGATGGACTATGTCCGCAGCGAGCAGTGCCACCGGGTGTCCTTTGCGGATGTTTGGTATCTCTTTCGACCCGGCGATGAAGTTGTGGACCAGGTAGGCAAGCAAGCATATCGGATCATCGGCGTCACCAGCTCGCCGCATAAGGTCATGTCTCCCTACCGGAACTGGGAGACTTCCAGCAAAGATGAGCCCACAGTGATGCTGCAATGCGTTCACATCGACTTCGACGGGAAATATCTAGGGCCGGTGCTGCAAACTTTCCGGATCGCACGGTTCGACGGGGAGAAGGCCATCACCTCGCTTCGTGTCTTTCCTATCCGACTGGCGGGCACAAGAGCGGGCGACCTGACGAGCATTGTGGATGTTAGGCAGAAACTCATTGCCCGTGGCAAGATGTTCATTGACGTCTTGGCCAAGAAGCACATGCACTACAGTGGGCTGACGCTGGAGACTCGCGATGAAGTGGACGGCCAAGTGGTGATTGATTTCGAGAAGGCCTTCGAGAGCGAAGACAAATCCAAGCAGCCCGCCGAGCTTGGCGACAACAACGGTGGGGATGGTGGTGAAGAAGAGCTGGAGAAGGTGTGGCGGCCAAAGATCCGCAGTCTGATCAGCGTTGAGGTCCCTGATGTCTCCGAATCCGACTGCACAGCCGCATGCTGCGCCAGAGAACGCGTGCACAAAGACCTCTATGCCGAGCAGAAGCGGAACGAACACTATCGTAACAGTCTGATTCCGGAGGAGCTGTCCCAGCAGCCCTCTGCTGCCATTTACCCCCGGGTAAAGAGTTCGCGATCTTCCGACGACGCTCTTTCAGACGATGATTTTGTGATCATGAGTTATCGAGTGTTCGGCTTCAGCCTGCGAAGTCGCAAATGGGGTACGTCAGAGCCGTGTCCGGATTTTGTCAAGTGTCATTTCTAATGTGAATCTCCTATTACAGAAAAGCTCGACCTCACCCATCTCAGCTACATCCGAGGCATCCGCGTGGAGAGCCAGGGCGAGGACCAAGGCAAACCGCAGGTTCGAGAAACGGCATTCGATCAGCTAGTGCTGGAGGAAGGCCACAAGAAGATGTTGCTGTCTCTGGTCGCACAACATTATCGGGACAAGGAGTCACCCACCGCTGCGAATGAGCAAGTCGATATTGTGCGCGGAAAAGGTAAGTCTGGATGGGAGGTTAAATGCCGCTAGTATCGATGCTGATTGTTGGATGTTTAGGCAAGGGACTCATTATCCTCCTCCACGGTGCTCCCGGGGTGGGCAAGACCACAACGGCAGGTGCGTATTGAGCCCCTTTACGGCTGTGATGATTTAGAGATGAATTGACCGTTGATACAGAGGGTGTGGCCGAGCTCTTTGAAAAGCCCCTTTTCCAGATCACCTGCGGTAAGCTCTCCTGTTCCCAGGGCCTAGCTCAAGCGGCCAACTGACACGCATTCCAGGTGACCTGGGCACCACAGCTGAGAGCGTCGAGCATGCTCTCGAAACGAACTTTGCCTTGGCTCATCGATGGGGCTGTATCCTGTTGTTGGACGAGGCGGACGTGTTCTTGGCTAAGCGAACGCCTCAGGACTTCAAGCGAAATGGCCTAGTGTCTGGTATGTTTCGAACCCCCGCGAGCTTTGAGCAAGACTCGAGGTCATTGACTCAGTTTTCAGTCTTCCTGCGAGTGCTCGAATACTATGCTGGAATCCTCTTCCTCACTACCAACCGCATCGGGGACTTTGATGAGGCGTTCGGATCCCGTATCCATATCAGTCTTCACTACCCCCAGTTGACGTTGCCAGCCACCAGAGAGATTTTCTTGCTGAACATGAGGCTCATACAGCAGCGATTCACGGAAAAGAAGCGAAACATTACGGTTGATCGGGACGCCATCCTGGCAATGGTAGAGAAGTACTGGAAGACGCACAAGAAAATGCGCTGGAACGGACGACAGATCCGCAATGCGTGCCAGACGGCTTTGGCCCTGGCGGAATTCGAGGCTGGAGGCGGCAGTCACGAGAAGATCATCGACCCGACCGCAGAGGTCAGGCTTAGCGTCACGCATCTCGAGACGGTGTCCAAGGCCTACCTTGAGTTCATGCAGTATCTGAGGAAGCTCTACAAGGTGGATCAAGACCGACTGGCGCAGCGACGGGGTGTCCGAGCGAGGGAACTGGACGGCAAGAAGATGAACTTCACGGATGACGAGGACGACCACTCGGACTTTGATGACGGAGCGGATATCTTCTCCTCGAGCAAGAAGATGTCCTCGTCCAACCCCGAAACCCCGACGCCTGGACTACTCTCACCAGCTTCCTTATCCCAGTCCCTCACGCTGAGCTCGTCGCCCACGCCTGTGTCGCTATTCAACAGCGGCACTACTGCATTGCAAGAAACCAGTCCTGCACCCCAAGCAACAGCCCCTCCGAGCTTTCCCGGCTATCCGTCTCAACTACCTGGATACCCTCCGGCGTTCCCTCAGGGATGGCCCCAGACAGCACCGCCGCAAATGCAGGCAGGCTTCGGATACGGGCAACCGCCGCAGCAGCCGCAGCAGCCGCAGCAGCCGCAACCGCCACCCCAGCAAATGGCGCAAATGTGGCAGAATATGAACCCAGCCATGTGGCAGCAAGCCATGCTTCAGGGCCAGATGCCCCCGATGCCAGGAATGGGTGCAGGAATGCCCGGCCAACAGCCACCCCCGGGAGGACCTGGGTCCGAGAAGCCTTAGGAACTGGAAATGGGCAGCGGTTCGGATGCGCACATACATTTACACTTGTAGGGTTACTTGACAACTATATTACATGGAATACCGATCAGACTTCATTTTGCTTCATATATACACCTCTTTTCTGCTGCGGGGATCAACCCCGGAAACCACTCAACAAGCACCCGCAATCGATCCCAAACATTCAGGAAAGGAAATTCTTCAGGAAGTCCAACTTGCCAAGGGGCACACCCTGGGCTCGTAGGATGGCGTACGCCGTCGTGATGTGGAAATAGACATTGGGCAGCCCGAAGTTGAGGGCGTAGGACTCCGGAGTGAACTCGATCTCGTGGTCGCCCAGGGGCGCCTTGAACGCCGTCTGCTCCTTGCCGACAAAGCCCGCGGGGGTGAGCTGCTGGATCTCGGCGAGGGCGGCGTCGATGCTGGTGTAGAGGTCCTGGTAGGTTTTGGGCTCGGGCAGAGGAGCTGGGGGGTCCACGAGCTGGGTGCGGGCAATGGTCTTGCGGATGTTGAGTACGGTGACAAAGATTTGGAAGGAGAGGGGCTTCATGTCCTCATAGAGACGGGCGTTGAGGAGGGTATCAAGACCGATGCCCTTCTCAGTGGCATGCTCCTCGCCTTTCTTGAGAATGTGGGAGAGCGTCTGGAGACCATTGATGAAGGTCGGGATGGTGATGGTGTACACGGTGGAAGACATGGTTGCAAGGAATGAAATGTTATTGGGAGGAGATGGTGTGATTTGATCTGAAGCTGATTGCTTGGTTCATGCTTCGTGTTATAGTTGGTGGCTTTATAGTTATCGCTTTGTTATCAATGTGGGGAAGGGAAAGGGGGTGGGGCCATTAGTAATCGGGGCTTCCACGGAATTCTATCCCAGATTGCCTCACCAGCTACGAGTAACTAAATGCCTGCATTCAAGTCTGACAAATCAACAAAGATCTGCATCCTGAGTAGGTTCAAAATTTGTCCATGCTTTCATTACTAATCCGGTGTCTCACAAGGGTCAAACCGAGTAAGCGCGCCCATGGTTGTGATCACGGACATGTATTGCCATGGTGCGATTGACACCCGAGCATGAAACCCCAAACCATGGTTCAAGGCAGTCGACTCAAGTACTAGGTGAAGAAGCTCCCCTTCCACGCAGCTGCGACCGCTTGAGCCACAGCATCCTGGATCACAATCCCCGGGTGAAAGTCGTTGAACCATAGACAAGTGACGCCGTCGGAATTCCAGCACTCCGCCGCCGCTCCGCCGTTGTCTAGGATACTGTTAAAAACCGGCTGTGTGTCCACGACCTTGACGATGGCGTCGGGATGCGTTTGAGTGAGTGCCTCAGCTTTCTCGACGAGGATTGTGTTCCAGTGCTCAATGGCAGCTTTCAAGCGAGGAATCGTGTAATCCGGATCCGACCCTTGCATGATGTTCGGCGTGCGTTCAATCGCTGTACATCAGATGGTCAGAGAGGAGCTCCAGAGCCAGGAAGTGGATAGCATACGAGGAACAGTCAAGAGGGCAAAGTTACGGGCGCCACCTTGATAGACAAGTTCAAGCTGTTCGAAAAGCTGATCCAAAATCTCCCTTTCCAAGGTGGCGGCGCTGGTTTGGTACCAGGATCCTGCTACATCGTTAACGCCTCTGGTATGGTCAGCATGGGATTCTTTCTTGGCATCGATAATTCAACCCAGCAAGGGCAGCCTTACATCCACACTGCAAACAGAGTGTTCTTCGCATTCCATGGTGCCCATGACGGTGGTGGGGATAAGTACTCCTGATATTCGGCTACCTGATCAATGATGGAGTATACCGTCGGAAGATATGGCGCCACGAGTGAAGCATTGACAGTAGCTCCTCCATACGCGAGATTGTAGCTCAGGAGAAGGGAGTTGTTGTATTTGGCAACGATGTCGGAGATCCAGTTGGACCCTCCAGATGCGGTCCACCCCGGATAGGGAGGGTTTCCGAGCGGGTTCGCAGCGGAGGGCTTGGTGCCGGTGATATTAAAGGTGGTGGACGTGTATGAATCTCCGAAACTGATCACGTACTTGGTCGTAGCAGCGGCTGACCAGGCGAGGGCCAAGCTTGCCCCAGCAAAGCCATATAGTGTTTTCATCTTGTCAGACAGGATCGACTACCCCGAGGACCCTGATCAATCACCATCGAGTAACTGTCGAGGCATAGATCTCCATCCAAAGGGAGCGATGATCGGTGGGGTAGAGATTGCTAGATATAGACAGAACAGGGATACGGTCAAATGCATCTATCCCATAGTCATGCTGGACCCAGAGGTTAAATGGCAGTCGCACTGGGCCAATCAATGTTGTCTGGCAGGGGGAATACTTCAGATTCATTTCAGTTTCCTGGCACTATCCCCCATTGGCAACGGAGCTTTTGCATGTTCGGAGTAAGCTCCCGCGGCGGCAAAGTTTACACTGCATGAGAAATACAGATGTTCCGTGTCTAAGTCACCACGGGCTTGGCAATTGTCTGACGTTAGGCTTTTATACCTGCAGTAGGTATAGTAGTGGTCGAGAATCAGGTAGGCCTTCAACGGTACTGTGCTGCATTAGGGCCGGCCCCTGCCCACACTTTTCGGGTGCAACTCTACTAGAGTGAGCCTGAATATGTAAATCTGGTACTTGCATTTGAGATTTAAGAGAAGAACGTCCAGCAAACAATTTGAAGTAGTTCGTAAACTTGTTGCAATTTCCGCACGGCAAGGTCTATCTTATAGGCTTGACATGTGTATGTAAGGGTGAAGCTCCCGACGATATATTGAAACGCCAGATATTGTCACAGTCCCTCGAATCACGAGCTTGCTCAGCGCGATCAGAATCCTGGATGTCCGACCTCAGCGAGCGCCTCCTTGACCACTTCTTCCAAGTGCTTCTCCGGCAATCCGAGTTCCTTGTTGCGCACTGGCCGCACAGGTTCGAAGTGCCCGCTGTATTCGCCCTGTGTGAACCCGATGTTGATCAACCCGTATCCAGCAAAAGCATCACCCTGCTCCCAGGCAGCTTTCAGGGTAGGGATCAGCTCCTTGGTGTTGATAGACTTGCGCTGCCATTGCTCCCCGGTCAGACGCTCAATGGTCTCCACGAGCTCCTTTTGGGAGGTGGCGAAGTCACTGGTGAAGATGATCTGGTTGGCGGTGGAGCTGGGGTTCAGCAGGATGCGGTTCAACGTGAGGGCGGTGTTGTCCAGGGTCGTCGTCGAGAACTTGCCGGTGCCATCATCGGTCAGAGTCATGGTTCGGTTGGGGTAATCCAGACCGAGGAAATTGTTGCGCAGGGACCTGCCTTCATTAGCAACGAATCTTGATAGATGAATTGGGGTACGAACCAGCCAATCCACATGCCACAAGCAATGGCCGTCCATGTTAGACCATTGGCCTCTTTCGATCGGAGGTACGCTTGCACTTGTCCTTTGTCCTTGAAGACTGGGGAGAGTTCCTGTGCAGCGGGGGTGTTGTTATCCAACCCGTATTCCGATGGCACAAACCGCTTGACGCCCGCGGTGACGGCGGCGTCGATGAACTTCAGCTGCTCGGCGACCGAGAAACTTGTAATCGCATTGACAACCGCATCTTGGCCTTGGAAGGCCTTGACCAGGTCTTCCTGAGGGTAAGAATCCGGGATGGTGATGATGTTGGCGGTGGAGGGAAGACTGGCGCGAGCCTTGGACGACTCTCTGGTGAGAACGCTGACTTTAAACGTTGGCTCGGACAGTAGCGACTTGAGCAGAACGCTTCCCAGTGAGCCACCTCCCTGGGATAATTGATTAGCGAGGATTCTATGTATCAGCTCGGCGGACATACCCCGACGAGGATGATATTTTTGTAACCCTGTTCGCTCATGGTGATGCAATTGGTGACGCAATTGGTATCGATCAAATTGTCCGCGAGACCAAAGAAATGTGTAGGGGAGATTGTTGTTGATCTGGACCATCACGAGTCTCATTCTGGATCTATATATACCGAAACTTCGTTGTATACCCATGGGGTGCTGTAAGATCACTAATCTGTGTAAGCAGAAGCAGATCCCGGATCACTAATCGGGGAGGCTTTACGAGTGGTCAGCCCGTATCGCCTGCCCGGCGCGATTTAGTGCTGACCTTTGAGATGCCATGGCCTGTTCCTCGTTATAAGGTGCTTGGTCTGCTATCGCATCGCAGCATAGCATATAGCATAGATAGCATAGATAGCATAGATAGCATGGATACTATGAATTGTGATTTTGGAGACCACTTGATGCTCCGCTTCCGATCCCGACCCTCGCTCATTGCCGGTGGAAAACGATTCCTCCGCTCATTATCGCTGGCTCGCTGGGGAAAGGCATTGTGGTCTGACGAATGCGCGATAGCCTGAGAGTAAGTAAATTCATCTAGCATCTATCAATAAACCGTGAACTGTAAACAAGGACCTCATTTTTCGAACCCCGAAAAGACAAGAAGTGGACAAGTTAACTTATGCTGGGAATAACGCTAACTTAGATGACAGATGAGCATGCTGAGTAATTGTGTAGAGAAATGACTCAGCCATGATGTCAGCTTCATGCTCACCGCTCACGATAAGATAAGAAAGCCCAGAATTCCAGAACTCCAGAACTCCAGAACTCCACAGTCATCTTGTCGTCATGCATTGCATTGTTCTGTTTCTCATCCATCCCTCCTCGCTACCAGCTACCATCATTCTCGCGTCATGAAATCGAGTTATGATTATGAGCCTCCCTGATGGCCCCTCACCATCATTGAAGCCTCAAAACCACCGCCTCCTCCCATGCATGGCCAAATCTCCCTCCATTCCATCCGAACCGCTTTGAATCCTCCCATCTTCGCTCGAATCACCCCTCCTCGCCGCTTATCTTCCGCACGAACCGTACGAAACTTCTCCCACACGAGGCCGTTCGACATGAGAGTCGCTATCACCGGTGCTCGTGGCACGGTCGGACGTGAGGTCGTCAAGGCGGCTTCGAAAGCCGGCCATTCCACCGTCCAGGTCGATCGCACCGATACGGAATACGATGGCACTCCCAACTCGGAGATGAAGACGGCGGATACGGCCAACGACTACCAGGCCACGCTCAAGGCCTTCCAGGGCTGCGACGCCGTCATTCATCTGGCCGCGATTCCCGACCCCGTCGACAAGGGCGACGATCTCGTTCACAACAACAATGTCAATTCCGCCTTCAATGGGTTTCGCGCCGCCGCCGAACTGGGAATCAAGCGCGTGTGTTACGCCTCCTCGGTCAATGCGATCGGCCTGGAATATGCCAACCGACCCCTGACGTTCGACTACTTCCCCGTCGATGAAGAGGCCGAATCCCGCCCGACGGACGCTTACGCGCTCGCCAAGGACGAAGCCGAGCTGCAGGCCCGTGCTTTTACTCGGTGGTTCCCTGGGATGAACATCGCCTGCATGCGGATACATGCTGTGTCATCACGGGCTGAGGCACAGCAGGGACACAAGGATAATTGGGATACTGCAGCCGTGAAGAGTCTGTGGGGTTGGGTCAGTCCGCAGGCGACCGCGAGAGCATGCCTGTTGGCTGTGGAGAAGAGTGACAACCTGAAGGGATGTGAGGTCTTCAACATCGTCGCCCCGACGACTACGCAGGATACTTCGTCCAAGGACCTGGCCCAGAAGTACTACCCCGACGCAGAGATCCGGGGCGAGCTGTCAGGGAATCAGTCCCTCTTCGCCACAGAAAAGGCAAAGAAGATCTTGGGATGGATACATGACGAGAAGGAGTGACTCGATGAGGTTGATGCGATTCATTCTCGCCTGTAGATCTTTGTACGTAATTCTCATTACTAGCGACCATGAAGACAGGACGGCAACTTTTGAACAGTACTGAACGTTCCATGGCATGCATGTGGTATGAGTATAGTAGTTACAGCAGGCGAGAAATATATATCGCAGGCTTGTGCTCAGAAAGCTGATACAGAGACAAAGGGCCATGCTCTCGACCCGCCGAAACTCTATACTTGGTTCTTATAGCTTTCCCAACTGCTGTATACGCTCTGCGGCCACATTCCAAGGACGTCTCGTAATTATATCCTGTCAGTCTTTTGGCTTCGTGGTGGTGGTGGTGGTGGTGATGGTGGTGCAGATCAGGGAGACGCCGACTCATCGGCGGCCGCCTCTCCCCGACAGCGTCGCGTTGTCAGGAAGTGTATGGTGGGTAGTAGAGATTCGGATAGGTGTGTACTTTGTGCAAAATGCGATCACAAGGCTTCAGCTAACAGCGACATTAGTCTCATGAGCATTGAGTGCTCGGGAAGGCGTTTCGCAACCGCGGACCTCAACTCGGCGACCTGCTGCCACGCTATTCCGAAGAAGACGCTGTATAGTCCTTATGATCCTTCCAATCATGACTGAATCGATGCTCTGGCAGATGGGCCTCCAATGGTGTATCAGAAAAGCTGTCATCGTGCGAGGGAAAGCTTTCATGACCCGAAGACTCAAGGTCGTCTTCTTCCGTCCACCGGGCCTTTAATCCAGGAGACAAAGCCACTGGAGCGTCTCCAATTAGTCGACGGACCTGAAGAGGCACGAAATCAGTTCGGCACACTTCATTGAACCTTTTGCATACCGCACAAGCTCATGGAGAATCCACGCCAGCCGTCCCAGTAGCTCTTGCTTGTCTCGCTCCCATTGCGTGATTTGCTCTCGCATGTCCTGCACCCGAATATCAGTGAACAAACCCCGATCGTGATACGTCATGACCAGAGTTGGGATCTGTGACACCCAAAGACGAGGAGTCAGAACTGTCATATCGATCTCTTTCTTTACAATGCGGGTCTGAAAGTCAAACATTGAGCGTATCTTGATGTCAATGGTAGCGCTCTGGGAGATCAACCGCCCTCCTTCGCGAACTTTTAGATATCCGGAGTTTTGAGTTGGTTCCGGAGTGTGGTCTCCTCCGAGTCTACTAATCAGACTGACGACTTCACCTCCAGAGTTTTATTCGGCATTCTTCTTTCACCATCAGAGCTATTGCACGCACTTTTGTCGTTGCAACCTCTTCTCTGGGAGGATGGAAAGCTATACCCGGAATTATGATTGACGGCGAATCGCGTCTCAGCCACGTGTACGATGTCAAGTACACGCAGGGGGTAATTCGGATCGTAGGCCGCGACCAAGGGCATCTTGGCTTCCACCCTCGGTAAAGTTCTCGTTGTCGACGAGGCTTACATGCTTGGTGGTAGTTCCTCGGGGTCTGCATCGAGCGGAGGCCCAGATATATACAAGGTCGCGGTAATTGACACCCTTGTTGCGGAAGTCTGAAGCGTCCCCGGCGATGACCGGTGTGTTCTGCTCCTCGGATATTGGGACGCAATGGAGAAGATGTTCCAGACAGTGAACGAAGGTCTCTCCCGACGCTTCCCTATGAGCGCTGTGTTCGACTTTGAGGACTTCAGTGATGATTATCTCCAAGAGATCCTAGCTCTTAAATTGAAGCAAGCAGGCTTTCATGCCACCAAGGATGCAAAGCTGGTTATTCGCCAATGTCTTGCTCGCACCCGGAACCGACCCAACTTCGGTTAACGCTGGGGAAGTGTGCATCGAGAGGGGGGTTCAAGAAGCAGCTGGAGACTAGTGAGGGATACGCCTGATAGTGACGGGCGACGGAAAAGGAGCAGCTCCGGAATCTGGCTCGATACAGGGTTGAATTCGAGGAGCGAAAGAAGCAGGAGGAGGTCACTTGCGCCTCCGGGGTGACATTGCTCAGGATGGTGGGCTGGATGAAGTAGCCCTTGAGATTGTCGGGCTGAAAGGGAGCACCGCCCAACAGGACGGAGGCGCCCTTGGAGATGGCATCTGCACAAGAGACACATATTAGCAGCTTCGACACTATATGTGAATGAGATGAGCCAACCGTTGATGTGGCCAACAGCCTTCTCGACCGCGCGCTCGTGCGTCAAAGGGCCGATGGTCACCCCGTCGACCACCCCATTGCCGACTCGCAGAGACTTGACGCGTTCCACCAAGGCGGCCGCAAAGCGATCGTAGCTGCCCTCCTGTACAAAGACGCGGTTGGCCGTGATGCAGGTCTGGCCCGCATTCCGGAACTTGGCCAGCAAGAAGGCATCGACGGCGGTTTCAATATTAGCATCATTGAAGACAATGAACGGGCTGTTTCCACCCAGCTCGAGTGATAGCTGCTCAAGATTGACACTGCACTTCTGCGCGAGCAGTTTGCCCACGCGCGTCGATCCGGTAAAGCTGAGCTTGCGCACCAAGCGGTTCTCGCATAAGGCGGACCCCACCTCATGGACGTTGTTGAGGGTGGTGAGCACGTTGATGGAGCCGGCGGGCAGGCCAGCTTCCTGGGCGAGGACGGCGAGGGCGAGAGCACTCAGCGGCGTTTCGCCGGCGGGTTTCCACACGGTCGTGCACCCTGCTGCTAGGGCGGCCCCGACTTTGCGGGTGATCATCGCTAGAGAAAAATTCCATGGGGCCAAGCAGGCGGCTATACCCAGGGGCTCTTTGATAGTGATAATACGCTGACTGGGGTTGGCAGGGGGGACGACCTCTCCATATGTCCGCTCGGCTTCACTGGCAAACCAGTCCAGGAATGAGGCCGCGTAGGCGACTTCTCCCTTCGCTTCAGCCAGGGGTTTTCCGTTTTCCAGGGTCAGGATGAGGGCAAGGTCATCTTGGTGCTCGAGGCAGAGTGCATACCATTTTCGTAGCCACTGGGCTCGTTGGCGGGCAATGGTCTTCTTGAAGGTCTTAAAATGCTCCCTAGGCGGCTTGGACGGCGTGGTGGGTGTCTTCCGCATGCATTTCTGGCAGGGTGGCCAGCAGATCCAGCGTGGCCGGGTTGCGGACCTCGAAGGTCGAGCCGCTGGTGGAATCGACCCATTGGTGAGCGATGAAGCCCTGGGTTCGGAAGAGATCCTTGTGTCGGAGCTCGGAGAGGGAACGGGGCATTGTGACAGACAAGAGTGGGGGTGGAGGAGGGATAGGAAGGAGAGCATGAAGGTTGTCTTGTATCGTACTATATACAACAAGTCGTACTATTTATCCCCCAATCCCCAATCCCCAATTCTCCAAGTTCCGACATCCCCAATTTCCGAAATCCCGAAGCCCCGACCTTTCCAGTTATCCATTTTCCACCCCACTTGGAGCCTGAGCACGAAGTTCCATATTTCCGAGCTTCATGACCTTGTATACTGTCTGGAAAAAAAAAAAAAAAAAAAAAAAGAATCCTTGCTAATCAGAAGACGTTATATCTCGTGCTGCTGAAGCAAGAGCCCTAACAATGATCCTTTGTGTATGTCATTGCACCATTGGAACTTGATAACGTTGGTATGATAAACGTAACCTACCGTAGTAGTTAGAGGGAGTATTCAATCAGTCGGGAAGAATGAATACTTTAGGAATAAACTTGAAGGAGCAGGTACTCCAAGGAGTGTGTACTTGAAGGGGCAAGGACTGTCACTACTTGTACTTTACAATGGCGGACTGAACCCCGCACTTGACCGATTATCCTTACACAATGTGCGGGGTTACACTTACGGTTACGGTACATATCTAGTAGAAACCAAGGCACTTGAGACTGCGCTCCTCCTGGATGTTGATTTACAGATCACCATGTCCGCAATCCAGACCCAGCTCGATCAAGGCGCCGTCCCCAATGCCATCTCGAATGTCTGCCCACCGGGCACCAAGTTCCACCTCCTGGAAGTGGGCTGGCTGGAATGTGACAAGGGCTTTGTCGTCCGCGGCGGCAACACCAGCCTGAAATCCACCGAGCACCGCTCCTTCGTTAACGAACGCTGCGAGATGCCCATGTACTGCGTTTTGATCGACCACCCCCATGAAGGACTAATTCTCTGGGAGACCGGGAGTGGGAAGGACTACCCCGAAGTCTGGGGGCCCATGGCGGTCGACGTTTTCGCCCGCGTGCGCTACGAGCCCCGCCACGAGCTGCGCGCCGCCGTCGAGGCCACCGGCCATCGCATCGAGGATATCCGCAAGATCATCATCGGGCATCTACATCTGGATCACGCTGGCGGGCTGGACGAGTTCTTCGATCGCAAGGACGTTGAGATCTGGGTACATGAGAAGGAGTTGACCAGTGCATTTTGGTCGGTCGCGACCGGGGCGGACAGTGGGGTCTACTTGGAGCATTACCTGAAGCTATCTCTGTATGCTCCTTTCCGCCCAGACTTCTTTCAAGATGATGAGCTAACGAGGGCGGGTAGGAATTGGAAGACATTCAACGACCAGACGCTCGACTTCTGCCAGGGCATCACCCTCCACCATCTCCCCGGCCATACGGAGGGGCTCATTGGGATGCAGATTAACATGCTCGACACGGGCACGTTCTTATTCATTAGTGATCATTGCCATGTCATTGAGAATGTATGTTACCGTTTTCTTTACCAGTGACAAGCTAGCTAATCGGTTGGGATGGCTGCAGTGGCGCGATGGGATCCCCCAGGGCTGGCTGGCACGTGACCACCCCTCCTGGTTTCGGAGTACGCAACGGCTGAAGCACCTGCAGCGCATCACCAAGGGGCAGGTGATTCCTGGGCATGACAAGGGCATTTTTCTGGATCTGCAGAAGCAAGCCGAGGTTTTCACCTGAGGGGTGAGGGGTGAGGGGTGGCGATTGGCTCGAACACAGTCCATCGGATATTTGGGGGGGAGGGGTGTAGTGTAGGGACCGTCCGCGGCAGGCAGTCAACCTTACATATCGAATATGCTATGCTCGTACGATTTATGGTCGGCTGTGTTTCATTCTATCATGAATTACTTATTATGAGTAGATTGGCCATGGGTAGACTTTAAAGTACGCAGACTGTCAACTCATCCATTAGACAATCGCGAGTCAATTGGTGGGTCCCGAGAGCGTTGGCATCGTATCCCGCCGCGATCGGGACAAGATACCCGATGGCCCGCCGTGCACGGCCTCATGAATCAGGCTGCGCCACCCTGGCTGTCCTAAGCTATGGGAATAATACCCGACGGGGACCTTATATATAGAGCGAGATGCTATACGCGGTCTTGTCAAACCCCCATACCTCTCACTATCACCTCCTTAATCGCAATGCCTCTCCGCGCCTGCCCTACCGACAAACCCCTTGACCTCAGTCTATGGGACTACCTGACCAACACAGAGGGACTCCATGGCAGCCACGATGATCCGCGATTCGAGATGGCCAAACACCAGTTCGGCGACGCGGCCAAGAACTTGAAGATCCAGCACCACAAAGCGCGCATGTACTATCATGAAGCCAAGGGTGAGGGGATGATTGAGGAGGAGATGTCGTTCGAGAAATGGAGTCAAGCCAATGTTCGTGGCCTCGCGTGGTGCCTATTCACGCCGAATCCATCACTAACCAAGTCGTTCCTTCTAGTTGCCCGCCCTGCAGATGGCTTTGCGCGGGTTTCAATACCAAAAGGAGCAGCTGGTCCAGGCGGGTCTGATGATCTATGGACCGGGCTATCAAGAGCGCATGGAGCGCGGAGCGCACGAGTCGGCCACGAAAGCGGCAGCGGAGGATGGATTTTTTAGCTGAAGCATTGATGAATGAGCAGAATAAGAATGATTTACAGTACAGTAAAGTCGGCTCAAACCCCCCTCTCCCTCCCATCCCATTCCGAGCTGCAGCACCTCCACCCGCATAGGGCAAAGACGCGGAACCGCGCGTACTACCAAATCACCCCCCATGTCGAAAGACAATCTTATGCGCCTTTCGCGCCTCAAAGTCCCGATACGCCTGTGGGGCCTCCTCGAGGGGCACCACTCGGCTACACAGGAATTCCAACTTGGGGTACACCTTTTGAAAGACGCCCAGGGCTTCGTCAAAGATGCTGCGCACGGGGCAGCGTCCGAAGGCCATGGTGACATTCTTGCCGTAGCACAGTTGCCCATTCAGCGGCAGCATCTCGCTATGCACCCCGATCGAGTGAATGGTGCCCCACGGGCGGACCATGTCGAAACACATCATGAAGGCGTCAGCATGGCCGACGACTTCAATGACCACGTCCGCGCCACGACCGTCGGTCACCGAGCGGATCTTGGCGACGGGATCCGAGGAGAGAGGGAGAGGGATTGCGCCGAGGCGTTCTGCTTCGGTGAGGCGCTCGGGAACGGAATCGATGGCGTAGACCGTCGAGACCATGGTGAGGGCGCTCACAATAGTGCATAGGCCCACGGGCCCGCAGCCCACGATAGCAACGGTGTATTCGTGACGGTCGCGTTGGGTCAGATTGGCGAGGAAGCGTGAGGCCGCGAAGTACCCGGTGGGGAAGATATCGGCCATCAGGACGAGCATGTGGTCGGGGACGCTGGAGGGCTTGGGGACCAGGGTGGTTGAGGCCAGTGGCACCCGTACGTATTCGGCCTGTCCGCCGTCGATGGTGTTGGCCGGGGCCGAGTTGCCGAACAGGAAGCCCTGACTGCATCGACTGGCTTGTCCACGCACACAGTAATAACATTCCTGGCAGGTCGCGTAGAAGGGGACCACCACGTCATCGCCGACTTCGAAGTTGGTTACCTCCTCGCCTTTCTCCGCGATGGTGCCGACGAACTCGTGGCCGCAGATGAAATTGGCGGGGCATTTCAGGTGGCCGCGGTAGAAGTGCAGGTCGGAGCCCTGGATGGTCTCAGTTATCTCAGATATGATGAATCAAAGGTGTGACTAAGGTAGTTGCTAGGGGGGATTACGCATAAAGCCGAGGCAGACACCTTGAGGATCACATCCTTGGGGGTTTGTAGCTGGGGGGTGGGCCGGTCCTCCACGGCCACCTCATAGGGACCGCGGAAGACCACAGCACGCATGGTCTCGGGGGGTTCCATGTGAATAGTCATGGTGCGTGGATGCGAATCTGTTACCGGAGATCAATTCCAATAGAAGGGGACCCGGGGAGAATCAGCATTGAGGGCTGGGGTTGGGTTGGGCTCTCAGGGTTATTATAAGAATTATAAGAGAGGCAGCCGCGGTTGCGGGGTAATTCCAGTTATGCAGCTCGGTTCCATTTGATTCACCAGTCGTGCCTCGGGTCGGATGCCTGTCTAGGATCAACGATCTACAGTAATAAAATCACAATTTCTAATACAAGACTGAAAGTCCTGTACATACCGGTAGGCATGTTGCAAAGCCACCCGCTCCTCCAACCACACAGTCACGCCACACGCCACACCCCATTGCCCTTGTCCTTCCAAAACAGCCTCCCGACTCTAAGCGGTTCGTTCCGAGCCATATTCCACCACGATATCGGTTCGAACAATTACAGCTTCACTCGGTTCGGTTTGGCTGTTTTTGTCCATCGTTGACATAACCACAGTTCCCTGCACTTGAGTATGTGGGACGGTCTCCAACTCCAGCGCTTGGCCGCCTGAACCGGACTGATTGCCATACCAGGGGTATCCGGAATTTCGGACGCTGGTCTTCAACACCAACGAAAACAGTAATCGAAATACCGGTGCACACGGAGCGATCAAGAGACAGGCGTTCTCAATTCTGGAGATGCGAAAGTCAGGAGGTCTCTCTTGGAGTGGTCACGCAAGACAAAGAGTATAGGCGGGACCTACTTCACTAATAGAATGAATAGTGCAATAGCATCTATCGATCAAGGTCAGTCCTCACAACCGAAGCACCCCCTACGATGGTCAATCTCACGAGCCATGGCATCAAAGCTATTAACCGTATAGAGTTGCTGCACGACCGACCGGTTAGCCAAAACCTTCGCCTGGCTGCGAGGAACGCTCACCCTACATACGGTCGTCTTGACCAGGGATGCGATTCCCGAGAGTAGCAGCGGTCCACTGATTGCACCAGTTTGCCACAAGCGCCGGTTGCGAGCCTCCCGAGGAAGCTTCTTGAAGCGCGAAATAAACGAGTGACTGCAATCTTTACGGGCCAGTGGGAAGCGCCAGAGCTGGACCCCGGCAAGAATAGCCAAGAAGAAATCGAGCGCGGTGTTGAATCCTAGCTGCGTATTTAGCAACAGCAATGCAAAGGAAGCGGGTTGAGAACTACCTCCTTGGACAAATCCGGTGACCAGTTGCGAGACGGGTTGCTGGCACACAACAGACCCATCCGGCGGGAGGGGATCCCAAATATAGCGGAAATACGCAAGTCGGTTGGCCTACACAAGTCGCGTGAGCGTGTGACACGAGATTGTGTTGGTGGGAGGATAGAAGAGCCCTCCTACCGAGTGAGAAGTGCTGGAACCGCACATCAAGAGAACTTGTAAGTCCGTTGCCAGATTGACAATGATTTGCACCGCGATACAAATCAGGATGGTGACGCGGAGGCGCATGTCAGTCCCGTTGAAGCACCGCAGCAGAAAGCACATGATTCCAATCCGAGCGAGCATCGAAGCAATGACCTCTAAGTACCCATGTCAATGAAATGACATGGCTGCAGCCAGGTGACTATCGCTTAGGCACTCACCAATGACTTGGCCGATATACGAATACTTCAAGGTGTCACTGATTTGGAGCCCAGTCAAGGTCGATGCGGGACACCCGAGTCCGGAGTCAAAGCTAGAATCGTTAGAGTCATGGACGGAGTGGCATCACCTGAAGAATGGTACGGAAAGAACCTCTTTTGGAACAAAACCATCTGCGTGAGATCGAAGCTATAACTGAGGAAGTAAAAGAGGTCTTCGATCCCCCATAGGCGCTCCGGCGAGCTGACTTTAGGGATGGCCCAGCGGATCCAGGATTTGATGCTGTATCGGGCGAGCAGAGTTAGGGCCGCTATCATGGACAATGCCTACAAGATGGAATCAGAATTGTGTGCGTGTATGAGATGCTGGCAAGGGAGGTGCGAACCCATGAAGCAGCTACGTAGGACCCGACTGCAGACTCATAGCAGTTAGCTTCAGTTTCTGCTCGCACCACCTGAGAGACAGATGACTCACCGTTGCCACTACCAGTCTTCTCCTGGAAAGACATGGTTCGTAATGAAGGCTGTCGCTGAGAATCCTGTGGAATCGGTTCGTTGCGGCTATGGTGAGCAGGGGTGGTGGTGAGGGGTTGCGCGGTGAAAATCCATTCTCTTTATAAAGCAAGGGTTCCAAACAGCGAACGGTTTTTGTGTTGAGCAAACAAGGCGAAAGGTATGGATCGTTGTGGTGGTGGTGGTGGTGATGATCAGGGGTCGATGAATTGACTTTCTTTGTATGCAGCCGAAGGCTAATATATCACCAATTGATCTCTATACCTAGCATTGGCCCCGGGGAAATCCATCCGCGCTCCCGCGGCGCCGCTGTCATCCAGGAGTCGACAGGTACGTTCCTTCTTTACGTGTCTTTGATTCCGATCGCTGGACTATTCCCTCCAAAACTTCTTCCATATCAAGATAGGCCGCACGGAAGTCCCCGAGTGTGTCCAGAACAAGCAACTCACGCCACTGGCGGTTGGCTCTCGGGGTTCACCTCGAAAAGGCTGTTACGAACAATCTTTGTTGCTAAGAGGGAAATGCATTTGATGCTCAGGCTTGTCTGTGTACGTATCAAATAACCCCCAGCAGAAAGAGATAGGAGTGGAAGTGATGAGCGGAGGTACAACTATCATCTTAGTTAGTCCACGAGGCGTCTCGTAGATGATCTTTCTGTGAAGCAAAGTCAAAATGAATGTCCGTCCGAATAACCACACTCGTCCCATGAGGGATTCCCATACACTCGGCTCTTGACGAATGGTGACCTTTCTGCGTGTCTTGGACGGGCATAGTGAGACCGAGCGTGTTCTGGTTATGTGTGTGGGCTACAGTGTTCAATTCTAGCCCCTGGCTCGCTCCACCAGATCGATTGCCAGAGCCAGGGTAATCCTTGCTCGTTGATTCATTGTTAGAGACACTCGACACCAGTAGCCGGATAATAGTGGCGCAGGTCGCGAGCAGGATGCTATAATTCTCAATCCTTGGCATGAATTAGCTGATACATGTCACATAACACCTAAGAACACTGGAACCCTTACTTCACCCACAGGACGAATGGCACTATGTTATCTACCAAGAAGGTGGACAGATTAGGATGGGAACTCAAACCCCCCGAAAGCAAGGCACCACTCACGGGTAATTTTATGTCTTTCTCCGATAGCCTTGAGTAACTAGATATCAACGGCTCAGTCCTCCTCATCCTGCTCCTTTAAGAAGCGATACGGCGTACCCAGGTTTTGTCACTCGACGCAATGCCCGATAATAGCAATGTACCGTTCAAGGCGCAGGTTTGCCACAACCGCCGATTTCGCGACCTGCCATGGATTCGGCGGAACCGCGAACAGAAGGATCCACTGTGTGATGGACCCCGATCCGTCGCTCCCATTCTATAGCGCCATAATTGTATCGCTGAGAGTGCTGTCAATTCCGGAATTGAACCCCTACAGCAGCATCAGGATTCAAGGGTTTTCACTGAGAGTGGCGACTAAGCAACGTGACCTCCTTGAGCAAAACCAACCATTGTCTGTACGCTCGGTGACTGGCAGATGGCTGAACTGTCGGAAGGCAGGTCTCATCCCACGTATAATGGAAGTAATGCACTCAGTCGGCCTTGAAGAGTTCACAAAGTCAATCAGCGAGGGTTTCGGTCATGATGCAAGGAAAGGAGGGAGTTTACAGTACGGCATGGATCTGGCCCGCACTGGACGATGGTTTGGACCACTGTGACCATGTGTATGATAATCTGAACGCCCATACAGACCACAATTAGAATGCGAATCCGCCGGTCGGCGTCACTAAAGCAACTCCGAAGAAAGCAGATCATCCCGGTGCGAGACAACATTGAGGCAAAAACCGCTAGGACTCCATCAGTAGGGCAAACCGACAACGTGGCGGACCGAGACAGGTAGTACCTAAAAGCTGAGAAAATAAACCCGTTCTTCAGTGTGCTTCGGAGCTCATCACTAGTCACCCACGTCTGGCTCGGGGGTGGATCCAGCACAGTAAACTCATTGCTCGCAACATGTCACGTTAATATTGGCCAGACCTGTCGACAGAACAGCTGCAACGTAGTAAGACAGAGGCGAGCCACGATAAAGAAAGACCCAAAACCGAGGTATCTGGTCCGGGGACGCCAGCATCCCACAAAAAAAAGTAAGGCCAGGACGAACCTGAAATTAGCCACATTGCGACCGTCATCGACCGAGGAGGTGAATGAGATGCACAAGTGCGCGTAGGTCGACACCCACAGCAGGAACACCCAGAAGAGGAGCCACATGAGCAGCTCTCTCCGTGCCCTGGCCGACTGCGTCGGCATTCGTATAGAGCCCCACGGGAAAGTAGAAAAGTGCTCACTTGGGAACAGAGGCCAGCGTGTAGGAATATCGAGCTGCTCGTTTTGCGAGAGGCTCACGAGAGCTTCAAAGCGGGAGAGATAGAGGATACTCATGAAGTAGTTTTCTACCCAACTTACTTATCCCATATGTCGGCGGAGTAAAGCTGATGAGTTGATAGAGTATTCAAACATAATTAAATGTTATATATCATTCAGCTGCTGAGACCTTGGGCCCGAAGGAAGGTGTAAAGATAGTGGACAATAGAGCTGGGGCGATAGACCGCATTTAAAAAGAGCTTAAGAGTGTGCGATGAATATCTGTTTAGAAATCTTTTATATCAATCAAATAATTTTATTTTTGCTACGGTGTAGGAAGTTCGCTAGCTGCACTTATGATTGTGTTTCCATCAAGGCTCAGATATCTTATCTGATCTGTTTTGATTGATCTACGTCTATCTGCATGCACGGTGACTTGCCTTGCTTCTAAGTTCGGATAACTTACCAATCTTGTTTGGACTAATCAATATAAAATTAGCTTTTGATTCCCTGTTGATGTTTTCGGTATAGTAACATGCCTATGACTGGATCTAGGCAAAGAGCGAAACAGAACCAGGCTTGGTATGTGTATAAAAAGATTTACTAATCATTTCAGCATATGGTGAATTTTTCTTATAAGGTAAGATTATTCTTTGATGTGCAAGCGTCTTTATAGTCAGAAATACTTTTGATCCTTATTAAGGGGTTTTAAGCTGTAAGGGAGTTAAACTAGTTTATACTAGAAAGTAAAGCAACATAAGGCAAGGCAGATAATGAAAACAAGAGGGATCGCATAGATGATCCAGCTGTACTGTACAATTATTTCCTTGCCTGTTATCTCAGATTGCGAGGAAACATACGCCGTGGTGACCCACCTAGTGGCTGAATAATAAGTAGATTGTAATATATATTTAGATAATATGTTGTAAAATACTATGTTTGGGTTGATTGCTTTTAATATAGAAGTCTTTGAGTTGTATTTGAACTCTGCTCTGAATGCAGGAATATGGGATCAGCTAAAATACAATTAGCAAACTTTTAATTATCACTTTCTAAAGTTAGGATATATCTGCTGAGAAGAAATATAACTATAATACAGACCTTATTGGGGAATATTTATAGTCTGTAGAGAACTTTTGCCATTATACTTGGTAAAGGCTAAAATCTTAACCAGCATTAGGAAGCTTAATCTTAGGTATAAACAATTGTTTGTTCTGCGCAAGATCCCCAGTATGATATGATGGTGCCAGGAAGTTAATTTGAAATTGTATAGTTTTAGGGTGTGTTTTAAAAGCTTGTGATTCTATTATCAGAATAAAAGTAGAGACAGACCACTCTGTAGTATTATTATAAATTAATATAAAAATATATTAAGAGAATTTGTACACCCTAAGAAGTTTTTTTAATATATTAGTAAATAGAAAAGTTTATTTTATAAAAGCTTTAAATATTAGATTTACTGTAATATCTACTTGTGCTTTTTTCTATAGCAATATTTAAAGCAAATACTAAAAGCAAATCTGAGTTAGATTTAGATTTAGTTTTCTCTTTTTGTTTAAATATTCTTTAAATTCTGTTTTAGTTTTATTAAAAAGAATCTGTAATTAAGGTATGGTTTGAATAATTCTATTTTTTAAATTTCTACTAAATACTTATATTTTATATATTTCTATAGGTCCCATTTCCAGCTTTTACTAGATATTTTAAAGATCAGTTAATAATTATTTTATATAAGCTATTATTTTATTCTTTCTGTATGTATAGATAAATAAACTATTCAAAAGTTTATCGGGCAGGTAACTTTTTTTTAACTTTTAATATATAAATGTCTAAAGATTAATAAACCTAAGACTTTTTATCTTAGATTAGGATATCTACTATATCCTTAGTTAGAATACTCAAGGGCTGAGTCATATATAGTATACCTTTTTTCTCAAATTATATATTTTAGGCTCTATTTCAGCCATATGAGTGAATTTTAAGATTAAATATACTTAAAAGTCGCAAAATATTATTATAGAGACTAATTAAAACTGTTTAAGAGCTAGAGAAATAAATCTATCCTTGTCATTATGTATTCTATTGTATCCAGGTTGCAGTTCACTAGCAGATTATTGTAATCGGGGGTAAGAAAATATTAATTAGATAGTCACCAGATAAAAAGATAAGAGCATAAGTGGGAGACAGGAATTATAAAAAGGCTTTTGAGAAATAGTAAATCTTTGTCGGCGCTTGCGAGGGGGTTAATATTAAAAGGTCACTGGCTGCACCAGTTATATAACATAATATGTATACTATAGAGCAGGTCCTATATAAATCTCTCAGCAGTAAATTTTACCAACTAATAACAGCAGTGCAATTCACGTCCCATTTTAAACTAGTCTCTCTACAAAAGAAGAACTATGTGATTTCATAACTTGCCTCCCTCTTGATATTATCACTTACCCGGCTTGAGAAACCCACAATTAGTAATATAATCAATAAGCACCCATTATCATTTACAAAGAGGTATGCGACGGCATAAGGAACGCATTGATACCTTCCTCTTAATATGTAAAATAGCAGAATATGAATGCTGGGATACAGCTGTTTCTGCTTGCAGATCTTAAAGTCCGGAGACTAGAGGCAATTGACAATGTAAGGATGCAACAAACAGAAACTCAATACTACGATGGCTGTTAATTTAGTAGTTTAATTTTTGATTTATTATTGCCAGCTATGCTTGTAGATGTGATTCAGGACTCTCCCTGTTGCGCAAACTAACTCAGTTACAAATTCAAATTCCAAAAGTCATTCTAAAATCTCGCTACAGTTCAGGACTAGTATATTCTCGCCTAGTCCTGACGCGGAAAAATATCTCGACTAGCATTTTTTTTAAAAACGCGTGACGAGGAAAAGGTGGTGAGCGAACTTTTTGGACGCAAGAAATACCTCTTCTTGCAGCGCTTGAAGAAGTTCCATAGGTGGGGCAAGAGGCTGGTCAGACTCTATGCGTGCGCTGTAGTTGTACGTCGTCACTTCACAGTCGCAATGAATTCTGTGATGCCAAGATTTCAGCTTGGAGTCAACACGAGAATCACCAGGCCGACCACTTTGGGCGGGAACGGCAGATGTTTCAGTGGGCTGGGGACTGGGGGTTTAGTCCAGTCACCACACAGCCGCTGCAGCGCGCCATTTTGCCGTCCGAGCGGTTCAAAGTCATAATTACTGATAATGCATGAACAGATAGATCAGTAGCATCATTCTACGTAACTGACAAAACGTGTTATTAAAGTGCATGGCCAAAAAGAATTCATTAAGAGTCTGGAAGTAAGCTATGAGGTATTATTGAAATATAATCTCTTCTGATAGATATGCACTGCTGAACCGTGATAAAGAGGCGGTTCGCTTCTCAGGATTTCTGAACCAGAGCTTACAACAATGACTCAGCCTTGGATGGGAAGACACTTCTCGGAACTTCATAGTCTCTGTTGCCTTCTGTGCTTAGCAGAACCACAACCGAGTCGCTATCGAGGCCTAGCTGTCGGCGGTCTGTAGCGGTCAACCGGCGCAGTGCAGCAAGCGAAGCAGAACCACATGGGCCTGCATCAACGCCTAGAGATTGCAGGTCTAGTACAGCCGTGTGTGCCTCATGGTCTGAGACGGTGCAACTGGCGTCGACACCTGCTTTGAGCAGTGGCCAGGCAACCGTAGACACAGTCCCGCAGTCTAGGCCCGCCATAATTGTAGGAGATGTGTGAATAGAGACCATCTTGCCCTGCTGTAAGCTCTGGTAGAAGGAAGCGGCAGTGTCGGGCTCGACTGCTAGGATGGTGGTGGAGGTGCCAGCTCTCTTAAAGTGTGAGACAACGGCTTGGGCCAGGCTCCCTACTCCTACTGGTGTGACCACAATGTCGGGCTTCACAGCCCTCGGTAGCTGCTCGTCAATTTCGCGCATCATCGTTAGGTAGCCCTCCACAATCCACTGAAAACCGTTAGCTTATTCGACGTGCGTCAGTGTGTGAGACCGACCTGCGGAATTTCGTCGTAACCATCAAAAGCACCATCCTGGATCACAATCCCGCCTGAATCCTGCGCAGCACGATAGGCAATCATGACCGTCTTATCATAGTCCCCAGTAGAAACGACCACCTTCGCCCCCTCAGCCTCGATCTTCTCGACGGTCGAAGGATGAATAATGGCTGGGACATGAATCTCAACAGGCACGCCAAGCATAGAGGCAACGCGCGCCACGGCACGGCCATGGTTACCATCCGTGGCTGCGTACAGGGTGATTGGCTTTTCGCGCAAGGCCTCCTTGAGCGCAATCATGCCCGCATCCATAGATGGGAGACCAAGCTCACGCGCGAGGGCACGGTAGACTCCCCACGAAGCACCCAGGATCTTGAAAGCGGGCAGTCCATATCTAGTGCTCTCATCCTTTAAATAGAGAGATTTGACCCCGAGCTCTGTGGCGAGCGTCTGCAGGTTTAGCAGCTTTGTGGACTGCGCATCCGGCAGTTGGTCGTGGAAGGCTTTGATGACGTCACGCGCTTCGACGCTGGGAGCGATCCATGATCTTGCCTCTGGGTTGAACAGGATCGGTCGTCTCATTGATGCGATGCTTCTCTTTTGTATGCAGGATAAGTATTTGCGTTTGCGTTTGCATTTTCTGTGCACAGTACATTTCTCCTTATATGTTCCCAGTGCGCCCTCGGGTGTGATGGGAAGGCGCAATCTAACTACATTCGTTTTCGTAAAGATAACCAGTTAGATAATATCTGGAGGTACTTCTATACCTTATCTAATTGGCGAGATTTCTGTGAGGTCATTTTCATCCGTTCAATGCCGGCATCGCATACTGGAATCAAGCCTTTGACACGTCGGTGTAAAGTTGATTTGAAACATCTTATAAACGAGCCACATGCCGTGAGTATCAGACTTTTCCGAGTTTCAAAGCTGTGATAGCATTGCAAGCCTTCATTAATGGTTTCGGCTTCTTTATTTGCGATTTACCCATTTTTTGATTTTGGGAAAGTGGTTGCTAGAATTCCGGATATAATTTTGCTGTGCAATTCCGCTTACCGGCGTCTCCTACTTACCCAGTGAATTATTTTGACTACTAGAAAAACGTATTAGATAGGCTTCGGTAATCTTCCAGAACATAAGCAGCAATAAGAGTTAGCTTGAACGGCATTCGAGGGGTTTTTGCTGTATCGCGTGTTGGACATCCAGACAAATGCAGTTAGATCGCGCCTTCTCACAACATTCAGATACGTTATCTGTAGTTATTTGTAGTCTCTAATCAAACAAAGCTATCTGAATGATAACAGGAGTATCACATAGAACAGGAGATAATGAATAAACCAGTAAATCACAAGCACCCAGTAATTTTGATGGATTCCGTCGCAGAAACCGTAATGATCCCATTATCCCCAAACGGGTGTTTCATTGCTGTGCATACGCCTGCACAAGCTCGCGTAATGAGGGCCAATAATACCGACGCCGTCCGTGGCTGAACAGAAAGAATCTCGTATATAAGATAACTAATGCCTGCATGGTACATACGAGGGCCACACAAGGGCACCGCAGCACAGCTTGCTCCATCCTCAGCCATGGAGATCGACCTCGAATACCTCCCCCCAGGCGCTGCCTACGATAAAGAGCACCTGAATGCTGGAGACCAGGATGCCGATGCGCGCAAATCAGCACACAGTACTGTGGCGCAGATGGCGGAGATCAACCAGGTCCGCCAGGGCCTGCACCAGAGACATATCCAGATGATCGCGCTGGCGGGCACGATTGGAACCGGTCTGTTCCTGAGTTCTGGAACCGCACTTACTAACGCCGGTCCTCTCGGCGCATTCCTCGGCTACTCCTTCACCGGCCTGTTGGTGTCCAGCGTCGTCTTCGCAGTCGGCGAGATGGGCTCCCTGGTGCCGCTGAATGGCGGCGTCGTGCGCTACTCCGAGCTCTTCTTCGACCCTGCGCTGGCTTTTGCTAATGGCTGTAACCAGGTCTGCTACGCTGCCGTGACTATCGCCGCCGAGGTTGTCGCTACATCTGTGGTCATTGAGTTCTGGGCCTCGTACAACAATGCTATTTGAATAACCGTTTTCGGCGTGCTTATTGTGGCCAGCGCAATATCTGTTGTGCGTATCTATGGAGAGCTCGAGTTCTTCTTCTCGATTCTGAAGATTATGCTCATAATCGGCATCAACATTATGGCCTTAGTTATAACCTGCGGCGGCGGCCCCAACCATGTCTCGATTGGATTCCGATACTGGCGACACCCAGGCCCATTTGTACAGTATCTAGGTATTGGCGGTTCCTTGGGCCGATTCCTGGGTTTCTGGACTACCTTTAATAATGCTCTCTACGCATACTCTGGTATTGAGACTATCACCGTTGCCGCCGCCGAAACCAAAAACCCAAGACAAGCCATCCCCATTGCCGCGAAGCGTATCTTCATTCGTATCATACTCTTCTACGTCTTGACTATGTTCATGATCGGCCTGGTTGTCCCATCCAATAACCCTGATCTGTTAACGAGCAGTGGCACGGCTGCACAATCTCCGTTTGTGATCGCTGCGCGACTCGCGGGTATCAAGGTGGTTCCCTCAATTATCAACGCGGTCGTATTGACCTCTGCCTGGTCGTCGGGCAATTCATCTATGCTCGCTGGCTCACGAATGCTGTACAGCATGGCCGTCTTAGGCCATGCGCCTGCTCTCTTTAAGCGCATCAACCGCTTCGGTATCCCCTATACCTGCGTCTGCTTTTACGGCGTCTTTATCTGCCTCGGCTATATGGCCCTGTCAAATTCCACCGACAGCGTCTTCACCTGGCTGCAGAATATCATCTCAATTTCGACGCTCGTCAACTGGATGTCCATTCTTATCGTCTACCTGCGTTTCTTCTATGGTTGCCGTAAACAAGGCATCAACCGCTATACTGAGCTGCCCTGGGCAGGCCCCTTTCAGCCCTACCCTGCGTGGATCTCGCTCTTCATTTTTGGGTTTCTACTCCTTACTGGTGGTTACACCACTTTTATCCATGGCCACTGGAGTACTGCGACTTTTGTTTCCTCGTATTTGAATCTGCCATTCATCCTCGTTCTATATTTCGGCTACAAGCTCATCAGGAAGACTAAGATTGTTCCCCTTGGGGAAATGCCAATCCGTCCATTTATTGAGGCTGCCAGGTAGAATTCAGAGCGAATTGAACCGACGAAATGACGGTGGTGGATTCCGAACATTTGTTGGACTTAGTATTTTTTCGCTTGTATCCGGAAGTTTAGAATGATGAGCTGATGTTAATAATTTATATCTCTCAATACAGCAGAGATTTTAATATCACGCCGAGCCTGAATATAAGAAGCAGAAATCTAAAGAACTTATTGCAAACATGTAGCATTTATAGTTCGGAACTATGATTGGACAGCCATCAGAGGCCATGATCTAGAGCTCATAGCTCATACGCGACATTAGATGACACCGCAGCCAAATCTAGTCTTTGTCCGGCATACTAATGTCTTCTCTATATACTAAATCCCTACATTTAGGTCTGAAAAAAGTCGTTTCAAAAAGAATATTTAAAGTATTAAAATAAACTAGAAGAAAAAGAAATTAGAAAGAGTATAGGCCCAGCTTTTAAAGCCTGAAATCTATAAAATTATAATAGTTTTTAGATATTACTGTTTTAAGATAGGTACTTATCTAACCGGTTCAAAAGTTACCTATTTTAGCTAGTTTTGATTTTATTTAAATAATATTGTTAAATTAGTTTTTTTAAATTCTAAAAAAGTTATTATGCACCTTACTATATAGTTTACTAATTTTGATTCTAAATAAAAAAATTCTCTTTATGTGAGAGCAACCCTAGGAATCCTATTAACCTAACTAACCCTGTTTGATGTGTTTGCTATATTTATTATATTTACCTTAATTACTCCCTAAACCACCCTATAACAGATATGCAGAAGGCTTATATTTCTTCTTTCTTATTTTCTATATACCAGATCCCTATATTTAGGTCTGAAAAAAGGTTGCCTGAGAAAAGTATAAAAATTATTAAAATAAACTAGAAGGAAAAAGGATTAGAAATAGTATAGGCACAGCTTTTAAAATCTAAAACCTTTAAAGTTATAAAGATTTTTAGAAATTACTTTTCTAAAATAGGCAACTAACTGGTCAAATAATTAGTTATTTTCAACAGTTTTTATTTTATGTTAATGGAGTTTTTATATTACTACTTTTTCAAAAAATTTTCAAAAAGCTATTCTGTAGCCTACTATATATTCTATTTTATTAAACTTTACATAAAAACATTCCCTTTATAAATCAAAAGTTATTAAACTTCAAAATTTTTAGATTTTTTTTAATAAGATTATCTAGACCAGGAGTTTACCTCCAGCTGTTACAGGACGAATGGATTGTGCTAAATGAAACGTGCCTTAGAACAAGAAGAAATAGCTGGGGAGCTATTTCATCTGTTTGTACAAAATTCTCTTATGTGCGTGCTGAGCTAGCGCTAGTTTAGTATATAGCATTGGAGGCCTCAGGCGCCAACTGGTGCCTGGAGCCGAGCTCTATATCAGGGCCTTGGTCCCATAACACTTACTAGAGTGGCTAACAGCCAGGTCAGGCTAGGTCAATTGGAACTTTTACACCTGACTGCTAGGTTATAGCTAGATTAAAAAATTTTATATCTAACTATAGTATAGCTAAAAAACAGGTAAACGCGCAGTAAAATATCGCGACGAACAGCGGGCTTGGTTTTCGACCAGGCAGGGAACGCCGCTTGTGCGCTTTCAACGGCTCTCACAGCCTCAACAGTAGATGCAGAACTAGATTGTCATACATCAAGACCACTCCGAGGGTTTGTGACTGCGAATGTAGATTCCGTCGTAATGTCCTTCCCGTTGATGATGAGGGGGACTGTTTCGACCATCTTTAAGAAGTGATTTTAAGATGTGGTAAAAAATAATTGATAGTTGATATAGAGTGAAAGATAGAGTGAAAGATAGAGTGAAAGATAGATTGAACAAGGACTACCACTTCCAATCTATGAGCGCCTTCCCACCCTCGAGTGTATTTATATGTATTCGGTCACTGTCTTTCGGGATGCTGTGGACCCACAAGGATTTGCCTCCGGCCAACTCCGCCCTCCCTTAAACCCCGTTCGGCAGGAGGAAGCACCGAGCTCCGTTAAATCCGCTTTTCCGCACCAGAAAGCAAACAAAGATGTCTCAAACAAGAATATGAATATATGTTATGTAGCGGCACTAACAGCTGGTCCATGCAGTTATGGTGTCGTATGTATGTTTAAAAACAATCACCCCTCTTGATCGATTATATGGTAGAAGAACTTTCTCTAAGACTCCTAGAATGAGAATTAGTGGTACCAGAGGCTTTGCAAGCAATTCCAAAACATATGAATTTTTATCAGCTTGAATGACCACATTTGGGAAGTAGACTGATCTGTATGACTCCGCATATCTCTCGATAATCATGTTTCTAACTATTTGTATGGAGTATGGACTGTACATGGGACTACTTGGAAATGATTCAAACATATAGATTATTAATAGTGTAAGAAGTCAGCATTGATTCTTATGAAGCCGTCAGTCTGCTCCTGCTCGGAGCTTGACTGAGAGTGGGCTTTTGGGTCTCATGTATCGCCAAAAAGTCGGTAGACCCACGTTTCTGGGCAGTGCAGGCTTCAACGGAATCGATACTGCCGCTAGGACCGAAGACAATCATAGACATCGATGGCAGTTGTAGACGAGGATTTCAGTGCTTACAGGAATTGTAGGAGAATGCAAGTTGCGACGCGGATATGTTACCTTTTAAAAATTGATTAGTTTCATCATCCTCTGTGGCCAATCGAGAATTCAATTTGTATCTGGCATTATATTTTCGACAGTGTTGTAGCTAATTCCTCATTTCCACTTTCAGTGTAAGAGATGCCCATGTAGTCAATAGACGTGATATCCTAGGAAGAGCAACAGCCTTATCCGTGACCTCCCTGTCTCATCCCTCACAGGCTTGCGATGCACTCTGGAGCGATTGTGATACCGTGCACTCAACCGCAAACGCGAAACACTTCATATACCAGGCATGACTTTGGAAGCTCAGCTCGATACAGTGTGGGGCCATTGGGATCCTTTCACAGGCCACCTTCGGACTTCGGGGAAAGGCCGCCTTGTACGCTTCAAGAGCTGTCGAAGAACAGGTCCAGAGGCCATCAAATTCACTCAAGCCATGTAGTAGCGGGACTGTGACTTTCGTAGAATACTGCTTCCAGTAATTCAGCCAGGTCGTGTTGATATCCCGCAGCTCGCCACTGGGTACCGGTTCGTTCAATTGCTCGGTAAATTGTCGCATCTCTGGCGGTGCGAGCTTCATATGCGGCAGCTGCAACATGATGGCGTCCTTTGCTACTGCTTCGAAGTGAATGAGGTCGTCGTCTCCACTTAATAGATGTATCATATGGTTTTTGGGCCCTTCCACAAGCTCGCTGCCAATTCCAGAAGTAATAATACCTGCCAGCGGATAGTTCTCAAGCCCGGTGTAACACCCAGCAGAGATTGTCGCGATCATTGCGCCGATAGAATGTGACAGCAGTACCATTGATGATGCTTCTGCACGAGTTGCGAAAGCCTGCCACAATGCAGGAAGAATCGTTGAATTGAAGTACCTCCCTTGTGCTTGCGCATAAGTAGGTGCATTTTCGATGTTGGGGGCTGGCGTGCTTGCTCCGTAGCCAGGTCGGTCCAGTGCGATTACCGGGATGTTGAGACATGTTGAGAGTTCCAAGACAGACTGGGTGCCCTCTACATCAAAGTATCGGGCCCCATAGCTGCCACCCGGGATGCATACAATAAGTGGCCGATTCTGTAGCGATCTAGGATCTCTAGACGGGATGCTATAGCGACCGGATATGACATCACTGCTTGATAGAGGGAGTTCGAAATATTCCATTGTTATTGATGTTATCTTGTAGTCTGTGAATGACAAGGAGGGACGAGTTAAAGAAGGGAAAGTCAAAAATATGCAGTTAGCAGTAGTATTATATACTAGTGAAGCGTGAGCCACGTTATCATCTCATCTGGGTTGAAGTGGAGATGAGTCGGCCACCGGAAGGCTCGTCATCCGATATAACAATCGGTAAAGTTATTTTTGCCGTACTTCAATTTTATGGATCTATTGATTGTTCCCTATATTCCTGCTGCAAATCTGGGTAGAGCCGTCAATTCCGGCCTTGAATTTAGTCAAATCCGTAATGCCGACACTTGGTGGGCAGGCTATACAGATCTCCACAGGGATCCCATAACGAACATCACGCCAATTCAACATGCCTCGGTCCGAACGAAAGAGGAATACTGTGGAGGTTGGAAAGGCCCATTCATCTTTGACCGCTACATAAAGCCGGCTTGGGTTCAATCACAAGGCTTTAGATGGCGCTTGACGTAATTTTACAACCCATTGCTTAATATTAGACGAGTATCATGGGTTCGAAAGATTGTGCCCTTCGGGGGAACCCAAAGAACGTCATCTTAATGTAACATAGATCATTTTCTTCAGTCTATCCATACACTAGCCATGGAATTCTTGTTTTTGAATCATTCATATAGCCACTCCATACTCTCTTCCATCAGCCGCGCGCAGGATGCAGGGTCGTCCACGCCCGGCAAATCTGGCTTAATTGTGAAACCTCTCAGGCTAAGGACCCAGGAAATACACTTGTAGCTCTCCCGCCCTTCGACAGGCAGTGGCAACACGTTATCTGATGCGTACGGCAGCACTGGCGTTATCCAGTCTCGGTCATAAATTGCCTCCAGCGAAAGGAGTTTCCATCGGCCGGATACCCTCTCCAAACGTGAAATAAATCGCGTCACTGCAACGCAGTCGTAGCTCCGACCCCTATACGGAAAACGGATTGAGACTGATCCCGTGGACTCCGCGAGGGCTTTGTCACTCTCCAAGTGAATTTCCACCGGCGAGATGGTATGGATGGCGCCTGTACCACTGGCGGCCATGGCGCGGGAGCCGGACACAAATCCATCAATATCACCCTGGTACCTATGGTATAGCCTGCATTAGATATGGTGTGCAATCTAGTTTTCCATGGCATTGCATTTCTCTGCATGGCGGCTTACCAGGTAATGTCGATGCGCGTCTTCGATGTATCCGGATGATAGCTGGACCGGAGCTTTGCCCATTGGTTTGTATCGCGGTAGTATCGCTCGCGGATGAGCAGCGATTGGATCTCGATTTTTGAAACAAGATCGTCCATTATGGAAGATTGCATTGAGAGCTGTCTGGAAATATAGTTTGCTGAGGACTTATAGTAAAATTCAAAAGTTTATGCAGCTGTGATGCACGCTGTAAACCAGCAGGCTCGTCAAAATAAATACGAAGCGATTCGGTCCGACAACACTGACGGTCAGCCGCTTGGTCGGCACGGACGGAAATCCGGTTGTCCAGCTGTTGCGCCTCCCGCACTAGTGGCCGGAACGGTTCGGTCCATGGCGTGCTCTCTCTCTCATGGGTGGTTCTAGGTTGGCATAATTATCAGAATACCACGACGAGGTCGGAAACTAATTAAAACAACCCCGTAATTCCGAAACCCGAATGAGAACACCCTTGGTATTCGTGGACGCCTTTCTTGGCAGTATGCGGCACTGCTTTTTCTATTTTCCTTGTAGAATTCCCAGCTGATACAGCTGTTTCCCAGGAGATTTTACGTAGGAAAGAACTGTGATCTGGGATTTGTAAACAACCCTCGTAAAGGCAAACTGAAGGAAAAGATGTATCAGCGTGCATTGCTAGGCCACAAAAGGCTCTCGGCCCTGATCATAAAAAAACACGTGAAGTGTCCCGCGGGCTCCCCTATTTCCAGGCTCGAATGATACGACTTGACCCGTCAGGCCGTGACAGTACCTGTTATTTGGGCGAAGAGTTCTTCCATCGTCGGGTTTTAAAGACTCGAGCTCTTGCATCAAGTAGCCACCGATTATACCTGTACATTTCCCATTGCGAGGCAGAAGTCGCAACATCCTGTATATGTGTAAATGAACTTTCAACATCGTTCTCTACAATAGATATGGGCACCCAGTTGTCAGCATACAACATATTACTGTTGTCTTCCTGAATTCCTTCCCAGGTATCAAGCAGGCCTAAACGCTGCAGAAAGCCCGGCCGATTGAAATTCCACCTGGATGCATCCCACATCCACAGAAGCAGCTCAATAACAAAAGGTGGTCGCAGATACTAAAAGAATGCTTCTCACAAAAAAACCCCAATTGGCGGCTTCTGTCTCGTTGTTGTCAATATATTGGTCGAATACACGCTCACCCAGACCCTCCAGCCAATCTGGTAGACTAGAAACAAGGAATGATTTTCGCCCGAGAAAGCCCCAGATGAAATCCACCACTTCGATAATATCAATTTTCTCCAACGCCGGCCTGGCCGGATTGTAAAACTATCTTTACCATAGGTGAAAACAGACTTAGGATCAGAACCACCACAACCTCGGATAAAGCTGAAACTTGCTAGAATCTCTAATTGTAGCCCTACAGCACAGGCTATATTATTAGAACTTTTATAATATACCTGGTTATCCATAAAAAGTGCTTAAAAGTTAAGAATTTGGATGGTTTTCCTATACTTAGAATTACTTAAGCTGGGATCTGAATTATGGTAACAAAACTAAACCTAAAAAAGATTTTTATTAATAAAACTAAAATTATTTAGTTTTTATTCTATATCTTTATTTTAGTACTACCTGCTGGCACGTCTGCTACAACCACAGTAACTATATATTATATATATATAATTAATAACCTATTTAGATTAAACTAGAATTTCTACTACTTTAAATATATCTATATATTAACCAGCCTCTAGAAAATAAAGACAGCCCTCTAAGTATAGATCTGCTGAAGAGAAAAAGTAAAAGTATATCTACTAATACTAATAAATCCAGCAGTTAGCTGCTGCAGCTATACAGAAGACCCAGTTTATTATATATTATTTTTTTTCTATAAAAAATCTTTAAAATATAATTAAAATATATTGTTACGGGACGGATGGATTGTGCTAATCGAAACGTGCCTTAAAACAAGAAGAAATAGCTGAGGAGCTATTTCATCTGTTCGTATGAAATTCTTTTATGTGTGCGCTAAGCTAGTGCTAGTTTAGTACTTTGGTATGCAAGGCCTCAGGTGCCAACTGGTGCCTGAAGCCGAGCTCTATAACAGGGCCTTGGTCCCATAACATATATCAGCAGAATCTGCTGGTAATAATATTTTATAATCTAGATCTAGCTCTTTTATCTAATAAATTAGTATTTTTTAAGATTATTTCTAATAATATTCTAGTACCTAGCCCGGATACTACTGTAAATATTAATTAGATTAGTAATACTTAGGATTAATCCAACTATAAGTCTAGCAGTACTAGGAATAGTCTTTTAGCTTATTCTAATATTTTAATTAAACTAGCAGTAGAAACTATTTTTTAGATTATTTTAGTAGTATCTACTAATACAGCTACTAAACAGATAGTTACTTTTTAAGTTAAAACACCTAATATAAAGTGTTACAGGACGGATGGATTGTGCTAATCAAAACATGCCTTAGAACAAGAAGAAATAGCTGAGGAGCTATTTCATCTGTTCGTACAAAATTCTTTTATATATATACTAAGCTAGTGCTAGTTTAGTACTTAGTATACAAAATCTTAAATACTAACTAGTATCTAAAGCCGAGCTTTATAATAGGATCTTAGTCCTATAATAAAAGCTCCCCCTTTTTTTTTAGTATCTTCTACAGCTTTTATTTGTACAAACAGCTGTTTAAAATCTAAAATAACAGTTTTATATTTCAGCCTCTTTTAGATAATATTATAGCTGGTTAATAGGCAGTATATATATAGATAAGATTTATATTATTTATTATAGCTTTTTTTTTTATATAAACCTTTTTTATCCAGTAAATACAGCAATCTTTTAGTAAATAAAGTCTTTTTTTTTTATATATTTCTTTTTTATTTAGTAAATAGAATCTTTTTTTATACTATTTATACAACTGATTTTAAAAGTGTGGTCAGGCTTAGCTACTAGTATTATATAAAGTATATAAAGTATTATATAAAAAGACTACTCCCCCCTCTTTTTAGCTCTTTTTTTTTATATGTTTTCTTTTTATTCTTTTTATTATTAATCTGTTTTTTTTTTCTGTATAATTTCTATTATTCCTTCTACTTATTAATATTATACCTTTTTTTTTTAATACTAAGGCTGGTAAGTCTGATTATTTAGATAATATACTAATTTTTATTTATTATAATCTTTTCTAGATCTTGTCTACTTTTACTAACTGTAATTTATTTTTTTTATTTATATAATATACAACTACTTATAACCCCTATATTAGTAATATAAAGTACTAGGTTACTATATAACTAATAGTATATAATAATAAAGTCTTATTTTAACTTTACTATATTTTAGATTAGCAGTATGTTTGGTGTTTTTTTTACTATAAATTTAAAATAAAAATTAGTACTTTTACTATGGTTTAGATAAAAAAATCTAATAATATTTTTATATAAAATACTAATAAAGTTAGATATATACCAGGCGTCTTTTTTATATTAACAGCCTTCTAATTATATTTTATAGTTTAGTAATACTATATTATTATAAATATAATAATTAAATAAAGTTTTAGCAGATTATATAGCTGTTTAAATAATAGAATAGGATTTATATAGACTGTAAGTTTAAAGATTATAGTATATATTATAACTATTATAATCTAAATAAGTTTAAATATAAGCTTACAGTAATTACTGCTCTTTTTTAAAATATTATTAAAGAATTAGTAGATTAAATTAGTATATATACTAAATTTAGTATAGCAGCATCTGGTTTTTTTATTAGATTAAACACAGCTTCTTTTAATTAGTTTTAAAAAATTAAAAAAGGGGTTTTTTTTTTTTTTTTATTCCTTTTTTTTTCTTTTTATTTTAGATTTATATAAACTAGAGCTGAGGAAAAAAAGTATTAGTATTAGTTTTTTTTTATTTTAGTTCTTATTTATCTAGTAGTTAGTTAGGGTTTGGCTGCGGCTGCAGCTGCTATTATACAGCTGCTTCTATATTATTAAATATTAAAACTAATTTTTAGATTAGTTTTATATAGTTTTTTTATTTAATAAAATACTATAATTAGCTCTTCCGGCCTTTTATTGTATACTGTTTATTAAAAAAAATTTTAACTTTATATTCTTTTTTACTATTAACTATTAGGGTTTACATTAGGGTTTACATTAGGGTTTACATTAGGGTTTA